TTTGTGTAGACACCAATTGCCTACAATCAACGGCGCTATACTGAACAGCCTGTGTTTGCTATAGACACCAATTGCCTACAATCAACAGGGCTCTACTGAACAGCCTGTGTTTGCTGTATACCGGTACACCAATTGCCCACAACCAACAGCGCTATACTGAACAGCCTGTCTTTGCTGTAGACACCAATTGCCTACAATCAACAGCGCTATACTGAACAGCCTGTGTTTGCTATAGACACCAATTGCCTACAATCAACAGCGCTATACTGAACAGCCTGTCTTTGCTGTTGATGCAAATTGCACCACCCCCAACCCCCATCAACAGGGCTATACTGAACAGCCTGTGTTTGCAATTAAAAGTAGTTTTACTATCAAGGTCCTACTAAACACCTACAATCAAGGTCCTACTGAACACGGCCTACCATCAAGGTCCTACTGAACACCTACCATCAAGGTCCTACTGAACACAGCCTACCATCAAGGTCCTACTGAACACCTACCATCAAGGTCCTACTGAACACGGCCTACCATCAAGGTCCTACTGAACACCTACCATCAAGGTCCTACTGAACACAGCCTACCATCAAGGTCCTACTGAACACCTACCATCAAGGTCCTACTGAACACGGCCTACCATCAAGGTCCTACTGAACACAGCCTGTAGTCTAATGTTCACACAGTTTTGATGTTCATCTTCATGATACATTGTCACACCAGTGGATGTTTCACCCTGGCACACACAGCAGTGTGAGCAGACGAGACAGAATAATGTTTGTGTCATAATTACACTGTTCATAATTACAGCACGATTATCTGTCACAAACAGTTATTTTCTTGCTATACAAGTGACAGTAATTAATGCATGATAGCATATTCCCTGCATCACACAAACTGTCAGTGATTCAGATGGTTAACAGCAGAGCTAATTGTAGGCAGCCATTGTTTTAAACCGAAGACTTTAGGTTTTGATAAAGATGTCCTGCTGTTCTTGTCATAGCTGAATTTTGCAATAATCCTGGATACCATAATTTGGGATATACTCACCTGAAGGAAGTACCCCGAGGATGATGTGTGTTTAGAACATGATCATAGTTACCTAGACAGAACATCCAGAACATCCTCAAGGCTATAGGGCAAGCAGATTTTCCAGTGTCTATTTGAAGGGATCAAGACGTAGACAAATGTAATCAAGGGTTTCCTCCATTAGGTCGAAGACTAAGTCCATATTGTACAAGTGACTTCGAATAAAACATGGCTCTTGGCTATCTCTAACAGCTGCTGATATTCACCACCAGTTATTCCTGGTCAGCATGGGCGCCATGATGGATAGGATACACCCTGCTGAGAGCAGTATGTCGACCATGATGAGCAAGACTGAGGGGGATTGGGTATATGTTGTCGAAGAAGAAGACCTTACCTGCAGACCAGCCAGCCTTGATCTTTACAGGCAAAATTCAGCCAGATTTGAAGCCAAGACATGGAGACGAACATTTAGTCGACATGCACGGCCATCGTGGCAGAAGAGGAAACTTGATGACCGTGATGCCATTGAGGAGGAGGTGGCGACTCCATCCTCCACGGATGATGGGACAGCGAGCAGAAGCTGCTCCAGCAGCCAGGACATAGGTGTCCCGCACACAGAGGACTCCACCAGCTACTCTTCAGACACTTCGGTTCAGCTGCGTCTCATGAGAACCAAGACGGTCGCTGTGTGTCAGCATGCAAAAGGTCATCGGATTTGGTCTCGAGAAGCAGCATATAGTGTTGAGGTAAGACATACGTCAGTAATGTCTGCGTGATGTCAAAAGAGATGAATTTTCTATGTGGTCAGGTAGTGTAGTGTCATAATGTGTAGAACATATTTATGGTGATGTTTGTATTTATTAAAATCGATTGGTTGCAAAGCTACTGATGCCTATTTGATTCAGAAAAGGTTTGAATGTTCTAGAAAAGTTTACAAGGGACTTTTAAATCATATACTCTAGCTGAAGATGGCACTTGTTGAATTGGTTTGGTTGTAAGAACAAACCCTGTTGAATCTGGTTGACTGTAGCACTGAGCACTGAGACACTGTATACTCTAACAGGTGAATTATTAAACCAGCCCTTTCAACAGCTCATGTTGAATTTCCTCTGTTTTATTACCCATTGTACCTGAGCCCTAGAGGTATCCTACAAAGCATTAATATATTCTGGCAGTTGGAGAAGCAAAGACATCTGCATCATGTCGGTAGCTTGATGTCTTTACGTTGAAATTCATCTCACCGTACATTAAAATACTAGCTTCTGATTTGTTAAGTATTGGGCAATTATTTTCCATGTAGCTGCTCACAGCCGGGTACAAATTTTATGTAGCCTGCTGAGAAATCAATTGAAGCACATCTTAGGTAACTTGCTTATATTGCATAAGTATCATTGAGTTTCTAAAATTAACCGATGTTTATCCAAATGCATTGAGCAAAGAAACTTGGTTCGTTTGTGTCGTCTCCACTTTGTGTCGTTTTTCATTTAAGAATAGTGTTAATTTTGCTAACTAAGTGAAACTGCGGAAATTTATTTCAGACCTGTATGAATGATGTCAGTGAGATAAATTTGTTGTTGACCAATCCCTCAGTCATATGGTGTCACGTGCCGGCTCGGTAGGCTTACACATAGGGTACATAAGACAATTTATAGGGTCTCTATCGACCAGAGTGTAGCAACCTGTTGGTGTATGTAGGTTGTTTGCATAGTCAAATGCATACCATCTCTACATATGACTACCGCAGTGGACTTGTGGATAGAGCACCTGACCAGAGAGAGGAAGGTCTGTGGTTTGAACCCCGAATGTGTCATACCCAAAAATGCTTTCAGATAGTATGTGTTGTTACCCTGTCTGGCGCTCGGCATTAAGGGGCTAAAACAAGGACTGGTTGGCTTGGAGTCAGAATACTGTGTCTGAGTGTTGTTACCCTATCTTGTGTTTGTCATTAAGGGGATAAACCTGGTTTCACAATGTGTGAGTAGGGTTTCCATGTTAACATGTGGCATGGTATCTCAGCGGGCTGCCTCTATAGAGCCATCATTAGTCGAGACTAGTACAGGCAGCCACACCCACACAATAATAATGTGTGTAGTTTATTGCGCTAGACTCCATTCACAAAGTGCATGCTCAGAGCGCTAACATTATTACCCTGGTCAATGGAGCATTGGGCACTCCTTTATCATTCTCAACTCCCTGGGCAGCGTGCAAGTGAGAGAGTATGGTTTTACGCTGCTTTTAGCAATATTACAGCAATATCACAGTGGGGGACACCCGAAATGAGCTTCACACATTGGGTCTACGGCATGACAAGCGAACGCTTTTACCACTAGGCTACCCCACCCCTGGGTAGTATACTGCGTGCGTTTTGGTATATCAGCGCAATAATCTGGAATGTTACATTAAACTCATTTCATCTCCCATTGTGAAACATATAGACCAACCATGTCCATGTTGAATGTCTCATTTCCAGCGAAAAGCTTCATGGTTCTGAGATCTTTTATAGATGAGCTAAGTACTTGTGTGATGAAAACACTGTTATATCCAGTTGCAGCTGTGGACACAAAATGGTGGTGCTAATTAACATGTAAATCTATCCTATTATGTTGTCATGTGCACGAATTGTCATTTACAAATGTTTTATTGTGCAATTTTGTGTGCAGTTAATAACTGATAATTGCCTTTGTCTGTATCCCATGGTGAAAATAGACAGTAATCTTTCTCCTCAAAGTGACCTTCATCTTCACTGTAGCATTGACTGTAGCATTGACTGTAGCGGTGACTGTAGAAGAGAGTCTGCTTTATGTGTTTTACGACACTACTGGGTCTAGGATGCAGGAGAACCATTGAATCCAGTAGTAGTATCATTAATAATTTCTCCATGAAGTCGGGTGTGGTAAACCAGGAATCTGTTGAATGGCCTACTTCAAGGATGAACGCTCTGTCAGTTATCTATGTTGATAACAGCTTGACTAATTCATGAATGATTGATTAAAATATATTTATGAATAGTCTTTGTTTACTATCATTTCAAATATGTTCAATTTGTATTTAAGCTGACAACACGACTCTATCCCTAAGAATGCCACTAACTTTACGGAGCATACAACTCTATTCCTTACAGTGTTGATAACTTTGTAGCACCATGACCCTATTCCTTACAATATTGATAACTTTGTAGCACCTACGACTCTTTTCCTTACAATGTTGACAAATTTGTGGCACCTACGACTCTTTTCCTTACAATATTGATAACTTTGTAGCACCTACGACTCTTTTCCTTACAATGTTGACAACTTTGTGGTAACATGACTCTATTCCTTACAATGTTGACAACTTTGTAGCACCTACGACTCTATTCCTTACAATGTTGACAACTTTGTAGCAACATGAATCTATGCCTTACATTTTTGATAACATTGTAGCACCTACGACTCTTTTCCTTACAATGTTGATAACTTTGTAGCAACATGACTCTATTCCTTACAATGTTGATAACTTTGTAGCAACATGACTCTATTCCTTACAATGTTGATAACTTTGTAGCACCTGTGACTTCATATGTCTCATTGTTGAAGACTATGTAGTGCCTTTGATTAATCCTAACAAAGCCTAGAATCTATTCCAGAGATTCATCATGGTGGTATTTAGCTCACTAAGACCGATGGTTCAAGTGAGCTTATTTGGTGACACTCTGTCCATCACCTGACTTTCCTGCCATCATGTAATCCACAAATAGTAGAAGTAATCAAAAAAGGCAATTTGTGGAAGACATCTAGCACCATAGTAGTACCGGTACATGTTGATGAATACATTCAACGTCCTTCAATATCAGAATATTCAATGTCGGGATTGCACAACGCATTATCATGGCCGTCATTTGTATCTAAAACATTCAACATCTTCAAATCAATTTGATGAGAGGGAGCTTCTGTACTTGAGATCTCTGGTTCTGTTTTAACATGAAACTTCTGTTTCAGAGTGGATCACTAATGGGGGGCGATGGCGAGTACGGTGATGATGACTATCGCAACAAATACTCCTGGTCACACCATGCAAATGGAGGGTAAGCTAGTTCTAACCTTCAACCAAATGTCCTGAAATGTCCTCTGTCCTGTACTGGGACATAGTCAAGCTATTCTTCAGTGTCAGTCGTCAGAATCAAATTAAAAAAATATTATTCATTTTCTTTTCGAAAACTAGGCCTTGCTTGAAGAGCCACATGGGAGTCATTAATTGTTATCAGACAGCAATAGTCTCCCAAGTCTGTTTATGAATCAAGGACTTGGCAGACAGTGATCTGAATAACGGTTAAGCAAGGAAATCCACTGACGAATGTAGATGTATTTGTCAAACTTTCACAATATGTTTGCAATAATTTACTTGGTACGCACCCAGTGTTTGGAATTGAGGATAAAAGTCAAGTCTTTGTCCTGACCCTAATAATGCTTAAATTTTGGCGTCCTAGATTAACGTGTAGGACCATACCTCAAGGAACACAGGAACAACCCTAATTTCGGCCACTGCATGGTCACCCTCATTTATTAGAGAATGTGAAGGCGGAGTGACTTTCATTATGTGTGTGTGTTTCAGCCCCCCAGAACACAACCCATTCTACACCAGCATAGACAGCATGCCGGAGATTAAGCCTCGCCGCAAGTCCATCCCTCTAGTCAGTGACTTGGTGAGTCTTCCTGACAACTGCAATATTTACGTTTAATTCATCTGGTGAATCGTCACACTATGGTCATGTATTTTGCTCTGGAAGTGTAATCTCAGTATACACAATTTAATTTCAAGTGGTATTCATAACCATTTAACCTAAATTATTAACTGGCATGATTGTATGAATAATTACTTGTTAAACGAGTATATATTGAACTTGTATGCCTCCTAATACTTGTTGATTTCTTCTTTTCTGAGACAATTCCAGTATTTTGATCATGCATCCACAAATCCCCTGACTCTTGTATCTAGCTTGTAGCCTGGTGTCATTCTCAATTTGCACCAGAACATACATCTTCCCGAGACAAGTGAGTTGACTGACTTTAAAAGTCTAGTTTCCACCCTTGCCGAACTAGGCTGGTATTATGGTGTTAGATTTTGGCTGGACTAATGAGACTATGCATAGTCCGTCCGGTTTGTAAACTGTTGTGCAGATTTTGGTCGATTGCAAGATTTGCAAAGGATTGCACTGCCAACTAGTTCGGCAAGAGTGGAAACTGGACTTCTATAGTCAGTTAACTCCCTTGCCTCGGGAAGATGCAGAACATATTGACACATCAGTAAATCAGTATAGTTATTTCAATGAGAGTTCAAGTTTGCTGGAATGGCCTATTTCTACTGATACCATAAAGTTGGTAGATTTTAATAACTTGATAGCAACAGTACTGGCTTATTGCTTGCTAGGCGATGTCTGGTTTTCCCTGTGCATCTTCCAGCAAAGACGAAGTGTCCAGTACCCATGGCTTACATTTAAAAGATTACTAATAAAGGTATTAAATGGCCACAATGGGTGGCACTTGGTTGGGCGACCTCCCCGAATAACTATACCTCTTTCTAACTAATGGTGTGGCATTGTACCTAGACAACATGGATCAATTCTCACCACTGGTTTTCTGGACCAGGCTTTTAAAACAAGGCAGGTGCCGACCTGTAACTAATAGTTGATTCTCTGACTGACTGTTGATGTCCGACTGCCCACTAACCCAGTCTTGTTCCTTTTCTTCCTGTATGTACCCAGGTACTCAAGGTATACCGCCGCAAGGCCCAGGACCGACACCGAGTTCCATCATGGAAGGAGCAGATCTCACTTTGCTTGGACAACCCAAAAACATCACACACAAAAATATGATAATACTGTATTCGACGTAATAAGCACCCCGCTCCAATAAGTGCCCACAGCGATATTTGCTAATATATTTGCTAGTGAACAATCCCAATTAGCACCCCTTCCGATTCATCAATGTACACAAGACTTATTTATTCGACTTTGATACACACTCATGTGTTATATGCACCCTTAATTATGGGCAATTAAATTCCAGAAAAATATATCTGTCGTATATAATCATTTCAGGCTGTCTGCATAAACCATGACATTTTTTTTTTTTCACCAAAATAATATTCTAATAAGAGGCCCCTATTTCTAATGTTGAGAGCGCCCTGGGCGCTTATTACATCGAATACAGTAATTGTTTTGGCCGAAACTAACTTTTCTTTGTTGTCCATGCAATTGGTACATCTGCCTCCAGGACCATGATGAAGACTCCTTTTTTCCCTCAGTTTGATTGTAACTATAGGTCTTACACTGAGCCAGATCTGAAGGGGAGTCCAGGTCACATGAGACATGTGCACAGTTGCTTTCTAAGTGTCATAAGATCCATAAAATGTAAACGTATTTGGTTAAAGAAATTATTGCAACTGTTGCGAGTTCCCCTTCAGATTTTGTTTTATCATTTCTTAATATCTGTTTCGTCTTACTTCAAATGTAGCGTTTTATTTAGAGAGATTAATACATTAGTAGTCACACTATCAATTCTCGAGTGGTTTTGATGCATATCAGCGCACTGAACACATGACACAGACTGTGTACTACAATGCTGATTGGCCAAGACATGATTAGGAGTGTTCCAAGTTAGGCTGAATCATATCCTTATACAGTACATGCTATAGAAGACAAGGCAGTCATTTTAGTGTGTAGAGAGGGTCCATGGGTTTGATGGCTAGATGTAAACACAATGTGTAGACAGGGTCCGTGGTTAGATGGCTTGATGTAAACACAATGTGCAGACAGGGTCCGTGGTCCGTGGTTAGATGGCTAGATGTAAACACAATGTGTAGACAGGGTCCATGGGTGAGATGGCTAGATGTAAACACAATGTGTAGACAGGGTCCGTGGTTAGATGGCTAGATGTAAGCACAATGTGCAGACAGGGTCCGTGGTCCGTGGTTAGATGGCTAGATGTAAACACAATGTGTAGACAGGGTCCATGGGTGAGATGGCTAGATGTAAACACAATGTGTAGACAGGGTCCATGGGTTAGATGGCTAGATGTAAACACAATGTGTAGACAGGGTCAATGAGGGAGATGGCTAGATGTAAACACAATGTGTAGACAGGGTCCGTGGGTGAGATGTCAGTTGTAAACACAATGTGTAGACAGGGTCCGTTGGTGAGATGGCTAGATGTAAACACAATGTGTAGACAGGGTCCGTGGGTGAGATGGCTAGATGTAAACACAATGTGTAGACAGGGTCCGTGGGTGAGATGGCTAGATGTAAACACAATGTGTAGACAGGGTCCGTTGGTGAGATGGCTAGATGTAAACACAATGTGTAGACAGGGTCAATGAGTGAGATGGCTAGATATAAACACAATGTGCAGACAGGGTCCGTGGGTGAGATGGCTAGATGTAAACACAATGTGTAGACAGGGTCAATGAGTGAGATGGCTAGATGTAAACACAATGTGTAGACAGGGTCCATGGGTGAGATGGGTGGATGTAAACACAAAGTGCAGACAGGGTCCGTGGTTAAATGGCTAGATGTAAACACAATGTGTAGACAGGGTCCGTTGGTGAGATGGCTAGATATAAACACAATGTGCAGACAGGGTCCGTGGTTAGATGGCTAGATATAAACACAATGTGCAGACAGGGTCCGTGGGTGAGATGGCTAGATGTAAACACAATGTGTAGACAGGGTCCGTGGTTAGATGGCTAGATATAAACACAATGTGAAGACAGGGTCCATGGGTGAGATGGGTGGATGTAAACACAATGTGTAGACAGGGTCCGTGGTTAGATGGCTAGATGTAAACACAATGTGTAGACAGGGTCCGTGGTTAGATGGCTAGATGTAAACACAATGTGTAGACAGGGTCAATGAGTGAGATGGCTAGATATAAATACAATGTGTAGACTGGGTCCGTGGGTTAGATGGATAGATGTAAACACAATGTGTAGACAGGGTCTGTGGTTAGATGGCTAGATGTAAACACAATGTGCAGACAGGGTCCATGGGTGAGATGGGTGGATGTAAACACAATGTATAGACAGGGTCCGTGGTTAGATGGCTAGATATAAACACAATGTGTAGACAGGGTCCATGGGTGAGATGGGCGGATGTAAACACAATGTGTAGACAGGGTCTGTGGGTTAGATGGATAGATATAAACACAATGTGTAGACAGGGTCCGTGGGTGAGATGGCTAGATGTAAACACAATGTGTAGACAGGGTCTGTGGTCCGTGGTTAGATGTTAACACAATGTGTAGACAGGGTCTTTGGATGGGAAGAGTAGACGTCAACCTAATGAGAATCCAGGTTCTCGGATGAGGATGGCTAGGTATCTATAAATGTGTAGACAAGGGAATGGATTGAAAGGCTAGATGTCAGCTAGATCTGAACATGGGGCCTAAGGGTTTGAAATGTAAATGTCAACATCTAGATTTGCTGACAGGGTCCTTCGGCAGATAAACCCAAATTTTGAAGGTCCTAAGTATTTTCAAGAGGATCAAAAGACAGGTACAAAGTTTGTAGCTAGAAAGTAGAGAGGTAGACTCTTAAGAGACTTTAGGTTGATACGATGATTGTGTTTAATGCTTGATGGGATTCACAACGCTGGCATTCCCTTGCAGTTACGCACCGTAATGAGAGCAGAAGCTGGTCTACTCAAGAATAAAGTAAATATGTGCTCCACGTCAGTGGATGCTAGATGTTTTCAGTTCAGTTACCAGTTTTTTCTCCCTTGTTTTATTAGCATGACCATGCACGATGATGAACAGAATAGCTGCTACATCCCCTAGACATTTGTCAGCTGTAGAAGTGTTTCCAATGGAATAGCTCCTCTTGATTTGTAAGCTGAGAAGTAGTTGGAAAATGATTGTTTCTGTATGTGTATAGATAAAGTTGATTTTTGCATGATGTTTGTGAATTCAAGTTCATTCCTGAGTTTGTGTGGTTTAGAATGAAATAGATGATTTAGATTTAGGACTATTAAATGATGAATTTTGAATGTTGGTGCTGAAATCTTCATCCACTGTGACAACTGTGCAGACACGCAAGGAGGGAGGTAAGGTTGTGAGTCTTCATTGAGGGAGGGAATGTTTGCTAGGGTGGCTGTGAGTCTTCATTGAGGGAGGGAATCTTTGCTGGGGTGATTTGTGAGTCTTCATTGAAGGAGGGAAGCTTTGCTGGGGTGGTTTGTAAGTCTTCATTGAGGAAGGGAAGGTTTGCTGAGGTGGTTCTGAGTCTTCATTGAGGGAGGGAAGGTTTGCTGGGGTGGTTGGGAGTCTTCATTGAGGTGTGCGAACATTTGCTTAGGTGGTTGTGAGTCTTCATTGATGGGGGGAATGTTTTCTGTGATGGTTGAGAGTCTTCGTTGAAGCGTGGCAAGGTTTGGTTTGCTAGGATGGTTGGAAGTCTTCATTGAGGGAGGGAGGGTTTACTAGAGTGGTTGTGAGTCTTCATTGAGGGACTTATGGTTTTTCCTTGGTCTTCTTTGAATGGGTGGAATGGTTGGAAGTCTTCATTGATGAAAGGAAGGTTTGCCAGGGTGGTTGTGAATCTTCATTAAATGAGGGAAGGTTTGCTGGGGTGGTTCTAAGTCTTCATGGAGGGAGGGAATGTTTGCGAGTATTCATGGAGGGAGGGAATGTTTGCTAGGATGGTAGTGAGTCTTCATGGAGTTAGGGAATGTTTGCTGGGATGGTTGTGAGTCTTCATTGAGGGAGGGAATGTTTGCTAGGGTGGCTGTGAGTCTTCATGGAGGGAGGGAATTTTTTCCTGGATGATTGTGATGCTCCATTGAAGATTGTGTTGGGGTGGTGGTTATTAAGCCTACAGTGTGAGAATACAGGGTTCATATTAAGAGTGCTAGAATGGGGTTTTAGTTTAACATTTGTGGGAGAATGAGGATTTAATGGGACGTTTGAAAGGACAGTATAAATGTTTAACAAACAAGGTTATATTTGTAGAATGTTCGTAGTTATGCCTGAATTTTGAATGTTCGGCATGAGGTTTAAATGTTAATATGGACACCATGGGAGGTTAGGCATGAGGTTTAAATGTTAATATGGACACCATGAGAGGTTAGGCATGAGGTTTAAATGTTAATATGGACACCATGGGAGGTCAGGCATGAGGTTTAAATGTAAATATGGACACCATGGGAGGTTTGGCGTGAGGTTTAAATGTTAATATGGACACCATGGGAGGTTAGGCATGAGGTTTAAATGTTAATATGGACACCATGGGAGGTAAGGCATGAGGTTTAAATGTTAATATGGACACCATGGGAGGTAAGGCATGAGGTTTAAATGTTAATATGGACACCATGGGAGGTAAGGCATGAGGTTTAGATGTTAATATGGACACCATGGGAGGTTAGGCATGAGGTTTAAATGTTAATATGGACACCATCGGAGGTCAGGCATGAGGTTTAAATGTAAATATGGACACCATGGGAGGTTTGGCGTGAGGTTTAAATGTTTATATGGACACCATGGGAGGTAAGGCATGAGGTTTAAATGTTAATATGGACACCATGGGAGGTTTGGCATGAGGTTTAAATGTTAATATGGACACCATCGGAGGTAAGGCATGAGGTTTAAATGTTAATGTGGACACCATGGGAGGTTAGGCATGAGGTTTAAATGTTAATATGGACACCATGGGAGGTTAGGCATGAGGTTTAAATGTTAATATGGACACCATGGGAGGTTAGGCATGAGGTTTAAATGTTAATATGGACACCATGGGAGGTAAGGCATGAGGTTTAAATGTTAATGTGGACACCATGGGAGGTTAGGCATGAGGTTTAAATGTTAATATGGACACCATGGGAGGTTTGGCATGAGGTTTAAATGTTAATATGGACACCATGGGAGGTTAGGTTTGAGGTGATGATGGTTAGCTGGGCCTGAGGGGTGTTCGGGGAGGGTGGTAGGCTTGAGGTGTCTCAGACCGCATTTGTTATGCAGAAAATCAGACAGACTTAGGTGTCTGGTTGTTGATATTCAGTATAGAAGGTTGTCTTTTTACAGGGAAGCTTGTCAGGACTCAGTGTAGGGGGTTAAGCTGGAGTGAAGGGTTGTCAAGATTCAAGGTGTAGATGGGTTTGTTTTGGGGGATGTGGTCATGCTTCTATGTAGTAAGTTGTTTTTTAGGGCTGTTGTCAGACTTCAATGTAGAAAGATGTGTTTAAGTGGATGTCAGTCTTCAGTGTGGAAGTTGTGTTTTAGGGCTATTGTCATGCTTCTATGATGGCTGATGTCAAGCTTGTTGTAGGCAATCAGGTTTAAAACTGATGCTTACAGACTTCGTGGTTGTAGCTTACTGTTTAGGGGATGTTTGTCAGACCCAGAATCTGAGTTTAAGTTAAGTATAGGTTTTCTGGCCTGTGGAGTCTGTTAGTAGCTAAAATACAGGAAGGCTTTTTGTCGTCTGTGCATCACTTTAAATCCTGTGCGTCAGTCATTTATCATGTTAAAAAAACATATTTTTTTACTTCCTCTTGACATATGAAGCATACTCTGTTATCCCTAAAATGACATGCTTGCCGTCTGACATTATATTAAATAGCTAAGCTCACAGTATCCCAGCTGGGTTTGTTGGTATGCTTCGTGGGGCAATAATATAATGTGTTCCTCTCAAATCACTTTTGTTTCTGATAGAAAATATTTTAGTAAGTTTTTTCTCCATCCTCAGTTTACAGAAAAATGTGCCCAAGAAACAGTTAATTATTTTTATGTAGTCTTATTTATGTTGGATTGCAACATATATTAAAGATCATCTGTGTCTGAACTTCAGAGAACTGCTAATCTAGTCTACATCTCAGCTTTAGCCAGTGCTTAACATACCCGCCTGCCCAACAGTCCGAGAAAGTCATTTTGCTGATGGACGGTCAGTTTTGAAAAGTTGCACATGCCATGGTTGGAGGTTAAAGTTACTAAGTTGACAATCACCAGTTTATTGTTATTGGTAATATACACAGACCTGTTGGTATGTAAATAATATATAAATGTGGTATTAGCTTGAAGGTATTGGGAAAGGAACATATTTCTAATGTTGGAGATAACATATAATCTTATGTAGCTATTGGTCACGGAAACATACCAGCTGATGTAGGTATTGGGGAAGGTAATATACCAGCTGAGATAGGTATTAGGGAGGGTAACATACCAGCTGATGTAGATATTGGGGAGGGTTACATACCAGCTGATGTAGGTATTGAGAGGGTAACATACCAGCTGATGTAGGTATTTGGGAGAGTAACATACCAGCTGATGTAGGTATAGGTATTGAGAGTGTAACATACCAGCTGATGTAGGTATTTGGGAGAGTAACATACCAGCTGATGTAGGTATAGGTATTGAGAGGGTAACATACCAGCTGATGTAGATATTGGGGAGGGTAACATACCATTTGAAGTAGGTATTGGGGAGAGTAACATACCAGCTGATGTAGGTGTCGGGGAGGGTAACATACCAGCTGATGTTGGTATTGGGGAGGGTAACATACCAGCTGATGTGGTGTCAGGAAGGGTAACATACCAGCTGATGTAGGAATTGAGAGGGTTATATACAAGCTGATGTAGGTATTGGGTAGAGTAATATATACCAGGTATTATAGCTATTAGGGAGGGTAACATACCAGCTTATGTAGGTATCGGGGAGGGTAGCACACCTGCTGATGTAGGTATTGGGAAGGGTAACATACCAGCTGATGTAGGTATTGGGGAGGGTAGCATGCCAGCTGATGTAGGTATCGGTGAGGGTAACATACCAACTGATGTAGGTATATGGAGAAGGCTATACCCAGTCATGGTAGTACACAGTCTGCACTCTTACAATCATATATTATACTTTTAACACACAATTTGCCTAACAATTTAGTACTTTCCTGAGTGTGTTGGCAGTTTTTCTTACATTAGTCTGCCACCATGTGTGACATTTGCATGAACAGCTTTAGACTCCATCATCACTGTCACAACTTCACTCCCTCTCCCCCACCTATCCACCTTCACGCCCCTCATCACGTGGCCCCTAGCCGGTGAACACCAGAAGGGAGGGGAACATAGGTCATACGTAGCACTTCCAAATACCTAGGAGGTTTCAGGTATATGTTTTGACCCCTCACCATTTTCTACTTCTACACACCTGTGTCGAAGTTCACAAGATAAGGGCAACATATTTTAAAGACGACCGTCAACAAAAACAACTGTGGTTTGACAGCAAACATGGCTGACAATGGTGTTATTCCTTATGAAAATGTTATTTCCTTTTCAAAATGTTCTTTCAACAGACACTTCTGAAACATATATCCCTTCACTTGTACAGTTGTTGTCTTTAGAGGTCTACACTGAGCATATGGTAGAGTGGCACCAGCTAAATTATTGTTTATATTTGGCATGCCAGGTACTCAGAGGTAGTTCCGTTATGACGATGACCAATTCAGTGGGAGATAGAAAGTACCGAGAAATTCTAAATCATCTTCAATTTGATAACAGTAGCGTTATTCACAGAAACCATAATGTCATGGAAAGTTATGACCCAACTCATTTTCTAAATATTTCTAGATCAACTAAATGTTTGAGGAGACAGCACTGATCGGCCATTGGTTGATTGACAAAGGCATTAACGTAAGGTTTAAATGTCCAAATTTAAGAAGCAATACTATTTAAGACAACCTTTTACTTAAAAAAAATAATACTTACTTTCATTTCATTTCAATAATGCCCGGACATGACAGTCAAAATACCAAACCCTGTAGGTAGGATGTGATTGTACTGTTACATTATCACGTCACTTTTCTCCTGTGATGGAACCTGGATGCATCGACATGCTGGTGGTGTTTCTCAATAGATTAAGCTCTTAACTTAGTACCACTTTGTACAAAAGTAAGACAATTCATTCAGCATTGTATTTTGATTAGATGAACCCATGTAAATTCAATATTTCAAACTTCGAGATGTGATACGGAGCCTTTGGTTCTATTCCTTGGAATGCTACCATGGCTGCAGAGAAATATTCGGCTTCAAAAATAAGTGTGTGAGATGGGTGTAACTGTTTTGAACAGCATTCCTGTTATATCACAGCATTAAAAATAGAAAAAAAAGAAATATATCGTGGCTGAAAATCAATTAAGCTGTTGGCCAGATGAGGCCATATTTATCAAAGGAGGAAGTTGTGGGAGTGTGTTAATGGTGCTGAAGCTGTTAATGCATCGTCACGGTTACAAAAAACCATCACTCACATTATGTTAGGTTCTAGAGCTGTTGCCCCTTCTACAGGTTATGCCTTTGTATTTTTTTCCATTTCTCATTTCAATTGCAACAACTTGTACTGAATGACAGTTTATTCTCAGCATGTCTTCTTGACTTTGGTTTCCAACTGCATGGGGAGGATTGTGATTATATCTCTCTACATTCTGTGTGTAGTTTAGACCTTCTAGAGGCAACACCACAGCATTACACTGTAAGCCAGCCTTCCTCTTTGGGAAATGTTCTTGTAAACAACAGCCTTGGACAACTTTTAAGTAAATACTAGATGATATTGTCGTAGAGTTTAATTTTAACTAGTAGTAGAGTGTTCAATAGCTGTGTATCTACATTCATTTCTATTTATTGAGTAACAAATTAAAGATAACTTTCATCATTCAATTAAGAATAATAATCCTGATTTGATAAAAGACAGTATGGCCATTGTGAAGTGTCGTTCTGGTCAATACCTTGTAAATAAATGTGTATATTTGTCTGATCTCTGTGTGCTTAGCTGTAACATATTCTCTGTGTTGCCCGGACCTACAGTATACATCCAGGTGGCATATCACGGTAAATTGATCACACATTGAATATTACAGGGATTTATATCTCATAGATTGCTCTGTAATGAAGGCAGTATTGTTTACATAATGACAGGAAGTATTGTTTATATATAATGACTGGCAATATTGTTTAAGTAATAACAGGCAATATTGTTTACTAATGACAGGCAATATTGTTTATATAAGAACAGGAAATATGGTTTATGTAATAACAGGCAATATTGCTAATGTTATGACAGGCAATATTGCTAATGTTATGACAGGCAGTCTTGTTTATGTAATGACAGCCAATATTGTTACATAATGACAGGCAATATTGTTACAAAATGACAGGCGATATTGTTTATGTAATGACAGGCAATAATGTTTATGTAATAACCAACAATATTGTGTATGTAATAACAAGCAGTATTGTTTATGCAGTCACAGGCAATATTGTTTGTATAATTACAGGCAATATTGTTTATGTAATGACAGGAAATATTGTTTGTATATTTACAGGCAGTTCTTGTTATATAATGACAAACAATATTGTTTATGTAATGACAGGAAATATTGTTTGTATAATTACTGGCAATATTGTTTATATAATGACAAACAATATTGTTTATGTAATGACAGGAAATATTGTTTGTATAATTACAGGCAATATTGTTTATATAATGACAAACAATATTGTTTATGTAATGACAGGAAATATTGTTTGTATAATTACAGGCAATATTGTTTATATAATGACAAACAATATTGTTTATGTAATGACAGGCGGTGGTCACTGTTCACAAATGTGACTAATTCAGTGGAAGTTGAATTGCATTGTGTTGCATTATAATGCATGGACCTAGATCTTATCTTGTACTTCTTTAATATACCAAGTTAGTGTTTTAAAACTGCTTTCAACAGCAAGAGAATGTGTAACTACATTTCTCTGGAAATATCCTCATTAATCCATTGCTGCCAAAGACCAATGAGACTTGTTAGATAACAGAGACAATAATTGATCTGACCTGACAGGTTCCCCCCGCATGCCTAACATGTACAGTGACCATCTTTTGCATCTATGCTCTTTCACTGGAGGGGTCTGCTGATTTTAATTGTACTAATATTGAGGGACCAAGATGTCAGTGCCGGAGATTTATGTCAGCTTCATATTATTGTCTCTGCAGATTTCTTCCATTGCAAGTGTTTGTCACTGGTATTTTCAAGATTCAGCAGTGATGTGTTCAGTTGACATGTGTTGTATATGCGATATGTGTTATAACAGAGCATGGCAGCCAAGAGAAATGCAGGTGTTCCCTCAGCGATGGTGGCTCGCCAGTCTCTTAATGATGAAGAACTGGTAAGTTGAAGGCCCGGGAGGCCTTATCTGTGAGTGTGTGAGTGAGTGAGTGAGTGAGTGAGTGAGTGAGTGGGGTGTAACAGTTGTACAGTATTTTAGTTATGTGAGTGAGTTGGGTTGAACGCCGCTTTTAACATTATTCCAGTTATATCACAGTGTGTCAGCTTGATGTTGGAGGAAAGCCCGAAGTGATGCAGGTCTCAGACATTTACCACTTTGGTGAAACCCACGAGCACGGGTATGGTGCTGACAAACCTAGAAACATAATCGGGGTGAACCGGGATTCGAACCCACAATAAGTTTCTGGTGTGTCCAGGGGATGTGACTCTGCACAGCGAATCGCAGTGCCTTAGACAACTGGGCCACCCGTGCCCCCATTTTAGTTATGTCTCAGTGCATTGGCTCTGTTTGGTAGGAAGGTCCACAGTTGCAAAGGGTAGGGTTCCGACTGACCAAGGATGATAACTGGGGAGAATTGGGATTTTACTATACAACCAGTTCATCCTGACATAGTTAAGGGACGAAATACCTCAGACCACTTCGCTGAATGAACCACCTTGAGTGCTGACACGTACCCTGGACCATATGGTTCTGAGCATGTTGACCACATGAAGTGACATGCTTAGAAAGCTAACGGTAAAGAAAGATGCTTGGCCAAGGAAATAATGCTCAAAAACAATAAACCATGGAATGCTGGGATAGAATCACTCCCCAGCAACCTCTGCTGGTCGTAGGATGGAGCCTTATTGGATTGGATGGTCAGGCTATTAGGGTGATTGTGTGACATCATACCCCAATGACTGCTGCTCACAATATTATTCACTGGATTGTCTTGTCCCGATGTGATTATTTACACTCCACCCCCATATAGCTGTAATATTACAGAGTGTGTGATAAACTAGCAAATATACACAATAATTTATTTGAAGTTAGTTTTGCATCACGTATATCGCTGTGAAAGGCAGGTTGTTCGTACCTCAAATTAGGGGGCTTTCAAGGGGGGTCATCTTATACAAAGGGTTGAAGAGTTTTGATGTTTTTCCCCTCACCACAGACATAACTGTGAGCACGTAACACTGGAAATACCATATCAACAATGACAATCCATTCTGCATGTCTCATTAGAATCAGCCAAAGGAAATAGTGCATGATAATGTCACAACTCAACTGAAAGCTCTTAATGCCTTCTAATTCTAAAGTAGCCATGCTTCCAAAATAGTAAAAGGTTATAATTGTTTGTCAACTTTGGTACGGGGTAGTATTTGGGAAGTCATTGATAATTCAAACACATGTCAAACCTAATGCAAGATCTACATTGGACTTTACAGAAGATGCATGTTTACAAGAAAACCCTCCAGGCCCTCATTTACCCCATCTCCAGTACAACACCGCACAACTTTGTTGTGTGGACTGCAACATCGCCGACATACTGTTTTGAGTGTGAAGGTCTGCTGTGGGGACTTGCACGCCAAGGGGTGAGGTGCACCGAGTGCGGGGTCAAATGTCACGAGAAATGCAAAGACTTGCTCAATGCTGACTGTCTGCAAAGTAAGTCCTTTTCATGTAAATCCTACCATACTCAGTGTTAGCTGTCAATGAAGTATGCCATCTCCCTGTAACCTCACAAAAACATACCATACTCAGTGTTATCTGTCAATGAAGTATGTCAACTCCCTGCAACCTCACAAAGACATACCATACTCAGTGTTAGCTGTCAATGAAGTATGCCCCTCCCTGTAACCTCACAAAGACATACCATACTCAGTGTTATCTGTCAATGAAGTATGCCATCTCCCTGTAACCTCACAAAGACATACCATACTCAATGTTAGCTGTCAATAAAGTATGTCAACTCCCTGCAACCTCACAAAGACATACCATACTCAGTGTTAGCTGTCAATGAAGTATGTCAACTCCCTGCAACCTCACAAAGACATACCATACTCAGTGTTAGCTGTCAATGAAGTATGCCATCTCCCTGTAACCTCACAAAGACATACCATGCTCAGTGTTAACTGTCAATGAAGTATGTCAACACCCTGCAACCTCACAAAGACATACCATACTCAGTGTTAGCTGTCAATGAAGTATGCCATCTCCCTGTAACCTCACAAAGACATACCATACTCAGTGTTAGCTGTCAATGAAGTATGTCAACTCCCTGCAACCTCACAAAGACATACCATACTCAGTGTTAGCTGTCAATGAAGTATGCCATCTCCCTGTAACCTCACAAAGACATACCATGCTCAGTGTTAACTGTCAATGAAGTATGTCAACACCCTGCAACCTCACAAAGACATACCATGCTCAGTGTAAGCTGTCAATGAAGTTTGTCAACTCCCTGCAACCTCACAAAGACTTGCTCAGTGTTAACTGTATTCGAACTGAGCCATCTGAACTGATTTATGGGCGGCCATTTGGTCAAAAAATACAAAGTTGAAATAAAGGACAAAAGTATACAATAATAGTCAAATGTTACTATACAGTATTAAATGTTACTAATAAAGGTCAAAATACAAAACAAACAGATGCCGGTAAAAAGATAAGAAGCTGAAATAATGGTCCAAAGTACGCAAAAATAGTCAAATGTTACAAAAAGACGTCATATGAAGACAAAGAAGAATGTGAACTAAAAAACGTCAGTGCGCACAAAAGGACACTATTAAAACTGCTAAAGGATGTTGACAATAAAGATCGCCAGATGGCGCTGCCATTTGTAAAACATTCCAAGTGTAATCAGCTTGTTCCGCTGTGTATATAATAACTGCATGCCGAGGTGCACAATGTATCGCATCATTTCTCGTGCACCCACAGTCTGACGTCACATGTATAATGTATAACATACACATTGTGTATATACATGGTGCATTTATGCATCGTCACCAGGAAAGGGTCTTTTTGCTTAGTGCAACACAAGGGTGTTGTGATGTCAAGTTATGTTTCAGACCCACATTTTCATAATATCTGTGAAAGTGAACGATGTGCGAGAATTGCTCACTTTTTCAACCTCATTTATTGCAAGATATTTTTCCTATTGAATTGTAAATTTTAGCACAGTACATCTATCAGTGTACGATGATAAGTGGCGACATTTGCTGTTTTTTACGCATATCAGACAACACTCAGTCGTGTCTCTTTTTCATATTGGTTTAATATTTGCATTTACCTTTACACCACACCATCAGACAGGAAAGTGAACATTTTACATCTCGGCGTAGTTAGAGATTGACACATCAAATCTCACACAACATTCACTTTTCAGATGTTATGAAAAAGACTTAATACATTGTGCACCTCGGCATGCAGTTATGATATACACAACGGAACAAGCTGATTAAAACTCGGAATGTTTTACATATTGCAGCGCCATCTGGCGTTATTTATGTCCATGTCCTTTGGTAGTGCAGTGTCATTTTGAGGGCACATTGTTCTTTCTTTTCATATGACCTCTTTTCATAACATTTGACTATTATGTTGTGTACTGACCTTTATTTCAACTTTGTATTTTTTAACTGGTGTCTCTTTCTTTTGATTTTCGACCTTTATTAGTAACAGTTAATACTTTATTCATAACATCTAACTATTATTGCATACTTTTGACCTTTATTTCAACTTTGTATTTTTTGGCCGAATGGTTGCCAATACTGGTTGATTCATGTAAAACAAAGAAACCAATGAGATATCTTCCTCACATTTGGTGCAAGTAAGTGAATGGGATGGTGTATGGGACTGCTGTACTGTCATCTTTCAGGGGCGGCTGAGAAGAGCTCCAAGCATGGAGCGGAGGACAAGACGCACAACATCATCATGGCTATGCGGGAACGGATGAAGATACGGGAGAAAAACAAGCCTGATATATTTGAGCTCATCAGGTAGCAATGTTTCCTGTTCCTTTAGATTTGACCATGTTTATTTAGTCCGAGGGAATAATAAAGTACGTAACCCCTGTGATAAACAGTCAGTTTTGTAGGAAGTACATGCCGTGTTTAATTGTCATTGTTCAATGATGTTATTGCAGGGCTCTAGTATGTTATTATATTGTTGAAGAATATTATAACATGACTTCAGGTATAGTATAAAATGACTCCAGTATGTTATAACATGGCTCAATATATTATCACATGTATCTGACTTCAGTAGTTTATAACATAACTTTAGTATGATGTTACATGGCTTGTGTATGTTATTAAACATGTTATTAATTGGCTTAGAGAAAATGCACGCATGTATGACACAATGTCCTAATCTTGTTTCACCATTATTAATATTGAGACAGATGGGTGCTGCAGCTTGGACAAATATATTGGATCAATCTAACTTATGTCCTATTGATATCATTTAATGTCGCCATTACATGTACTTCTAACGTCATACTGACAGAACATAAGCTTGCTGAGAGGCACCATAACAAACAATGCACTTGGACTTATTCAAACATGTATGTCTCTTGGAGTGAGATGGTGTTTGACCCCGAAATACACTACTGGTGGCGATAAATCTGATTGGTTGTTTGGAGATGCTGTGCAATTTGGGCTGGACCTGACGCATGTTTAGCTTCATTTCATGATAGACTAATTCAAATATTTATATACATTGTTGTCTTCCATCTTCGTTTTGGCAGAGCAGTGAAGCTTGTCTACAACAAAAATTAACTTCCTCCTATTCATTTTCTCAACACAAACACCAGCTGTTTAGACTATGCAATACCTGTTGCAATATTGTGATTTTCTTCCAAAACTTTGCACACATACATGCACGCTCCCGTGTATACTTTTGTTTCTTATTGCTTGAGTGAGTGAGTGAGTTGGGTTTAACGCCGCTGTTAACAGTATTCCAGTTATATCGCGGCATGTCAGCTTAATGTGGGAGGAAAGCCCGAAGTGATGCAGGTCTCAGACGTTTACCACTTCGCTAAAACCCACAAGCACGGGTATGGTGCTGACAAACCTAGAAACATAATCGGGGTGAACCGGGATTCGAACCCACAATCATAGGTTTCTGGCGTGCCCAAGGGACGCAACTCTGCACAGCAAATCGCGGCGCCTTAGACGACTGGGCCACCCGTGCCCCCTCTTACTGCTTAAAATATATTACTTGAGCTCATGCCTCAGTTCCATGCCTAAATCGCATCCATCATCTCCAAACATCAAGTCAGATTTAACCCCATCTGGACACTAGAATATCCCCATCAAATGTTTAGTAGTACAGAACTGCAGTAGCAACCCTTTACACAACTATGGCAACTATGGTAACCCCCCTGGAGCCCCCTTACAGTCCCCTTAACTAATGGGACCCATGAAGATCCGGGGTAGAATAGGTGTTCAGCAACCCATGCTTGCCTTAAAAGGCGACTATGCTTGTCGTAATAGGCAACTAACAGGATCGGTGGTCAGGCTCGCTGACTTGGTTGATGCATGTCATCGATCCCAATTGCGCGGATTGATGCTCATGATATCAATCACTGGATTGTCTGGTCCAGACCGCCGTCATATAGCTGGAATATTGCTGAGTGTGGCGTTACACAACAAACCAACCACCCAACGCTTAACTAATGAATCCGATACATGGTCATCAAGTCTGACACATGTGACAGTCCATGGAAGCATGGAGATGTAGGTTACACCATGTGAAACAAGGGAATAACTGTGTGTTATCCTATCCCCAGGCAAGTGTTCAGTGTAGATAAAAAGTCTCACTCTGGTCACATGAAAGCTGTCAAACAGAGTGTGCTTGATGGGACGTCCAAGTGGTCAGCCAAAATAGCTATAACTGGTGAGTGGAGTGGTGCTCTGGGCATGCTCACTGGCCACTTCCTGCACATGTCTGTGATAGAGGTAGATGTGTTGTAGCATGAGTGTTGTACCTTAGACTGTAGTTGCTGCACACATAGGTTCACTAATTTAACTCAGTTGTTGTGAATACAAATGTAATAGTGCCCATTGATGTCTGGCCAATCACAGACCAGCAAACTCAGGTGCCATCTTCATTAAGGGAGAGTATGTTGATGATTCTGTGTGTTTTTAAATCATGCATGAAGTTATTTCCAAGTGTGACGTCACATGCCCGATACAGTTTTCAAACCAAAACAATAGAGCTCTGCACAGTTGAGCTGAAACATGCAAGCACCGCGTAGAGTAAACTGGCTTCAGTCTTGTATTTTTAATGGAGGCAAATTGAGGAGAAAGCATGTGTACTTGTCTTACTGCCAAGTTACAAAATACTAATTGCCAGCTTGATATGATTAGAAGTGATAAGCGTACATCGTTGGTATGGTCACTCGAGCAGAAACGGAATCGAAGGCAAGCAGAGCTGAGAAAGTTTCGGGGGTTATTGACAAACAAAGCTTCTGTTGTCCTGTCCCTTTAAGCTTTCAGTGAGAACCATGAAGATTCCAGGGTAGAATATGTCTTCAGCAACCCTTGCTTGACATTAAAGGTGACTATACTTGTCGTAAAAGGCGACTAACGGGATCGGGGGGTCAGGCTCGCTGACTTCGTTGATGCATGTCATCCATCCCAATTGTGTGGATCGATGCTCATGATATTAATCACTGGATTGTCAGGTCCAGACTCGATTATTTACAGACCGCCATCATATAGCTGGAATATTGCTGAGTATGGCGTTAAACAACCAACCAACCAACCGACCTTTCAGTGATATATGGATATATTTAGATGACTTCTATGGCCAGACTTGTGATCGTGTGTATGTAGACATTGCCATGTGATCATGTCTTGTGGACATGTGGTTCTTGCATATGGGGGATCATGTTGTATCAAACCTAGGTACTTATCGTGATCACTGCTGGGGGATCATGTTGGATCAAACCTAGGTACTTATCGTGATCACTGCTGGGGGATCATGTTGGATCGTAGTTAGGTACTTATCATGATCACTGCTGGGGGATCATGTTGGATCGTAGAAAGGTACTTATCGTGATCACTGCTGGGGGATCATGTTGGATCGTAGTTAGGTACTTATCATGATCACTGCTGGGGGATCATGTTGGATCGTAGTAAGGTACTTATCGTGATCACTGCTGGGGGATCATGTTGGATCGTAGTTAGGTACTTATCGTGATCACTGCTGGGGGATCATGTTGGATCGTAGTAAGGTACTTATCGTGATCACTGCTGGGGGATCATGTTGGATCATAGTAAGGTACTTAGCGTGATCGCTGGGGGATTATGTTGGATCGTACCTTGGTACTTATCATGATCACTGCTGGGGGATCATGTTGGATCGTAGTAAGGTACTCTTCGAGATCACTGCTGGGGGATCATGTTGGATCGTACCTTGGTACTTATCATGATCACTGCTCGGGGATCATGTTGGATCGTACCAAGGTACTTATCGTGATCACTGCTCAGGGATTATGTTGGATCGTACCAAGATACTTACCGTGATCATTGCTGGGGGATACCTACATGGTATTGTAGCCCGTGGCTAATGGCCATGTATATGTGATGAGTGATCTTGACAGGTGCTTGGCCATATGGTGTAGTCATTACTTGCCTGCTATAGTCTTCACTTGCCTACTTCCAGCATGTTCATCTGAACAAAGTGCAGACATCTAGCCGGACCATGGTTTGTACTGCCCACTAGGGCCTGGTAAAGGGTTTTTCACTGAATTCTTTAACTTTTATCCAGGAAAGGGTTTACATTTTAAGATATTTCTTAGCCTCCCCAGACTAGAGAGTTATGTGAGTTCATAATATGGCTCATTGTCCATCTCTGTTATGGTTTATGGTTGGATCAGCTCTGACATCACCAGACTAAACTTTCCATGGATAATACAGACAAACGTATCCCTAAGACATGCTCCTAGAGCTCTGAGCTGAATAATAAGGCTGCCTTGTCCCAGAAAGATTATTCCTGTATCAACGTGTAATTTCATATTAAGTAATTATGCTGTTGTGTTTAAGAAGTTTCTTATGTCTTTCGCACATTTATTTTTTTGGTACCGACTTTTGAGCAATTACCTTCAAGTACTACCATCAGATGAAAAGGGATCTCCTCTTAAACCACTTGATTATGAAGCTGAAATCTTGTGTACATAAACCTTGCAATGATGGGCAGAGAAATCACAGAAACAGAAAAGGTTTTATAACTTGACCACTGTGTGAAAACAAATTAAAAAAATAAGCGGGTGATTTACATACAAGTTTGACATGTCACAACTCCTTTAAAACTTCCTCTGACACTGTAATAGGTAAGTCTTACTTTACACTCATACTGTGGCCTTATACCCAACCAATGTTATAACAACATTGAGTGCGTGAGTGAGTGAGTGCGTGCGTGCGGGCGTGCTTGCATGAGTGCTTGTGTGAGAACATGTGTGACTGTGTGTAATAGTGCCAACTGTGACAACCAGCCAGACACCAAACTAGTGGGTATCAGGTAAAGTTGTTGGATAAGATGTTTTTCTACTTGTTTGTTATATACATTTGAAGTTTTTTTGGAAGCACTTATTTCCATTTCAAATAATAACACTTTTCCGTGTCTGTAGTCCTCTATTGTTTCAGCATGCTTCTCTCCAGATGGAAGGGGCGATTTTAACATTTCACATTTTATATTTTGCATTTAGATTTTCAAATATTGTTCTGTTACCTTGTACTGTAGAATGTGCTGAGTCAGCAAACATCATCATAACCTGCAACTCTGAGCAAATCTTGCTGTTTTGCATCTTATAATGCATAGTTGTAAAATGACTTGACCCATACTCCAGTTCAAGTGTGTCAGTTCCTTGTGATAGTTGCTGATTCTTGGTGCGATGTTGTGTAATTGTGCCATTTGACCAGTGCTGCTTGTAGCATCCCAACATGACCACCCGACCCCATGTTGTAGTATTGTGTGTCAAGGGAGGTAACCACTCTCCGAATATATCTCCATAATACCAGTAGTGTGTCATGAAGCCATATATATCGATACTACACTATACACAACTATACAACGAGGACTTGTAAAGTTGTTTGAGAAATAATTGTAAAATGCTATTTTCTAGTGGTTGTTCTCCAGCCACTGTTTATTTAACTCCGATCTGTCAAGTTTTGGTTGTTTGTTTTTTTATTTGTATTGTTTGATGATTATGTTTTCTTAACATGGTAATCCTCAAGTTTCAATACATGGTATCATGTATTGTATGACAGACTTACTGTCAATATATGGATTGTATCACCACAAAAAGTATCATACATCTGTAGTGTAAACTAAAAGCTAATCTACTATACAAACTACGAAATTCACAAAATTCTCCAATTTCTCATCCTCATGAAGTGTATATTGTGTTACCAGTCTAGGAGCAGTGTTGTGTACGATGTTGTGTGTAACGCTGTGTGCACTGCTGTGTGCGATGTTGTGTGCGATGTTCTAGACAACTGTGTCATATTCCAGATCCTTGTTTGAAGTTGAATTGCCTCTGCATGTGGGCCACATGAAAGCTGCTAAACAGAACATACTTGATGGCACATCTAAGTGGTCCGCTAAAGTAGCTATCACAGGTAGACCAACCTACATCATATTAGACTACACACCAGCTCCAGCTGGTCAAGGATATCCGTGTCCCCTGATTGAAGTACTCATTGATACATCGCTTGCTTAGTTATATATGTAACCACTAGCTGTTAGTTAGAAGCTAGCATCGTAGTATGTTATCTGGCAGTTGTTAGCATTATAGTTTGTCGTACACAGCTTGTTAGCATCGTAGTATGTTGTTCAGCAGTTGTCAGCTTTGTAGTAAATTGTCCAGCACTTGTTAGCATTGTATCCAGCACCCTATTCACCATGGCAACACTGACTGTTTCTCTGCACACTGTATTGATGTTCTTTTTGTACATCTTCTGTCTGTCCTTGTTTATACATAACTAAAGAAACAGTAAGAAATATTGACAAATTGAATATTTTTCACTCCACACCATGTTCAGTAAGACAATGTCCAGCCTTTTGCCTTGTTCAGTAAGACAAAGGTTTACAATGTAACCTATTGAAATCATTGTTTGACAATAATAACTATTGTTAAAGATTGCGATGTATAATGAACTTTGTCCATGGTGTATATGTGATGACGAGGCCTGGCTGTTGCAGTGATATGTGCCCAGGGTCTGATTGGGAAGGACAAGACCGGCACCAGTGATCCCTATGTTACAGTGCAGGTTGGCAAAGTGAAAAAACGAACCAAAACAGTGCCTCAAGACCTGAATCCTGTGTGGAATGAAAAATTTTATTTGTGAGTTTTATTTGTGAATTTTAGCATCATCTGTTTTGTACATAATTCATGAAGATACTTCATAATGTTCATAAACATCAAAGGCAGAAAAAAAATCAGGCAATCTGGGCATTCTGATGGAAACAGAATGCCCAGGATTTCAAGGATCTTGACTACCCTCGAGGTTTATTAGCAATAGGATGACGTCACTGTAAGTTTAAAAGATGGGTAAAATGAGGCCACATGTGATAGATACTGTCCTGAGTTGAGTTGAGATCTATCCTGTCCTGTGTAGTCATGATTGATAGTATTCTGTCTTGATTACTAATGACCCATGTCTCTTTCAGTGAGTGCCATAATTCCTCTGACAGGATCAAGGTCCGTGTGTGGTAAGTTGATCTATGGTGATTTTTGTTATCTATAGACCAGACTTCATTGCTCCTTCTTGTAAGATGCCCCTCTGTTGTCCTCATTGCTTCTTCTTGTAAGATGCCCCTCTGTTGTCCCCATTGCTCCTCCTTGTAAGATGCCTCTCTGCTGTCCTCATTGCTTCTTCTTGTAAGATGCCCCTCTGTTGTCCCCATTGCTCCTTCTTGTAAGATGCTTCTCTGTTGTCCTCATTGCTCCTTCTTGTAAGATGCCTCTCTGTTGTCCCCATTGCCCCTTCTTGTAAGATGCCTATCTAATGTCCCCATTGCTCCTTCTTGTAAGATGCCTCTCTGTTGTCCTCATTGCTCCTTTCCTGTAAGATGCCTCTCTGTTGACCCCAAAGCTCCTTCTTGTAAGATGCCTCTCTCTTGTCCTTATTGCTCCTTCTTGTAAGATGCCACTCTGTTGTCCTCACTGCTCCTTCTTGTAAGATGCCTCTCTGTTGTCCCCATTGCTCCTTCTTGTAAGATGCCTCTCTGTTGTCCTTATTGCTCCTTCTTGTAAGATGCCTCTCTGCTGTCCTCATTGCTCCTTCTTGTAAGATGCTTCTCTGTTGTCCCCATTGCTCCTTCTTGTAAGATGCCTCTCTGTTGTCCCCATTGCTCCTTCTTGTAAGATGCTTCTCTGCTGTCCTCATTGCTCCTTCTTGTAAAATGCTTCTCTGTTGTCCCCATTGCTCCTCCTTGTAAGATGCCTCTCTGCTGTCCTCATTGCTTCTTCTTGTAAGATGCCTCTCTGTTGTCCCCATTGCTCCTTCTTGTAAGATGCCTATCTAATGTCCTCATTGCTCCTTCTTGTAAGATGCCTCTCTGCTGTCCCCATTGCTCCTTCTTGTAAGATGCCTATCTAATGTCCTCATTGCTCCTTCTTGTAAGATGCCTCTCTGTGGTCCCCATTGCTCCTTCTTGTAAGATGCCCCTCTGTTGTCCTCATTGCTCCTTCTTGTAAGATGTCTCTCTGTTGTCCCCATTGCTCCTTCTTGTAAGATGCCACTCTGTTGTCCTCACTGCTCCTTCTTGTAAGATGCCTCTCTGTTGTCCCCATTGCCCCTTCTTGTAAGATGCCTATCTAATGTCCCCATTGCTCCTTCTTGTAAGATGCCTCTCTGTTGTCCTCATTGCTCCTTTCCTGTAAGATGCCTCTCTGTTGACCCCATAGCTCCTTCTTGTAAGATGCCTCTCTCTTGTCCTTATTGCTCCTTCTTGTAAGATGCCACTCTGTTGTCCTCATTGCTCCTTCTTGTAAGATGCCTCTCTGTTGTCCTCATTGCTCCTTCTTGTAAGATGCCTCTCTGTTGTCCTTATTGCTCCTTCTTGTAAGATGCCTCTCTGCTGTCCTCATTGCTCCTTCTTGTAAGATGCCTCTCTGTTGTCCCCATTGCTCCTTCTTGTAAGATGCCTCTCTGTTGTCCCCATTGCTCCTTCTTGTAAGATGCTTCTCTGCTGTCCTCATTGCTCCTTCTTGTAAAATGCTTCTCTGTTGTCCCCATTGCTCCTCCTTGTAAGATGCCTCTCTGCTGTCCTCATTGCTTCTTCTTGTAAGATGCCTCTCTGTTGTCCCCATTGCTCCTTCTTGTAAGATGCCTATCTAATGTCCTCATTGCTCCTTCTTGTAAGATGCCTCTCTGCTGTCCCCATTGCTCCTTCTTGTAAGATGCCTATCTAATGTCCTCATTGCTCCTTCTTGTAAGATGCCTCTCTGCGGTCCCCATTGCTCCTTCTTGTAATATGCCCCTCTGTTGTCCTCATTGCTCCTTCTTGTAAGATGTCTCTCTGTTGTCCCCATTGCTCCTTCTTGTAAGATGCCACTCTGTTGTCCTCACTGCTCCTCCTTGTAAGATGCCTCTCTGCTGTCCCAATCGATCCTTCTTGTAAGATGCCACTCTGCTGTCCCCACTGCTCCTCCTTGTAGGATGCTGCTCTGCTGTCCCCATTGCTCCTTCTTGTAAGATGCCTCTCTGCTGTCCTCATTGCTCCTTCTTATAAGATGCTTCTCTGCTGTCCTCATTGCTCCTTCTTGTAAGATGCCTATCTAATGTCCTCATTGCTCCTTCTTGTAAGATGCCTCTCTGCTGTCCTCATTGCTTCTTCTTGTAAGATGCCTCTCTGTTGTCCTCATTGCTTCTTCTTGTAAGATACCCCTCTGTTCTCCCCATTGCTCCTTCTTGTAAGATGCCTCTCTGTTGTCCTGATCGCTCCTTCTTGTAAGATGCCTCTCTGCTATCCTCATTGCTCCTTCTTGTAAGATGCTTCTCTGTTGTCCCCATTGCTCCTTCTTGTAAGATGCCTCACTGTTGTCCTCATGCTCCTTCTTGTAAGATGCTTCTCTGCTGTCCTCATTGCTCCTTCTTGTAAGATGCCTATCTAATGTCCTCATTGCTCCTTCTTGTAAGATGCCTCTCTGCTGTCCTCATTGCTTCTTCTTGTAAGATGCCTCTCTGTTGTCCTCATTGCTCCTTCTTGTAAGATGCCTATCTAATGTCCTCATTGCTCCTTCTTTTTAGATGCTTCTCTGTTGTCCCCATTGCTCCTCCTTGTAAGATGCCTCTCTGTTGTCCTCATGCTCCTTCTTGTAAGATGCCACTCTGTTGTCCCAAATGCTCCTTCTTGTAAGATGCCACTCTGTTGTCCCCATTGCTCCTTCTTGTAAGATGCCACTCTGTTGTCCTCATGCTCCTTCTTGTAAGATGCTTCTCTGTTGTCCTCATGCTCCTTGTAAGATGCCTCTCTGTTGTCCTGATGCTCCTTCTTGTAAGATGCTTCTCTGTTGTCCCCATTGCTCCTTCTTGTAAGATGCCACTCTGTTGTCCCCATTGCTTCTACTTGTAAGATGCCTATCTAATGTCCTCATTGCTCCTTCTTTTTAGATGCTTCTCTGTTGTCCCCATTGCTCCTTCTTGTAAGATGCCTCTCTGTTGTCCTGATGCTCCTTCTTGTAAGATGCTTCTCTGTTGTCCTCATGCTCCTTCTTGTAAGATGCCTCTCTGTTCTCCTCATGCTCCTTCTTGTAAGATGCCTCTCTGTTGTCCTCATGCTCCTTCTTGTAAGATGCTTCTCTGTTGTCCTGATGCTCCTTCTTGTAAGATGCTTCTCTGTTGTCCTCATGCTCCTTCTTGTAAGATGCCTCTCTGTTGTCCTCATGCTCCTTCTTGTAAGATGCTTCTCTGTTGTCCCCATTGCTCCTTCTTGTAAGATGCCTCTGTTGTCCTTATGATCCTTCTTGTAAGATGCCTCTCTGTTGTCCTCATTGCTCCTTCTTGTAAGATGCCACTCTGTTGTCCCCATTGCTCCTTCTTGTAAGATGCCACTCTGTTGTCCCCATTGCTCCTTCTTGTAAGATGCCACTCTGTTGTCCTCATTGCTCCTTTCCTGTAAGATGCCTCTCTGCTGTCCTCATTGCTCCTTCTTGTAAGATGCCTCTCTGCTGTCCTCATTGCTCCTTCTTGTAAGATGCCTCTCTGCTGTCCTCATTGCTTCTTCTTGTAAGATGCCTCTCTGTTCTCCTGATGCTCCTTCTTGTAAGATGCCACTCTGTTGTCCTCATTGCTCCTTTCCTGTAAGATGCCACTCTGTTTTCCCCATTGCTCCTTCTTGTAAGATGCCACTCTGTTGTCCTCATTGCTCCTTTCCTGTAAGATGCCTCTCTGTTGTCCCCATTGCTCCTTCTTGTAAGATGCCACACTGTTGTCCCCATTGCTCCTTCTTGTAAGATGCCTCTCTGTTGTCCTCATTGCTCCTTCTTGTAAGATGCCACTCTGTTGTCCTCATTGCTCCTTCTTGTAAGATGCCCCCCTCTTTTCCTCATTGCTCCTTCTTGTAAGATGCCCCCCTCTTTTTCTCATTGCTCCTTCTTGTAAGATGCCTCTCTGCTGTCCTCATTGCTCCTTCTTGTAAGATGCCTCTCTGCTGTCACCATTGCTCCTTCTTGTTAGATGCCTCTCCGTTGTCCTCATTGCTCCTTCTTGTAAGATGCCCCTCTGTTGTCCTCATTGCTCCTTCTTGTAAGATGCTTCTCTGTTGTCATTTTTACTCCTTCTTGTAAGATGCGTCTCTGCTGTCCCAATTGCTCCTTGTAAAATGCGTCTCTTTTGTTCCCAGGGATGAAGACAATGACCTCAAGTCCAAGTTACGCCAGAAATTGACACGAGAATCTGATGATTTCTTGGGCCAGACTATTATTGAGGTGCGAACTCTGAGTGGCGAGATGGACGTCTGGTACAACTTGGGTAAGTATTCTCCGTTTCTGTAGATCAGACAGACAGAAAGACAGATAGACAGACAGACAGACAGATCCATGTGGTGGGTGGCAGTTGAAGGTTCTCAACAACACATGCATCATCGTTACTTCTTTGTGTTACAGAAAAGCGGACTGACAAATCCGCAGTATCTGGTGCTATCCGTCTCCACATAAGTGTGGAGATCAAGGGCGAAGAGAAGGTTGCCCCCTACCATGTGCAATACACCTGCCTTCATGAGGTGAGTTATAATACACCTGCCTCCAGTAGGTGAGTTACAGTACACCTGCCTTATAAGGTGCAATACAATACACCTGCCTCCCCGAGGTGAGTTATAATACACCTGCCTTCATTAGGTGAGTTATAATACACCTGCCTTCATGAGGTGAGTTATAATACACCTGCCTTCATGAGGTGAGTTATAATACACCTGCCTCCCCGAGGTGAGTTATAATACACCTGCCTCCCCGAGGTGAGTTATGATACACCTGCCTCCCCGAGGTGAGTTATAATACATCTGACTCCAATAGGTGAGTTACACCTGCCTTTCGAGGTGCAATACAATACACCTGCCTCCACGAGGTGAGTTATAATACACCTGCCTTCATGAAGTGAGTTATAATACTCGTACACCAGCCTTCACTTGATGAGTACATATTTGTCATAAAATGAATGCACTTTTCCCACCAACACACTGGTCAAAACTGCCACAAGTTTTACATTAGCCGTCATGTGGAACTCACCCGTGTTTTGTTTATTTCAGAACCTCTTCCACTACCTTTGTGAGCAAGCCGAGGGTGAGGTGAAGTTGCCAGATGCTAAAGGGGTAAGCTATGTGTCAGGTGTCTGTCAGTGAAACCGGTTTGCCCTCTTTATGTTTAATAATGAGCAACACTACTGAAAGTTTTGAAACGATTGTGTTATTCCTGATTGTGTTATTCCTGATTGTGTAATGCCGTTATTCCTGATTGTTATTCCACATGGTGTAATTCCTGGTTGTGTTATTTCTGATTGTGTTATTCCTGATGGTGCAATTCCTGATTGTGTTATTCCTGATGGTGCAATTCCTGGTTGTGTTATTCCTGAGTGTGTAAGTCCTGGATGTGTTATTTCTGATTGTGTTATTCCAGATGGGGTAATTCCTGGTTGTGTTATTCCTGATTGTGTTATTCCTGATGGTGCAATTCCTGGTTGTGTTATTCCTGAGTGTGTAATTCTGTTATTCCTGATTGTTATTCCTCTGTGTAATTCCTGGTTGTGTAATTCCTGATTCTGTTATTCCTGATTGTGTTATTTCCTGATTGTGTTATTTCCTGATTGCAGCAAGATGACGCGTGGAAAGTGTACTTTGATGAGCCAGCCCAGGAAATTGTGGATGAGTTTGCCATGAGATATGGCATTGAGTCCATCTACCAGGCCATGACGTGAGTGATCAGCAGTCTTGCTCTTCTTTAATGAATACTAGACTAAGGGTACAGCTAACACCAGATCATTGTTGAGAAGGAGACTTGGAGGATTTATCAATAACAAAGTAAATATATTTTTTAATGAAAGAAAAAGAATGGTACTACATCAATGGTTTATGAATCACTATCAAATATAGATGAATCAAGGTGTTTGCGAAAAGGTGAGCATATATACTGCCCCACTGGTGGCACCTGTCCCAAACACATGCAAAGGCAGGTCAATTGTTCATCTGGAAAAAAAACAGGAAGATATGGTACATGTCAAAATAGGGCATTGCATCAGACATTATTTTTGGTCACTGTTGCGTCAAATTTGGATGGTCCTCCATATGGTTACTACTTACTGTCCGCTTATCTATCTACAGTCACTTCTCCTGCCTGGCAACAAAGTACATGTGTCCCGGCGTGCCTGCAGTCATGAGCACGCTCCTTGCAAACATCAACGCCTTCTATGCACACACAACGGCAACAACAGCTGTCTCAGCCAGTGACCGCTTCGCTGCATCCAACTTTGGGGTAGGTGGATTTGATTTGGATAGATGACACTGTTGAGTTTGTCTGAATGTGTGAACACAATAAATGAATGCTGACTAGCAAGGTTTTGAACTTGGCATGCAGGATCTTTAGAAGGATCTAAATTAGAGGTTGGGGCTTATTTCTGTCTTTGGTAACATTGTGAAACATTGTGCATACCTGAGAAATATGTCAGCTGAAAAGGTGTTTTAGAACATTTGATTATCCTCACTACAAGATTTCACACAGCTGGACGGGAGTTCAACTGAGCTAAATAGATATCACTTTATTAGTAACTCTTATGGATTAAGCCATGGCTTAAAATTATTTCCACCAAAGATCAAGGACACTGTTATTAACTGAAGCTAGGTCAATTTCAGTTAATGAGGTTACAAGGGATCATCCATATTGATGAATGATTACTATCATCATCAGTCACTGTTTCTAATTCCCACTTGTATCTACTCCATTAATGGTTTTTGTAGTGCTATGAATATGCATTTGTGGTGGTCATGACACACAACAAATTTCCATTACCATTGATTTATATTCCTGTCTTTAAGGTCAGGTGGGGGTTACAAAGGATAATTATTGTGACATGTATGTGGTGTTTTAAGGAAAGCTTGATCCATGATTGTATGTTATTGTGCTAATTGGGAACTATATAAACGAACTAGTGTGTGCACTCGGTGATGTACTGAATTAACAGTTTTTTGTTATTATTTTTTCAGAAAGAAAAGTTTGTCAAGTTGCTGGACCAACTGCACAATTCTCTCCGGATTGACTTGTCAATGTACAGAGTGAGTTTTCTATCTAACGTGTCTATGGTATAACACAAGTCCTGATGCCATCCAAAGCAAAATGTTTTGTCCCTTGGGCATGCTGTGAGTAAACTGGTAAATGTCTAAGACCTGCATCACTTCAGGCATTATTCCCACATCAAGCTGTATCAATCTGTTAGCTTTGACCTTTTGCAGAAGGTTAACAGATGCATCTTTCTATAAGTCAACAGTTTCTTATCTATTTCTGGTGTTTTCAGAACAATTTCCCGGCATCTGACCCAGCCCGCCTGCAGGATCTCAAATCCACTGTTGACCTGCTCACCAGCATCACCTTCTTCAGAATGAAGGTAAATTTTCCAATTATGTTCTTCTTTTCTATATTGACAAGACTTTTGTCCAACCACGTGGATGACCAACTTACATGCTTGTCTACACCCATGTCTTCCCCACCACATCAGGACCAACCCATGTTTTCCCCACCACATCAGGACCAACCCATGTCCACCACATCAGGACCAACCCATTGTTCTCCACATCAGGACCAACCCAGGTCTTCCCACCACATCAGGACCAACCCATGTCTTCCCCACCACATCAGGAGCAACCCATGTTTTCCCCACCACATCAGGATCAACCTATGTCTTCCCCACCACATCAGGAGCAACCCATGTCTTCCCCACCACATCAGGACCAACCCATGTCTTCCCCACCACATCAGGGCCAACCCATGTCTTCCCCACCACATCAGGACCAACCCAGGTCTTCCCCACCACATCAGGACCAACCCATGTCTTCCCCACCACATCAGGACCAACCCATGTCTTCCCCACCACATCAGGACCAACCCATGTCTTCCCCACCACATCAGGAGCAACCCATGTCTTCCCCACCACATCAGGACCAACCCATGTCTTCCCCACCACATCAGGACCAACCCATGTCTTCCCCACCACATCAGGACCAACCCATGTCTTCCCCACCACATCAGGACCAACCCATGTCTTCCCCACCACATCAGGATCAACCTATGTCTTCCCCACCACATCAGGACCAACCCATGTCTTCCCCATCACATCGGGACCAACCCATGTCTTCCCCACCACATCTGGACCAACCCATGTCTTCCCCACCACATCAGGACCAACCCATGTCTTCCCCACCACATCAGGACCAACCCATGTTTTCCCCACCACATCAGGACCAACCCATGTCTTCCCCACCACATCAGGACCAACCCATGTCTTCCCCACCACACCAGGGCCAACCCATGTCTTCCCCACCACATCAGGACCAACCCATGTCTTCCCCACCACATCTAGACCAACCCAGGTCTTCCCCACCACATCTGGACCAACCCAGGTCTTCCCAACCCCATCAGGACCAACCCAGGTCTTTCCCACTACATCAGGACCAACCCATGTCTGTTCCCACTTCATTTGGACCAATCCATGTCTGTTCCCACTTCATTAGGACCAACCCATGTCTGTTCCCACTTCATTAGGACCAACCCATGTCTGGTCCCACTTCATTAGGACCAACCCATGTCTGTTCCCACTTCATTATGACCAACCCATGTCTGTTCCCACTTCATTAGGACCAACCCATGTCTGTTCCCACTTCATTAGGACCAACCCATGTCTGTTCCCACTTCATTAGGACCAACCCATGTGCCCCACATCAGGACCATCTGTCCATATACAGACATGTGACAGGCAGCATCTTATAACCCTCTGTGGACTGCAATGTTTTGTAGGTGCAAGAGCTGGCAAGTCCTCCCCGCGCCAGCACTGTTGTGAAGGACTGCGTCATCGCATGCATCAAATCCACGTACAAGTTTCTATTTGACAACTGCTATGAGCTGTACAACCGAGAATTCCAGACTGACCCATCAGAGTTACCGAACCCGGACTTTGAGGGCCCAAGTAGTCGAAGCCTGGACTTCTGGCACAAACTCATTGCCCTCATTGTGTCTGTCATAGAGGAGGACCGCAACAGCTATACTTCCGTGTTGAACCAGTAAGTTTGCTCTAACACACATTATGTACGAATATCACACACACATACACACACACACACATCACACAGACACACACATCACTCATGCACGCACACACGCATGCACACACATGCAGACATGTCACACACACACACACACACACACACACACACACACACACATATCACACAGACACACACATCATGCATGCACGCACAAACGCATGCACACACATGCAGACATGTCACACACACACACACACACACACACACATGCAGATATGTCACACACACACACACACACACACAGACACATGAAACTCACACATAGACACACATCATGAAAATCCCAGTTAAAGTTAGTCTTCAGCAACCCATGCTTGCCGTAATTGGCGACTTTGCTTGTCGTAAGAGGCGACTAATGGTATCGGGTGGTCAGGCTTGCTGACTTGGTGATGCATGTCATCGTATCCCAATTGCGTGTATTGATCACTGGATCACTAGATTGTCTGTGATCCAGACTTGATTATTTACAGGCCGCCGTCATATAGCTGAATGCAGCGTTAAACAACATGAAACAGACAAACATCATAAAGACACAAATCACACACACACACACACACACACACACACACACACACACACACCATGCAGACATGTCACACACATAGACACACATCATGAAGACACACACATATCACACACAACATGAAGACATATCACACACAACATGTAGACCACATCACACACAACATGCAGACATGTCACACACATTTTTAAGGTAGATTACACTACTTTGTCTCAGTGTATTTTCTTCAAATGAAAAGGAACTTTATTGTTGTGTTTCAGGTTTCCTCAAGAGTTGAACATTGGCCAAGTTAGTGCTGCCATGCTGTGGGACCTCTTCTCTAAAGACCTGTGCTTTGCCCTGGAAGGTAGGACGAGGCTCACTGTTGCCGTGGCTGTTACAGGGTATTGTAGGTCTTCTCCAGGCAACAATAGAGGAAGTGAGGAGCCATACTGGAGGCACCTATATAATAGATAGGGAACAGTAGAGCAAGATAACAGCACTTGTAGATGGGGAACAGTAGAGCCAGTAAACAGCACCTGTAGATGGGGAACAGTAGAGCCAGTAAACAGCACCTGTAGATGGGGAACAGTAGAGCTAGTAAACAGCACCTGTAGATAAGGGAACAGTAGAGCAAGATAACAGCACCTGTAGATGGGGAACAGTAGAGCCAGTTAACAGCACCTGTAGATGGGGAACAGTAGAGCAAGATAACAGCACTTGTAGATGGGGAACAGTAGAGCCAGTTAACAGCACCTGTAGATGGGGAACAGTAGAGCAAGATAACAGCACCTGTAGATGGGGAACAGTAGAGCCAGTTAACAGCACCTGTAGATGGGGAACAGTAGAGCCAGTAAACAGCACCTGTAGATGGGGAACAGTAGAGCCAGTAAACAGCACCTGTAGATGGGGAACAGTAGAGCCAGTAAACAGCACTTGTAGATGGGGAACAGTAGAGCTTGTAAACAGCACCTGTAGATGGGGAACAGTAGAGCTAGTAAACAGCACCTGTAGATGGGGAACAGTAGAGCTAGTAAACAGCACCTGTAGATGGGGAACAGTAGAGCAAGATAACAGCACCTGTAGATGGGGAACAGTAGAGCAAGATAACAGCACCTGTAGATGGGGAACAGTAGAGCCAGTTAACAGCACCTGTAGATGGGGAACAGTAGAGCAAGATAACAGCACTTGTAGATGGGGAACAGTAGAGCTAGTAAACAGCACCTGTAGATGGGGAACAGTAGAGCAAGATAACAGCACCTGTAGATGGGGAACAGTAGAGCTAGTAAACAGCACCTGTAGATGGGGAACAGTAGAGCCAGTTAACAGCACCTGTAGATGGGGAACAGTAGAGCTAGTAAACAGCACCTGTAGATGGGGAACAGTAGAGCTTGTGAACAGCACCTGTAGATGGGGAACAGTAGAGCTTGTGAACAGCACCTGTAGATGGGGAACAGTAGAGCTAGTAAACAGCACCTGTAGATGGGGAACAGTAGAGCTAGTAAACAGCACCTGTAGATGGGGAACAGTAGAGCTAGTAAACAGCACCTGTAGATGGGGAACAGTAGAGCCAGTAAACAGCACCTGTAGATGGGGAACAGTAGAGCTAGTAAACAGCACCTGTAGATGGGGAACAGTAGAGCTTGTGAACAGCACCTGTAGATGGGGAACAGTAGAGCTTGTAAATAGCACCTGTAGATGGGGAACAGTAGAGCTAGTAAACAGCACTTGTAGATGGGGAACAGTAGAGCTAGTAAACAGCACTTGTAGATGGGGAACAGTAGAGCTAGTAAACAGCACCTGTAGATGGGGAACAGTAGAGCTTGTAAACAGCACCTGTAGATGGGGAACAGTAAAGCTAGTAAACAGCACCTGTAGATGGGGAACAGTAAAGCTAGTAAACAGCACCTGTAGATGGGGAACAGTAGAGCTTGTAAACAGCACTTGTAGATGGGGAACAGTAGAGCTTGTAAACAGCACCTGTAGATGGGGAACAGTAGAGCTAGTAAACAGCACCTGTAGATGGGGAACAGTAGAGCTAGTAAATAGCATCTGTAGATGGGGAACAGTAGAGCTTGTGAACAGCACATGTAGATGATATTCCTGCTCTTTCTTCAGATCATGAGAAGGAGCCGATCTGCAAAAGTTCGGAGTACATGAACCTACACTTCCGGGTCAAGTGGCTGTACAGCAAATACATCGCTGAAGTGCCTCAGTGCAAAGGCACTGTCCCACAGTACCCTCAGTAAGTACACCCGGTACCTCCCCACACTATCCTCAGTAAGTACACCCGGTACCTCCCCACAGTATCCTCAGTGAGTACACCCAGTACCTCCCTCAGTACCCTCAGGGAGTACACCCGGTACCTCCCCACAGTACCCTCAGTAAGTACACCCGGTACCTCCCCACAGCACCCTTAGTAAGTACACCCGGTACCTCCCCACACTATCCTCAGTAAGTACACCCAGTACCTCCCCACAGTACCCTCCTTAAGTACACCCGGTACCTCCCCACAGTACCCTCCGTAAGTACACCAAGTAGCTCCCCACACTATCCTCAGTAAGTACACCCGGTACCTCCCAACAGTACCCTCAGTAAGTACACCCGGTACCTCCCAACAGTAAGTACACCCAGTACCTCCCCACAGTACCCTCCTTAAGTACACCCGGTACCTCCCCACAGTACACTCCGTAAGTACACCAAGTACCTCCCCACAGTACCCTCCTTAAGTACACCCAGTACCTCCCCACAGTACCCTCTGTAAGTACACCAAGTACCACCCCACAGTACCCTCAGTAAGTACACCCGGTACCTCCCCACAGTACCCTCAGTAAGTACACCAAGTACCTCCCCACAGTACCCTCCTTAAGTACACCCAGTACCTCCCCACAGTACCCTCCGTAAGTACACCAAGTACCTCCCCACAGTACCCTCCGTAAGTACACCAAGTACCTCCCCACAGTACCCTCCTTAAGTACACCCAGTACCTCCCCACAGTACCCACAGTAAGTACACCAAGTAGCTCCCCACAGTACCTCCCCACAGTACCCTCCTTAAGTACACACAGTACCCTACGAAGTACACCAAGTACCTCCCCACAGTACCTCCCCACAGTACCCTCCTTAAGTACACCCAGTACCTCCCCACAGTACCCTCAGTAAGTACACCCAGTTCATCCCTCAGTACACCTGGTACAGTACTGAAGTATTTTCAATTAATACACCCAGCATACAACCAATGTATATCCAGTATATCCCCACATTATGGAGAATGTTATTGAGATATGGTGACTGTTATTGAGATATGGTGACTGTTATTGAGAAATGGTGACTGTTATTGAGAAATGCTTGGTGACTCATGGAGAGATGGTGACTTGTTGCAGATGGTTTGAACCTTTCGTCATGCAGTGGCTCAACGAAAATGATGACGTTTCAATGGAGTATCTTCATGGTGCCTATGATCGGGACAAGAAAGATGGTGTAAGCTGAACTTATGACTGCCATATTTACATATCCTCACATTGGTATAGGGGTCAACATCTGGCTGTATAATCAATGGCAATTAAGTGACTGCAGAGTTACAAGTACTTACATTCTCAAATTAAGATGGCATGGCTACAGGGTAACCTTATAAAACAAGTATTACATTTGACAACTTTGTCATGAATTGGATGCCATGGTAAACCAAGCACAACCAACACTACATTATTCTAAGAGATAAACTTGAACATATACTACTCAAAAGACATTAAGGAACGCTCGATTCTTTTATGACCATGATAGATTAATTATAGTAATATGAAAGAATCAGATGTTCTTTCACTTCTTTTGAGTAGTATATTATCCAAACTGGAGGGGTGGTCAGGTAGCCTGGTGGTTAAAGCGTTCGCTCGTCACGCCGAAGACCCAGGTTCGATTCCTGACATGGGTACAATGTGTGATGCCCATTTCAGGTGTCCCCCGCCGTGATATTGCTGGAATATTGCTAAAAGCGGCGTAAAACCATACTCACTCACTGACTCACCCATACTGGAGCATGAATATTAGAAGTCTTAGTGAGATAAACAGTTGTTTTGTTTCATGCTGATAATCCATTGTTCATGATGTTACTGGCGATATGTGACAGCATCTACAGTTTTATTCAGGTGATTTCTCCTTTGTGATCCCAAGATTTGAAAATTTGAGATTTGAAAATTTGAAATTAGAAAAAGTCTCATTCATCAGGCGCGGTGGGGTAGCCTGGTGGTTAAACCGTTTGCCCGTCACGCTGAAGGCCCGGGTTCAATTCCCCACATGGGTACTATGTGTTAAGCCCATTTGTGGTGTCCCCCACCGTGATATTGCTGGAATATTGCTAAAGGTGGTGTAAAATCCAACTCAATCACACTGACTCTCATTCACCAGATAGTTCATTGATAACTGCTGTCTGCTGCATCTTGTTCAGTCATTCCATCTGTTCTACAGTTCCAAAAGAGTTCGGAGCATGCACTGTTTTCCACGTCGGTGGTGGATGTGTTCACACAGCTCAATCAGTGTTTTGATGTCATCAAGAAGCTTGAGTGCCCTGATCCAGAAATTGTCAAGAACTACATGCGACGCTTTGCCAAGGTAGGCAGATCATTTCTGTTGTGCATTGTAAACTGATGCCCAAGTAGGGCTTATAGAAGAGGTAATTTAGAGCATTGATGGCAGTACCCAGACAGGGGTAGTAGCTGAACACTCACCCAACGTTTATTTATAGCTAATTAGGTAAACTGCTAATACCCAAAATTAACAGGCAAGCATAATTCTCTTTCCACATAGGCCATAGAACTCTATCGGCAATCTGTCCAGGGACACCCTTCCAACATGATTGCCACGTTGTCTTACATTATCACTAAGCAATGTTGTTATAGGTTTTGAGCTAGTGTATTCCACATGACTCATTTTAAACAAATGTTGGTGTATGATAGGACTTGGTTTGAATGTAATAGCATTCCACAAAAGACAATGACTCGGGAAATCTAGTACTATTTAAGCAATGTCCAGATACAACCTCGATGAAAAAAAAGTGGTAAGGGAGTACTTGGACATTTCTTTTTAAATAATCAATAAATGATTTTCTTTACATTGCAGATTTTTTTTTCATTGCACATAATGATATTTAAAATAATATCACTTGAGGCATGATTTATGAAATAAGATGGAAATGAAATTTATATTTGCATATATATCGTTGCAATAATTCTATTTAGATGTGTACATACGACAGCTACATTAAGCTAAATGTCTGAAATATAACCATTTATGATAAGACATTTTAATAATGAAGTGTATGTTTCAATGTCTCCTTTCTCAACTGTTTTCATGTATTTAGCAATTTAAAAATACAAAGCACGTTAATTGTCCGACTACTGCTGAACGTGTCGGGGTAGTACTGAACCTGTCGTCAAGCTAATAGTATCCAGGTTCAGACTGAGCAAGACGTTCTCTACGTGATGGTCAATTTTGAAACCCCCAACAATTGTCTACCTTGGTATCAGCAATTGCCCCATTACAGTCGGACAATAAGTTAGTGAGTTGTATTGCGATTATTATGTGTCCATGAACTGTTGCCACCTCTATATTTGATGATTTACTAAGTCTGATCTGATCTGGTATCTTGTAAAACCGACCGCCTCTGTGGTCCAGTGGTAGAGCGTCCGCCCGGAGAGAGGAAGGTACAGGGTTCGATCCCCGGCCGTATCATACCAAAAGACGTTAAAAGATGGTACTTGTTGTTACCCTGTCTGGCGCTCGGCATTAAGGGGCTAAAACAAGGACTTGTCGGCTCGGAGTCAGTATACTGTGTCTGAGTGGGGTATTCATGTTAAACTGCGGCATGGTTTCTCAGTGAGCTAGCACTATAAATTGGCATCAGTCCGGACTAGTACAAGCAGCCACACACACACACACACACACACACACACACACACACACACACACGTGCATGCACGTCGCTATATAAGTGCAATAATCTTGGACGCAACGTTAAACCCAATTTCACCTCAACTCTTGTAAAACCTGTAACAAGTGTCCAATCTCTGATCTCATCTGGTGACACCTGTACCAACTGTCCCTTCCTTGACTCTACTACATAGAGAAGGCAATAGCTGTCATAGATTTCAAACACAGGTAGATAGATGTACAAACCTTCATTTGATATTTTTTCAGACTGTGAATAAAGTCCTTCTAGCCTATGCAGACATTGTGAGGAGGGACTTTGAGAAGTACACAAACCGGCAGAAAGTGGTATGTACTCAAGAACAATTGTGTCGATGGACAGAAAGTGTGTTATATTTTATGCATAATCTTAAACCTTTCCTACAATTTGTTCCTGTTTTTACCTTGTGGAGATTCTCAGATAGATTGCTACCCCCAGAAATGTCCAGCAATGGTAGAGTGGTTATGCTGCTGATTGTTATATCTGAGAGCATGTGTGTCCCCCCAGGCCTGCATCCTGATGAACAACATCCAGCAGTTGCGGGTACAGCTGGAGAAAGTGTTTGAGTCCATGGGCGGGGAGAAACTGGATCCTGAGGCTGGCGGCATCTTGAAGGAGCTCCAGCAGAAACTCAACAGCGTCCTGGACGACCTCAGCAGCATATTTGCCAAGAGGTGGGTGATTATGGTTGACATTGTCTCTCATATAAATAAAGCCTTCATCAAACTTCAGAGGTAATCAAGTGTCAGGAACATAAGGTAGCCATCAAGATCTCATGTCATAAAGGCCTTGGCTGTAGGCATTGTGTAACAATATAGAGCACTACAATGTTTGTTTGAATAAATTGTTGTCTGTTTTGCAAGATGTCGTACTGCTGACTTTGACCAAAAGGATTCCATTGTATTAAGGTCATGTGATAATTTAGGTCTCCCAGCCTTTAAGTATGAATCAAATACCTTGTTTAGAAAAGGTAAGAAAAGAAACAGCAAATAGTCAGACAATATTTTTGACCACTAGTTCCCACAGACATAAGTGAGTGTGTATTTCCTTCAGTCTGGAGCCTAGATGCAACAGAGCATGATTGTGCCAATTATGTGTGTGTATTTCCTCCAGTCTGGAGGCTAGGATCCAGCAGAGCATGACTGAGACAATAGTGTGTGTGTATTTCCTCCAGTTTGGAGCCTCATATCCAGCAGAACATGATTGAGCCAATTTTGTATGTGTATTTCCTCCAGTCTGGAGCCTCAGATCCAGCAGAGCATGATTGAGCTGGGCCAGCTGCTGTCCAAGGTGAAGGGAGCAGGGCAGGTGTCGTTGTCCCAGCCCAGCCAAAGGACCAGCATCCAGCAGGAGTCAGACGCAGTCCTCCGACCTCTCATGGACCTCCTTGACGGAAGGTGAGATACACATGCTCATCTGTGTACATATCAGGGTTCTCAAACCCCTGCAATAATTTTTTTATTAAATTGAATTTGAATAGAATATGAAGTCATATATTCATTTTTACAGTTTTACATGTCATGATATCGGTATAAGTAACGCATGTATAAGTGCTCTTGCTCATTTAAGAACTGTAGAACTAAACTTCCAGTCTGTCCAACAGTTACTCCCTGAGTTGATGGTTCCACAACCGTCCTTGCTGACTATGTTCATTGTAAGGGTTGGTCGGATGCTGTGTCTTTACTGAGACATTTTCAACTATATATGGGTCGGTCGGGTAGCCTAGTGGTGAAAGCGTTCGCTCGTCATGCCGAAGACCCGGGTTCGATTCCCGACATGGGTACATTGTGTGAAGCCAATTTCTGGTGTCCCCCGCCATGATATTGCTGGAATATTGCTAAAAGCGGCTTAAAACCGTACTCACTCACTCACTCAACTATATATGCTAATGGAAGGACATGGTTACATTAAAGTTTACATGCAGTCTGGTTCTTCCTTTCTGATGATATTTGGCTAGATGTGTTAACAGCATGACTTAGCATGACCAGGCAATTTCCAAAATGATAAACAACTTTTGGTAATCCCAAGGAAAATGGGTATAGTGAGACCAAGGTTCAGGGTAGTTCAGGGATTTGACCCTTTGTCAGTGGTTCCTAGCATTGCTATGGGCTACACAGTGAATGGTGCCTCAGACCACTGGAACACTGGTGCCTCCTGTCATCGAAACACACCCAATAACACTTAGCTGTAGTGAAAACCATGGCAACTGTAAACATCTACATTTCAGTTCTATCACAACTAGAGTAACCAGGAGAAACTTGGGTGAATCAGGAATAGTAATGACTATATATTAGTGGTGGGACGACACACTGATGCATCTTCTCTACAAGTATCGATCACAGTCGCACACTAAGTAAAAAATATCAATTAGTACCTTAAATGTGTACTTTAATGGCTGTTACACCAAGCACTAAGTAGTAGTGAAAATTAGTAGTGAAAACGTAAATATGTTCATCCATTGTGCCATACTTGACACTGCCAACTGTAAATTGCTAGTGTGCCAGGTATTTGGCCTTCCTGTCTATGAAAAAGATGGCTTACGCACTACAGGTAAGAGCACATGCAAGTATCATGATACGTATCAGATAGTGAACAAGGAAATGTGATACGTATCGGATCGTGAACTAGGAAACGTGATACGTATTTGATCGTGAGCAAGGTATCGTGATATGTATCGGATCTCACAGTTGGTGTATCGTCCCAGCCCTACTATATATAGGCATGTTTGGGGTAATGTTTGAAGTAGGAGTCACAGGTGACTGAACTTCCCAGTGGGGAGCACGAGCCAGGAACAACCATGGAGCCAGACACTAGTAGTAACAGTTGGGCACAGTATTGGTGCTAGATAGTTCAGCCTTCACTTACTAACCAGACTATATTGACTATATTGACTAACAGGTCTGAACATACTGACATTAACCTTACAACTTTGTTTCTGCTTGTATAACATCTACTAATGTTGACACCGTTCAGGCACATCAATGCCAGTAATACGTTGCTGTACTTCTACCAGATGCCTTCAAGGTCCTAGATGCCCTGCTAATCCGCCATCATCAGTCACAACACCCTTCATGTTTAACACTCACAACATGCATCATTCTGTTGATTCTTAATTCAAGCCATTCACTCATCATTTAATTTGATGGTTTTTTAATTATCACCAACTTAACCGGATTAACTATTTATATAATGTTACCAAATCCAAAAGCATTAATGACAAAAGTTGATTTCCAAATTTATTCTGAAGACATATTTCTAACATGGTAGTGTTTATTTACATAATAATTGCTCTAAGTATTACTTGCCCAGTACTATATTTTCACTGCTGAGAGTAACTTGCCCAATGATTGCCCTGATCAGTAACAATATAATTGCTTAGAATGTCTTGCCCAATGATTGCCCTCAGTGCTCCTCTTATCCCTGTCCAGAAGGACTTGCCCAATGATTGCCCTCAGTACTCCTCTTATCCCTGTTCAGAAGGACTTGCCCAATGATTGCCCTCAGTGCTCCTCTTATCCCTGTCCAGAAGGACTTGCCCAATGATTGCCCTCAGTACTCCTCTTATCCCTGTCCAGAAGGACTTGCCCAATGATTGCCCTCAGTACTCCTCTTATCCCTGTCCAGAAGGACTTGCCCAATGATTGCCCTCAGTGCTCCTCTTATCCCTGTCCAGAAGGACTTGCCCAATGATTGCCCTCAGTACTCCTCTTATCCCTGTCCAGAAGGACTTGCGCAATGATTGCCCTCAGTGCTCCTCTTATCCCTGTCCAGAAGAACTTACCCAATGATTGCCCTCAGTACTCCTCTTATCCCTGTCCAGAAGGACTTGCCCAATGATTGCCCTCAGTACTCCTCTTATCCCTGTCCAGAAGGTCTTGCCCAATGATTGCCCTCAGTACTCCTCTTATCCCTGTCCAGAAGGACATGCCCAATGATTGCCCTCAGTACTCCTCTTATCCCTGTCCAGAAGGACTTGCCGAATGATTGCCCTCAGTACTCCTCTTATCCCTGTCCAGAAGGACTTGCCCAATGATTGCCCTCAGTCAGTGCTCCTTTTATCCCTGTCCAGAAGGTCTTGCCCAATGATTGCCCTCAGTCAGTGCTCCTTTTATCCCTGTCCAGAAGGACTTACCCAATGATTGCCCTCAGTACTCCTTTTATCCCTGTCAAGAAGGACTTGCCCAATGATTGCCCTCAGTGCTCCTTTTATCCCTGTCCAGAAGGACTTGCCCAATGATTGCCCTCAGTACTCCTCTTATCCCTGTCCAGAAGGACTTGCCCAATGATTGCCCTCAGTACTCCTTTTATCCCTGTCCAGAAGGACTTACCCAATGATTGCCCTCAGTACTCCTCTTATCCCTGTCCAGAAGGACTTGCCCAATGATTGCCCTCAGTACTCCTCTTATCCCTGTCCAGAAGGACTTACCCAATGATTGCCCTCAGTACTCCTCTTATCCCTGTCCAGAAGGACTTGCCCAATGATTGCCTTGAAGTACAGATAGCGCTATGATTGTCGTGATGTGCCAGGTGGTTGCCAGGTAGTCTGCTTGTAATTATGCATGTGCTTCCTTCCCTCCTCTGGCAGTCTGTCCATGTTTGCACAAGTGTGTGAGAAGACCGTTTTGAAGAGGTTGCTCAAGGTAGGTAGCTCTCTCCATCCATCTCTTCACACAATACAGTATATATCCTCTCACTATTGCTGTCATAAGTTGGGAAATTATGGTATAGAGTAGAATGGATGTTATTCTTGTTTGGAAAGCTAAGGCATCTTGAATAACTGGAATAACATCAGTGTACCTACTTTGGAAAACTATACTGGTGACAGGTCAGAGGTGGTTAACATCATTTATAGCTAACATGGATAAAATTATCATTAAACCGCCCCCATGTTGTCAAAAATGAGCGGGCCACTGTAACTTGATAATGCCCTCATATTGCTTGACGACGGTCCATTATCAGGCCTGTTGTTAGGGATAGTGATAGGTGACGTCATGTTCAATAGTGACGTCATCAGGTTTGTTCTATGACGTTTCCATATTTGTAAAGTTTGGTCAGTGACATTTGTGTTGATTGCAGTAAATGTTTCAAAACCGATATTCTTGTTTCTTTTTATTTGATAACAAATTCCATCCACTTTAGCTGTAATAACGGTAAGGCCATTTTTCAGGACATCATCATTTGCAGAAGCCCTCAGTCTTTTCAACTGCCCTCCTTCGTCGGACAGTTAATGGAAGACCTTGAGCATCTGCAAATGATAATGCCCTGAAAAATAGTGTTACCCTTATAATAACACATGCTAGTATATCTCTGTATGCTGGTGTTAGGTCAGATGGGGTTTATGTCCTATAACACATGCTGGTTTATCTCTGTATGCTGGTGTTAGGTCAGATGGGGTTTATGTCCTATAACACAGGCTGGTATATCTGTTTATGTTGGTGTTACATCAGATGGGGTTTATGTCCTATAACACATGCTAAGAGAATTACATTGTATTCTCAAGTTGATTGTTTTGTTGTAGGAGTTGTGGAGGATAGTGATGCATACGATGGAGAAGACGGTGGTGTTGCCACCACTCTCAGATCCCAGACAGGTACGTCACTAACACAACACACATATATTGTCATAATTCTACCATAATTATCATCAGATTGTTTATGTAAATACTATCACATTGAGAATCTCATAACTGAAATACCTCGATATCATGAGCTTTTAATTACGATACCTCTTGATCAATGTCTAAGTAACAAACTGTTCATAGTCACCTGTGATGTATCATGAATGTACATTTATCAATGTTATGACATGAATTTGGGTTCTACACTTAATGACATTCTGTTTTATACAGGAATCTAGTTCTAATAAGTCCAAAAATATGGTGAGTTTAGTTAGCATGGGTGACAGGCCTATATCTAACAGTTTGACTGTTGCCATGGTGATCTGCTAACACAAGCATCAGAATGCAGGTGGTGGCTGCCCTTGAATATGTCCTAGCATCTTGGTTTGAGATTGCAATGCTGGTTGTGGGTGCACGGTCAACTCCACGGAGGACATGCAGGGGTGATTGGGCATTGGTTGGTTGTCTAGTGTAGGGACATAGGTTGGTTTTCTAGTGTAGGGGCATTGGTTTGTTGTCTAGTGTAGGGGCATTGGTTGGTTGTCTAGTGTAGGGACATAGGTTGGTTTTCTAGTGTAGGGGCATTGGTTTGTTGTCTAGTGTAGGGGCATTGGTTGGTTGTCTAGTGTAGGGACATAGGTTGGTTGTCTAGTGTAGGGACATAGGTTGGTTGTCTAGTGTAGGGGCATTGGTTGGTTGTCTCGTGTAGGGGCATTGGTTGGTTGTCTAGTGTAGGGGCATTGGTTGGTTGTCTAGTGTAGGGGCATTGGTTGTTTGTCTAGTGTAGGGACATAGGTTGGTTTTCTAGTGTAGGGGCATTGGTTTGTTGTCTAGTGTAGGGGCATTGGTTGGTTGTCTAGTGTAGGGACATAGGTTGGTTGTCTAGTGTAGGGACATAGGTTGGTTGTCTAGTGTAGGGGCATTGGTTGGTTGTCTCGTGTAGGGGCATTGGTTGGTTGTCTAGTGTAGGGGCATTGGTTGGTTGTCTAGTGTAGGGGCATTGGTTGTTTGTCTAGTGTAGGGGACCTTGGTTGGTTGTATAGTGTCAGGGGCATTGGTTGTTGGTCAAGTGTAGGGGACATTGGTTGTTGGTCAAGTGTAGGGGCATTGGTTGTTGGTTTAGTGTAGGGGACATTGGTTGTTGGTCAAGTGTAGGGGCATTGGTTGTTGGTCTAGTGTAGGGGACTTTGGTTTGTTGTATAGTGTAGGGGCATTGGTTGTTGGTCTAGTATTGGGGCATTGATTGTTGGTCTAGTGTAGGGGGCATTGGTTGTTGGTCTAGTGTAGGGGACATTGGTTGTTGGTCTAGTGTAGGGGACCTTGGTTGTTGGTCTAGTATTGGGGCATTGGTTGTTGGTCTAGTGTAGGGGACCTTGGTTGTTGGTCTAGTATTGGGGCATTGGATGGTTGTATAGTGAGGGACATAGGTTGTTGGTCAAGTGTAGGGGCATTGGTTGTTGGTCTAGTGTAGAGGCATTGGTTGTTGGTCTAGTATTAGGGCATTGGTTGGTTGTATAGTGAGGGACATAGGTTGTTGGTCAAGTGTAGGGGCCTTGGTTGTTGGTCTAGTGTAGGGGCATTGGTTGTTGGTCTAGTGTAGGGGACCTTGGTTGTTGGTCTAGTATTGGGGCATTGGTTGGTTGTATAGTGAGGGACATAGGTTGTTGGTCAAGTGTAGGATCATTGGTTGTTGGTTGAGTGTAGGGGGCATTAGTTGGTTGTCCGGTGTAGGGGGCAATGATTGGTTGTCTAGCTTAGGGGGCATTGGTTGACTCTCTAGTGTTCGAGACATTGGTTGGTTGTATATGTAGGGGGCATTGGTGGTTGGTAGACAATTGGGTACCTCTGATCAGTTGTCCATGATATGGGGTGGTGTGGATCAAATCTCTAAGGGCATGACATCCTCTGCAGAGCTGTGACCTGTAGCGTGAATCGACTTACCACACACCCTGCATGTCCTGGGCGTGGTGTGGGTTTCCCTCTCTCATGGTCAGTACTAATCTTCACTAACCTACTCATTTTGAGGCAACATAGTAATCATAGTAGGAGACTTCGGCAGAGTAGCAATTTGTACCTCAGACATAACGTTGATCTGGAATTCCTCTTACCATGTAACACTGCCATTTCTGCATATCACATATCTCTTGTTGATATAACCCCCTGCTAGTGCGAGATTACTGGTCCCGTTCAACTGGAGAATGGTTCCTGATGCTTAGAAGTCCTTCTTTGTGTCTGCAGTGGCCAGTACTCATCCCTTGTCAGGATGAGTTGCGGAGGATTTAGCTCATGTTTTCATCTTCTCATCCTTACACAGATGAAAACTTGCCATCTCTGTTTCAGTTACTTCCGTTTCATAACAAAAGTGCCAACTTGGATGATATGTCCAAACTGTTTTCCTTCCGTAGTGTAAGTCTTAATGGCCCACTTCCCAACTTGCCAACAAACTGACAGTAGACTAGAGCGGCTTTGGTGACGCCTCCCTGCTCTCTATGTGAAAACAGACTTGACTGTCCTTGGCCTTTGTGTTGAAGCTCAGCCCTCATCCCAGTCCGGCATTAAGTGTCCTGAGTCTCCGATTGGATCGACGGAAGAGTCTGTTTTCACTGCATGAGCCCTCCTGTTGTAAATTCCTCTTTGCAGGTTTCTCGTAACATGCACGGTTTCCGTGGCAACAAGCTGTGTCTGATGCTGAGATTGTACAGATACGTTTGTTGTCTGGTAATTTGGGTATGTCTACAATTGCTGGAGTTTGGCCACATCCCAACCGCTATGGCTTTCAAGCTGATTTATTCTTTCCTTGCATCATTGCTCCAAACGATAAATTATATCATTTAGAATAACAGAAAAAGAAAGCCTGTATAATGGGAGCCTCCTATCCTCCAGCAGCTGTGTGTGTGTGCCCTGCATGGCAGACTGACTCACTGGTGGTGACTGTTCATGACTGACTGACTAATCTACGACTCCATGTCTGTACCTGAGCTATTAATGTAGAATGATGATTACTGGAAGATCCAGTCACCCTGCTCCGTGTTCATAGTACTTGGATAGTGTTGGATGGCTGATTGACTGAGAAGACCAACTTTCAGCTCTGATCTTATTACAATATTGACCAGCTTGGCTGCTGAAGACATAATGACATTTGACTGGTCACCCAGAGATGCCAACCCTTATGCTTTTGAGCCAAAACGTACGATTTTTGGCTTTTTTTTCATAAAATTATTTACATTTGTAAAATACCCCGGAGAGCAAATTGTTAATGCACCGATCATGTGAAGCATTCTATAGGGACCTAATTGCATTTACACTGATAATTCTTAGAAACTCGAAACAACAGTTGATATTGTAACATGATGAATTTTATAAATGTGTGGAGCTTTGACCACGTGTTTCGGCATGAATGCAGCCTTTCCGGTGCCATTTTCTGTCACCTCATTAAAAGGACATGGGGTTTGTAGGGCTTGCCACCACACAACAGCTTGAATTATATGCTTTCTTAAGTGATTTATAGCCTAATCTATAATTACAAAAGTTATTCAAAATACAACATGTTTGTTTGAAATGTGGCCCCGATGTATGTCACTGATGAGCTTGTCACATGCCGTTATGGAACTTCTTTTTTCAAGTACTCTTTCAATGTTGATGTCCAATTTTTCTATGTTTATGGATTAATATTCATTTTCGAGGTTTAGTCGAATTTAACCATACACACGCAAGCGAAGTCATTTTTGCTGCTTATTTTGAGCTTTATCGGGACTGCCTCCATGGTCTAGTGGTAGAGTGTCCGCCCGGAGAGCGGAAGGTACAGGTACAGGGAAGGCCGCGTCATACCAAAAGACGTTAAAAGATGGTACTTGTTGTTACCCTGTCTGGCGCTCGGCATTAAGGGGCTAAAACAAGGACTGGTCGGCTCGGAGTCAGTATACTGTGTCTGAGTGGGGTATTCATGTTAAACTGCGGCATGGTATCTCAGTGAGCTACTCTACTATACTCTACTATATATCTCTACTATAAATCGGCATCAGTCCGAACTAGTACAAGCAGCCACACACACACATGCATTCATGTCGCCATATAAGTGCAATAATCTTGGACACAATGTTAAACCCCATTTCACCTCACCTTGAGCTTTATCGACCTGTTTTTTAAATAGTGGGGCTTGCGTGTGCGGCTACATTACTAGCATCAATGCATGCTTTTACCCCACTGATTACTACGAAGTTTTAATTAGGGTTGGCATCTCTGGTCACTATGATAAAGCTGAGAGATTGTAACTTCATGAAACTACATTCACCAACTTGCTGATTGATTGTGCAAGACCTACAAACTGAAATTCATTATGTCTGGCTCTCTGATTTAGGATCCATACTCCTCATTAAGGTTAATGACTGACTGCCTGAGGAAGAATAGTGACAATATGATGAAGATTGATGACTGACTGCCTGATGAAGAATAGTGACAATATGATGGAGATTGATGACTGCCTACCTGAGGAAGAATAGTGACAATATGATCAAGATTGATGACTGACTGCCTGGTGAAGAATAGTGACAATATGATCAAGATTGATGACTGACTGCCTGGTGAAGAATAGTGACAATATGATCAAGATTGATGACTGACTGCCTGATGAAGAATAGTGACAATATGATCAAGATTGATGACTGACTTTCTGATGAAGGATGAAGGATGTTAATCCTTTACCAACTGCTACTGCTTGACTGGCTGGCTGACTGCCTGCTTAGTGCCTGGTCCACTTTCCCATCTCTCCTCTTTCAGCTGTTGCCCATTGCTGGAAATGCACAGGCAAAGATCGAGGATATGTCTCGCTTGTTGCTCAACCATGTTAGTCAGATGCCCGGCAACAACCCAATGAAACAAGTCAAGACACTTCAAGCAACATTCTTGGTATAACACTGTCACTATGTAGTAGAACACTTTGTTGTCAGTACATTGTTGTCAGTTAGCATCAAGTTCCTATTGCCTTGTTTACAGCCATTCATTGCTTCAGTTTTGTCTCAGTTTCCTGTTACAGATGTTCTCTTCACCTCCCTCTGTTGCAGATGTTCTCTTCACCTCCCTCTGTTGCAGCACTTCACACTGCTGCCTCACAATTACATGTCACTTGTCACTTTTCAATATGTTTGTGTTTCGTAACCCATTGATTTCAACTCTTTTCTTTTGTATCTAGGAACTAATTACAAATTGTATTTAGTTCTACTGTAAATATATTCATTATTAACTCACGTAGAATGAATCTCCAGTTGTGAAAACACTGAATGTGAGCTGCCATCGACTCTTCCATGACTTAAATGTTCAGCTAATTAAATATTATGTAATTGTTCTCCGATACGTCCAGGTATTCCTGTGATCTGAAGGAAGTTATTTCCCTTCTGGTACTTTCAGGTCGATCAGTTGATATTTAGTTTTTGGTGGAAAAAACTTCCAAAGTAATCTTTGTATCCATTTCAACATCCCCCTCATTTCATCATCCCCTCATTTAAACATTCCCTTATTTCAACATTCCCTCATTTCAATATCCCCTCATTTCAACATCCCCGTCATTTCAACACCCTATCATTTCAACATTCCATCATTTCAACATTCCATAATTTTAAAATCCCCTCATTTCAACATCCCCTCATTTCAACATCCCCTCATTTCAACACCCTATCATTTCAACATTCCCTCATTTCAATATCCCCTCATTTCAACATCCCCGTCATTTCAACACCCTATCATTTCAACATTCCATCATTTCAACATTCCATCATTTTAAAATCCCCTCATTTCAACATCCCCTTATTTCAACATCCCCTCATTTCAACATCCCCTTATTTCAACATCCCCTCATTTCAACTTCCTCATTTGAATACCCCCTCATTTCAACATTCCCTCTTTACAACAGTCCTCATGCCATCATTTCAACATTACCTCATTTTAAAATCCCCTCATATCAACATCCCCTCATCTCAACATTCCTTCATTTCAACATTCCCTCATTTCAGCATCCCCTCATTTCAACATTCCTTCATTTCAACATTCCCTCATTTCAACATACCCTCATTTCAACATTCCTTCATTTCAACATTCCCTCATTTCAGCATCCCCTCACTTCAACATTCCTTCATTTCAACATTCCCTCATTTCAACATCCCCTCATTTCAACATTCCTTCATTTCAACATTCCCTCATTTCAACACCCCCTCATTACATAAAGGAAGTCTTCAATACTTAATGTTAGTATGAATGTTATAAACAATATCAATAGGTATTTCAAGATTTTTGTTTGTCGTTTGAACATGTCTTTTAGACCTATGATAAGATGACAATACATGTCTTCCATTTTTAATGTGAGAAAGCAAATTTTTTCCAGTGTTCTGTTTTCTCAGAAACTCAAAATGTGTATAATCTAATATGACAGTCACTTTTTATTGATATTAAAGCACCTATCCCTCCTGGTATATGAAATGTAGCTGAGGTTTTATAAGATTTAGCTAAGAGTCGGATTGAGTGTTCATTTAAATTGTCACAATATCTAAAAGTGAAGGCAACCTCTATTATTGTGTTATTCTGGGACAGTGCTGAGCTTTATATATATGAAGGTGAAAGTGTGTGTTCTCACCAGCCTCTTCTCTGTGCCATCACAGGACATGTCTAAAGAGGCTGAGAAGAACTTGAGTCCGAAGCAGTGTGCAGTGCTGGATATGGCCCTGGACACGATCAAGCAGTATTACCATGCCAGTGGGCAGGGACTGAAGAAGACCTTCCTGGACAAGAGTCCAGAGTTACAGTCTCTGCGATACGCACTGTCTCTGTACACACAGACCACAGATACCCTCATAAAGACCTTCGTCAGCACACAGACGCAGCAAGGTCATTTTCAGATACACCCAGGTGCCATATTTAAGTTCACAATATGGCCGCCGTATAAACTGCATTGCGTGAGCGCAGAGGAACAAACCTAAATAACATGAAAATGAAGTTTACTACTTACCTGAAATTTTCAGTATTTTGTTATGCAGCCATTTGCCAAAAGTAAATGTGTCATTCTCTTTGGTAACCTGGGATATAGAGATTTTATGTACTGTTGAGTCAATGAGGTCCTGTTTGGTTTTAATTCATGGAACTGTCCCTGCACCCTTATTTTTTAGAGTTCTCACCACGTTTTCTATGATATTACAGTCTGGAGACTGTGGGGGCCAAACATAGTCTGATTATACTTGTCATGTTTCCACTGGGTTGTCTGTCTAGAAACATGTACAGGGCAAGTATCATCTTAAAAAATGTTACCTCTGTCAGCTGGAATTTTGGCAATAACTGGCCATAAGTTGGCTTCTATTATATGTATATACTTTGTAGAGTTTATGTGACCATCCACAGCTACAAGGGTACCAACACCTTCAAAACAGCCCCAAAACATAACACTCCGATTGGGAGCGTGTTTGTCTTTGTACACTCCAAGACATCTCGGCTTACACTTTTCTTCATTAGTTTTCCAAACATAAACTTTCTAATCTTTTCCTACTGCAACCTGAGTATAATCTGAAAATCTAACTTTGGTCCAATGTTGATTGACAGTCCAGTGTAGATGGGATCTGGCAAAGGTCCTCTGCTTGAACCGATTTTGAGAGGAAATGGTTGTTTTCTTCTTAACTATTTGTCTATGGTAACAATTTTCATGTAAACGCCTTTGTATTGTCCCCTTTGATAGTGTTACTTGTGATGACGGGTTAAATAGTTAGGAAATAACCTTAAAAGACTTCCTTCTGTTACACTTTTCAAGTTTCAACAATGACCATGTGTTGCTATGTGTTGATTTTCTCCTTCGAACAATTCTAGGAAGGTTTTTAGTATCTTCTCTTTGAACATCTCTTAATAAATTACGAACAGTAAACCTGTTTATCCCAGTAATTTTACACATTTCACAACCACTTTTGCCTTCAGATTTCAAATTTATGATAAGTTGGTTCTGGTAAGGGGTCAGATCATTGCCTCTTGCCCCCATATCACTGAAGCAGACGTCATAACTAGTAAATGAAAGTTATTTCCCCTGTGTTGACAAAATTTAATGGGTAATATAGCAATTTTGCACCCCCTAAAATTTTATCTCAACATATTGCCTCTAGGACCAAATATATACTGTCAGATGTCATTAATAGACCCCCAGTTTAACTATGGCGGCCATTTTGTGAACTTTAATATGGCACATGAGTGGATGTCAAAGAAGTGCCATATAAAGATATTGTCGGTTTGAGATTGTAGTATGATGTTCACATTTTTTTAATATTTAAGCTATATGTTTTTTGTCACCATCATGCGAAGTGGAACTCTCCACCAGTAGTGCCAGGTGTATCTGCCTATGTGTGACAAGTTTTCATAGTTTTCGTTCTATGTTGCAGTGTCCTTCTCAGACCAGCCAGGCGTGGCAGATCCAGTGGGGGAGGTATCTGTCCAGGTCGACCTCTTCACTCATCCAGGGACAGGTGAACACAAGGTCACTGTGAAAGGTCAGTAAACAATAGAAGCGTGTTGCCACAATACATTAATGTTCTTGTTTAGTAATGATGACCGAGTTTTGTTTCTTTGTTTGTTTATTTGTTGTTTAATGCCGCACTCAGCTCTTCCAACTATATGACGGCAGTCTGTATATAATCGAGTCTGGACTAGACAATCCAGTGATTGACATCATGAGCATCGATCTATGTAATTGGGATACGATGACATGCATCAACCAAGTCAGTGAGCCTGACCACCTGATCCCGTTAGTCACCTCTTATGACAAGCATAGGCGCCTTTTATGGCAAGCATGGGTTGCTGAAGACCTATTCTACCCCGTAATCTCTTAAGTAGGTCCAATGTACATACATTTGAGTATACTTGAGTATATATGTGTGATGACTAGATTAGTTCTAGATCAACAGAAAGCCATGGCCTGTCTCTTCCATTTTAGTTGTGGCAGCCAATGATCTGAAATGGCAGACAACAGGAATGTTTCGGCCATTTGTTGAGGTTCATCTTATTGGTCCACACCTCAGTGATAAGAAACGGAAGCACTCAACCAAATCCAAGAGTAACAACTGGTCACCCAAATATAATGAAACCTTCCACTTGTAAGTATCATCAACATCAAAGTGACATCCTATCATCACTCAAATATCATGAAACCTTCCATTTATACATAACATCATGGTCAACCAAATCTAGTGCAACTTTCTGTTTGTAAATAACATGTTCACGTCCAAATCGAGTGAACCTTCAGTTTGTAAATAACATCATGTTCACGTTCTATGGTCAGCCAAATCTAGTGAAACTTTCTGTTTGTAATAAATGTAATAAATAAAAAAGCCCCATTTAGTCAAATCTGGAAAAAGCATAGAAAGACATACGACAAAAGTATTGATAGTAGCAACTTATCAAATGAGTGCTCTGTTTCTTATTCTTCAGTATTCTTGGTAACGAGGATGAACCTGATGCCTATGAGCTGCACATTTGTGTGAAGGACTACTGCTTTGCCCGTGAGGACCGACTGATTGGGGTGGCGGTGATGCAATTGCGAGACATCGTGGAACAGGGCAGTTGTGCCTGTTGGTGTTCGCTGGGACGCCAGATGCAGCTGAATGAAACAGGATGGACAATATTGCGTATTCTCTCACAACGAACAAATGATGAAGTTGCGAAAGAGTTTGTGAAACTAAAATCAGAATGTCGGCATGCAGAAGAGATGACATGATACCCAATTCGCCCCCATAGGTGAAGGTCATATCTAACTTATAGTCCAAAGCAAAGGGCATATACATTGATTATGCTGAGATGTGTGAAGCCTGCTTCAATATCTGGGTAAGGTCTTGGTCTAGCCTTGTATGTAAAGCATGCAATTATTATATGCTAAAGAAGTACATCAAGGAAAGCATTGACTGGGATCTCCACATTTGGCTTGTCTCTTTTTTTCATCACTCATCCCTTCATGTGGTAGATATAGACTGTAGGTGTAAGAACCAAGTGTAGACTGACTCGGCCCTCCCGCATCTGAATAGTGTCACTCACTGTGATTGGTCATCCTGCATCTGACTAGTATCACTCGTTGTGATTGGTCCTCCTGCTTCTGAATAGTATCACTCACTGTGATTGGTTATCTTGTATCTGGACGACAACTGATGTCTCTCAGTGATTTACCCAGCTGTGTTTGAACTGCCACACACGCAGTGTACATGGCTGTGATTGGCCGAGCTTTATTTCGACTGACACTGTGCCCCCCCCCCTGCTGTGATTGGCCCAGCTGAACTATCCATCGTAGACCATGTGTACAGATGTGTAGGAATTCATCCTTTGTTGTATAAAGAGCTCCAGAATATTTCTGTACATACAATTTGTTTTTCTACAATACTGTAGATGATTGTAAATCTATGTACAAACTGGTTGTTTTTTAAGAGTTTTTTAGAAACAAATCATGCATGCATTTTGATTTGCCAAAGTATGATTGAATTCCTTGAAGGTACTATATTTTTATGTGAATGTATATGGGACAGTGAAATGTGCTTCCACCCCAGGGTGCTTGTGGAGATGCTGGCCATACTTGCAGCAGCATAGGAACCATCAGCCTATATCTCAGTACAGTTTTTATCTGGACAACCATGCAACTGGACAACCATGCAAACTCTTGCATAATGGATATTTTAAAATATACTTAGTTTAGCAATCTATTGGTGGTTTGTTGCCAGATGGATCTATGTATCCAGCTTAATTGTTAAGGCTTTGATTGGCAAGTCTATACTAGATATAACTATGGAAGCTTTGGTCAAGATGAAACAAAGGATCCTTTGGTCAGGATGTAACTAAGGACCCTTGTGTCAGAGGTAACTAAGGACCACTGTGTCAGTTGTAACTAAGGACCACTGTGTTAGATGTAACTAAGGACCACTGTGTCAGATGTAACTAAGGACCACTGTGTTAGATGTAACTAAGGACCACTGTGTCAGATGTAACTAAGGACCACTGTCAGATGTAACTAAGGACCACTGTGTTAGATGTAACTAAGGACCACTGTCAGATGTAACTAAGGACCACTGTCAGATGTAACTAAGGACCACTGTGTCAGATGTAACTAAGGACCACTGTCAGATGTAACTAAGGACCACTGTGTTAGATGTAACTAAGGACCACTGTCAGATGTAACTAAGGACCACTATGTCAGATGTAACTAAGGACCACTGTGTCAGATGTAACTAAGGACCACTGTGTCAGGTGTAACTAAGCATACTTTGATCAAGATGTAACTATAGATACTTTTATCAAGAAGTAACTAAGGATACTTTGATCAAGAAATAATAAAGATACTTTGATCAAGATGTAACTAAGGATACTTTGATCAAGAAGTAGCTAATGATACTTTGATCAAGAAGTAACTAAGGATTCTTTGATCAAGATGTAATTAAAGATACTTTGATCAAGAAGTAACTAAGGATACTTTCATCAAGAAGTAACTAAAGATACTTTGATCAAGATGTAAATAAAGATACTTTGATCAAGAAGTAACTAAGGATACTTTGATCAAGAAGTAACTAAGGATACTTTGATCAAGAAGTTGCTTAGATACTTTGATCAAGATGTAATTAAAGATACTTTGATCAAGAAGTAACTAAGGATACTTTTATCAAGAAGTAACTAAGGATACTTTTATCAAGAAATAATAAAGATACTTTGATCAAGAAGTAACTAAGGATTCTTTGATCAAGATGTAATTAAAGATACTTTGATCAAGAAGTAACTAAGGATTATTTGATCAAGATGTAATTAAAGATACTTTGATCAAGAAGTAACTAAGGATACTTTCATCAAGAAGTAACTAAAGATACTTTGATCAAGATGTAAATAAAGATACTTTGATCAAGAAGTAACTAAGGATACTTTGATCAAGAAGTAACTAAGGATACTTTGATCAAGAAGTTGCTTAAGATACTTTGATCAAGATGTAATTAAAGATACTTTGATCAAGAAGTAACTGAAGATACTTTGATCCTTATGTAATAAAGGATCAAGATGTAACTAAGGATACTTTGTTCAAGATACAACTAAGGATACTTTGATCAAGATGTAACTGAGGACCCTTTAGTTGCAAAGAACCATTCAAACAAACTAAGACTATTTAAATGACCCACAGAGCCAGATTCACATGAAATATTACATGTTATATGTTTGTATCTGTGCAGTGTGAAGGCGTCAATACATACTTGCCTTCCTTCACAATAATTGGCATTCAGAAGGGTAACAGTGAAGTGGATAACACCTATAGCAGCATACTTTGATCCTCAGCAAATATGGCCTTCATCTCCCTGGTGTAGCTGGGCTCTGGTTGCCATGGTCACATTCACTTTGTGTAGTAGGTGGATTCGGTTGTTACAATGTTGTAGATGGGTTCCGTTACATCTCAATCTACCAACATCCAGTGTTCTGTGGAACTTCAGCATGTTCTGAATGTGTCATGTTTAATGTTGGGACAATTATGAATCCTTTGGCACCAAGATTAGTTAGCTGGGGACTGACAATATTATTTTGTAATGGAACTTTGGATAAAGACAAGTTCGTATTTTTTAACAAATGCAAATGTTTTAAACTGGCCCTAGATGACAGATGTTTGTGTTTGCATGCATAATACATAAAGAATACCAGATTTCACCTGGGAGATATTATAAGGATGTATGTTTTGTTATCCACAGTGTTATCCAAAGACTCCCAAGTCCCCTGCATAAGATGGTTAGGCCTACCTGGTACATATGGAAACTCTCAGACATGTTTGGTATATTCATCAAACTTGCCATTGTAACTTCATTTGCCATAAGTTCTTGTCACAATGTATTTTTAATATATACTTGCTACCTGAAACAACTAGAGAAGAACAGTGCCCCCTGCTCCCCCTGCTCCCCATGCGCTGCCTAGTGTGTCAGATAGACTGTAGAAGCAAGTGTTGCATAGTGTTACCTGGTATATAGGTGTAGACAGGTAAAGGCTTGTTTAACGGTCTGCTGATACAACTAAAGCCCTGCCTTACTGCTGTCTAAAGCTTTCTCCTATGGGTTTACCTGTACCACTGTCTACCTGTACCACTGTCTACAGACATCTATAGGTCTACCTGTACCACTGTCTACAAACATCTATAGGTCTACCTGTACCACTGTCTACAGACATCTATAGGTCTACTTGAACCACTGTCTACAGACATCTATAGGTTGACCTGTACCACTCTCTACAGACATCTATAGGTCTACCTGTACCACTCTCTACAAACATCTATAGGTCTACCTGTACCACTGTCTACAAACATCTATAGGTCTACCTGTACTACTGTCTACAGACATCTATAGGTCTACTTGAACCACTGTCTACAGACATCTATAGGTTGACCTGTGCCACTGTCTACAGACATCTATAGATTTACCTGTACCAATTTCTACAGACATCTATAGGTCTACCTGTACCAGTTTCTACAGACATCTATAGGTCTACCTGTACCACTGTCTACAGACATATATAGGTCTACCTGTACCACTGTCTACAGACATCTATAGGTCTACCTGTGCCACTGTCTACAGACATCTATAGGTCTACCTGTACCACTGTCTACAGACATCTATAGGTTGACCTGTGCCACTGTCTACAGACATCTATAGGTCTACTTGACAAACTGTCTACAGACATCTATAGGTCTACCTGTACCACACTCTACAGACATCTAAAGGTTTACCTGTACCACTGTCTACAAACATCTATAGGTCTACCTGTACCACTGTCTACAGACATCTATAGGTTGACCTGTGCCACTGTCTACAGACATCTATAGGTCTACTTGAACCACTGTCTACAGACATCTATAGGTCTACCTGTACCACTGTCTACAGACATCTATAGGTCTACTTGAACCATTGTCTACAGACATCTATAGGTCTACCTGTACCACATGCTACAGACATCTAAAGGTTTACCTGTACCACTGTCTACAAACATCTATAGGTCTACCTGTACCACTGTCTACAGACATCTATAGGTCTACCTGTGCCACTGTCTACAGACATCTATAAGTCTACCTGTACCACTGTCTACAGACATCTATAGGTCTACCTGTGCCACTGTCTACAGACATCTATAAGTCTACCTGTACCACTGTCTACAGACATCTATAAGTCTACCTGTACCACTGTCTACAGACATCTATAGGTTGACCTGTACCACTGTCTACAGACATCTATAGATCTACCTGTACCAATTTCTACAGACATCTATAGGTCTACCTGTACCAGTTTCTACAGACATCTATAGGTCTACCTGTACCACTGTCTACAGACATATATAGGTCTACCTGTACCACTGTCTACATACATCTAAAGGTCTACCTGTGCCACTGTCTACAGACATCTATAAGTCTACCTGTACCACTGTCTACAGACATCTATAAGTCTACCTGTACCACTGTCTACAGACATCTATAGGTTGACCTGTACCACTGTCTACAGACATCTATAGGTCTACCTGTGCCACTGTCTACAGACATCTATAAGTCTACCTGTACCACTGTCTACAGGCATCTATAGGTTGACCTGTACCACTGTCTACAGACATCTATAGGTCTACCTGTACCACTGTCTACAGACATCTATAGGTCTACCTGTACCACACTCTACAGACATCTATAGGTCTACCTGTGCCACTGTCTACAGACATCTATAGGTCTACCTGTACCACACTCTACAGACATCTATAGGTCTACCTGTACCACTATCTACAAACATCTATAGGTCTACCTGTACCACTGTCTACAGACATCTATAGGTCTACCTGTACCACTGTCTACAGACATCTATAGGTCTACTTGAACCACTGTCTACAGACATCTATAGGTCTACCTGTGCCACTGTCTACAGACATATATAGGTCTACCTGTACCACACTCTACAAACATCTATAGGTCTACCTGTACCACTGTCTACAGACATCTATAGGTCTACCTGTACCACTGTCTACAGACATCTATAGGTCTACCTGTACCACTGTCTACAGACATCTATAGGTCAACCTGTACCACTGTCTACAGACATCTATAGGTTGACCTGTACCACTGTCTACAGACATCTATAGGTCTACCTGTACCACTGTCTACAAACATCTATAGGTCTACCTGTACCACTGTCTACAGACATCTATAGGTCTACCTGTACCACTGTCTACAGACATCTATAGGTTGACCTGTACCACTGTCTACAGACATCTATAGGTCTACCTGTACCACTGTCTACAGACATCTGTAGGTCTAAGTGTACCACTGTCTGCAGACCAGGTCTACTGCCTATGTGTACCACTGCCTATAGACAGCTCCTGTAAGGAAGAGACTTTATGGATGTCAGCTTCTTTATTATGAGGAACACTAGCTCCTGTAAGCCCGTCTGTCCCCACAGACAGTTTCCCCAGCCCTACTGTGAACCGGATATATCTTGATAGATATAGATATATAAAGATATATATGTTATCTAGTTATCTCTTGAAAACCTTTAATCAGAGTTACAATGTTTCTTTGCAGTGTTAAATAGTTGAAACTAGCAGACAATAGTCCTGACTATGTGAAGATCCGAGGTGTGATGGCCTTATTGCCTCGTACAACACATGTCGGTGTGCATGAGAGAATTTCATGGTCTTGCGGTGCAAGAGTTCAGTGTACAAAGGTTGTTTTCTACCTGTCACGTTATTCACACATTGTTCCTCATGTGATATCCGTTACCATGACAACAGAAATGATGTGTTCTTGTCAGTTTTCTCTGATCTTGTTCCGAGTTTGACGTAGCATCTTAAAGTAACACATACACTCAGTCCTTGTTAACTTGAAATCTAGCTACCTGACACATCCTATAAGATTATGTAAATTTATAGACCCAGCATAATACTTCCTGACACCATGGCATTACATGGCCTGTCTAACACTACAGATAACAAGATAGAGCTCCATTCCCAGAGCTCAACAGGGACTTGCTTCAGTCTGGGCCCTGTACCACAAAGTGATTGCACAGCTATGACTTGAGTTCTGAGTGTCTTGCCCATGTTTGGTCTAGAAGAAGACTTTGTGCAATACCTGATGCTGGATCAGACTCTGGAGGTAACCATTAACAGCCAGACTTGCATTAATCACCAAATTTTAATTAGGCCATTATTATTTTTAGTATTTGTTAAATCACAGATATATTTTTTTTTAAGTCAGATGTCGAGGGAGGAACTTTAGCCGTTTTTTATTAAACTGGACCACAGAATGCTTTTACAAATTTTACCTGTAGGACAGGAAATTATAAATGAATTTTGCCATCTTTTGTGCAGTCATCTGTTACAAGCTTTGTTTTTTGTTGTTTTTTTCTCAGAAGTTAAAGGGAGTTAATTTAGGACGAAGGACATAACTCTAGATTTATTCAGCAAGGAATTTTGCTGCGACTCATCGACTGAACGATTTGGGGAAATTTTAATGTCAAATTGAACAAAAGTTTTATGGTTTATTTATTTTTAAAGATTGATTAATCTCAAAATAATTTTGCGTGTATGACATGTCAGGGGAAACAAAATAAGAGTAAATTTGGATTGTTATTTTTCTCCAATTTTAAAGAAAATAGTGTCAGCAGATCCATGATACAACAATGAAAAAAAATGGCCTTACATAACACGATTTGTGAGTGCTGTCAATATCCCCAAGCCCAGTCCCATTGAGAAGGTTCACTGGCTGTGTTGCGCCAGTACTACTTCTATTGCAAGGGTCAGACATAGACTGTCGTATGATGTTGGCCACATTACATGGCACATGGGTGTAGATGTATTTATTATCCACGAATGGTACAGTCAGAATTATGGATAATTATTATTTATCGCCTCCATTTTGTTGATTCTGATTCACTTATACGGATAATAACACCATTTTGAGGGATAAATTTTACAATCAAAATATCCAATCAAAATACTATTTAGTCTTTTATAGGGTTGAAGGAGACACCAGTCAGCTGTTGGATCAAGCATGAGAAAACCTGGCCACAACACTTCAGTTCTGTTGTTTTGTTTATAAACATACTATTGTTCAATAATGGTAAAAACTCCATGTATGTTGTTATACTTTTTACAAACATATTTTACGATTGTTTTCAAATCATGCATCCTCCCTGGTCCCACAGCCTTTGAAATTTGCACTAGTCCGCAAGTCCATGTCTACCAAATTGTGCTGAAGACAAGTGAAAATCCAGTGATGAAGCCCCATTAACTAGTCGCATTTGAGGGCTGTAATACTGAACCTGTTCTCACTGCTTGTTTTGCTTCAAATTAAAACTGAAAAAATCCCTAGAAAACCTAGTCAATATTTTGTCTGGTTCAAGCAGGACTATCCACATGTTCTGAGGACTAGTGAAAAAAGGTTCCTACAGTGGTCTGTGTCTTAAAGGCAAATTTCTTAGGCTGTCCAATGTTCATGTTTCACAGTATCATGTTGGCTTCTTGTGTCACATTAAACATCAACTCCACAACTCTGTCCACTCATTTCTCACACGGCTCATCTGGTGGAGCTACCTCTCGTCGGAGGGTACGGCTGTGCCCAGCTCAATCTACAGGTCTCATCCTCATCTTCATCAAGCTCTCCATCAAGTGTTCATGATCAGTCGGGGCGGTCGGGTAGCCTAGTGGTTAAAGCGTTCGCTCGTCACGCCGAAGACCTGGGTCGATTCCTGACATGGGTACAATGTGTGAAGCCCATTTCTGGTGTCCCCCACCGTGATATTGCTGGAATATTGCTAAAAGCGGCGTAAAACCATACTCACTCATTCACTCATGTTCAGTCATCAAAGGGTGGCTCTGACAGGTGTCCATCACAACAGCATAACTTACATCATAAGACACACGCTGTTCAGCATGAGGTTACATTTCAGGTTAATCGGTGTTCCCTTTCTTGTATGGTATTTCACAAGATTGATTAATCAATAAGAGATAAAAATTCAGATAAGATATTTGGATCATATTCCCATGACAGAAATATGAGTCCTTGTTTGGTTTGTGTGAGATTCCTGGACATAGTATTCAAGGACAATTTGGGGACACTGGTTTACCACAGGCACATGACTTGCTGCTTACTGGGTTAGTAGTAACTACAGGTGCCCTGTGTAGACAGGATCCTCTTCACCTGTTTACAGGGGGCACGGGTGGCCCAGTTTTCTAAGGAAAAGCAATTTGCAATGCAGAGTATCGTCCCTTGGATTCGATTCCTGGTTTGCCCCAATTATGTTTCTAGGTTTGTCAGCACCATACCCCTGCCGTGGGTTTCACCAAGGTGGTAAAGGTCTAAGACATGCATCACTTAGGGCTTTCGTCCCACATTAATCTGACACGCCGTGATATAACTGGAATACTGTTCAAAGCAGCCATAAAGAGTACTCACTCACATGTTTATAGGGTTTAGTGAAAACTACAGGTGTCCTGTATAGACAGCATCCTTTTCACCTGTTTACAGTGGGTAGTACTAGCAAGTCATCCAAGGCACCACAACTCGCTTGCAGAGTTGTGTCCCCTTTCGGCATGCACGGAACCCCTGATAATGGATTCGCGCTGATGACGTTTTAGTCACTCAACATCCTATCCATGGTCGTGGTTTTCACCAAAGTGGTAATGTCCAAGACACACATCACTTCCGTCTTTCAACCGCATTAAGCTGACAAGTCATGATATAAAACTGAAATGCTGTTCAGCGGTTAAACCCAACTCACTCACTGACGGTTTCGTTGGTTGGTTGGTTGTTTTTTTTGTTTAACGCCGCACTCAGCAATATTCCAGCTATATGACGGCGGTCTGTAAATAATCGAGTCTGGACCGGACAATCCAGTGATTTATATCATGAGCATCTGACGGTTTAGAGGAGATGGTAGAAACTACAGGTGCCCTGCACAAAGAGGAAGATCCATGGTAGAATAGGTCTTCAGCAACCCATGCTTACCGTAAAAGGCGACTGTGCTTGTCGTAAGAGGCGACTAACGGGATCGGGTGGTCAGGCTCGCTGACTTGGTTAATGCATGTCATCGTTTCCAAATTGCGTGGATCGATGCTCATGATGTCAATCACCGGATTGTCTGGTCCAGACTCGATTATTTACAGACCGCCGTCAGTTAGCTGGAATACTGCTGAGTCAGGCGTTAAACAACAAACAAACAAAGAGTTACCTCTTCAAGGGTGTAGTATATTTATGCCCTGTATCGTCCTTCACATCATGCGATAGCTCTTATTATATATATATCATGAGGGTCACACCAAACAAGACAACAATAACCAAAGCGGGAAATATAATCACTATTTATTGGTCACGAGGGTAGGTGTAATATGCTTAGTTCCAGCTTCCAAATTCCATGGTCACATTCAAGATGTGCAGTTGCGTGCTTCATCCTCTTACTGGTAGCCTAGTGAACAAGAGAAGCACATTCACCTCATTGTTGATGCCACATACTTTCTTTATAAACTTCATTCATTCCATTTGTTACCATTTCCTCACTCTATTTCACCCAGTATGATAATAAATCCGAGTACCTCTTAGATACATACTGACCTGTTGGTTCTAGTCATGACTTGTTAGACAGTATGCAGTAGATCCAGATTCCCAATATTTTGTCTTTACCCTCGGCATGTATATCGTCGGTTACTACAGATTCTTTTCTCAACAATTGCCTCCAAGGTTTCCCCTATTATGTATATAAGTGTAAGATAATGATGTTGCTGGTGGTTTGGGTACAGGATAGGATTTACTGATGTCCAGAAGTTGTTGTTACACCCACTCTGAAAACACCGCATACCATCTTGGTAGAAGCTGCCATCACCAGGCCACTGATCGGGTGAACATTCTTCATTATGGCACAAATGTCAACAGGGATTGGGCAGTCAGACGACTCATCTGTCAATAATGGTTGGTGTTCTCGACTGACGTGCAGCAGAAATAGTGCTGAATACTTCCCAAGGGGCCGACTATTTCATATTCTTGGCGTGTCTGAAATTTGTTTCAAGAAAAAGATCATTTGTTCCGGAAAATATGAGAAACAATAACTTTACCCCAAGTTTTACGAATTAAACAATTGTTCACTTGATGTCCTGGAAAAAAATATTTTCTGAAAAAGAATTTGTTCGGCTTCTCCTTTCAGGGAAATATAATCTATGGTTTGATGCAGTGACCATACAGCTATCTCTTAAACATCACCCCCTCCCTCTCCGCCCCCCTCCTACCCCCAGAATACGAAACGGTCAGTCCCTTATTACAGCACAGATGGGGTAGTCTCACGACTTGAAGGTCAGCAGTTGGGTTGATGCCGGCTTGACATATTTGTCATGCAACAAAGTAATACACCAGTGACAGCTGTGATGACCACGATTGGCTTTTTAGAGACGCTCATTCAGTGGTTCGTAAATATGACACCGACATTTGATAATTATCTGGTCCTGAAACGAAATGTTAGAAAATAATTGAGGCTTGATGAATTGTTTAATTGAACTGGAACAATTAGAACCTTACTCATATTGGAGAATAATAGAAGGTAGATGAAACGATGCACAGATTGTGTTAGTTTGATTGTTAGTGTGTGTCCCCGGTGCCTACTTGGTTGTGGATCACACTTGCTGCCGTTCCCATTGACTGTTTCACTTTATCTGTGACGTCCCCCTGGACAACATGGACAACATTAAACTTTGATATAATACCATCTGTTGTGTCTGGTTTTATTTTAAAGCAATGAACACAAGTAAAATTGAACCTGTTGAAACGGAAATTCACCAAATGTCATGTGATTGTTAACAGCCAGCTTAAGCAATGTCATGATTCATCGCAGAGGAGTGAAATCGTGGCACCACTAGACACTGTAAGTTGTAGCAGGGTCAAGAGGGGTACATGGTTTTATGCGTCCCTCGTTAAGCCCCCTCTACACAGGGCTGCGACCTTTGTGCCACCTTTGAGCGATCAAAAACTGGCCAGGACGTTCAATGATCGCCTAAACCCAGAAAATTGTGTTTCTATGTAACTGCTCCAGGAGTTGTTCAGCAGTAACTGCTCGAGTTGTTCAGCGTCTGCAACCACAATAAAACACTGCAGGTACATGCCCTCTATTTATAGGCAGGCTGAGGAGGCACTACAGGTAGCTCAAAGGAGGCAGAAGCATTGCCATGGTGTCTCAGGGTTGCCGTCATCGCCGAATTGAGGCACGGCGGTCGCCACAGTCATCGTTCAATGCACGCTGTTGGTCGCCCAAAGGAGGCACAAGGGAGGCAGAAGCATCACCCAGATTGACGGGAAAAATTACCTGTCGACAATTGGGCGACCACTGTGCCTTCATTCTGCAACAACGGCAATGCTAGTGCCTCCCTTCTGCCTCCTTTGAGCCACCTTTGAACAACCAATCTCCTCGGCGACCTTTGTGCGACTGTTTTGAACATGTTCAAAAATTCACGGCGACCATGGCGTCCATGGCGATGTCTGAAAATCCCGTGTACCACCTTGGAACGACCTAGGCAACCATTCTGCCTCCTTTGAGCCTCCAACGACGACCTGGCAAATTTTATGGTCGCACACTGGAGGCACGAAGGTCGCCATCCTGTGTAAAGGCCCCATTAGGTCTTATACCACGAGCCGATTCTATTCCTCGCTCAGAAATTTATTCCCCTCCAAAGCGGGATATTTTATCAAGATCACATGGAGCAATCAGGTCTTATCATTCTGACATGGAGATATGATAAATGCCTATCCAGCATTGAACAGACACTGGTAACTGGTTCATTTTATCGAAGCAAGGAAGTATAAATTTATGCTTGGAAACAATCGTTGATGTGGATAATACATTAAGTTTATTTACATGACGATACAGCGAGACATGAATTATCATAGCGTGAACCGTTGTATGTGCACCATGAGAACAAAAACATTAACAGTGACTAAGCAATCATTTCAGTTTATAATCCTTCCATTCCATTCATTTTCAACGTGTGATTCTTGTAACATTATTTTACAACGACTGCCTCAGAGATGTCAGTTAGCGCAGCAGATCTGTAACTTCAAAGAGTCATTCATCTGTGTAACTGGTATCTATTTTATTAGTACATGCGCAACAAAAGCTGTTCATCTACGTTCCTGAATACCCAAAAACTTTCCACAAGAAAAGTATCATGAACCATTTGGACTTTATATGTAAGGCAATCCTCACCAATATCTATATTAATTTGTGATCCCTGATGTCTAATGCAGTACAACAGAGTAGGTGCAGACTAATGTGGACATCTACTTTCTGAATGAAACTATTTACAAGTCATATCATGAGTGAATGACCATGACTAAAGTGACCTTGACATTAGATAAACCATGACACATGCACAGGTGAGGACGAGGTTATTCATAGTTTATCTTAAATGCTTGGAAAATACCTTTCTTTGTCATCAATAAACCCAAATTTCCCGAGGTTTGAGCCTGTTTCATAATGTGACCTTGACCTTGTACAAAAGTTGACATTAGGGAGACACAAGCTGTACCTTGTTCAGAGGTCTACTGAATTACATTGACCTTCAAAAGTAACCAAATCGTGTGTAACATTTGTTTGTTGTTTAACATCCCACTCAGCAATATTCCAGCTATATGGCTGCAGTCTGTAAATAATCAAGTCTGGACCAGACAATCCAGTGCTTGACATCATGAGCATCGATCAACGCAATTGGGATATGATGACATGCATCAACCAAGTCAGCGACCCTGACTACCCGATCCCGTTAGTCGCCTTTTTACAGCAAGCATGAGTTGCTGAAGACCTATACTACCCTTGATCTTTACATGTCTGAGATGTGACATGAATTCATACCATCAATATGTTACTACCAGATCGGGGCATGAGGCATTTGACACATTGTCTTTCAGAAGACTTCTTTATGAACTGGGGGCGGTCGGGTAGCCTAGTGGTTAATGTGTTCCCTCGTCACGCCGAAGACCCGGGTTCGAGTCCCGACACGGGTACAATGTGTGAAGCCCATTTCTGGTGTCCCCCGCCGTGATATTGCTAAAAGCATCGTAAAACCATACTCACTCACTCACTCACTCACTCACTCACTTTATGAACTGTCAGCTAAAAAGATTAATTGTTCTGAGCACATTATTGTATTTGTTCAAGAGACTTATTTGAAGCAACTCAATGAACATTTAATCCTGTATCCTACCCTACTTGCACAGAAGGTAGAAAGGTTTTGGTTTGGTTTGTTGTTTAACACCACACTCAGCAATATTCCAGCTATATGACGGTGGTCTGTGTAAATAATGGAGACCAGACAATCCAGTGATAAATATCATGAGCATTGATCCTTGCAATTGGGATCAATGACATTCATCAACCAAGTCAGCGAGTCTGATCAAGGAAGAAAGGACAAGGTATGATGGCCACTTTGGGCTATGGAATATGCATACTTTAAGAAATTAGGAAAACCTTTACAAAACACTACATATTTATCAGATGTGTGCATATGAATGAGAATTTAACAGTTCATGTTTTGAACTAATGACAACACTACATGCATAGATAAGGCTAACGTGTCAAAAAGGCCAAAGTTCAGGAAGCCTTTTTTTAATATGTATTTAAATCGAGCAAGTCCTTAACCTAAGCTAATATTCTTTAAGCAATAATCAGTCTCACTCACCCTGAGAATGGTCCACTGATACGATTATTACAGATATATTCAACAAACTGACTTTCATCATTGTGTATAATAATTGATTACTTGTATATATGGGCGGTGGGGTAGCCTAGTGGTTTAAGCGTTCACTCATCATGCCACCGACCCGGGTTCGATTCCCAACATGGGTACAATATGTGAAACAAACAAACAAACAAACAAACAAACAAACAAACAAACACACAAACACACACACACACTATTGCTAAAAGCGGCATAAAACCAGGTCCTTTCCAATGTGCAAAAAAAACTGTATATGGCCACTGACAGCCAAACAAATGTCTACTTTGGCTCATGTACTAACATGGGTAGTATCCAGTATTGTGTAGTCTTTCATTGTTTACTTGTGTACAATCAACAAGATGACAAACACATTCCCATCTTACAGAGAGTTTTAATGGTGACAGAGACAGCACAATACAAGTAAATGAAAGAATTTACATATGATTACAATACAAATCGCATGTTTCTGGCAGAAATGAAATTTAACAAATTGTAAGCAATCATAACAGTAACTGATAGACCGAACAATGTGAATATATATATACATGGCCAATCAATGTCTGATCCAATGAACACATCGTTCTAATTTCCTGGATGGGTGACAGTAGACTTGGCCTAAAGGCTTCACATTCGACATGTGCCACTGATTATAGAGTTATTGGATGAGGTTGTGGTGCTCTGACAGACAACCTTCAATGGGAAGGAAGCAACTGACAAGAGATTCTTGAATGGGCTTGATCAGGATGGGGAGCCAATGCTGTGAGAGACAGGTTCCAAGGGGAATGGACCCTTTACTGAAAGAGCCTATGATAAGAGAGTTCAATAGAATGGGAGTAACCAGTGACAGGCTTGAATAGGTTGTCAGCAACTGAAGAGAGAACAGCTTCATCAGGGAAGGTGATATGTTCTGGATCTGCTGTCCATGGTCAGGTTTAGCAACCTATTTCCCTGGTGGTCAATCCTCAAATTTAGTTAGATAAATGTGGCCAGAATCAATATGATTCTGGTAGATGAGCTTCAGCTAAGCACATGCTTGTTCAATATCAGTTGTGTAAAAAGTGAATGTGAAAGGATCTTTTTGACCAGTATTGGCATCAGCAGGCCCTCATTCAAACTGGATATTTTGACTCTAGTAGGCTCCTATGTGACTGGCACAAGGGAATCAGAAGGCTCTCATTTAACTGGAATAAAGACATCAAAAAGGTTCCCCCTGACTGGAATACAGTGAGTGAGTATGGTTTTACGCCACTTTTAGCAATATAGGCCCACATTGACTGGTATACAGACATGGCAATCCCTCATTGACTGGTATACAGACACCAACAGGCTCTCATTGACTGGTATACAGACACCAACAGGCTCTCATTGACTGGTATACAGACATCAGCAGGCCCTCATTGACTGGTATACAGACATCAGCAGGCCCTCATTGACTGGTATACAGACACCAGCAGGCTCTCATTGACTGGTATACAGACACCAGCAGGCTCTCATTGACTGGGATACAGACACCAGCAGGCCCTCATTGACTGGTATACAGACACCAGCAGGCTCTCATTGACTGGTATACAGACATCAGCAGACTCTCATTGACTGGTATACAGACACCAGCAGGCCCTCATTGACTGGTATAGACACCAGCAGGCCCACATTGACTGGTATACAGACACCAGCAAGCCCTCATTGACTGGTATCCAGACACCAGCAAGCCCTCATTGACTGGTATACAGACATCAGCAGACTCTCATTGACTGGTATACAGACACCAGCAGGCCCTCATTGACTGGTATACAGACACCAGCAGGCCCACATTGACTGGTATACAGACACCAGCAGGCCCTCATTGACTGGTATACAGACACCAGCAGGCTCTCATTGACTGGTATACAGACACCAGCAGGCTCTCATTGACTGGGATACAGACACCAGCAATCCCTCATTGACTGGTATACAGACACCAGCAGGCCCACATTGACTGGTATACAGACACCAGCAAGCCCTCATTGACTGGTATACAGACATCAGCAGGCCCTCATTGACTGGTATACAGACACCAGCAGGCTCTCATTGACTGGTATACAGACATCAGCAGACTCTCATTGACTGGTATACAGACACCAGCAGGCCCTCATTGACTGGTATAGACACCAGCAGGCCCACATTGACTGGTATACAGACACCAGCAAGCCCTCATTGACTGGTATCCAGACACCAGCAAGCCCTCATTGACTGGTATACAGACATCAGCAGACTCTCATTGACTGGTATACAGACATCAGCAGACTCTCATTGACTGGTATACAGACACCAGCAGGCCCTCATTGACTGGTATAGACACCAGCAGGCCCACATTGACTGGTATACAGACACCAGCAAGCCCTCATTGACTGGTATCCAGACACCAGCAAGCCCTCATTGACTGGTATACAGACATCAGCAGACTCTCATTGACTGGTATACAGACACCAGCAGGCCCTCATTGACTGGTATACAGACACCAGCAGGCCCACATTGACTGGTATACAGACACCAGCAGGCCCTCATTGACTGGTATACAGACACCAGCAATCCCTCATTGACTGGTATACAGACACCAGCAGGCTCTCATTGACTGGTATACAGACATCAGCAGGCCCTCATTGACTGGTATACAGACACCAGCAGGCCCACATTGACTGGTATACAGACACCAGCAGGCCCTCATTGACTGGTATACAGACATCAGCAGACTCTCATTGACTGGTATACAGACATCAGCAAGCCCTCATTGACTGGTATACAGACATCAGCAGACTCTCATTGACTGGTATACAGACACCAGCAGGCTCTCATTGACTGGTATACAGACACCAGCAGGCCCACATTGACTGGTATACAGACATCAGCAGGCCCTCATTGACTGGTATACAGACACCAGCAGGCCCTCATTGACTGGTATACAGACACCAGCAGGCTCTCATTGACTGGTATACAGACACCAGCAGGCCCACATTGACTGGGATACAGACACCAGCAATCCCTCATTGACTGGTATACAGACACCAGCAAGCCCTCATTGACTGGTATACAGACATGGCAATCCCCCATTGACTGGTATACAGACACCAGCAGGCCCTCATTGACTGGTATACAGACACCAGCAGGCTCTCATTGACTGGTATACAGACATGGCAATCCCCCATTGACTGGTATACAGACACCAGCAGGCCCTCATTGACTGGTATACAGACACCAACAGGCCCACATTGACTGGTATACAGACATGGCAATCCCCCATTGACTGGTATACAGACACCAGCAATCCCTCATTGACTGGTATACAGACACCAGCAATCCCTCATTGACTGGTATACAGACACCAGCAATCCCTCATTGACTGGTATACAGACACCAGCAATCCCTCATTGACTGGTATACAGACACCAGCAATCCCTCATTGACTGGTATACAGACATGGCAATCCCTCATTGACTGGTATACAGACACCAGCAGGCTCTCATTGACTGGTATACAGACACCAGCAGGCCCACATTGACTGGTATACAGACACCAACAGGCTCTCATTGACTGGTCAAAGAACGTGAGGTCACTGACATCATGAACTGTCATAGATCACTTATGTACTTATGTACTTACTACACAATTTGGGCTGGGATAGAATAGATATTTAGGATGAGGCTACCTCCAAACAGATTGGAACAGATTTCCTGTGGTCATAATCCAAGTTCCTGATCAAGTAACATTGGGGTTGGAATGAGATAGGGGCTGCTTGTTGCTACCTCCTGATAAATGCTACAACAGACAGCTAGTTGATAACACTGGTGGGAATTGTTATTCTACATGTTGCCATGCTTTGTAACATACAATGTTCATGTTCCTGGTCTAAAACAAACATCTGTTACAGGACAAATAATACAGAATTAATATGTACAAAGAAAATATATACAAAGATATTTACAATGAAAATCATAATAAGAGCCAGTACACATTAATATTCCTCAGTCAAGGTTTTATTTTCACCACACTATCATTAAACAAATGAAAGAATCCCTGACATTCGCCATGAGGTTGCTCCATCCAACAAGCGGAACACATTTAGTCTCGCAAACTCAGATCTCAGAGGTCTGGGGTAAATGAATAACATACATATCACCCTGTTTTCAGCAACAATTATGTTAGGAGGTATAACTTTCTGGTTGATTTTTAAATTTGATATAAAAATTGACCGGCTTTGACTATTTATATTTCAACAGCCAAACACAAAGCTTAACTCATTGCAGGTTCGTGTTCTGCAAAATTAACTTTAAAAACTTTATGTAAAACTGATGACATGCATCTTGAGAAACCGTATACAATTCTTGCTGATTATATAGGGATCTCACATTACCACGAATGCAATACACCAACATGTTGCCAGTATGGCAGCTTCAGACAGAAAAGAGACCAAGTGGGGTATTTGTCAGCACTACAAAGAAAGAAGAATGGCGCAACTTTGAAGCAATAAGATCAGGTAAAAACAGCTCATGCTGAACTCCATTCAACATTCACTTAAATCCTGTCCAAACCTGCCAGATCCTATACACTCACTGCTTAATTAAAATGTTCTGGTGGAGCTCCAGACTTTTTAACTTCCATGTCCATGTGACATCAAACACTTGTCCCCCACTCAACTAAACATCATCAAATACACAACACTATGGCAACTTCCTGCTGCCATCTTAATGCCCAGTATGCCTGACCAGTCATTACTGTAACAGGCATATTTCAATACAACTTCCCAAAAATCCATCTTCCGACACAGACAACCGACAGTGTTTGCTCCACGAGGCAGTGCTGAGAACATTGATGTGTTGCAGTTGTCCTACCACACATACACAGGCAGCACTAGGAGTTGTCATCAGTGGATGATAACCGTGGCATCTTACTGGGAGAGTTGCCCTCTGGGGTCTCAAGACTGGCCCTGGTAGAGTCTCTCTTCTTGCTGGCATTCTGGAAAATACATAACTCTGTAGACCTACCCAAGTGTAATCACAGCCATATTGAAAATAATTCATCCAGTACTAAAATTGTTGTATCCCCAACAGAGAACACACAAAATCTCAAAAGTCACAGCCTTTATCATTCTTATATGCTCTACTTGTACTTCTCTAGACTAGGTTTTCTTCAAACTTCTCTCACATCATCACATCCACTAATCCAGTCTATAACCCTATCTCTTCCTCTCTCTACTGACCCCTATCTTATTCTGTCACCACTAATCAAGACTATAAATCTATCTCTTCCTCTCTCTGCTGACCCCTATCTTAATCTGTCTCCACTAATCCAGGCTATAACCCTATCTCTTCTTCTCTCTACTGACCACTATCTTATCCTGTCTTCACTAATCCAGGCTATAACCCTACCTCTTCTTCTCTCTCCTGACCACTATCTTATCATGTCTCCACTAATTCAGACTATAACCCTATCTCTTCCTCTCTCTACTGAACCCTAGCTTATTCTGTCTCCACTAATCCAGACTATAACCTTATCTCTTCTTCTCTCTCCTGACCACTATCTTATTCTGTCTCCTCTAAACCAGGCTATAACTCTACCTCTTCCTCTCTCAACCATCTGCCCTAGTACTGCTTCCGCTGTTAACTTACTGTCTCTTAACTTTGATATATTGATAACGTTTCATAATACCATAACTTGTTCTCACCTCTTAACATCTGAAAAAATTCTTATGCAATGTGAAATGTGAGCACACGCATGATCCTTGTCTGTACCAGTCATACCCCAGTCTGTCCCTACTGACCTCACTCCTATCTCGGATGATCCATAGCCTAACCCTGTCTTTATACTTGAATGTGACATACCTTCTTATCCCACTGTTGGTGAAGATAGCGGAGGAGGATGTTGGTCTTCTCCGTTGTGATCACTGAAATTAACATAACATCTTCTCAGTGGTATCGACATGACAAAGAGAGGAAGATAATGAACTGGAATAGATGAACAATATGTATACATGCTTAAACTTTTGAGTCATTGAGCATAAAAATATATATCAAGTTTTTCCAAGACAAATGTAATTTTCAAGTATGAAGCAGCAGTGTAGATTGTATTTGTAAATTCACACACAACCATGAAAAAGGTAAACTCTAACAATACATCTTCAAATAATTAGATGCATGCATATCAGTTCTCATCATGCTAATGGCTTTGACAGCATGACCACGATGACTTCACTTAACTTACTGACTGAAAACTTCTGCTGGAACCAGTAATGTTTATTGTGTCAAAGCCTGCGCAAATTCCACAAATGGATACATGTGATTTGTTCTTGAAAGCCAGCAGAAGCAGCTTACCTTGCTCAGAGGGATAGTCTTTGGTTGAGATGTACACGGTAGGTCTACCAATCTACGGAAAAATCACACAAGAAAAGGTAATAAATATGTATGTTTGTGGTGCCACCGAAAATTATCACGAATTAAATACAGGGATCCAACACCAGCAACTAGTTACCCATTTTCACTAGTTAAAGCCAAAAGAAATAATACTTGTTTCAGGTAACATGGATCCAAGAGATAATTCGGTAGGTAGAGTTTTTATCATTTAATATTTATCTTAATAATGTTTAGCACAGACGGCTTGTTCAGAAATTATGTTGGTTGCAATGTTTTGCAATGTCCAAATAGCTTCAAGGATGATAATATGTGGAAACATCCGACTTTCTTCCCAAATGTACAACATGAGTTTCTTGACATGTTTCACAACTGGTCATATTTAGCCCAAACAGACATACCAAGAGCTAGAACTTAACCTGATCCTGATGTCAATACTGTTTGAATCAATTGATTTAATAAATGATTGCTTTCTGTGATCAATTATTTTCCTAGTATACATGTGCTAAGTTCATCTTAGTGGATTTGTGGCAGACATCAAAGTTAAGTAAAACATGTAATAAGTATACGGTGACAAAGCCTTTTGCTTGGTTCTGCATTCCGTTTCTGAATTATCCATGTAAACAGCCCTTGGCTGGCAAATTGGGAAAAATAATTATTTTGGGTTTGAAATTGGGATTTCTTTTCATAGACTAAATGTTAGTCTAGGTATATAGCTAAGCCAAATGAATTAATGTTGTAATTTTCACTAAACTACAACAATGATTTCGACAGTACATAGTTTATTCCACAATGTTCTTGTTTTCGACAGTACATAGCTTATTCCACAATGTTCTTGATTTCGACAGTACATAGTTTATCCCACAATGTTCTTGTTTTCGACATTACTTAACATTGCATTCAATGCAAGAATGCTTAAATTAGGCATTGGGTGTTCATAAATAATGCATGAAATAATTTCACACATGTAGTTCATCCATGATTCAATTCTCAAACAAAACCAAAGAGGTCTGCTCAGCGAAGCCAACAACCCAAGTGCTGCGTTTAATATCTCACATGGGCCATGTCTTAATTAGGGTCAAATTTATGAGAAAGCTCCAGATATTTTCTTACAGAATACTAACTGCCAGCCTGATTAGATTAGAGATGAGGTGAACTGGGGTTTAATGTCCCGCCCAAGATTATTGCACTAACATAGCAACATGCATGCACACGTGTGTGTTTGTGGCTGCTTGTAGTCTGGATTAATGCCAATTTTATAGTGTTAGCCTACTGAGATACCTTGCCACAGTTTGTCATGAATAGGCAGGAATTCTGAAGTTACATTTTGGCTGGACTAACAGTCCATGCATAGTCCAATCAAAATTGGGCTTGGAACTAGACATCTGGTTCGTAAATAACAATTTCAACGTGCAGAGTTTGATCGACTGCAGGATTTGCAAAGCATGTCTATCGTCAACTTGGCGTTGACAAATATTTTCCAAATACTTTCATGTTTTTAGTCAAGGTCCCCAAAAGAGTTGATGCACTTCGCGAGAAAAGGCCTGATTTATTACAATACAGATTTTGATTATCGATCAGATCATGTTTGAAGCAAATGCAAGTGATGTGAGATGTGGAATCTGATTGGTCTGTACGAGGGACATAACTCGTAATAGTCATTGGTGGGCTATGATCAGGCACAAATTCCAGCCTAGTTTGTTAGGGTGGAAACTTAGTAGCCACCCTGTACCTCTGCCACATTGCCACATCTTACAAAGTCCATTCAAAATATTTCAGAATGCACATGCTCTTAAATCTACACAATTAGATAAATATATGTCATAAAATGTTTAAGTTAACATGAAAAACTATATATATATTTGTATTTGCATATTTATCCCTTGTCAACATTGGTTGTCTTGCTCCACATGTTGTCATCAAAGCACTTCGGAGAGCTAGCAAATACAGTCACTTTGATATGTAAAGCTATACTGTCATGTACCTCACTGTCGCAGTTGTAATATCATATCTACATAATTATGCAAAACAATACGTAAAGAGTACTGATAGCCTTGCATCGGTTTATTGGCTATTGTTTGTAGACAATGCTACAGAACAACTAGTCAACGTACTGGCCCCTTAAGGCAGTTAGTAACATCAGAATGGCAATGACTTAATTGTTAAACATGTCTTGTCCTGGACAATAGACAATCATCCTGGACAGTTTTTAGTAGTAACATTCATCATGGATGATGGCAGAATGTTGTGTTTACAAACCCATGAAGTATTGATGCCGCTACTGTCTATAGCTGAGTCTAAACTGGCTAGAAAAATTGTGAATTCGAAAGGTGCTCCAAGAGCTGTTAATGATGATATCTTAAAAAGTATTTCCTGGCAACTTCCATTCTTATTCTTTTCTTGTGGACCATTTTTAGCGAAGTGACTTGTACCGTACCGTTCTCCAGTAGCATTGAAACAGCGAGACGTTAAGCATGCGGAATGCTGCACAAGAAACATAGTATAGTGCATGTTAACTTACATCTAAACTATAGTAAGAAACTGTACAGAATTCTAATGTTCATACATACGCTGGTTTTGCACCCCGAATCAGTATGGAATTTAGCAAAATTACTCTCATTGTAGGATGGGAGACCTTTCAAAAAGTCCGCCTGCAAACAAACATAGTATACAGTGAAATATTGATCAAAGTACATTAAGCAGCATGACAAATAATTTAATGAATATTACAATCAACTGGTATCAACTACACGCAAATTTGATTTTGACAGTTAAATCAGCTTGCCTACCCACCATTTTGGCCAAAAACTTCCTGTCCAATCGCGCATGCGCAACCGGAAAACATTTATGTATTACTTGTCTTCAGGCGTATTTGTATCGAAAGCATTTTTCAAGTTGATGAAAATTAGAGCAATTTTACTATATCAATTTATTTTTCGACAATAAGTTTAGGTATTTGTTTATAAATGTAAATATTGTTTTCTATATATTAACGTTGTCTTTTATGATATACAAGAAAGACTATGTTGTTCTTGTTATAAGTCGTTAAAAACATCTTACCATCACTTCAAGATGTCGGACGATGATTTTATGTGCGATGACGACGAAGAGTATGATTTGGTAAGTACATTTGGACGGTTTTGTGACATAAACTGCCGTCAATGGTTTATTGTCATCCGTGTAAACAGCTCTGTTAAATAAAAATGAGTGATCTTGGGTGTGTCAGCACCACGTCGGCAGCAACTCGACTTCCCTCCTAATGAACGAGTTGGGTTGCGATAATTTCGTACACACAACAAACGAAACTAACAGTAAGAGCACTAAGACGGTTCTTCAGATAATTCCGCAGACAAGACTGCGGTTACCGAGCGTAGCTTCTTCCACTAATTGGCTGCAGGCTGTTGCTCTCACTTCACTGCTCCCCCGTGCCTCTCCGATCATTCGGGTTATTTGTGGGTAGGTTACCCCAACTTCAACCCAGGATCGCCATGCCGATCAAGCCTTTTTTAGCGATCAGTAGGATTAGTACCCTATTCCAATCAAACACTTCTTCGCGATCCTTATGTATGGGCACCCATCACTTATCATTAATCCCTTTACAAACCCTTTGCGTTAGTTTGCTCCTGGATCCTTGGAATAAGTTGTGAGTTAATGTATGCATTTTGAAACTCATGTCATGTCAGAGTTTTGAGCATCTTAGGTAAACAATTGCATGCTGATCATGAGGTTAACAAGTACGAATTATTTGTGATAGCCCCAATTGTCATATGGTAAACTGTCTGATTAGATTACCTCGTTAGCCTAGTTGAACTTGAAGCTTGCAAAACGAGTTCGATCCTCCACTTGCAGCAAATTGAATACTGAAAAAGTGCACTGCACCCATTCCACACATATGGAAAAGTAAACTCACACCAAGTGTTACATCCTTACTTTTTAGAGTCAGCACACCCTTTCAAGAGTGGCACCTCTCCTTGTCAACATTCTGGGCCTCTTATTCATTTATTTATAACAATGTTGACTTTTGGCAGTGTTTAATACCTGCAGTGGTATATTGCTATGTAAGACAACCACCAATGAGCGCACATGTCCTATACGCAATATTCTAGCAAAGCGCCACTGTATGTGGCAGAGTTAAAATGAGGCACTTCAAGCTTGAATTTCATCAGTCTCATTAAGATCAGATACTCAGATACTTTACCTCTCTGCATGAAGATCTGTCGTCACCTCCATTGGTCAGGTAAATCCTGCGCAAACTTGAACTCCCAATCTGAATGCAAGATGCATGGTTTTCCCCTTGTCTATTTTTATTGCAAGGAAATAACATTTTGCTTTGCTTCAAGGTTATATATCCATTTGTAGTGACTTTGTCTCGGAATATTAAGACAAAGGAGAAAATTGTGACAAGTAAGTGTGAATGATGTATAGATCTAATTAAGTTACTTCAGCCAAGGACATCTTTGCACTGAACATGATGTTGAAAGAATTAATTTTCATACATTTTTTTATTTGTTGAAAGTTGGGACTGGCAAAAATTGGGAGGGGACTGGTAATTATTAGAGCTGCTTCAATGTAGAACTGGCAGTTTCAAAAGCCAGCAGGAACACTGATCAATGCTGATGGGATCATCATATTAGGCAACCGCTTGTTCAATGGTTGTTTGTTGGATCACACTAAGTTATTTTATGTACTAATTTCTGGATTAACATATCGTTTCAATTTTAGAATTGACACCTAACATTACGTTGATCTCTCTACTTCTTCTACATGAAGACGTTCAACGCATTGTATCTTGAAGATTTGCTGCATTTTCGCATGATGTCTTTCACGCTACTCCGAACAATCATTCGGGCGGGAGACCACATGGTCAGTCTCGACCTACAAGACGTGTATCTCCTCCATTTCCTCCAGTTGATTTTACTTCAGTAACTATTAAAAGGAGCAAGCCTTGCTGGCTACATACAAATATGTTGTTAAGTCTAGGCCTGGTATTACCAAGTCAGTCACAAAGTTTCTGCATGTGCAAGATATTGTCTTGAGGCTTATATTGATGATTGTATTCAAGCCCATGCAGATCCAGACACCCTCATGCAACACCTCAGTCCACTCAGTGACATCTCCATCAGCTAGGTTAGCTCATCAACGTTGCAAAGTCTGAGACGACTCAGAGGAGGATGTTTGTTCCCACGAACAAGTGGTCGAAGATACAATGTTTAGTGCAGTTGGCACTCAGACACCCCCTACCTCTATGCAAATGACAACATTTGCTAGGTCTTCTGACATAAGCACAAGCACTCACTCAGAGGGGTCAACTCAAGCTTCTTATCCAGGGCTTCTTGAGGCCCTATCTCCAGGATAACTCCGGGGTTTGCTCTCTCTACTGATCTCACTATATCAGCATCATCAGTTGTGGCTGGTGCTCTCGAATGTTTGTGCCTGAGTCCCTTTGCGACTGCTCATCCAGACCCAACACCTCATTATCGACTCTTCGACTGTGGGCTGGGGGGCTCACCTCCATGATCTACAGGTGGCAGAGCGCTGGTCTGTCCATGAAAAGAGACTGCATATCAACAACCTCGTATTTGAGGCAGTCATTCTGGCTGTGTCCCACTGCATCTTAACTCATGATCCAGTCGGGCGATCTAACCAATGTCTGGTACATCAACAAAATGGGCTCCCCCAAGTCAACCTCCCTCTTGTCACTGACACTTGACTTCTTCCAGTTGATTGACTCGCTGAACATTCAGGTCAGTGCAAGATTCCGAAATACACGTCATAGCAGACTCCCTATCCTGACCAGACTAACTGTCAGTGACGGAAGGGCATCTCCCAGATCATCAGGCATGGGACCACGATGCTCTTGCCATCTAGTAAGATAACCTCAACGCCTACGCCTTTCCCCCTACCAGCCTTCTACCTGAGGTTCTTCAAAAGGCGGCATCCACCAACCAACTTCGACTGCTTTTGGTCACGCCCTACTTGCCAGCTCGATGATGGTTCACAGTGCTGGTAAACAGTGCAGAAACAAAGTCTCACCATCTTCCGCTCAGGGACGATCTTCTCCACCAGCCTTACACCCACCTACTTCATCCATCGCCCGAAACCTTAAATCTTTGTGTATGGCTCATCTCCAGAAGTCGATTGTCACCAAAGGGTATTCAAAGAGAGTAGCCAAGACCATCACTGAGGCTCACCGTACCTCCACCACAGCCTTATATGACCATAAATGGAAGGCATTGAGGCATACTGTCAAGCTCGTAGCATCACCAAGCTGATCTGCAACATGAGTATGTGGGACCTTAAGGGCTCTACTTTGGCTATGTATCTCTCTGCGATCTCAGCTCCATCATTGCCTACGATCTTCATGGTTGCTGAGCTACAGTCCCTCATTCTGTCCAACAAGTTGGCTGACCTGCCATCTTATTTCCGCCCGCCCACTTGGGATCTTAATGTCATCTTCTGCCATCTGCCCTCTGTGGAGTATGAACCACTTGCTGAGAAGGACTTAAGAGTTGATCACCTTTCAGACGGTATTTTGCCTGGCATTTGCAACTGCTGCTAGAATGAGTGAGACCCATTCTCTTGAAGTTGACCGCGTCCAGTTTGAGAGAATTCACAATGGGAAGGTGTATCTGGGATTTCTTTGCTAAGAATCAGTTTTCTTTGCGAAGAATCAGTTTCCGGGACAGTCAGACCGGTTGTTGACCATACTGTCGTTGGCATCCATGCTGAACCCAGATGACCATAATGATATCTCCTTATGCCCTGTTAGAGCTCTCCACATTCTACCTCGCTGGAAGGTGTGGCCGTTTCGGCGGTGTCCCGATGCTTCACCCGCTCACCTCTGCCTTGTGCAAGTAATGTCTTAGTATTGGTTTAAAGTCCTCTTCTGGATGTTGTTGATCGTTCCTCTTCTCGTCTTAGCATGCTTCAATCTAACGAGCAGGATTGATAGCTTTGACGAAGTGTTCAGAGAGATGCCAAGCTGGCTTACCCTGTTGTCCGTAAGAGATAGTGGTGTAGTCTGTCTTGTAGAACTGATTGCCTGGAGACCCCCTCCGGATTGGTTATAAGTCATAATGTGAATAGATCCCTATTCAAAGATATGCTGTTAATCGTGTAATGATGTCCTACATGAAAAGACGTAACACATGTCATACCTAATTTCATGTTGTTACGTCCGACTGGCGTAAAGGGGTCACATCACCTGTTATGGTGTTTTTACCCACTCACAAGTTCTTGTCTTTTCTTGGGCGGTCGGGTAGCCTAGTGGTTAAAGCGTTCGCCAAAGACCCGGGTTCGATTCCCGACATGGGTACGATGTGTGAAGCCCATTTCTGGTGTCCCCCACCGTGATATTGCTGGAATATTGCTAAAAGCGGCGTAAAACCATACTCACTCACTCACTCACTCTTGTCTTTTCTACACTAGGCAGTGTATAACTTAAATAATTTGTGTCACTTGTTTGCACCAGCTTCCTTGTGTACGTCTCACAGTGGTAGTCTATACAGGCTCTCCAACTGTGTGAGATTAAATTAAAACAAATTAAATTGTACGTTAAATTGTATATTTATAATACTTATCTCACACGTTATATGCCCGCCCAGCCATCCCCGCATCACAGCTCCTCAAACCTGTCAGTTCTAAGAAAGAGTATTATGTGGCAGGGGTAGTCAGGTGATCAAGTTGTGTAAGGTCACAACACACGGGATTTCAGTGCATGACCCATTTATTTGGGTGGTGACCATGGTGATGTTGGAATGTGTTCAGGCGAAATGTTCTTAGAAGCTGGAAACTTTTTTAAAGCACACTGCCATTGATGCTACATTTCAACAAACACATAGTATTTGTCATGAACTTTGGAATGTACAATTACCTTTTTCTTATGAAAGCAGAATTTTTTAAGCCATTGTATTGGAGACAGACAGTATTTTTTCGGCCACCTCCGTGGTCTTGTGGTCGAGCTTCCGCCCAGAGAGCGGAAGGTCCGGGGTTCGACCCCCGGCCGCGTCATACCAAAAGACGTTAAAAGATGGTACTTGTTGTTACCCAGTCTGGCACTTGGCATAAAGGGGCTAAAACTGGTCGGCTCAAAGTCAGTAAACTGTGTCTGAGTGGGGTATTCATATTGAACTGCGGCATGGTATCTCAGTGAGCTAGCACTATAAATCGGCATCAGTCCGGACTAGTACAAGCAGCCACGCAAACAAGTGCATGCACATCGCTATATAAGTACAATAATCTTGGATGCGACGTTAAACCCAATTTCACCTCACCTCACCTCAGTATTTTTTCAGTATTATAAACCTCCAGTGATGTCATCCTATTGGTTTCCAGTAGGGATAAATATCATAAAGAGGGATGTAATATCCCTGGGACATTTGCTATATAATATCCTGAGGATTTTATCAGTAGTTTATATTGTGACATATGAATGTTTCTTGCTCGAAATTTATTTTGGATTTGATAACGGTTCAAATGGTTTCTTTATATTCCAGTGAATTTAACATGCAACCTTCGTATCTGTAGCCCAGTGAGTGTACCACTAGGCTACAGAGGCGCTGATAAATCACAATGCTTTTAAGAATGTCTTTTTCAAGTATCTGTACGACAGCAACAGCATTTTACACCGGTTTCCTAAGGTTCATGGAAAGTATGTTTGAAACATAAAAATGTTGATGTGTTGTTTTAAGTTTCTTTTCTCGGTTTATAAGTTAGATAAAAAACTTACCTTCAGGTTTTTATGAAATTGAAACCCTGAATCGAAGGGTCAGAACAGAGGGGCATGTGCCCCTATGATCATGATGATGACGGTTTTAAATCTCATAAAAACCCTCTGACATATTTTATCCTACACTTAAAGCCCAAACTACCAAATACATGCATGCTTGCCGTAAAAGGTGACTATGCTTGTCGTAAAAGGAGACTAACGGGATCGGGTGGTCAGGCTCGCTGACTTGGTTGATGCATGTCATTGATCCCAGTTGCGTGGATCGATGGTCATGATATCAAGCACTGGATTGTCTGGTCCAGACTCGATTATTTACAGACCGCCGTCATATAGCTGGAATATTGCTGAGTGCGGCGTTAAACAACAAAACAACAACAACAACCAAATACATGGTCATGTATACAAAGAAAGACAACTACATGTTTCTAGTGTGACAATAAAGAATTCCTGAGTTTATGAACACATTTTATGAAATACACAGATCTGTTTAGATAGTTTCAGGTAGTACGAATATCAGGTTTTATTTTTTATCTACTCTGCGAAAATGAGTTGTTATGACCATCCACTTGTCACGAACACAATTATCATGTCAGACATATTCTGCAGGAATACTCGGAAGAGAGTAACTCGGAGCCTGATGTGGACCTAGAGAACCAATACTACAACTCAAAAGCTCTCAAGGAAGATGATCCTAAAGCAGCCCTTGAGAGTTTCCAGAAGGTGAGTCACTACCACTGTCAGCAGCATAGACTGATGTAGAGCAATATCTAAGAGCTCCAGGGGGCGGTGGGGTAGCCTGGTTGTTAAAGCGTTCGCTAGTCACTCTGAAGACCTAGGTTCGATTCCCCACATGGGTACAATGTGTGAAGCCCATTTCTGGTGAACCCTGCTGTGATATTGCTGGAATATTGCTAAAAGCAGCGTTAAACCATACTCACTCAGAGCTCCAGATAAGGTGCATATCTGCAAACTTAAACTCCATAACCCAATTGATTTTGAAGAATATGCTTGAAAAATTTCGAATACCTAAAAGTATAACAGTACAGCCATACACTCTATGTAGCCTTTTCTGCTTGTATTTGTGAGCATTATTTCCATATTAGATTACTATCCAGCACTATAGTCATTGTCAGGTAAAGGTTATCTGAGAGCAGTGTTGTCGGGCATCAGTTACACATGAATAGTATTATATGAAATATACTTTGCCCTACCCTCTTGTGTAGTGTATTAAACTGTACTTCACAGCTTTAGAAATTGGCACTAGTCCTATAGTCCTTGCCGAACTGCCCAATACAGCTTTAGAAATTGGCACTAGTCCTAGAGTCCTTGCCGAACTGCCCAATACAGCTTTAGAAATTGGCACTAGTCCTCGAGTCCTTGCTAAACTGCCCAATAGTTAAGGTATCATAAAAACTAGTACTAGTAGAACATGTAGAAATTTGCCAAGTTTGGGGTTCTCATGGTTTTGGCATGTGCTATCATTATAAAGAATAGTGGTCTAAAAATATTAGTTTCTACCGCTGCATTATTACACAACACATGGGGGTAGAGAAAACTTTATGATTTTTTTAAGATCCATTGCAACAAGTTGGACTTAGGTTCTATAGGGTAGAGTTTCTTTCCGGAGCATAACTCAAAACCCATTCAATACTTTCCAACAAAAACTGTGCATGTTTACCAGACACATACTGGACTGGTGCCTCTTGCTATTTAGGAATTTTAGAAATTTTTATTTTTCACGTTTCCATGGCAATAAGTTGGACTTAGGTTCTACAGGGGTGGTGTTCGTTTCCAGAGTGTAACTCAAAAACTTAAATACTTTCTTACAAAACTTTGCATGTCTACCAGGCACATACTGAACTGGTTTATGTTTCCATGACAACAAGTTGGATTTAAGTTTTAATATAGGATTGGTTTACTTAAGTAGTATAACAAATAAACTGTTAAATATTTCCTTGCCAAACATTGCATGTCTATATATAAAGTGCATACTGAACTAGTGCCATTTGATATTAAGGAGTTTTAGAAATGTTTATTTTAGAATTTCCATTGCAGCTATTTTGACATGGGCTAAGAGAAATGTTGGGTCAGTTACCTGGTTTGGGACCATAACGTGTTAAAATGGGCGGGGGATATAGATGACTTTGTCAACTATACACTTGTTGATATTACCCTGGGGGGCGGTCGGGTAGCCAAGTGGTTAGAGCGTTTGATCGTCACGCCGAAGACCCGGGTTCGATTCCCGCCATGGATACAATGTGTGAAGCCCATTTCTGGTGTCCCCCGCCATGATATTGCTGGAATATTGCTAAAAGCGGCGTAAAACCATACTCACTCACTCACTTATTACCCTGGTCAATGGATCAGTGTTCACTCAACAATCATTCTCATTCTCTTTCTGATTAAATCCTCCTTGGGGCACTTATTGCATTTTCCTTGCTCAAGAAAATCTATATGACATAGTTGTAACCATTTTCCTTAATAAAAAATGTTACCACACAAAAAACTTCGTTTTTGTATGATATACGACCACCCTTACGGGGCCTCACCCCCAACGGCGCCTCACGCCAGGGGGAGCAACTCTCACCCAAATCACTTTCCTTATGTCATCTGTAAGAGACAGACGTGTTGATTTTTCACACAAGACAAAAATAAGAGAAATCTATCGTTCGACAAGAACCATGGCTGACCAAACTGTATGTATGGTACATTTCTTTCTTTGCAAAGGCGTAATACCTCGCATTGTGAAGTTATAGAGTTGTAATAATACGCCACGTGCACGGTACCTTTGAATTCAAATGGCCGTAATGGCGTCCATATTGTAGTTCCACGGGCTGATACATGTAACACCAAGGCCATTAAGAAACGGCTTGGGGTTTTGTTATATCATACAGCATTGGTCTACAATTTTTTCCTTTACAAAACCCAAGGTGGTGTGTTAATTCATAAACTACACTTACCTTTTTTACGGGTTTTTACACCTTAGCGCGTAACACGCCCCTTTGGTGTTATAATTATACTACACATTGGCTATTAGTATCGCGTTACAAATCGCATTCTACATTACGCCTTTGCTTCTAGTTTCACAATTTATGCACGTTTCTTTCCGATCTTTATATCGCACTGATACACGTTGATACCCTTCCCGCCCACCTCAGAAATTACGGTCTTGTTTACAAGACCTTCAAACTGTGTACGGGTTGTTCTAAGACAGGCACGAACGCTGCCGAATATGTCTGGCGGAGGACATTGCCTTTACCCCCCGGGGCCCCCAAAAGAGACAAGTTGACTTGTTCCACTTTAAAGAGGTCTATTAAAGGCGGGGGTAGATATCAGATCTACTAAGACATCCCCCCCTCCCCATCTAAAAAGGGTAAAAAAGCTGCCGAGATTGTCTCCCCCGCTCCCTCTCCGGGGGCCGGGGGAGAAGGCTCGAGGGTCCCCGTAGTAAGCACTGCACCCTCTCCTGCACTGTCTTTGGCAGACTTTTCTGCGTTACTTAAGTCGCAGATGGCGTCGATGATGGAGGAGGTAAAGTCTCAGCTCCGAGAGGAGATGCGGACCGAGCCTTCCCCGTTGTCGGCGCCGGACGCGGCTTCGAGACCTTGTGATATGCCCGGCGTCGGCCGAGGCAGGCAACTTGGTCTCGGGGACGATCTCAGACCGGGCTTCGGCGCCGGCTCGAGGTCGCTCCCCAGCGGAGGGGTGGCGGGCGCCGGCCCGTGCACTACCGACGCACAATTTTCCCTAGCGGAGCCAGACGCCTCTTCCGAGGCCGAGGCGTCCACTAGTGGATATCTAGCCCGGAGCCAGGTTGGTTCCCTTTGTCTCGGGGACGATCCGAGACCGAGCTTCGGCTCCGGCTCGAGGTCGCTCCCCAGCGTAGTGGTGGCGGGCACCGGCCCGTGCACTACCGACGCACAATTTTCCCTAGCGGAGCCAGACGCCTCTTCCGAGGCCGAGGCGTCCACTAGTGGATACCTAGCCCGGAGCCAGGTTGGTTCCCTTTGTCTCGGGGACGATCCGAGACCGAGCTTCGGCTCCGGCTCGAGGTCGCTCCCCAGCGTAGTGGTGGCGGGCACCGGCCCGTGCACTACCGACGCACAATTTACCCTAGCGGAGCCAGACGTCTCTTCCGAGGCCAAGGCTTTCACTAGTGGATACCTAGCCCAGTGCCAGGTGGGTTCCCTTGAACCTCGGCACCGGGACTCGGCCTCGGGCCGGGTGCAGAGACACGTGCGGGACAGGATTGTCCATGTACTGCCTCAGGTTGCTGCGCCCATGCCAGAGTCGGAGACACCCAACTTGACTAAGGTCAAGCAGGGCCGGCGGTTGCCCCCCCCTTTCCCGTGTGCGGTGCGGAGTTGAAGGCTGCTTACATATGCTTCGAGGAGCAATATCATAATGCATGCCAACAGCTCCGTGTGTCCGTACACTCCGCGTATCTGTCGGCTGTACAGAGGGAGTTAGCGGGAGAGGGGCCGGCCGACTCTTCGGAGTTGGCCGCGCAACTAACATTATCTTGCGCGGGACGCTATTCGTAGCTGTGCATCGCAGATGATGTGCGCTGTTATGTGCATGCGCAGGCGGTGGATGTCGGTATCTAAATACTCGACTTACACACGCCAAGACCTACTTGCTTTGCCGTATAAGAGGGTGCCACCCTCTTCCCTGGGGCTCAGCAGGCGGTCCGAGAGGCTGCTCAATTGTATACTTCCATCAAAGACTCATAAGGCCTTGTTGGAGGTACCAAGCGTTAAAACCGCGTAAGCGGGCCTCTCCAATTGTCCCCTCCTACGCTAACGCACGGGTCAGACGTCCACACCTGCTTGGAAGCCGCCGCTTCCTTCAGGTATAAGGGCGCCGTGAGGAGCAAGAGAGGCACGGGCCGGGGCAAGGCAGCTGGTCGAGGCCAACAGCTTTTTCGCGGGGCTGGGAACGATGGGTTCCCATTAGCGCCCGAAGAGCCCCGGGTGAACCCATAGTCGCAAGTTATCGGGAAAACTCATCCGCTCCTCCACTTTTCCGGGATAAAGCACACACCGGTGCCTGCTACCCGAGAGAAGGCGGAATTCCTCCGTGCCGAGGTCGACGCACTTCTTATGAAAGCTGCGATCGAACCGGGTCCCGAGGGACAGGAAAGCGAGGGCTTCTACTCGACTTGTTTCCTAGTCACCAAACAGTGATCTCAACTGTCGAGACAGGAGAATGGCTAACGTCAATAGACTTAAAATACGCCTATCTCCACATACCAATACATCCAGAGTTCAAGAAATACCTGAGGTTTTCTTTCGACGGGAGGTGTTATCAGTTCAGGGTTCTACCATTCGGGATCTCCACGGCCCCGAGGGTGTTCACCAAGCTGATGTTGATTCCCGCCCAAGTGGCCAGGTCAAAAGGTCGGTTCTGCCATCCGTACCTCGACGACTAGGTTACTAAGAGCTCTATTGCAATCCCTGAGTCAGATAGCTACACAACAAGTGATAGATATTCTGATCACTCTAGGGTGGATGGTCAATCTCAAGATGTCAGATCTGAGCCCCACTCAGAATCTAGTCTTCCTAGTGGCTAATTTCAACACGGTGAGAGGACGTGTATCTCTGTCACAAGATATCAAGTCCCTTAAGCGCAAGTCACACTGCTCGTACATGGCTCCAGTTACTGGACAACATGGCGGCGACAGTGGATTTGGTCTGGCGGGCGCGCTTGAGAATGAGTCCCATTCAACAAGCACTCCGTCGACTTTGGGCGAACTCGGAAGATCTCGAGACTGTGCTCGAGACTCCGTAGTGGCTCATTACACACCTCCAGTGGTGGACCGAGGTCGGGAATCACTCCCGTTCCGTCTCTCACAGTTCAAACAGCGCGTCACTCTCCGGCTGGGGAGGCGTTCTGAATGATCACACTGCCTCGGGACTATGGTCCCAGCAGGAGATCAAACTGCATATCAATGTGCTAGAACTGAGAGCGGTCAGGTTGGTGTTCCAACGTTTCCCGGATCTGCTTCGTGGCCAAGTGGTTCGTCTAGAGATGGACAACCAAACGGCGATGACTTACATCCGGAAGCAGGGGGGAACGGCGTCTCCGTCGCTTCGACGAAAGACGTGGCAGTTCCTACTATAGTGCGACTCTCACGATATCAGGGTGCTACCTGTTTATCTCCCGGGGGTGGACAACGTCCGTGCGGACGCTCTGTCTTGCCGGATCCTCGCTCCTCACGAGTGGAGGCTCGACCCGGGGATATTCGGGATTTTCTCCCTGTTATACAGGTCGTTACAGGTGGATCTGTTTGCGTCTGGGTTAAATAACCAGACACCAACGTTCTGCTCCCGAGTCCACGACCCGAGGTCGGTGGCACCGGACGCCTTTCAGCTAGATTGGACGGACAGTTCTGTGGGCATTCTCCCCAGTACCTCTGATTTCCAAGGTCCTGTCTCAGCTAGGCACTCAGCCTGCGCGACTAATTGTGCTCCTGGCACCTCTTTAGTCGGCGCAGAGTGGGTTTCCAGTAATACTCAGGTTTCTGGCTCAGCCTCCTGTTATATTACCTTTACGACCGGACCTCCTATCCCAGAACGGGGCCCTCCACCCGAATCTCAGGATTCAATGGGTGGCTTGGCCACTGTCAGGAATCGCCTCCAGAAGAGCGGTATTCCTGCACGAGTTGCAGACACAATACTGGCTTCGCGGAGGGATTCGACAAACGTTCAGTACGATAGATAGGCCTGCTATGCGCCCAGGTGTGTCGATAGAGGGATTGCAGATCTTTTTTCTGCAGATCTCGTATCCGTGCTTGAGTTTCTCCAGTCGCGACTAGATGACGGCCTGGCCGCATCAACAGTCCGAGGGTACTCTACAGCTATCGCAGCTTTTCACGTCCCTGTCGACGGGGCACTTCTGGGTGCACACCCATTAGTGCAGCGCTTTTTAGCAGGTGTGGACAGGATCCGACCGCCAGTCCGGCGGATCAGTCCCCCTTGGGACTTGTCAATCATTCTAGATTGGCTGTCCGGTCCTTCCTTTCGGGATCTGTCGTCTCTCTCTCTCTTCAGCTGTTGAGCTGGGAGACGGCGTTCCTTGTGGTGGTAACGTCCGGCAGACGGGTAGGCGACATTCGTGTTATGTCAGCCGATCCCAAAATAACTGTCTTCCATGGGGTCGATAAATATCACCGGGACAGTCAGTTTTCGTCTACCGGACTATTACCGTCCTAGGGTCGCACACGATTCCACGTGAACGGCTCCTATTGAGCTACCCGCTCTTTCACAGCCTTCCTCGTCGGGGACCACTGCAAGACATGCTCATGTCTTGGATGTCCGCACGACTCTCAAGGCCTATATCAGCAGAAATATGGGTGTCCGTAAGGATAACCAACTATTTTGCTGTTACTGCGGTAGGAAGGTTGGCTCACCTGCGAGTAAACAATCTATCTCGAGGTGGATAGTTTCAAACATTTGTACAGCGTATACGCTTACAGGCAGGGACCCCCCTACCAGGTTGAAGGCTCATTAGGTTAGAGCAGTGGCTGCGTCAAAAGCGTACGCCGCGGCTCTGCCCATTGAGCAGATCTGCTCCGCGGCTATTTGGAGCCAGCCGAGCACGATTCATCAAACCTTACCAACTCGACAAACACTCAAGCGAGCGTACTCGGTTTGGTCAGTCAGTTCTCCGAACTGGGCAAAGTTCTAATCTCTAGCTGATTGAGCATTCGAGATTTTAGACAGTCTTCCGGTTATACTGCTCAGTAATGGTCCGGATTTTATCTTCTGCGGTCGATAAATATCAGTCCTTACTACTCGATAATACTCGTATTTTGCGCACGCACTCCTTCGATCCTCGGGGACCCTCTGGCCTAGCTCAGCGCTGGTTATGGTCTCTCGTGATCTACGCCCTTATATCACTTGTTCAAAAAAGTGTGGGGGGGTGGGAGGTGTTTCGAGTTCTCAACTTATGACAAGCCGCAAAACAGGCTTTATCATAATATATGGTCGACCACGCCCTGTCTCTAGCCCCCGCCTTTCGACGGTGGTGCCTCACGATAAGGTTGGTTCCATTTATTGAACTCAATATTTTATTCTGTTGAATAATCAAATACGATGTATTTATTTACGCCTGTTGCTGACGGATGCCACTTCCTAGATTATCTTTGGGAGTCTGTCTTGATGCAATAAGTGCCCCAAGGAGGATTTAATCAGAAAGAGAATTTTACAAACCTGTAGAGGTTATGAATTCTCTGATGAAATCCTCCTTGGGGCACGGCCACCCACCTCCCCACATTCCGTCAGCATTTGACATATGGAAAGTGATTTGGGTGAGAGTTGCTCCCCCTGGCGTGAGGCGCCGTTGGGGGTGAGGCCCCGTAAGGGTGGTCGTATATCATACAAAAACGAAGTTTTTTGTGTGGTAACATTTTTTATTAAGGAAAATGGTTACAACTATGTCATATAGATTTTCTTGAGCAAGGAAAATGCAATAAGTGCCCCAAGGAGGATTTCATCAGAGAATTCATAACCTCTACAGGTTTGTAAAAGTTTCCTGGGGAGTATACAACCCAAGCTGCCTGTGTGGTGCTAGAAGCTTAACAGACACATTGCCATCTCATCCTACCGGGTACCCATTCACTGCTGGGTGAATAGAGGCACATTTTTAACAAAGTCACTTGCCCAAGGAGAAGCCATCCAGGGACTCTCCGCGATCAACCTTGCTTTACTTCACCGGATTGGTGATCTGTGCACTATGCAGAGGACCATGTGCCACCAGTAGTGCTGGAATGATACACAAGAATCATAAAGCATAGGTTGATAGAAATATTCCAATACCTACTACACCTGCTTTGATCTCTGTTACAGGTGCTGGAGTTGGAAGGAAAGGAGAAAGGGGAATGGGGATTCAAAGCCTTGAAGCAGATGATTAAAATCAACTTCAAACTGGTAAAGACACTATTTCCTAAGTTACTCCAATCTCATTAAAATCAAATCTAAATTCTCGCTGCCGCTAAACAAAGATCTGAGGACATCCCATTACGGGTCACGTCAGAACGACCTTTCGCAAACTTTGACCGACCACTGAAACGCCTAACAAGAAGTCAATATCAGCCAATTAGAAAGCAGCTTTCTTGAGCTTTATGGCACTCATTTCAACATAGCGACTTCCATTTCAGACTACGCTTGAAAAATATGTTGACACAGTTCTCGATTAAAATTTTGAAAACTGAACAAATGAACATTCTGGAGTGTCTATAATATGGTTGTGATTGTATGGTAGTGCTTCCCATGAACTGTGTAACGCATCATCCGTTCAAATGTTCATCCCACGGAAGTGAGAGACAGACGATAATTTTGGCGGAATCAGTCATACGGGCCGTAACTGTCATTTGGTATACCCTGTTTTAACATTTTCGAGGTTGCATGATTAGAAAACACATTCCGACTGTCACTTTCATGATTTGGTAAGCGACGCTTTGATTTGTCGGATGAACATGATGAAAGGTCATTCTGACGTGACCCGTAATGGGATGTCCTCAGATCTTTGTTTAGTGATAGCGAGAACTAAGATCTGATTTTAATGAGATCGAAGTTACTCACACCCATTTTGTGCTATGCAACGGCACCAACAAGATTTGTTCATATTAGATCTGTTCACACATTCTACATTCAGTAAAAATTATTTGTCAAATGAAACGTTACAGTGTTGTTTTTTTTATCTTGTTTCTTTATTTATGAAACTACATGTGACTTTTTTATCAGAAACTAAAAAAAATATCAACTTTCATTTTTGAGATGTTGAATGATTCATCTTCTGGATGTTGCAGGGCAACTATGATGAAATGATGAAACGATACAAACAACTGTTGGCCTACATCAAGTCAGCAGTGACCCGGAACTACTCTGAGAAGTCCATCAACTCCATCCTGGACTATATCTCAACATCTAAGCAGGTTGGAATATAATATATCACTTAGCCTGAAGGGCACATGTGCAATATTTTGTATGTGATGATGTATGTTATTTATGCAAAGCCTGTGAGAAATGTTCTTTTAAACAAGTAATCTGGTTAAAGACCCCCCAAAAAGGTTTAATGCACAATTTGATTCATAATACAAACCTGTGGATTCAGAAATTGATTAGGATGTTACCATTCTCAATGAAATGGAAGGAGGCAAACTTTATGAATTTCAGCTGCTTATGATCTAGCTCATTTTGAAAGGACGTTCATAGAGTAAGACGAGTTCTATGGATGAACAACTTCTTTATTACAAATAGTGCGACGTTTCGGTGTAGATCCTAACACCTTTATCAAGCAAGTGATAAAGGTGTTAGGATCTACACCGAAACGTCGCACTAATTGTGATAAAGAAGTTGTTCATCCATAGAACTCGTCTTACTTCATCACTCCAACTTCTAAATGCCACTCAAAGAAATTAGACGTTCATAGAGTTTGAGAATGGATCAAAATTATTCTTCTCTTAAGCACACTTAAATTCGGAAGGGCACACCTAAACATCTTTGTGCTCTGTGACACACTTAGAATCTAATACATTTGTATCCCTGATGTCCCAGATGGAGTTGCTGCAGGATTTCTATGAGACAACGCTAGAAGCCCTTAAGGAGGCCAAGAATGAGAGGCTGTGGTTCAAGACAAACACTAAACTTGGTAAGCTGTACTTTGACCGGGGCGACTACACTAAGCTACAGAAGATCCTCAAGCAGCTTCATCAGTCTTGCCAAGTGAGTAGCATCATGAGCATCATTAGATATTAGTGGTGGGGCAATACACCGATGCATCAGTTGATTGCGATTTGTTTACTTCTCGATACAAATATCGATCACAGTCCCACACTAAGTACAAAATATCGATTCTTACCTTCAGTGTTTCCTTTTGTAACTACCGCCTCCGTGGTCTAGTGGTAGAGCGTCCGCCCGGAGAGCGGAAGGTCCGGGGTTCAATCCCCGGCCGCGTCATACCAAAAGGCGTTAAAAGATGGTACTTGTTGTTACCCTGTCTGGCGCTCGGCATAAAGGGGCTAAAACAAGGACTGGTCGGCTCAAAGTCAGTAAACTGTGTCTGAGTGGGGTATTCATGTTAAACTGCGGCATGGTATCTCAGTGGGCTAGCACTATAAATCGGCATCAGTTCGGACTAGTACAAGCAGCCACACAAACACACACACGTACATGCACGTCGCTATATAAGTGGAATAATCTTGGACGCGACGTTAAACCCAATTTCACCTCACCTCACCTTTTGTAACTGTTACACTAAACAATAAGTTGTGAAAACGTAAGTTTTTCATCCATTGTGCCATACTTGACACTGCCAACTGTAAATCATCAGTGTGCCAGGTATTTGGCCATCCTGTCTATGAAAAAATGGCTTAGGGACCACAGATAAAAACACATGCAAGTATCATGATACTGTACGTATCGGATCGTGAGCAAGATATCTTGATACGTATCAGATCGCACAGTTGGTGTATCGTCCCAGCCCTATAAGATATGGTTTTGAATGTGATTCAAGCGTCTAAACAGTGGTCATTTTGACAGCAATTTGAGAAATGTTTTGAGGAAATTCAATCATTCAAGTTATCGGTAGTATTCAGTCCTTCCGCAGAAAAAATATGAAAAGTTAAAAATGATTTTTCCGAAGATGAAATGACACATGACCATGATGAACAATAAGCTGACCTTATCACTACAAGAAACCTTTATTAGAAATGGATCACATATGAAAGTATTGACTGTGTGACTATCTTGTCGACCGGATTAAGGAACACTATGTGACTCTCTTTTCATCAGACGGATGAAGGGGAAGATGATCTCAAGAAAGGGACACAACTCCTGGAGATTTATGCCCTGGAGATTCAGATGTATACAGCACAGAAGAACAACAAGAAGCTGAAGGTGGGAATTTAGTCCCGGAACCTAGTAACCATTGTGCTGAACTGATAAGGTATCGCAGATCAACACGTTCAGCTATAATATGGCCACCTCTGCTAACGTGCCTCTAGTCCAGCTATATCATGGTCGTAACGATATGGCTGAAATATTGCCGATGCGACGTAAAGCATAAACTCACTCACTCACTATATAATGGCAGCCTGTAAATAATTGAGTCTGGGCCAGACGAACAAGTGGTTAATATTATGAACATCATTCCACACCAAAGAAGTGTGATGACAAAATCTACCAAGCTGGACCACTCTATGATCTTTCGTCAGCTGATATGACAAGAGACCCGTGAAGATCTGCAGTAGAATAGGTCTTCAGCAACCAATGCTTGCTGTAAAAGGTGACTATGCTTGTCATAAGAGGCGACTAACGGGATCGGGTAGTCAGACTCACTGACTTGGTTGATGCATGTCATCGTATCCCAGTTGCAAGGATCGATGCTCATGATGTCAATCACTGGATTGTCTGGTCCAGACTCGATTATTTACAGACCGCCTTCATGTAGCTGGAATATTGCTGAGTGAGGCGTTGACCAAGTCAGCAAGCCTGACCACCCAGATCTTCACAGGTCTTTACCAAATTTAATTTGTCTAAGAGCACTGATATCAGGATGTGTAGGGCACAATACATCACCTGGCAGATCGTTTGTCACCTTACCCTTGCAGCATGGAATATCATTTATGCATTCTACCACTGGTTTGTCTGGGCAAGGCCTGATTAGTTTCAGACTACCATGATATAGATGGAAGAGTGCCTTCACTACAATAAACTCGTCTCCAGTAAGCATGGTCAAGTGTCTATACAGCTAATTATGGTCATGGTTCATAGTTTAATCGTTGATGTGTTGTAAGCGTTGAGCGTCAAGATGAATGTCATGCACTTGTTACTGTGAAGATTCCGGGATAGAATAGGTCTTCAGCAACCCATGCTTACCTAAAAGGTGACTATGCTTGTCGTAAGAGGTGACTAACAGGATCGGTCGGTCAGTCTCCCTGACTTGGTTGATGCATGTCATCGATCCCAATTGCGTGGATCGATGCTCACGATATCAATCACTGGATGGTCTGGTCCAGACTCGATTACTTACAGATATAGCTGGAATATTGCTGAGTGTGGCGTAACACATCAAACCAACGGCCAACGTCATGCACTTGTTACTGAGAGGTGCTTTTGTTTCAGGCTTTGTACGAGCAGTCGCTGCACATCAAGTCCGCCATTCCCCACCCCCTCATCATGGGTGTTATCAGAGGTGAGACCTTTCTTTACACAATTATTTAGTAACAGCCATTCACTTGCTGAAATTGCCTTCAGCTGAACTTGTTCTTCAAAGTGCAGTCACCCCATACATTTTGTCCTTGAATCCTTCTACTTACCTTTTGTGCTCCTCAGATCTATACTGAATAGACTGTCTCTGAAGTCTAGAGGATTTAGCACATGCCTTGAGGGTAGAAGGTCCATACCCTGGCTGCATCATACCAAAAAAATGCCTTAAGATTGTACTTGTTACCCTGTCTGATGCTCGGCATTAAGGGATAAAACAAAGACTGGTTTACTTGGAGCCAGTATAATGTGTGTGAGTGGGTATCCATGTTGAACTGTGGCATGATATCTCAGTGGACTAGCACTAGTCCAGACTAGTACAATCAGCCACACACATGTGCATGCACATCGCTGTTGGATATTGAATCCTTATGACCATGTGCACCACAGATCCATCTTGAATTCTTATGACATGTACTCTTTAGATCCATCTTGAATCCTTATAACCATGTGCTATTTAGATCCATCTTGAGTCCTTATGACCATGTGCTCTTTAGATCCATCTTGAGTCCTTATGACATGTGCTCTTTAGATCCATCTTGAGTCCTTATCATCACGTGAGCCATACATTCATCTTGAGTCCTTGTAATCTAATCATGTGATTTTATTCTTTACATCATCATCTTGAGTCCTTGTAAATAAAGTATTATTCCTCCTATCCATATCTTAACATAAGAACTGCTGCAAGTAGTATTCAGATCCAACTCTATTTATGCCAGAGTTTCTTCAAACTTCTTCAGTGTTAGAAATTGGCACTGGCCCTATACTCCTTGCCAAACTGCCTAAAAGTAAAGGTATCATAAGGATTAGTAGAAATTTTGAGCGTTTTGCTATATGTTATCATTATAAGGACTAGTGGACTAAAACAGTTAGTTTCTATCGCTGCAATATGATCCTGTTGATTCCAGAGTGTGGGGGCAAGATGCACTTGAGAGAAGGGGAGTATGAAAAAGCACATACCGACTTTTTCGAAGCTTTCAAAAACTATGACGAGTCTGGAAGTCCAAGGTAACAATATCCTTTCAACATGTTATCACTTCTATCTCATTATTTCAAAAGTAAATAGTTCTTGTTTTCACCACCATCATTCTGGTTAGCTACAGGGTATTCTTACCCCGCAGACTGGGTAGGAATGTGTAATTAATCATGTTGATGGTGGACTCTCTGTTGCAGTTTTTAATAACACTCATCTGGTTTTCTATTCATGTTTATCAAGTCTGCAGGATTTACTTTGTAAGTGATTTCTTCGTTTCAGGAGAACGACTTGCTTGAAGTATCTGGTGCTAGCAAACATGTTGATGAAGTCCGGAATCAATCCATTTGACTCCCAGGAAACCAAACCCTACAAGAATGATCCAGAAATCTTAGCTATGACAAATCTAGTTAGGTGAGACTACTTGGATGGTTGCTGTATGTGGTATAACAGACCGAGATATGTTTAAATGGAATTTGTTTTTGCTGGCTCTTTATACCCAGCCTTATTTAAAAGGGAAGGAATGGTTTGTTTCTAATTTAACTGATGGTACCGACATGGCATCAGAAGAATGTACAGACAATCTCTTACCCATAATACGAGTAGACCACTTACATAAAGGGCACAACTCCACAGAACAGTGTTTGTTTGTTTGTTGTTTAACGCTGCACTCAGCAATATTCTAGCTATACGACAGCGGTCTGTAAATAATCAAGTCTGAACCAGACAATCGAGTGTTTGACATCATGAGCATCGATCCATGTAATTGGGATATGATGACATGCATCAACCAAGTCACCGAGCCTGACCACCCGATCCCGTTAGTTGCCTCTTACAACAAGTATAGTCGCTTTTTGTGGCGAGCATGGGTTGCTGAAGACCAATTCTACCCCGCCACACAACAGTGGGGCATGCTTGAAGCATGTGATGCAATTTTCAGATCAGTGGCTGCCTCCAGTTGCATTTTCAACCCAACCTGTGGGAACTCAGGGCATGACTATAGAGGTCCCCAACAACCTGAGGTTGTCGTAGGGTGGGGGTGGGTGAGGTAGTAAAGGATTTGGTCTTACGACTATCATATTTTTCAATTCAGACTCTTTGACTCACTTGATTTATTGTCATTGTATGGGACATGCTCATCATGCTCATGATGCCAATCACTGAATTATCTGGTCCTAACTCGATTATTTACAGACAGCCATAATGTAGCTTGGATATTGCCTAGTGTGGCATTAAATAACTAACATTCTTAGCTCCCCAGGGAGTATTCAATCTTTGTCAAACAAAATCCCCTCTTGTTTATCCTCAGCTGAAAGATCAGTGATATACTTCTGTTCATTATTTGTGTTTTCATATTTTCAGCGCTTACCAAAATAATGACATCAATGAATTTGAAAAAATATTGAAAACAAACAGAAAAAATATAATGGAAGATCCTTTTATCAGAGAACACATTGAAGGTATGTACTGTTGTGTTTTGATAAAAGGTTTATTATTATCAAATTATTATTGTCTTTTTCTCATGTTTGAGCTGGCATGAAACCAGTATACTGTGCCAAGCTAGCACCTGTATGTGGATTACACAAACAGACATACAAGTAACAGGATCACTAGAAGGCCATCAACTAGTGCATGCATTAGGCTTAAACAAATTTAAAAGAATTACTGTATTCGACGTAATAAGCACCCCGCTCTAATAAGCGCCCATGGCAATATTTGCTAATACATTGGCTAGTGAACAATCCCAATTAGCACCCCTTCCGATTGATCAGTGTACACAAGACTTATTTATTCGTGTATAATATGTGTGTTATATATGCATCCTTAAATATTGGAAATTAAATTCTGGAAAAATATATCTGTCGTATATAAATATTTCAGTCTGTCAGCTTAAACCACAAAATTTATGATCTTTCAACTCTGTTGTTTTTCACCAAAATAATATTCAAATAAGAGCCCCCTATTTCTAATTTAAAGAGCACCCAGGGCGATTATTATGTTGAATACGATGGTTCTCAGGGAATGACTTTTGAAAATGCAGTAAACTACGGTCATAACGAACTCAAAGGGACCACTGATTTTAATTCGTTATAACCGTAGTTATAAGCATATGTACAACATATTTACACAAAATGGACGGGACCAAGAAACTGTGTTATATCGGTAAGTTTGTTATTTATAAGCGTGTTTGTTATAAACCTAGTTTACTGTATAGTGTGGGTGGGCAGTGGTTCTTTTTGTTTTTTTTGCTTGTTCAAACTAGTATGTAACCAAATAAACAGTGGTGTACCATCAACCTTGGAAAGCGCCTCCCTATATGAACATGCATACAAATTGCTATTCCCGCCATTAACATAACACGAGATGCGCAGTAAAGGGAAGTAACTGTGTGCTATATTGGATCGCATTGTGTTAAAGTATTAGGATTTTTATATATTTTTGAAAATGGAAATAAAAACAAAACATGTGGCAGACTATATGATGATATGCAGGTGGTGCCTGAGAACCAGAATTATTTTTTTTAGCCTTATGTCATTTGATGTCATTTTGTTTTCAGATCTTCTACGGAATATCAGAACACAGGTTTTAATCAAGCTTATCAAACCGTACACCCGAATTCACATACCATTTGTATCGAAGGTGAGAGTAAGGTTTTACAAGTATTTTTTTAGGAAGAAACATAAAAATATGTATCTACAAGATAGCTGTCTAGTTATTAGTTGCAGTAGGGGGAAATAAGAGCTAGTTATGACCTGATGGATGTCTGAAATGATTTGATATTAATATGGTTCTAATGATTTGATCTGACATTACAGAAGCATACAGTCATGTGTTTGTATGAATGGTTATTGGAAGGGCACAATAGCTGCCAACTGTATTCAGCACATGGCTTGGTGACCACCTCAGTGGATTAAGTCCCAGCTGTGATTAAGTTACGGAATTGTAATGAAGAGAATTTATTGATGTCAACTTCCTTATTATGAGGAACACAACATTTCGGAGTATGTGCTTACTCCTTCATCAGGTGAATGATTTGTGAATAGAATATCAGTGAGTATGTGCTGACAAAATGGCTGCTGGTTTTTCCTGCTTGTAACGTATAGACTGCAATGATATTTATGTGCACCTCTCCATTCATTATCCCAAGCCGCTCACTCACACTCTCGCTCACTGTCTTTGCAGGAACTGAATATAGATGCTACAGAGGTGGAGAACCTCCTTGTCTCCTGCATCCTAGACAGGTGGGTTGTATAACTGTCTCACTCAGACATGCAGGTCGATTGTCCAGCAAGTCATTTTTATCAAATCACAACATCAAATTTAAGTCTAGTTTCATACTCATCAAAGCTTTCATGTTGGTACTTGTAATAGTCTGCCTCTGTTGTAAACGATCTAGTCCTTCAGTTTTCACCCGCGTTCCGAAATTGTATTGAATTTTGTAACTGTTTTGAGATATCATTTTTTATTATTACATACACACATCTTGTGGGGAAAACCTTGTATATTGTAGTTGTCAAAACATTAACTGTATCATGGTAATATTTAACGGTCATAGATAGTTCCAGTGATCAGCTCAAATAGTTCCAAAATTCAATACAATTTTGAGAATGTGTGCGAAAACTGGAGGACTCGATCGTTTATGACCGAGACTTACAATTACAGCACATACAGAAAAAGCAAGGTCATATTCTATTGGAAAGCAGGAGGCCACAGAAATCTTTGAAATATCTTCATATAACCTTTCACATGGAACAGGTCACAAACAGTTGAGATAGAAGTTGCACTTGGTTTGAGAATTGAATGCCTTTGGCCACACTGTAGCCTGTGTTTTTTGTATTGTCAGCACCATCAAGGGACGTATCGACCAAGTGAACCAGGTTCTGGAGTTGTCCCAGGAGGCCAGTAGTCTGGCAGCACGCTACTCCGCACTGGAGAAGTGGACCAGCCAGCTCCACAACCTGCACCAAGCCGTCATCAACAAGATCGCATGAAGCTCACAGTAACTCTGCTGCCTTGATACTTAGGAACTAAACAGACTAACATCAACAGAAGCCTGCAATGGAGTTGCCATTGTGATTCCAGGAACAAACATTGACATCATCTGTGACGGACGTGATTTCATCTTGAGGAATCACTGACGACATTCTTAGTGACAATAATTCTAACTTGTGGAAATGAGGTTTTCAGGCACGATTTCATCCCTCAGGACAACCTATTTATCCTATGGAAACATGCGTGATGCAGGTCACCGGGATAATGTATCTATACTGGCAGTGTGTTACGGACATGATGTGCATGGCTCCGCCCAGCAGCGCAGGAGATGCTCATTCTTACAGGGATGTATGGCGAAGATACACAAAGGAGATTAATGGATCTTTGTTGTGTACAAAAATATGTTTCAAATTATAGGATAATACAAGGGAATAAAGTGATGTTTTCTATTTATAAATTCTTGGTTTCTGGATTAATTGTTGATTCACAATAATGACAATTTTTGCATTTAACACTGTTTGTGGACATTAATGAACTGCTATTAATTAAGTGTTGTTATGTCCTGCTATCACACAGCTTTTAGATATTAAGTATCTGACTCCTGTTTGTAATAAGGGCGGTTGTGTAGCCTAGTGGTTAAAGCGTTCGCTCGTCACGCCGAAGACCCGGGTTCAATTCCAGACATGGGTACAATGTGTGAAGCCCATTACTGGTGTCTCCCGCTGTGATATTGCTGGAATATTGCTAAAAAAGGTGTAAAACCATACTCACTCACTCCTGTTTTTAATAGCATATGTAATGATACAATACAAACACGACAAGAACCAGGATATCTCATTTTGAGAATGATAAAGCAACACAGCCCAACTTCTGTTGTAAACTCAACAGTTATCTTCCGGGTTAATTAAATTACAAAATAACATTAGACCCATCCTTAAAGTACATCACCAGTCTCTAACAGTTAGTTCCATAGCAGACATCCATGTATACACATCGAAGATGAACCATTCACAGCATGGATGCTGCATGTGTTCCAAGTTGTGTGATGGGATGGGTCATGTAGTAAGTACAACCATCTGCTGTGGCTGTCTGCTGCTCTGGGAGGAAGGCCAGCTCCACTCTGTTGATGCGGTGACTCCGCCCCTGGGTTGGCTCCTGTTGCAGATCTTCCTGGACAAGATGGCCGACATGGTCGGCAATACCCAGACATCCAGACAGGCCAGTGGAACGAATACCACCAACTGTGATCCAGTGTCTGAAATACAGGAACAAGAGTCGCATTTATTGTCTATTGATTTGTGGTCCTGGTATCTGATCATCCCTTTCATGGTAGGCCAAATGGGTGCCTCCCTAATATAGTGTTGCCTCCATGATCAGTCTCGGTGGACAATGTGAAGGTGTAAACGTTGCTTAATGCTGCAGAAATTAGGGCTGGGACGGGTAACTCGGGTACTCGGGTCGGGTGGGTACTGAGTAGGACCCGGGTACCCACAGAACTACCCGGACCCGTGGTTAGTCATGTGATATTTTGTTTCATGACAAAAAAATCATTATATCATGTATATAACTACATGGTTACACGACAATTTTAAGTCTCTAATGTTCGCATTTCTTCAAGACTATGAACACATTCCTTCTGACTTATATATGTTTGAACAAAGCTAAAACTTCAGTCAACTTCAGTGTATGCATGACCACATCATTATATTTGTGTATATAAATACATTCTGCCAGGACTACTGTCAATCCATTCCCAATCGGACATTTTGTACCCACTCTTGACACCAACAGCAGGTACCTGGGTAGGGTCAGGTAATAGGGGTGTGGGTACCCGGGTAGTAAATTTGGACTCATCCCAGCTTTAGCAGAAATATTACAGTTATATTCAGCAGCTTCTAAATAACTCGGAACTAGGAAAACTAGAGACCTGATCCAATTTAGTTGCCACAATATCAGATGTTGAGTTGTGTAACTGGAATACTGCTGAGAGCAACATACAACAAACAATACTTATCAATGACAAAATGCTGACACTTGTGACTACCTAGTTGGGTCACTGATGATCTGATAATCCTTAAACTGAGTGGCAGGCCTCACACCGGTATATTCTCCAATGACATCACAGCCGACAAGTTTGGGAAGTGTGTTGTGGGCATGGTGTAGGAGTCTGTCCTTAATGAGTGGGTCAGGCGCTGGGATGGAGCGCTCCTCCACATCCTCTGCTGTGGGGCCGATTATTAGATTGTTGTACACTGGAAAACAACACTGATAATAATAATAATACAAATAATAATGGCAAGTTATGATATCATGTACAGGTTGTAGATGGAGTACAGTCGCTGCTAGAGGGGTCAGATAATAGCAGTACAGGCGGCTAGGGAAGACAGATAACAGTACAGGATGCTAGGGGAGAAGGGGGTTAATAGGAGTAGAGGCTGCTGGGGAAGAGGGGGTACAGGGTGCTGGAGGGAGTAGAGGCTGCTGGGGGAGAGGGGGTACAGGGTGCTGGAGGGAGTAGAGGCTGCTGGGGGAGAGGGGGTACAGGGTGCTGGAGGGAGTAGAGGCTGCTTGGGGAGAGGGGTACAGGGTGCTGGAGGGAGTAGAGGCTGCTGGGGGAGAGGGGGTTCAGGGTGCTGGGGGAGTAGAGGCTGTTTGGGGAGAGGGGGTACAGGGTGCTGGGGGAGTAGAGGCTGCTGGGGGAGAGGGGGTTCAGGGTGCTGGGGGAGTAGAGGCTGTTTGGGGAGAGGGGGTACAGGGTGCTGGAGGGAGTAGAGGCTGCTGGGGGAGAGGGGGTGCTGGGGGAGTAGAGGCTGCTGGGGAAGGGGCTACAGGGTGCTGGGGGAGTAGAGGCTGCTGGGGGAGAGGGGGTACAGGGTGCTGGAGGGAGTAGAGGCTGCTTGGGGAGAGGGGTACAGGGTGCTGGAGGGAGTAGAGGCTGCTGGGGGAGAGGGGGTACAGGGTGCTGGAGGGAGTAGAGGCTGCTGGGGGAGAGGGGGTACAGGGTGTTGGAGGGAGTAGAGGCTGCTGGGGGAGAGGGGGTACAGGGTGCTGGAGGGCGTAGAGGCTGCGGGGGGAGAGGGGATACAGGGTGTTGGAGGGAGTAGAGGCTGCTGGGGGAGAGGGGGTACAGGGTGCTGGAGGAGAGGGGGTACAGGGTGCTGGGGGAGAGGGGGTACAGGGTGCTGGAGGGAGTAGAGGCTGCTGGGCGAGAGGGGGTACAGTGTGCTGGAGGGAGTAGAGGCTGCTGGAGGAGAGGGGGTACAGGGTGCTGGAGGGAGTAGAGGCTGCTGGGGGAGAGGGGGTACAGGGTGCTGGAGGGAGTAGAGGCTGCTGGGGGAGAGGGGGTACAGGGTGCTGGAGGGAGTAGAGGCTGCTGGGGGAGAGGGGGTACAGGGTGCTGGAGGGAGTAGAGGCTGCTGGGGGAGAGGGGGTACAGGGTGCTGGAGGGAGTAGAGGCTGCTGGGGGAGAGGGGGTACAGGGTGCTGGAGGGAGTAGAGGCTGCTGGGGGAGAGGGGGTACAGGGTGCTGGAGGGGGTAGGTGAAGAACAAGGGTTGGGAAAGAGTGTCGGGCTGCTGGGGAGATGCAGAGTGCTGGGGGAGATGGATAACAGGAGTACAGGCTGCTCGGGCATATTGAATCAAATACACTGAACTAACCAGATTTGAAAGCAATGACACCCTTTGTTTTGTCAGTTGGAACCGGGAGGATGCTGGAGTTGATGAGGCTTCCTTTGTGTGAGTTGTACACAATGTACTGCCCCTTCCTGGGTCTGATGCTGGAACATTTGGGAATTATTCACTGCATGTTACTAGTGACATCCAAATTCACTATTCACACATCTCATAGCTACTATACTAATGAACGGTTAGGTCCCTCCCAATTCTTTCATAGTACTAAAGTTAATCTGTTAACCATAGTTCACTTCTTTATATATATTATTACCGTATTCGACATAATAAGCGCCCAGGGCGTTCTCAAAATTAGAAATAGGGGGCTCTTATTAGAATATAATTTTGATTGGAAAAAACAGTTGAAAGTTCATAAATTTCGTGGTTTATGCTGAGAGCCTGAAATGATACAAAAGAAAAGTCTGTGCGTAATATACACGACAGATTATTTTCCAGACTTTAATTGCCCATAATTAAGGATGCATATAACACACGAGTGTGTATTATACACGAATAAATAAGTCTTGTGTACATTGATCAATCGAAAGGGGTGTTAATTGGGATTGATCACTAGCCAATATATTAGCAAATAACGCCATGGGCGCTTATTAGATATTAGATTATTAATTAGATATTAATACTTGGACTCACTGGAAGTTGTGTTTCCCTGCCAACTCATCCACTTCATCACCATGGAGACCAGCACAGTTGATGACAGCCTTGCACTTAAAGGTGCTTTGGTTAGTTGTAACAGTCCAGAAGCCATAGCTTTCTCTATTGCATGAAAGAACCTTGCAATTTGTCCATACCTGCAGAAATGAACCACAACAAACTAAAACATATCCATCTCTCCACAGTGGAGACCATCTTTATCCAGTATTCTGTCTGTCCGAATAGTGTTCAGTTTTGCTCTAACTCCTTTGACAAGAAGGCAAGAATTTGCCCTGAAACACTGTGTATGTATAATAAAGAAGTTGTTATCCATAATACTCCATCATTTCACAAGGTTTCCAAAGAAAAATATGTACACAGTAAAAATTTATATTTGGAAAAGACCTGTGAAGATCTTGGTGGTCAGGCTTGCTGACTTGGTCAACAGCGCTTTCAGCAATATTCCAGCTATATAATGACAGCGGTTTGTAAATAAAACGAGCATGGGCCAGATAATCCAGTGATTGATAACATGAACATCAATCCAAGCAATTGGGATACAATGACAGACATCCAAGTCAGGGAACCTGACCACCCAATCCTGTTTGTCGCCTCTTACTACAAGCATAGTCACCTTTTATGGCAGGCATGGGTTGGTATTCTATCCCAGATCTTAACGGGTGCTTTTTGCAATTGATTAGGAAACGTATGGACATGAATGGTTTGCACTTCTGTCAACAAAGATGTGTTCTTTGCATCTCGAATCACAGATAATCATTAATTATGTGAAATAAAGATATTTTACTAAACAGTTCAAGTAGAAGACTTCAGTGTTAATCTGTTTCAACATAACTGTTATACACTGCTCTGAACTCTTTTGAGAAGCGTAGTCCATCTCACCTGAGCCCCCTTCCTGCGGGCGTGATGGAGCAGAGCTACAGGTACATGCCAGGGATCAACGACGGTCTCCCCTGGAATCCACAGAGCTGAGTGGGCGTGTCTCCGGAGGTTGGGTTCCATCTGGCACAGCTCAGAGGGTGTGATGTTGTAAATGTCAGGAATATGTTTGTCTTCAGACTTTCTCTGTATCTCAAGGAGTTTCTGTCCCTTTCACAAAAATATAAATTTGTATATTGCTCATTGACGACATGGTTGCCCCAGTCTGGTATTTCTTTTCATGCCACAATGGCTGCCCTCTGAAGTACCTGGTAGTATCTGTATATTGTGTCATGCCACCCCCTGGTAGTACCTGTATATTGTGTCATGCCATCCCTGGTAGTACCTGTATATTGTGTCATGCCATCCCTGGTAGTACCTGTATATTGTGTCATGCCATCCCTGGTAGTACCTGTATATTGTCCCATGCACCCCCTGGTAGTACCTGTATATTGTGTCATGCCATCCCTGGTAGTACCTGTATATTGTGTCACGCACCCCTGGTAGTACCTGTATATTGTGTCATGCCATCCCTGGTAGTACCTGTATATTGTGTCATGCCATCCCTGGTAGTACCTGTATATTGCCCCATGCACCCCCTGGTAGTACCTGTATATTGTCCCATGCCATCCCTGGTAGTACCTGTATATTGTGTCATGCACCCCCTGGTAGTACCTGTATATTGTCCCATGCACCCCCTGGTAGTACCTGTATATTGATTCACGCCCTCCCTGGAAGTACCTGTATATTGTGTCATGCCATTCCTGGTAGTACCTGTATATTGTCCCATGCACCCCCTGGTAGTACCTGTATATTGCCTCATGCACCCCCTGGTAGTACCTGTATATTGTGTCATGCCATCCCTGGTAGTACCTGTACATTGTGTCATGCCATTCCTGGTAGTACCTGTATATTGTCCCATGCACCCCCTGGTAGCACCTGTATATTGTCCCATGCCCTCCCTGGTAGTACCTGTATATTGTGTCATGCCATCCCTGGTAGTACCTGTATATTGCCTCATGCACCCCCTGGTAGTACCTGTATATTGTGTCATGCCATTCCTGGTAGTACCTGTACATTGTGTCATGCCATTCCTGGTAGTACCTGTATATTGTCCCATGCACCCCCTGGTAGCACCTGTATATTGTCCCATGCCCTCCCTGGTAGTACCTGTATATTGTGTCACGCCATCCCTGGTAGTACCTGTATATTGTGTCATGCCATTCCTGGTAGTACCTGTATATTGTCCCATGCACCCCCTGGTAGTACCTGTACATTGTGTCATGCCATTCCTGGTAGTACCTGTATATTGTCCCATGCACCCCCTGGTAGCACCTGTATATTGTCCCATGCCCTCCCTGGTAGTACCTGTATATTGTGTCATGCCATCCCTGGTAGTACCTGTATATTGTCCCATGCACCCCCTGGTAGTACCTGTATATTGTGTCACGCCCTCCCTGGTAGTACCTGTATATTGTGTCATGCCATTCCTGGTAGTACCTGTATATTGTCCCATGCACCCCCTGGTAGTACCTGTATATTGTGTCATGCCATCCCTGGAAGTACCTGTATATTGTCCTATGCACCCCCTGGTACTACCCATTAAAAGATGGTACTTTTTGTTACTCTGTCTGGCGCTCTGCATTAAGGGGCTAAATCAAGGACTTGTCGCCTCGGAGAGACGGTGTGGGGTATTCATGTTTAACTGCAGCATGGTATCTCAGTGGGCTAGCACTATAAATCGACACAAGTCAGGTCTAGTACAAGCAGCCACACACACACACACACACACACACACGTGCATGCACGTCGCTATATAAGTGCAATAATCTTGAACGCGACGTTAAACCCTATTTCACCTCACCACCTCACCTGGTAGTACCTGTATATTGTCCCATGCCACCATGGTTGCCCCTAGCCTGGTATATGGCACCCCCAGCTTGTCCAGGGCATGGTAGATCCTCTGCTGACACAGTTTGATGCAGGTCAGCTCCAGGCTCCCCAGTGGAGCATCAAACCCTGTGTGGAGCATGCCGCTGGCAGCATCAGAGTTGTTATTTTTATAACAAAGTAAAAGCCACTGATTGTAAATTTCACTGAAGAAAATATTTTTTCACATACGCTCATCTTCTAGAGGCAAGGGTATTAACTGACTCTAAAAGTCCAGTTTCCACCCTTGCTGAACTAGGCTGGAATTTCTGGGCTCAGTCGTTGACCATCACTGGCTATTACGAGTTATGTCCATTTTATGTCCCTCCTATTGACCAATCAGATTCCACCTATCATATCACTGCATTTGCTTCAAATACAATGGCGGCACCCAGTCAAGACAATCTAATCAATAATCAAGATCTATATTGTACTAAAATGGGTCTGACTTTGCGAAGAGAATCAAATCACATGATCAGTTTAATCAAAAACATGAAAACATTTGGAAAATATCTGTTGACACAAAGTTAATGGTACACATGCTTTCCAAATCCTGCAATCGACCCATGTCTGCACTGCAGTTTACGAACGGGATGTCAATTTCGTTACCCAATTTTGATTGGACTTTGCATAGACCCATTAGTCCAGGCAAAATATAACTCCATAATTCCAGCCTAATTCGGCAAGGGTGGAAACTGGACTCTAATAGAGAGGTATAACTCCACTGCCTCGGGAAGACAACGTTTGCTAACTACATTACCAATTTAACTGTACTACATCCTGACTCAGATGTGTCTTGTGCTGTATAAACACCCAATTAAGTAACAGGTACAGTAGCCTTGACCTTCAGTGTTGGTCAATTACATGCTAATGTTACATGCTAGTTTCACACTTACTTATGTAGGCTACAGAACGTGTTGCATGTTTGTATTATATGACAAGGTGGATATCTGTGGTTTGGATACATATTGTTGAATTAAGGTGAGTTAATACTGCCTCCTCTATTATCTAGTGTAGCATATCTCCATTTTCAATTATCCAGTGTAGCATATCCCCACCCTCAATTATCCAGTGTAGCATATCCCCATCCTCAATTATCCAGTGTTGCTTATCTCCATTCTAAATTATCAAGTGTAGCATATCTCTGACCTCAATTATCAAGTGTAGCATATCTCCAGCCTCAATTATCCAGCTCAGCATATCCCCACCCTCAATTATGCAGTGTAGCATATCTCCACCCTCATTTATCCAGTGTAATATATCTCCTTTCTAAATTATCAAGTGTGGCATATCTCCAGCCTCAATTATCCAGAGTAGCATATATCCACCCTCAATTATCCAGTGTAGCATATCCCCACCCTCAATTATAAAGTGTAGCATATCTCCAGCCTCAATTATCCAGTGTAGCATATCCCCACCCTCAATTATCCAGTGTTGCTTATCGCCATTCTAAATTATCAAGTGTAGCAAATCTCCACCCTCAATTATCCAGAGTAGCATATCCCCACCCTCAATTATGCAGTGTAGCATATCTCCACCCTCAATTATCCAGTGTAGCATATCTCCACCCTCAATTATCCAGTGTAGCATATCCCCACCCTCAATTATCCAGTGTTGCTTATCTCCGTTCTAAATTATCAATTGTAGCATATCTCCAGCCTCAATTATCCAGAGTAGCATATCTCCACCCTCAATTATCCAGTGTAGCATATCTCCACCCTCAATTATCAAGTGTAGCATATTTCCACCCTCAATCATCAAGTGTAGCATATCTCCGCCCTCAATTATCAAATGTAGCGTATCTCCATTCTAAATTATCAAGTGTAGCATATCTCCACCCTCAATTATCCAGTACGTGTAGCATATCTCCACCCTCAATTATCCAGTGTAGCATATCTCCACCCTCAATTATCAAGTGTAGCATATCTCCATTCTATAAATTATCAAGTGTAGCATATCTCCACCCTCAATTATCAAGTGTAGCATATCTCCACCCTCAATTATCCTGTGTAGCATATCTCCATTCTCAATAAGCATCCATTTACATTGCCCACACGCGGAAGAGAAATTCAGAGGAAAGTTACTGATAGGACAAATTAAAAAGCATGGGAAAAGTGTCACTTCCCAAAGAAAGCTATAGTGGCAAAAACGTACGTACGTATTGATCATGTCAAGAACACAGCACAGACATAATAGATCAATAGAAAATATGGAGACTGACAATGAAAAAAAATATATAGCAAATATTGGCTTCCATATAATAGATAAATATGTTTACAAGCCTCAATGTTTAGAGTCTTCAAATGGATTCGATAGCTATGTTTGCTAATGTAATATATCGATCTATAGATAACGTCTTGTATTGATAATGACGTTTCTAAAGACTAAGTACTGCACCTGTTGCCAGAGCTGGCTTCGCTCAGAAGGTGGTCATTCTTCTCCAACAAGGCGCAACTGTACCCCATATTCGTGAGGTGAAATGCGGTAGCACAGCCCACGACCCCACCCCCAATCAGGATGACGTCAAACACCTCACCCCCAGCCATGCTGTACACAGATCCGTGTCTGGGACGTTCCCACGGTTGATCATGTGACACAGTTTCGTCGAGGCAATACAGTGGAATGGAAACCCGTTTCGGCCAAAATTCACATTAGAATCATCTTCCCGAGGCAAGCGTGTCCACTAGCCTGTATCAAAGCCTAGTTCTACAAACAACAACAACAACAATAAAAACAGGCAACAAACTTTTAAATAAAAAGGGGCTAGTGGACGCTCTTGCCCCGGGAAGATGCATGAGAATAAATACTACAGTTAATGCACAATACTTGACAACAAAACTCATGCGTACTCATTGTACGAATATGCATGAATTTCGCTAAAACGCCCTGTGTTAAGAATGCGGGTGGGTGTAAATGCAGGGGGAAATCGTCGTTAGCTTTGCCAAGATCGTCTCCATTTTATGGCTATAAGCAGTAAGCATCTACCATGGAGGTTCTGGTCTGCTTGAGGGAAGGATCACAGACCATGAACAAAATGTACACGACCCGGAAGAGGCGACTAAGAGGATCGGGTGGTCAGGTTCGCTGACTTGGTTGATGCATGTCATCGTATCCCAGTTGCGCAGATCGATGTTCATGATGTCAATCACTAGATGGTCTGGTCCAGGATGGATTATTTACAGACCGCAGTCATATATAACTGAAATATTGCTGAATGCGGCGTTTAACATTAACAAACAACAAAACAATTGCGTAGATCGAAGCTTATGATGTCAACCACTGGATTGCCATATATAGCTGGAATATTGCCGAGTTCGGCGTTAAACAACAAAAATATAAACAAAACAAAATATACACTAACGTCACGTTAGTATAGACACTGCATGTTGAGGTATTATCCCCACAATCGCACAGACGACGTGCGTACTATCTCTCAGGTACTTCCGGTCCTCCATGCTTGACAGCAAAAATACTGAGATTATTGAGTAAAAAAATATGTTGTTCACCCCACTATAATAACTATTGCAAATAACATTTTCACAATTGTCCAACAACGTCACTATTACGCCATGAGACCATAGCATGTCGTCATAGTACAAACGAACCCATGTGGAGAGACCCGTGAAGATCCGGGGTAGAATAGGTCTTCAGCAACCCATGCTTACCGTAAAAGGCGACTATGTTTGTCGTAAGGGGCGCTACCGGATCGGGTGGTCAGGCTCACTGACTTGGTTGATGCATGTCATCGATCCCAATGCGTGGATCGATGCTCATGAAATCAATCACTGGATTGTCTGGTCCAGACTCGATTATTTACAGACCGCCGTCATATAGCTGGAATATTGCTGAGTGCGGCGTTAAACAGCAAACCAACAAACCAACAAACCATATACCAATATCTGCATGTGGTGTGTCTTCCTTGAGCCAATGTACCCAGCAAGTACGTATTCCTGTTTCTGGCGAGCGAGCGAGATAAATTCAGGTAAGACAAGCCTCATCGGGCCATTGCAATAACGAACGTCACCGGTAAAAGTCTTCACTATTTTACTATATTCATCACATTCAACATACTATTTATCATTGGGTTTGTGTGGTCCTGACTCGATTATTTACAGGCAACCGACATACAGCTGGAATATTGATGATTTCGGCGTTAAACAACAAATATACAACGAAAGTAAATTGATAAGGATGTGTATGTTAAACACGCTTGGTATGAGCAAAGACGTATATACAATATCTATAATACGTCTGTGGTATGAGCAACAGAATCTTTATCTAAAATGACGATACCAACACCAGTTCTAGGTAATATACATGCTTTATGTAATGAAGAGGCATATGAGGGTAATAGTCCTCGGAGGTAGCATCCGTTACAAACTTGCGCGTGTGTACATGGTTTTGTGTAAAAAAATGCCATATCCATTAAAAGGCCTGGGTTTTCTACGTGCTGCCAATCAAAGCCAGCAAGGCGTCCATCTCGCGCGATAGCTCTTCCTGTTCTGCACGTCGTGCCGCCCGGTCCATAACTGTCCCAGCTCGTGTGTCCATGGCAACCTGTGCGGACACGCCCTGATTCTGGAAAAGACGTGGTCATCATAATACTCAAGCTCTGGGCTTATGCAAATCATTTGCAACAAATAGTAATTGCCACGTTTTTAAGAATAAAAAACAGCTTATTTAACATTATAGCTAAAATGGATAGAATTATCGTTAACCACCCGCATGTTATCAAAAATCAACGGGCCACTGTAACTTGATAATGCCCTAATATTTCTTGTTAGGTGACGTCATAGGATAGGGATAGGTGACGTCACGTTGAATAGTGACGTCATCTGGTTTGTTCTATGACGTTTCCATATTTGTAAAAGTGGGTCAGTGACATTCGTGTTGATTGCAGTAAATATTTCAAAACCGATATTGTTGTTTCTTTTTATTTGATAACAAATTCCATCCATTTGAGCTATAATAACGGTAACACTATTTTTCAGGGCATTATTATTTGCAGAAGCCCTCGGTCTTTTCAACTACCCTCCTTCGTCGGGCTTCTGCAAATGATAATGCCCTGAAAAATAGCGCTACCCTCATATTAAACACGGTTTACGCTGCACAGTTTAGGATTTGCAAGTAAGTTTCCGGGCCCGGCAAATTTGGAAAGAAATTGCCGCGAAGGCACTCTAGCTCACTGGATATGTCAACAGTTTATGATATGTCAACAAAGACAATTTAACCATTTAAAAAATATCAGTATTAAATTAAAAATTCAGAGATAAGCCAACTCTATCTACGATGTGTCCAGAAATATATAAATGAGTGCATGGGCGTCTGACAACGGACACAGCAAGTAGCGTGTGTCCCAACACTACGTATGTGTTAGATAATTGTAATTTGGTGTGTAAATTCAACGATTAATGTACACAGTTCAATCTTTTAGACACATCGTGTGTATATAGCTGGAATATTGCAGACTGTGTCATTAAACAACATTCGCTCAGCAAACGCAGCAAAAGCTGGTCAATAATGAACTCTATTTTATAACGCTCACCGATTCTGTGATTCTCACTTTTTCCAGTGCTGATGCGGGCGTGTCTCCATCTGGTTGGGCCGTTCCGTCTGAAGCACAAGCTTCAATCTTCAACCAGAATGCTTATTGAATATTTACTGCCGGGCAATATAGGTTGTAGCAGGATCACAATGGGTACATGGGGTGTTATGCGTCCCGCGTTAGGTTTTATACTACGAGCCGGAGGCCAAGAACCGGCTTTTTGCTTAGAAGCGGAGTACGAGGGATTTATGCTGCCCCTACGAAATCCACTTGAAGCCTGTCTTGCTCGTGGCGGGGTATATGGGACATATTCTCCTGCTGAGAAACTTATTTCCCTCCAAGGCGGGATGCATAGTATTTTATCAAGATCACGTAGACCAATCAGATCTCATCATTCTGACAGGAAGGTATGATAAAAGAAATTATATAATTGAAAATAACTGCTTCGCTCTGCACCTTATTGTGTTCTGTGAACTTGCGACCCCCGTGAGACGTCATGTGCAAGTCACCTGCTGTGAGATACTCATTAATATGATGCATGCTTATAACTTCGCCAATGGTACCAGTAGCATATACATCCCCACCAAATAACCATTTTTTGCCTGTTTCATTTTTAGGCGTCATGAAACACGGGTGTATACTTTCTTTTGCCCTACAGTTTACTATGAAATGTATTTAAATGTCCTGTTCCGAAACAGACGCAGATATACAGTGTCTGACATGATCTCAAGCTGCAAGCAGCCAGACAGACATAGTATTTTCCCGAAACTAAAGAATCTACGATTCTACATAGCCCAGAGTGATTAAAAAGACACCCAAGTGTGATTGGGGCTACAAGAATAAACAAGAAATAAAGTCTTTGAGTGGCATGTAGAAGTGATACACACAAGTAAGAGAATTTATGGCTGTCAACTTCATTATTATGACATCCATAAATACTCTTCCTTAAACAAGAAATGTTTATTCGAAGCTGATGTATTAGATACCGTGTTCGTAGTTATGTTTTGGACCTTACGTTTGAAATATTTCGGCCAAGTAACGTTTTGATAACTTTTGTAATTGTTTAGTCAAATCCAATTTTCAAGTGTATATACTGTATTTTGCCCGGCATTTTAAATACATATTTATACTTGCGTCTAGCTGACATTTTGATATCGCCTGCTGAGAGATCTACTCACATTTCCCTTGTTGAAGTCCCATCTCGTGGTCCTCTGCCGAGTTTGTAACCTCTCTCCGTCTCTTATGGACCCTCCTCTTTCTCCAGGCCTCTTCCGTGACCTCCAGGTCCTGCAGCAGATCCTCCAGACCAGCCAGAGGGTCTGGGTATGGAAGAGACGGGATGGAAAGGATCTCTCCATGACTCCCATGGCCATCTGGACCCAACATAAGAACCTATTGATACTGTGTTGAGTCATAATTTGATATGGGTGAGCTGGAATTTGGTCGTCATTTTTGTTTATGAATTCAAAAGTGGGCAATTTGGTATGCCTTTGGTCCAAATGTTACATTGACCTATCTACGGGTACAGGTCCCGACATGGGTGTTTGACTTTTATGATGTATACATTCGTTTACATAGCATATGTAGTGCGTTGAATATCAACTTGTTACTATGGTAACCATGGCCAGAATGATCAACATACCATGTTCGATGTGCATGGTTGCATTCCTCCTCTCTGCTATCCTGCAGGGGGTTGTTGGTAGGTTCCCCTTTGAATCTTTCGCATCCGAGATCCTTGCGATACAAGTCTGCCACCTGGCCTTCCCTTGTGTTCCCATACATCCAGGGCCAGAAGAGCCCTCTTCAGCCTCAGTCTCGCTTCCACTTGTCCACATGCAGAGGGGGACTGATGCCAGAATGTTTCGCTGCCTGTTGTTTATTTCGTTTCTGATACAATCTTTGTTCAGCTGAGCTACATTCCCCGGTGAACAATGGATCTTTGAATTGCGATCGCGTGCCTTACTGCGCCGCGCCATGGAACCTGGGCCTATCGCATGTTTCTCCTGTGTGTTAGGTGACGAGGAACCGGATCTGGTGGATTTCGAAAGCTTCTTGGGTTCGACGCAGACGGGATGCTGTAGGATGGTATCGTCGCCCACTACTGTAACCTCCGATGGCACCATGTCGCTTCTCCTTTTCTTACGTGAAGTTGTTCTAGTTGGAAATGTGTCACTTCCGGGGATCTCCGACTCATCTTTTGAGAACCCTTGCACGTCAGTCTTCCTTTGGCCACGTAGATTCCCACACTTCCTTCTTGGTCCCTTCCGACCATGCTGACCTTCGTGTCTGGGCGAACTTCTCTCTGGCGCTACAAAACATGATACACATAGACAACAAACACCGGTGTTACGAGCATCTCGTGTTGTTAAAACGCGCATTGCGTCCATTAGTGCCTGTTATATTAGCTTTATTTTGACATGAAACATTCGTGTGAAGCCCATGTCTGGCGTCCCCGCCGTGATATTGCTGGAATATTGCTAAAAGCGGCGTAAAAATCATATTTACTCACTCATATGGTAAGGAAGGGAAACGTTGAGACTATGACGTGAGTTGTACCCGAAACCTACCACTGATACCGCTATCTCTGTGTAGTTGTCTGTAGAGGTCGATGGCTCTGTCCCCTAGTTCGGTTAATGTATGGGCGCCGTCCTCATCGTTGTGAGTCTTCACCAGACTCCGAAACTTTTATCAAAACGTAAAAATTGCACTTCAAATATATTATTCTTGAAACTAATATACTTCATAAACTCCTTGGAATGCATGCCTGGTTTTATGGTGCGGCACATGCTGTTTATTATTAATGTTTTGTTACAGATTATGTCCACTTTACTCTCTCCCATTCCTGGTGTCTCCCGCCATGATATCGCTGGATTATTGCTAAAAGCGGCGTTAAACAATTATCAGTCACACACTCATTGACTTGCTGTCGAAATGAAAGTATTATGTTTTAATAACCCGAATTGTACTCAATACCGAAAGAACTCACAACTTACAAATGAGGTCACCTTGGCTCCGACGCTTGAGGTCGACCTTGACCTTGTCTGACGTTGTCGACCAGACATCTTTGTTTGTCTGCAAAAGACATCCACTATCTCGTTACCGCAATTCTAATGCAATCATAGCTTTTAGTCGTTCCGTTGTTCTCTATCATGTTACTCTGCCTGAAGTCGGGTTGGTGTACGGATGTGTATATGATTAAATGCATACAGCTTCTTAAAATTCTGATTTTGGAGTTAGGGTTGTGTTGTCTGTAATGAACACAATATTTTCATGGGACATGATTTATTTCTCTTCGGGTATTGTGTGTACGTTGCAGAGAAATTAATTTTTTAGCAGACTATAAGGTTCTAGCTAACGTGGTAACGTGCTAAGCTGGGTTCAACTTATCTTCCGTTCCAATCCAAGTTTCGCCGCACATGTATCAATCATGGATTGCCTTCCAAAGCCATCACCAGTCTGATGCGGGAAGAGATGTGCAATCTGCAGGGGATTCGCACCACACACACAACCCATTTTCAAACACTTAACATGTTACATGCACACAAACATCCCCCCCCCCCCCCCCCCCCCCCCCCCCCACACACACACACACACACACACACAAAATGCTGGGGGCGTTGGGATAGCCTTGTGGTCATTTAATGCGTTCGCTCGTCAATATAATTCAATATACAAAACAAAATTCACAAACACTTTATTCAAACCAGTGACCGCGACTTTTCGGGTTTTCCAATGCGTTTTAAACAGATATTGCAACAGTTACTGAAAAGTAACCATTTCTAGCTTTTCCTCCAATTACCTGGCGATGGGGTAGCGTGTTCGCTCGTCACGATAAAGACCCCGTTTCGATTCCCCATTAATGTATGGGTACAATGTGTGAAGCCCATGTCTGGTGTCACCCGCGCTGATATTGCTGGAATATTGCTAAAAACGGGGTTAAACCATAAGCGCTCACTCAAAATGCTGGATCTGTCTGACACAAATAGCGCCAGGTCTCTAATAAGCGGGTTGTTATAAAAATAAGTTCTCTTTCGCTCTCTATCTTAAAAAATAAGTTCTGTATCAAGAACATCGACTTCTATTATATGTCGAGGCCGATGATCAGCCCCAAGTCTGTAGCAAATGTCATTACAAATTCCCAAACTGGAATTACAAATCCATGTACATGTAGTTTAAGTTATAACCAATGTTATGGCTTTGTATGGGTGAATTGTATTTCACTGATAACAGGACGAATAAATAATGGCGAAAAGGCAATGTTAAAATGTCCCCTAATTTGAGAAAATAAGAACTTTAATAAACATTCCAATTTGGATAAGATTCTTCACAATTTGTCTGCCAAGGGCACTTAGCTTGGAATCCTAGATAACTCCTTGGGTCCCGTTCCACAAAGTGAATTTAGCGCTAAGACTGCCCTAAGTCTACGTTACAGTATGGGAGTTACGATCGTCTTCGCGCTACGATCGCTTTGTGGTCAGTTTATTAGTGACTGTAGCGTATGTAACACGGCAGTTGAAATAGTAAGTCCCGAGACTCCAATTACCACCGGGGCTTCATCACCCGCCGGGTTTGGGAGCTTGTTAAAGAATAGGCGCCGGAGCGCTTATTAGAAGAAATACGGTGGCTGGAATTTCTCTGTTAAAACAAAAAACAATAATTCATAAACGCCCTACCTCATGATGCCGTCTTGCATTAATACGGATCTATATTATGACGTCATACGTCTGTTCTACCATCGTCGCGTGTTTTTGTAATGTAGCATGTGTCACGTGATTTCTCTAACACATTAGTTCGTAAGTTACGTGTCACTTCGAGAGTCACGGCTCATATACTAGTATTAGCTGAACAAAATTTCACAGTAAAAACCGGAGATTAAATTTCTTATTTGATCGGCATTTTTTCTAGATTAAATACTCACATATTTACATTCACAACATTAACAAAAGTCATGTTATGATGAATACTGACTTAAACTGATGTAGTTTAGTGGGGTTGGGTGGGTGGGGTTGAGTGAAGGGGTCCGTGCCTTCGTTGTATGGTGACAGAGCAATACAGCCGCACCCGATCTGTATGTGGTAACATGATTAAAATTCGTATACCATTTAATAAAAAAAAATTCATTAATCGAGAGCTTACAAAAAAACACATATGCGCATGCATATGTGTTTTTTCATCTTTAAACGCGTGTCATTTTACATATACATATGTTGCTATTATTACTTTAGCAAAGTATGTTTATTTATAAAGCAATTCCTTCTGGAAACTATTGTGTCGTGGTATGTATTACCGAGATTAAATGTATTACCTCCCTTTGAAAAGGGCAAGTAATCCCTCATTACGAAAATGCCAATGCCCAAATGGGTTGTTCCATAGAGATATTTAAGAGAAATTTCACATAAGTTAATATGTCGTCACCACTGAATTTTGACATGAAAATTAACTATATTCTTTCAACGATGTGATTCCGAAGAAAACACCAGCTCAAAGTTGGTAAGCCAGACAGAGAACATGTAATTTGATATGTTCATGATGTTAGAGACTGTTTATCTGTTTATCATGTCTGCTACTAGTGCTGTTTGGGAATCGATTCTCACTTCTCTGCGCTGATACACTTACGTTATTAACATGTGGATTGTTACAGTCACCAAAAGGCAGTTGAATGTGAATAATTTGTTCTTTTAGTTGAATCATCTGTGGTTGAATGTTTTGACAGCGTGAGTCAACATGGTGTAATAACGTGTGCCGGTGTATGTTCGGGAGAGGGTGCAGACTAGGGGTGCAGACTAGGGGTGCAGGCTAAAACGGCACCTCAGCAAAACGTCACCGATTTCTCTGGCGAAAATGGCACCGCATTTGGCGAAAACGGCTACTATGTGTCGGGCGAAAACGGAACCTCTATGTTTAATAACGATAACAACGATTTTTGTAGTAATATATAGGGTTTATTTACATGGTATTTGATGTATTGAGTACATCTGAAGCCGTAATGTGAATATCCGATAGGTTTGGTACTCTCATTTCATACGATCACCTCTTCAATGACGGGAGCTACGCATTTCACACGGCGGAAAGGGAAGTCAGTACGGCAAATTTCTCTATAACGGGGCCATAGAAAGTCCGGTTCCACTGGTCACAGTTATCACATGATACAGCATGTTGATTTTTTTCTGTCATTCTTCTCGCATGCAACACATCGAAAGGCCATTGTGAATAGTTGTGATCTGACAGCACCATGTTAGGCCTATTAAATACAGTTTCAGCTTAAATTGAGTAAAGGTTCTTAAAACTTCAAAGCGTATAGTGAATAAAAGTCGGTGAGTAAATTGGAGTAGGGGGCTAATTTCTTATTTGTTTTATTTCACAATTAGTTGTGTTTGTAAGAGACGATGTGAGTTTAATTTCTATTATCTTTCGTCAAAGCATGTTATGTTTTCACCATAAGTTGAGTTGCGTATAAGCTAAGTTGGATTATAGTTGGAGCAGAGGCTAATTTCTAATGTAAACTTGTTTTAACATCTCACAATTATTGGCCTTTGCAAGTTACAATGTAAGTGTAATATCATTCATTTGACCAAGGTAAAAAAAAAAAAAAGGTGCCGTTTTCGCTCCAGTCGAGGTGCCGTTTTCTCTTGAGTCGAGGTGCCGTTTTCGCCAATCGGTGCCGTTTTCGCCCGGTGACGTTTTGCTGAGGTGCCGTTTTCGCTATAACCCCAGACTAGTCATGCTACTTTACTAGGCGTTGCTGTTACTTTAAATGAGTTTTAAGTTCACATTCATTCTCAATGTGTTACTAATAAAATATTTTCATTAATGGAATTAGCTGCTAAGTCGAATTGTTGTGGAATTTTGCACAGACCTACTGCTTCACCTTTTCTATGCACTGGGCTCCATTCCACAAAACGATCTTTGTGCTACGTTGATCGAAGACTCTGATAAAGTATGGGAGTTACGACCAACTTAGCACTAAGATCACTTTGTGGAACTGGGCCCTGGTCACTAGGCCTAATATGTAGTGTAGCTATGATTGACACATTTATAATGTTCTGCTATAGTCAGATGCTGATTTTGCACCGTCATTCATAATCTTAGCCAAAGTGCAAATTACATCATATGAAATTTTGTGTACCCCTTGTTCCCCTTTCGAACAAAATAATGATTTTTCTCTCATATTGCCTGCCAAGGGTGCTTAGTTTTCAGATGTGGTGAATTCAAAGACACTGCCAACTCGTAGACATAATTTTCAGTGAATTTGTAGGAACATTTTTATATTGGAATGGAATGATAATAATTTATATTATCAGTACACTTTTACATCATGTTTGCTCTAAACAGGAAGACATGGTAGCCTGCTGACTAGTAAAACATTGAGTAGAAATAATGATGTTTTGAAATGTGTTAAAAATCCAATGTACCGCCAGGCTTTCAGCAACTAGAACACTGACATCCCCTCAGCATGGATGTGACTGGACTGAATCACATCGGGGATCCTGCCCAGCTGCCGTCATTCAAAGCTCTTCTTCGTGGTGGTCCAGTGCCCTCTACTGCTGCACTTGATGTCTTCATCACTGATCTGGATATAAGGCTGGACCAAAACTCAAAAGAGTAAGCAAACTGTTTCTTCATTTAACTTGATCCTACCAATCATCTGGATCATATATTTTGTATTTTGTTCCGTTCTTCTATATGAAAAGCTCATGCCATGACTTTACATGTGTTCAAGGAATATCTTTCAAAGCTTGTGAAGTGTCAGTTAATATGTCATGTTAATGTCAGTTTCTGAGGCCACAATTTAATAACCTTTGTTTTGGGAAAACCTACTTGAACCAGGAAAATGGCTCTGTCTGAACAATTTTGTATTTAGATAAACAGACACTGACACACACACCAAAATGAAGCCATTTAAGTGAGGCAACATAGCAATCATCATAATCATTTGATTTTGTTATTGATCCCTATTGATAAGTTATTCCTTACTTACATGTACCTATCTCTGATGTTGCCCAAGACAGAAATATTTTTACTAATGGAAAGATTTGAAAGACATATTTACATCAGTAGAAATGTTTTCAGTGTGTTTCTAAAATTTGCTAAAACTTAAAGAGATCTTATTGGTATGTGCTACAGGTTGGATGTGTGTCTCCAGTCTGTGCTGGACTTCACGAATGAACTCCCAGGAAGCAAGTGTTTCACCTCTCCCAAGGAGGGCCTCACACACATGCACAACAGCCATGTGTTGGAGAAGGACTCCTGCTATGACCCTGAGATGGAAGATGTCATGGCTATGCTTACTTATCTCGTAAGTCAGTTAGATATGGATAGATTTTTGTTGATAGGTTCTTGCCTTTGTTACTACTGCCACTTTAACCACACAGGGTGACATGCAGTAGCAGACTCTTGGATGTAGTTCTTGGTATTCTGTTGTTAAGAGTAAGTTTGACAATTTTTAGAAATATGTTTGTTGATTTTATTTATTACTTTATTTAATTTACGAGTTGCTTAAAACATTTTTATACTGCTCTTTGACATTTTCGATATGGACCCATTGTCGAAGCATGTGTCCTAGATTTTATTTTTCAATAACATTCGGGAAATAGTTAATAATTTTAAATCTGTTGATAAAATATAAATTAAAATGAAATGCATATATTCAGACATTGTGAAAAGTGATAGATTTAATAAATGAATGATATGACAGGTAGGTTCATATAGCTATATATTATTTTGACGATGCTACAGTGTGGCAGGTATTCCAACCTGCGGTGTTGAAAGAGTTAACAAGTGGAGTACTTTAAAGCTTGACGCTGTTTCACAGTGCAAACTCAGTGTTATGATTCATTTACTGTGTTTACAGCTTAAAATAAACTGTAGGCTGTAAGGGCCTGCAGAAATATAAAACTATCAGCCTGAAAACAAATCTGTCATCCTCGGGCCTACTGGCCAATGTTTATTTCAAACACTGTTTCTTTTTGTTATATATGCATGAAACTGAAGGTTGTTTTTGCATATATATAACAATATGCACAGTCATAGTTATGGGAACATGACTGGATCATACAGCCATAGCCCTACTCCAGTAACTGCCCCCTCACCAACTGCTTCTGCAATCTGTTAAGTTATCCATATAAGAGGCCTATACAAAGCTGCAACATTTACATGACAGTCGGTATTTTCTTGTATGTATTGCAGAATTGTTTTTCAGAAAACACAGCAAGGGGTATATAATTGCCTAGTAACTATTACAAAAAGACATTTGTGTTTCATCAACATTTGAAACAAGTTTGTTTTCTACTACTGAATCTCTGACAACAAATTTAACTTGTTGTGTATGTTTATAGTAAGCATCCCCTTTGTCAATTGTCAAAGTGCCCAGGGCATTTATGATGGCAAGTATGGTATCCTTGGTGAAAAGATGGTTAAAGCCATCGGCCCCATTCCACAAAGTGATCTTACTGCTAGACTTCCGTAAGCCAATGTTAATGTATGGGAGTTATGATCACCTTATCTCTAAGAATGCTTTGTGGAACATGGCCCTGGTGTTGAGGTCTTGGATGTTTGTTCTTGCAGCATAAGACTTTAGAGCAGTGTCCTGGGTGTGAGGAGGCTGTTCTCCAGGAGATCCTGACACTGTCCTCAATAGAAGGTCTCTCTCTTCCCCTCAAGGCCTCGGACACAGACTCTATGTCCATGTCCATGGTGTCTCTCAACATGGTGGTGGACAGCGGGGACCAGCTCATTGAGCAGAAGTGGAAGAAAGTCACACAGCTACTCAAGAAACATTTCGTGGACCGGCTGCTGCAGCTGCCAGTCAGCATGATGGACAGCAACCTCAACGTACTGGTCAACATGAGGCTCAACCTGCTGCAAAGCCTGCGAGCCATAGCCCCGGACGAGGATGTGTGGAATAGGTAGGCAGAAGGATAACTGAATAAGCTGCAAGTGTTTCACGTCTCCCAAGGATGGAATGAGAGTTTCTGGAAAAACATGATTCTGGAAAAACATGATTCTGACTAAAAGTGTTTTTGTGTACATTTTAATATACCCCATTCGCCTCATTAGGCGCCCTGTTCTAATAAGTGCCCAATGACCAACTTTCATACCAATTTGTAAGTATAATCTGTAAGCGCTCCCTACTAAGACTAAACATTTACGTGACAGTCCATATTTTCTTATGTATGACAGATGATTTTTACAGAAACCAGCAGTGTAAAAGGGGAACGTGATTGCCTAGTAACTATTATCAAAAATTGTTTAGTGTCATCTAGGTTTGAACTGAGTTTGTTCATTGCCGCCTGATCTCTGACAACTTATGTAACTTGTGTATGATTTTATTAAGTGCCCTCTTCAACAATTTTCTTATTGCCCAGGGCGCTTATTACAGCAAATATGGCAGGTCCTTTAATATGTTAAATATGTTTATCCTCTAAACATGCTAAGGTAAGTGTTTATATTACTGTAAGTTAACTCAGTCTGTGCCAAACTTTTCCACTTGCCTCAGCTTGTTTTTCATAGACATGTTTTAGTACACTTTATCTTAACAGACAGCTATTAGCTGAGCTTACTGGACAGAAAGAAATATTGAAGATGGCTTCAGCTTGCTAACTAAATGTTTGTGTTCCCAGGTATCGGTCACTGCGGACACAACAGCTGGAGAAATGTTTCAGTGATATGTTGCCGGAGCAACCGTCTGAGAACACAGACTACAAGGCCTTCAGCCATCACTGTAATGCCATGGCAGACATCATCATCAGCATGCTTGACGAGGACTTCATTGTCCTCAACACCGGCATGTTCACTAAGGTCACCGGGGTGTTCAAGGCCCTGCATGACCTGTACCTGGAGAAGTACAGCGACGAGATGTCCCTGCTGGTGGAGGAGGTGTGTGATGAGATCAGCGAGGTGAGGAGCAAGGGGCTGGCTCAGTCCCACAGTGAGTTCGGCTTCCAGAGTAACCACCATGGCACTATGGCTAAAGGAGGCCTGGCTCAGAGTCTGGACAGCATGGTGACAACATCCACAGCGGCGCAGGCTGCACCAGCGGAACCCAAGTCCTACATCCCACAGACATGCATGAAGTCCCTGCTGCAGATTCTCTGCTCCATCCTGAAGATCGAGGAGCATGTGGATCAGCTGCTGAGGAACACGTCATGGGATGTGTGTGGCCTAGCAGGCAAGAAGAGCAAGAGGAAAGGCAGTCTCCGAGGTAACATCATCACCCATATTTGTCCGCACTGAATGGTAGGGGTGGATGCCCTGTAGATGATGCAGATAATAGTGAGTTTGGTTTAACATCACTTTGATCAGTATTTCAGTTATATCATCAGTGATGCAGGTCTTGATGTTTGTCACTTTTGGGAAGATCTGGGTTAGAATTGGACTTCAGCAACCCGTGCTTCTTGTAAGAGGCTACTAACAGGATCAGGTTGTCAGGCTTGCTGACTTGATGCATGTCATCGTATCAAGTGTGTAGATCCATGCTCATGATGTCAATCACCGGATTGTCTGGTCCAGATTTGATTATTTACCGACCGCCGTCATAGAGCTGGTATATTGACAGTGATTAACATGGGTGGCATTAAACAACCTACCAACCAAACAACGAGTAGGGGTGTGATGCAATCAAACCTGCTGATGTGCTTTGTTCTTCTGCTATCATATGATTTCTTGCAATACTGAGTAATAAGTTAGCATGACAACAGTTACAGCAATTTTGCACATGTCTCTTTAAGATCTGTATAGTTTTGTGTATCCATTGTATTTGTATTACAGGAGTGTTGAAGCCAAGTTCCAGCCCAGAGATGAGTCGCCATTCAATGAATCTGAGCGGCCTGAGTAACAGTGAAACAAACCTTGATGGCTCTGTATCCTCCTCCGTGTCCTCACTACACAGCAGTACAGCAGCTCCTAAAGGTGAGTTGTCCCAGGACTCTCTCTTCCTGACACAGTCAGCCCTACATTTCTGTTATCTGTTGACTCTGTTCCTTACATCACAGTACAGCAGCTCCTAAGGGACAGTTATCTTTAGACTTTGTCCTTGCTATATAGTGGTTTAGCCCTGAAGTGTTCAGTATTATGAGGACACTTGTAGCAGTGTACTGTATAATACTAGTCTCATAATACTGTCCTAATTTTCCAACACTCGTGTTTATTATGTATTATTCCTCCATCTGCAGTGATAGAGAGAACAAAGACAGAGGACAGACTTCACTGGGATTGGAAGATCATCTTCAAGAAAGTGTCATCTGACCTAACACACGCAGTAGAGGCTGACCTTCATGAAGTCATGTCAAATGGCCTTGACATTGACCTCAGACAGTGGGAGACAAGCAGGAAGCTAGAGACGTGCAATGTTCCAGAAATTCTTCATGGAGGAAAGCTTGATTATCCCAAAGTTGTTTCCAAGGTAGTGAATGAAATAACATCCGTCATCAGATTATATCATGTGTATATGCCAGTAGTGTTAGAATGCTCTTTTCAGTCAGTGTCTCGCTGTTTAGAAGTATACCCAGTAAAACTACACAGTAATACAGGTATTCTGGTTTACTACAAATCTACACAGAAATTCATTCACAAATGATGTTAACCTCCGTAACTGATTGACAAAATGGTGAAAATGTGGAATTAATTCTGCTCTCACATTATTATCTCCCCTGTATCCATGACTACAAAATGTCAGTGATCGACTGACAATGCGGCGTAATATTTACTTTAGTACGTAGAATATAGGATCAGTATGCACAATCAGTGTCAATCACTGTCAAACACTTTAGTTCCCAATATAACGCAATAAATATTGCAATACATATACATATTACATTAAGTAATACGTTACCACTGTTATACCGAGGCTGTTGTCTCCCACAACTGCTGCTATAGCGAAATCTACCACAGAGATCTCAATTACCTCATGCAGCACGTGCGTAGCCACCCAGCTGCCATGTGACACCCTTCACTCTTGTCTCCTTCGTCTGCTTAGCAAGACGTGTTTTCTCCTGCTGAAGCGTTCCTTGAAGATTTGGTGATATTTGTTATAGTTTATTCTCTAATAAACTGTGCTTTTATGGGGCGTTGCGGTAGCTACGCTTGGTTATAATTTTCCCGCCAAACGGAAAATTTTTCCCGCCCTTTTTTCTATATACTTGCGGGGTTCGCGTATGCACGTTGTGTTTTACGTTTCCCCTGTTCTTGTATGTTTTGGGGGTTAACATCACTTATTTCTTTAATAAAAGTTCTATGTGTATGTTATATGTTCACATTGCTCGTTTATTTTCTTGTGAAAATGTTCGTTTGTGAATCATTGTGGTGCGTGCGTTGTAACCATGTTTTGTTCTTTGTTTATAGCAAACAATCAATGTCTGACATGGATATGTCCCCAGTATCCACCCCCTCTACCCCTGCTCCTCGGAGTTGTGGGGTGTGCAGAAAGTTTTTGTCGTCACGGATCCCCACGATCGTTGCCCGCGGTGCAGGGTTCCTTGCGGGGACACCCGGTGCATCCTGTGCGAAGGTCTGGGGCCTGCGGAGTTTGAGCGGTACCGGCTGTACGTACAGTCCGTCTCCACCCCTGTGGTGGCCGGTTCGTCCGGTCGGGGTCCCCGTGCGGGTACCACCTCCTCGGCTGCGGCGGATCCCCTTGCGGCCCTCTGGCTGTCTGGGGATTCCGTCGCCGCATTGTTGTCGAAACTTGTGGTCTCCAAGCTGGCGGCCTTATCGCAAGATAGGCTGCTGGCTGTTCCGTCCCCGGCCTCTTCGGTGGCCGCGGGGTCGGCCGCGGGGTCCACCGGTAAAGCGGCGGATCTCTTGGCGGCCCGTGTGCTGTCCGGGGATTCCGTCGCTGCATTACTTGCATAACTTGTGGACTCCAAGCTGGCGGCTGTTCCGTCCCCGGCCACTTTGGTGGCCGCGGGGTCCACCGGTACGGCGGCGGCTCCCGTGGTCACCGGTCCTTCCCCCGAACCGTTGCTCCCGCTATCGGTTTAGGACCGCGTGGCCATGGTTTATGACCTCTTCGAGGACATGCCCCGGCCGGTACCGCGGGGAATCCACGACTGTGGGTTCCTCCGAGGTATACGATGAGTCTTCCGACACGGCTTTCCCCGCATCAACCTTGCTGCGCGGTTTCAAGCCTTCCTTGGAGAACGCCTTCGCGGCGGCCTCCGGTCGGGGTCTCCCGTTGCCTCCGACGTCGTGGAGAAAGGGTTTCTTCCCGGTACATGACCTTGCCTTTCCCGAGGCTGGTCCTACCGCGGAGGCCCATGTTGAGCGGTTGGGTGTCTGTGCCCCTAGGGCTGCTACGGTAACGCAAGCTACCTTGCACCAGCTGGACGCCCTCGCTCAGCACTCCATGTCTCACGGAGACACTTACTTGGCTGCAGCGGCCAGTCTGGTCGAAGGTTCTCCCACGGACCGTGACCAACGCTTTTACAACTGCCTGCTCAGTTTAAATGCTTCCCTGGAGTTCCTTGCCGAGGACTCTCGGCACACACTTGCTCTTGTTGGGTCCCTGCATAGGCGCCTGGGTGCCGCTCCTAACCGGAGCGCGCCCCAGGCTGCTACGTCCGGTAGGTCTAAGGGGTCGGGTTCTTCTTCCTCTGGGAAGTAGCCCCGCCCTGAGGGCTCCGGTATGGGCAATCAGCTGCCCTTTCGCGGGAGGTCGGGGAACTGGGGGAAGCCCAAGTCGTCTAAGGACGGCAAGGGCCCCTCCAGGTGACTCTCATTGGAGGGGCTCGTATGCCGACAGCGCCAACTTCGGTTGGCCCTTAGGCGAACCCGAGTCACTTGGCCCTGGACAGTTGCGCCTGCCGCAGCCTGTCAGGGCCCCCTCTCCTTCCCCAGTGGGAGCCAGACTCCAGACTTACTGGGAGAATTGGGAACAAGTGTTCGACGACCCGTGGGTGGTCAACACGATTCGGTACGGCTATCGGCTTGATCTCAAAGCAAATGCGCCGCTCACCGTTGCCCCGTTGGCAGGTTTCGATTCGGAAACCGATCTTCCCATCCTCGCCGATGCCATCGGCAGGTTGGTGGAGAAGGGGCAGTACGGATATTTCTCGTTCCCAAGTAGGACAGTGCCGAACTCAGAATGATTCACACGTCCGCTCCCTGGCTGTTCACCTGGTTAACCACCCCCATAGTGGGGTTCCTCCACAGGAGGGGTGTCCGGTACTTTGCGTACCTGGACGACTCGCTAGTAGCAAATCGAATGACGGACACCCTGTCACGCCATCTCGTTTTCGCACGTCGGCTCTTGGAGCAATTGGGGTGGATTATCAATCTCCCCAAGAGCGAGTTAACCCCTTCTCAGAACTTGCTGTTCATCGGAGGTCGGTTCAACACGGTGTCCCATCGCCTCTTTGTCCCCCCAGACCGGTGGCACAAAATTCAGGCGATGATTGCCAAAGTCTTAGCGGTGCAACAGACTGTTCACTTTTGGGAACAGCTGTTAGGGCTACTTGTATCAGCCCAGGACTGCACCGCACGGGGTCGTCTCCAACTCCGCCCGCTGCAACGGTTTTTAATCCAGTTGTTAGCAACGGAGGTGAACAGTGCGACCGTCGCCCTCCCGGATCGGCTCCGACCGCATCTGGAGTGGTGGACGGTCCCTTACATTGTCTTATCAGGAGTCTCTATGCGGCCCTAGAGACAGTCAATCACTGGCAGCATCGTCTCGTCGACGCCCGGCTCATGCTGGCGACCGACAACACGACGGTAGTGTCCTATGTGAACAAACTGGGGGGAACCCACAGTCACTCGCTACTCGATCTCACGTTCGAGTTTTACGCTCTGGTGGACAGTGTCCCGTGCCAGATACGCGCCCGTCACATCCCAGGTGTGCGGAACGTACTGGCCGATGCTCTATCGAGGCCTCAGGATCCGAGCCCCACAGAGTGGATGCTGAACCCAGTAGTGTTTCAGTGGCTGTGCGAACGTTTGGGTCGTCCGATGGTCGACCTGTTCGCAACGCGGTTCAACAATCAACTCCCGTTGTTTGTATCACCAGTCCCGGACCTGAGGGCCATCGATCACGATGCTCTCGCGTTAGACTGGACAGGCTTGGTCGCTTATGCTTACCCGCCGACAGCGTTGATACCACACATTCTAAGCCGGCTCCGAGGAGTTCGCTGTCGAATGTTACTGATCGCGCCCATGTGGCCGAACAGATCGTGGTACCCCGACTTGCTGACCCAGGTCACGCAGTCACCACTTCCACTGCCGGATCTCTTGATCCACCCTCACACCCGTCAGCTTCATCCAAACGCAGGGCAGTTCAATCTGCACGCGTGGATGTTGTCACCGAGCGTCTGAGCAGTAAAGTTTTTTCTCGCCGGGCGTCTCGGGCATACGTTAGTATGCATCGTGATTCTACCCAGAAGGTGTATAATGCACGTTGGGTTATTTTCACGAAGTGGTGTTGTAAACATCACATTCATTCGCCAGATAAGGTATCTGTGCAGGATATTGCTCGTTTCATGTCTCACTTGCGAGAGACCCGGAAACTCTCCGGGGGTTCCATTGCCAACTATGTCTCGTCCGTTGCTACGGTACGGGACGTTGCTATGGGTACCAGTCTCTCCAAAGAGCCGGTGATACAGGGTATTATCAAGGGTTTCAAACAGCAGGATCTTAAGAAGGGCCGCCTTCGGGCACCGTCCTGGGATCTTTCCCTAGTGTTGCAATCACTTACGGAAGCTCCGTATGAACCCTTGCATAGTGCTTCGTTCCGGCATGTGACTTGGAAAACAGCATTTCTACTCTCCTTTGCCACGGCGGCACGTGTATCCGAAATTCATGCACTCGATGTCGCCAAGGTACGATTCGATAGGGGTGACGAAGAAGCGGTCCGCCTGGGCCTGCTCATGGGCTTCGTCTCCAAGAATCAGAGAGTCGGGCAAACGGAGAGAGAATTCACTGTAAGATCACTCAAAGAAATCTTACATCCTGCTGATACTGAGGACAGAGCGCTGTGTCCGGTTAGGGCCCTTAAGTATTATCTTAAGGCTTGGAATGAACGTAGACAAGGGCGTGACCGTCTGTTCATATCGTGTAACCCTAATCGCACGGTTGACATAACTCGCAACTCGATTGCGTTGTGGCTTCGTTCTGTCATCAATCTGACGTACTGGTCTTGGGGGTTACCGGTAGCGGGGTCAAACCCGCACGAGATCAGGGCGCTAGCGGCAACATTTGCCCTACACTCGAATATCTCTGTTCGCAGAATATTACGAGGTTGTTACTGGCGTTCTGACTCGGTTTTTGCCAATCATTACCTCAAACAGGTCGCTGATGCCGTCGTGGAGAGTGTGCACCGTCTTGGCCCGCGGATCGCGGCGCAAGCGGGCACCTAAGGGGTGTGCCCAGCGCAATTCCGAACTCCTCAGGCGTCTGACCTTGCACGGTGGTCAATCTGGGTCGACTCCAATGTTCCCACTGCCGTGGGTACAGGAGTTGGGGTCCCGCAAACCTGCGCACTCACACCACAGGTGAGGGCGGCTTTTTGTGTGCTTTGTCCTTATTTGTATTTTGACAATTATGTCTTTAATTGTCTTTTGTGTATCCCAACCTTGTGATGCATGCTTACAAATACTGGAATTAGTCACGCGCCTAATGCATACTTTAAGTAGGCTTGCTCTGGGATATACGGTCTGAATGAAATTAATTTCCCTCTTTTCGACTGTTTAACCTGATCTAAGATTAAGCTCACGTGGATACAGTGTTCTCATCCGCTGCGGCGATGAAATACCTATCCAGTGGGGCCGTTTGGAGTCACCAATCGTTTTGGCAATGACGATTGAGCCTTACGGTATGCGCTTGACAGTGCTTTGGTATTCCTATAGGGTAACGCCTAGCTAGGTGCATGCGCATCGAGTGCTTCCGCCTTGGTGTTTACTTCCGCTGGTCGGAAGGAACGCTAGCAGACAGGATTCGGGTTGTAGGTGCTCCCCACCGCCTACTGTGGTAGTCAGCCTCGGTATAACAGTGGTAACGTATTACTTAATGTAATTTGTAGAATTTTCCTATTCGGAATATTCTATAAGTAATACGTTACCACTGGGCTGCTGCCCGCCCGTCCGTCCCCCGAGCACTTGCTCTCGCAGGAGACAAGAGTGAAGGGTGTCACATGGCAGCTGGGTGGCTACGCACGTGCTGCATGAGGTAATTGAGATCTCTGTGGTAGATTTCGCTATAGCAGCAGTTGTGGGAGACAACAGCCTCGGTATAACAGTGGTAACGTATTACTTATAGAATATTCCGAATAGGAAAATTCTACAAGTATTGCAATAATTGTACAGTAAACTACACTTATAATGCACACGTTTATAATGAACGGATGGATACAGTGAACATTTCTTTGGTCCCGTCCATTTGACATTTATATATGCTTATAATGAACTACAGAACAAGCTAAAATTAGTGGTCCCTTTGAGTTCATAATTACTGTAGTTTACTGCATTGCAATACCATTATTTTTCCAATGCACAGCCCTACTCTACAGACAGAACAGGGATACAACTCACCTAACCTGTTTGTTGCTCTGTGTCCAGGCTGTGTTTGACTTCTTCTCTGCCGCTGACAACTTGCTGCCCCTTGCGCGAGCCGGCCGGGACGGAACCTTCCAGACTGTTAGGTCTGCCTTTATTGAGGCCATCAACCTTGGGCTCAAGAACTTCAATGTTCATTTTACAAAGGTCAGAATATGTAGAGAATATGTATTATTTACCTTATCCTGACTCATACTTATTGCTTGTGGCATCTCATTTCCAAAAAATAGTGGAAACTTCAAGAACAGACAAATCAACCATGGCATTCTACATAAATCCCCAAGGAATGACAAGATTGGCAACCTTGCTGAGATTAATATTCCAACTGAACAGACACACAGACAGCCTGAATCTAAGATTCATCCCAGGAGTATCAGATGTATTAGCGGACGCCCTATCCAGGCCATCCAAACCATCACCAACAGAATGGATGTACCATCCAGTTGCATTCCAGCTTGTGATAAAGCAAGTAGTTTGCCCATCAGTTGATATGTTTGCAACAAGATTTAACAGACAAATAGCAACCTTTGTCTCAGCAGTTACGGACCCTCAAGCTTGGGTCAACGATGCACTGGCGATATTGTTGGAGGGACTCCCTGCATATTCGTTCCCACCACTAATACCCCTGATATCAGGCACACGGGCCTGATACTGCTTTTGGAATAACCACTTTGGCCATCTAGAACTTGGTTTCCAGGCCTCATAGCAATGGCTAAGAAGCCAACCCTAAAGCTCCCAAACTGGCCAAATCTTCTTCTGCATCCTCACACAAAGCATGTTCATTCAAGACCAGATCTCCACGAGCTTCACGCATGGAACTAGAATACAATCAGCCTCACTAGATGAGGATATTCAACCGGAGTACATCTCCTTGGCCCTTTGTAGATCTATGAGGAATTTATATAATGGTAAATAGAAGAGTTTTGACCAGTTTGCAAGGTCTAGGGGTTTTAAAAGCAGCTGAAGCCTCTTCACCACAAGTGGCAGAATTCTTATGCCACCTGAAAAGGCCAAGAAAGCTTGACACTGGGCACATATCTGGCAGCTGGTAGCTCTGCCCTCTCTGTACAACGGAATCAAGCTTACCAATGTTACAGAATTGATAGCACTTATAAGATTTTACAGACTTGAAGATCAACAAAAGAAATTAAGAGCCCCAGCATGAGACCTGAACACTGTGCTCAAGCATCTCACCAGCAATGCCTATGAACCTCTGGAACAAGCTGACTTCAAACATCTGATGCAGAAAACCTTCTGTTCCTTCTGGCACTACCCACGGTGGCCAGAATGACAGACATTCATGCTATCAACTTCAGCCGTGCCAGATTTGACAACAGCGATCACGCATCGGCTCAACTTGGTCTAAGATGGTCTACCACCAAGAACCAGCTGCCACGGCAACCGGACAGACAATTCCACATCCCACCGCTCTCATACATCCTTCGATCAGAGGATACTGAAGATTAGTCACTATGTTGTCAGAGCCTAGCCTTCCAAGAACAAGCTCCAGAAGGCGGAAGTTATAAAGGCTATTTAATCCTTTATCAAGGAATCCTTCAGCTGAAGTCTCTAGAACAACCATGTAAAGTCAGAGCTTAAGCTTCCACCTTTGCCTTACGTGGCATCTGCCCCATCCCGATGATTATGGAAGGCTGTTTTTGGAGAGTGGACTCATACACTGAAGCGCCCACCAGGCCGCCCTTCTTCCACCTTATATGTGTTTCAACTGTAGGTAAGAGAATGAGACTGACACGTCAATGGGATTGGTCCGGTGTGCATTCACTGCTCAGGGTGCGTTAGTGTGGGCTATTTTTCTGTTCCTTTTTACTACCTTTCAGAAATGAGATGGAATAAGTGATAAGTAAGAGTCAGGATAAGTATAAATGATATTTTTACTTTAAAAAATGCATATCTGTGCTTGACAAATATATCCTTGATGAATGGTACTAAATTGGTACTTAGTGGCTAACGATGCTAACAGCTGTATTCATGACTCAGTTTTCTGTGGGCAGTTGTCGCACCGAGATTAAGAGTTGACATAACTTCTTATAGGATAGCCTTGAGTTTTTGTTTTTTTTGCTATATTAGTTGGATTGTATACGATATGGGAGTGCCATGTTTTTGATGTAAATTTCAACACTCTTGAGAGACATTTCTCCGATCAGGGTTTGTAACAATAACTAAAATGTGTCCTGTTTCTAAATACATTTATGAGTTCAGAAATGAGTCAATAGCATGTCTGTATTCAGCTGTGCAAGGATGTCCCGAGCCAGGCGCCACTGTTCAGCATGTATGTCATCATGTCCAGTGCTGCGTACATCAGGAACCAGCTGGTCCACTATGAAAAGGTCCTGGTGTTTGACGAGGCAGGGTGAGTGGATAGGATGGAAGAAAGTTTTCTATTACTTGTCAAAGAGTCTAGAAATCTGTTCGGACAGGCAGTATCTTGTGAAACCCATACAGGTCCACTGTCCAGCTTGTACAGACATCCATGATGTCATGATGTTAAATGTGATTGTCCCGATTACCTCTTTTAACAGTGGTTAAATTACATTAAGTAATACGTTACCACTGTTATACCGAGGCTGTTGTCTCCCACAACTGCTGCTATAGCGAAATCTACCACAGAGATCTCAATTACCTCATGCAGCACGTGCGTAGCCACCTAGCTGCCATGTGACACCCTTCACTCTTGTCTCCTTCGTCTGCTTAGCAAGACGTGTTTTCTCCTGCTGAAGCGCTCCTTGAAGATTTGTTGATATGTATTATAGTTTATTCTCTAATAAACTGTGCTTTTATGGGGCGTTGCGGTAGCTACGCATGGTTATAATTTTCCTGCCAAACGGAAAATTTTTCCCGCCCTTTTTTCTATATACTTGCGGGGTTCGCGTATGCACGTTGTGTTTTACGTTTCCCCTGTTCTTGTATGTTTTGGGGGTTAACATCACTTATTTCTTTAATAAAAGTTCTATGTGTATGTTATATGTTCACATTGCTCGTTTATTTTCTTGTGAAAATGTTCGTTTGTGAATCATTGTGGTGCGTGCGTTGTAACCATGTTTTGTTCTTTGTTTATAGCAAACAATCAATGTCTGACATGGATATGTCCCCAGTATCCACCCCCTCTACCCCTGCTCCTCGGAGTTGTGGGGTGTGCAGAAAGTTTTTGTCGTCCCGGGATCCCCACGATCGTTGCCCGCGGTGCAGGGTTCCTTGCGGGGACACCCGGTGCATCCTGTGCGAAGGTCTGGGGCCTGCGGAGTTTGAGCGGTACCGGCTGTACGTACAGTCCGTCTCCACCCCTGTGGTGGCCGGTTCGTCCGGTCGGGGTCCCCGTGCGGGTACCACCTCCTCGGCTGCGGCGGATCCCCTTGCGGCCCTCGGGCTGTCTGGGGATTCCGTCGCCGCATTGTTGTCGAAACTTGTGGTCTCCAAGCTGGCGGCCTTATCGCAAGATAGGCTGCTGGCTGTTCCGTCCCCGGCCTCTTCGGTGGCCGCGGGGTCGGACGCGGGGTCCACCGGTAAAGCAGCGGATCTCTTGGCGGCCCGTGTGCTGTCCGGGGATTCCGTCGCTGCATTACTTGCATAACTTGTGGACTCCAAGCTGGCGGCCTTATCTCAGGATAGGCCGCTGGCTGTTCCGTCCCCGGCCACTTCGGTGGCCGCGGGGTCGGACGCGGGGTCCACCGGTACGGCGGCGGCTCCCGTGGTCACCGGTCCTTCCCCCGAACCGTTGCTCCCGCTATCGGTTTAGGACCGCGTGGCCATGGTTTATGACCTCTTTGAGGACATGCCCCGGCCGGTACCGCGGGGAATCCACGACTGTGGGTTCCTCCGAGGTATACGATGAGTCTTCCTACACGGCTTTCCCCGCATCAACCTTGCTGCGCGGTTTCAAGCCTTCCTTGGAGAACGCCTTCGCGGCGGCCTCCGGTCGGGGTCTCCCGTTGCCTCCGACGTCGTGGAGAAAGGGTTTCTTCCCGGTACATGACCTTGCCTTTCCCGAGGCTGGTCCTACCGCGGAGGCCCATGTTGAGCGGTTGGGTGTCCGTGCCCCACCGGCTGCTACGGTAACGCAAGCTACCTTGCACCAGCTGGACGCCCTCGCTCGGCACTCCATGTCTCACGGAGACACTTACTTGGCTGAAGCGGCCCGTCTGGTCGAAGGTTCTCCCACGGACCGTGACCAGCGCATTTACAACTGCCTGCTCAGTTTAAATGCTTCCCTGGAGTACGTTGCCGAGGACTCTCGGCACACACTTGCTCTTGTTGGGTCCCTGCATAGGCGCCTGGGTGCCGCTCCTAACCGGAGCGCGCCCCAGGCTGCTGCGGCCGGTAGGTCTAAGGGGTCAGGTTCTTCTTCCTCTGGGAAGTAGCCCCGCCCTGAGGGCTCCGGTATGGGCAATCAGCTGCCCTTTCGCGGGAAGACGGGGAACTGGGGGAAGCCCAAGTCGTCGACGGACGGCAAGGGCCCCTCCAGGTGACTCTCATTGGAGGGGTTCGTATGCCGACAGCGCCAACTTCGGTTGGCCCTTAGGCGAACCCGAGTCACTTGGCCCTGGACAGTTGCGCCTGCCGCAACCTGTCAGGGCCCCCTCTCCTTCCCCAGTGGGAGCCAGACTCCAGACTTACTGGGAGAATTGGGAACAAGTGTTCGACGACCCGTGGGTGGTCAACACGATTCGGTACGGCTATCGGCTTGATCTCAAAGCGAATCCGCCGCTCACCGTTGCCCCGTTGGCAGGTTTCGATTCGGAAACCGATCTTCCCATCCTCGCCGATGCCATCGGCAGGTTGGTGGAGAAGGGGCAGTACGGGAGTTAGCTCTACCAGAAATAACACCGGGGTTTTACTCCAGGATATTTCTCGTTCCCAAGTAGGACAGTGCCGAACTCAGAATGATTCACACGTCCGCTCCCTGGCTGTTCACCCGGTTAACCACCCCCATAGTGGGGTTCCTCCACAGGAGGGGTGTCCGGTACCTCGCGTACCTGGACGACTCGCTAGTAGCAAATCGAATGACGGACACCCTGTCACGCCATCTCGATTTCGCACGTCGGCTCTTGGAGCAATTTGGGTGGATTATCAATCTCCCCAAGAGCGAGTTAACCCCTTCTCAGAACTTGCTGTTCATCGGAGGTCGGTTCAACACGGTGTCCCATCGCCTCTTTGTCCCCCCAGACCGGTGGCACAAAATTCAGGCGATGATTGCCAAAGTCTTAGCGGTGTAACAGACTGTTCACTTTTGGGAACAGCTGTTAGGGCTACTTGTATCAGCCCAGGACTGCACCGCACGGGGTCGTCTCCAACTCCGCCCGCTGGAACGGTTTTTAATCCAGTTGTTAGCAACGGAGGTGAACAGTGCGACCGTCGCCCTCCCGGATCGGCTCCGACCGCATCTGGAGTGGTGGACGGTCCCTTACATTGTCTTATCAGGAGTCTCTATGCGGCCCTACCGGGCCACGTTGACCCTGTATACAGACGCCTCTCTAGTGGGCTGGGGCGCCCATCTAAAGGGGGAGGTGAGCTCGGGGCTGTGGTGCGTAGACGAACTAGGTCTTCACATCACTTGGCTCGAGTTCAAGGCAGTGATCAACGCAGTCAATCACTGGAAGCATCGTCTCGTCGACGCCCGGCTCATGCTGGCGACCGACAACACGACGGTAGTGTCCTATGTGAACAAACTGGGGGGAACCCACAGTCACTCGCTACTCGATCTCACGTTCGAGTTTTACGCTCTGGTGGACAGTGTCCCGTGCCAGATACGCGCCCGTCACATCCCAGGTGTGCGGAACGTACTGGCCGATGCTCTATCGAGGCCTCAGGATCCGAGCCCCACAGAGTGGATGCTGAACCCAGTAGTGTTTCAGTGGCTGTGCGAACGTTTGGGTCGTCCGATGGTCGACCTGTTCGCAACGCGGTTCAACAATCAACTCCCGTTGTTTGTATCACCAGTCCCCGACCCGAGGGCCATCGATCACGATGCTCTCGCGTTAGACTGGACGGGCTTGGTCGCTTATGCTTACCCGCCGACAGCGTTGATACCACACATTCTAAGCCGGCTCCGAGGAGTTCGCTGTCGAATGTTACTGATCGCGCCCATGTGGCCGAACAGATCGTGGTACCCCGACTTGCTGACCCAGGTCACGCAGTCGCCACTTCCACTGCCTGTGAGACCGGATCTCTTGATCCACCCTCACACCCGTCAGCTTCATCCAAACGCAGGGCAGTTCAATCTGCACGCGTGGATGTTGTCACCGAGCGTCTGAGGAGTAAAGGTTTTTCTCGCCGGGCGTCTCGGGCATACGTTAGTATGCATCGTGATTCTACCCAGAAGGTGTATAATGCACGTTGGGTTATTTTCACGAAGTGGTGTTGTAAATATCACATTCATTCGCCAGATAAGGTATCTGTGCAGGATATTGCTCGTTTCATGTCTCACTTGCGAGAGACCTGGAAACTCTCCGGGGGTTCCATTGCCAACTATGTCTCGTCCGTTGCTACGGTACGGGACGTTGCTATGGGTACCAGTCTCTCCAAAGAGCCGGTGATAAGGGGTATTATCAAGGGTTTCAAACAGCACGATCTTAAGAAGGGCCGCCTTCGGGCACCGGCCTGGGATCTTTCCCTAGTGTTGCAATCACTTACGGAAGCTCCGTATGAACCCTTGCATAGTGCTTCGTTCCGGCATGTGACTTGGAAAACAGCATTTCTCCTCTCCTTTGCCACGGCGGCACGTGTATCCGAAATTCATGCACTCGATGTCGCCACGGTACGATTCGATAGGGGTGACGAAGGAGCGGTCCGCCTGGGCCTGCTCATGGGCTTCGTCGCCAAGAATCAGAGAGTCGGGCAAACGGAGAGAGAATTCACTGTAAGATCACTCAAAGAAATCTTACATCCTGCTGATACTGAGGACAGAGCGCTGTGTCCGGTTAGGGCCCTTAAGTATTATCTTAAGGCTTGGAATGAACGTAGACAAGGGCGTGACCGTCTGTTCATATCGTGTAACCCTAATCGCACGGTTGACATAACTCGCAACTCGATTGCGTTGTGGCTTCGTTCTGTCATCAATCTGGCGTACCGGTCTCGGGGGTTACCGGTAGCGGGGTCAAACCCGCACGAGATCAGGGCGCTAGTGGCAACATTTGCCCTACACTCGAATATCTCTGTTCGCAGATTATTACGAGGTTGTTACTGGCGTTCTGACTCGGTTTTTGCCAATCATTACCTCAAACAGGTCGCTGATGCCGTCGTAGAGAGTGTGCACCGTCTTGGCCCGCGGATCGCGGCGCAAGCGGGCACCTAAGGGGTGTGCCCAGCGCAATTCCGAACTCCTCAGGCGTCTGACCTTGCACGGTGGTCAATCTGGGTCGACTCCAATGTTCCCACTGCCGTGGGTACAGGAGTTGGGGTCCCGCAAACCAGCGCACTCACACCACAGGTGAGGGAGGCTTTTTGTGTGCTTTGTCCTTATTTGTATTTTGACAATTATGTCTTTAATTGTCTGTCGTGTATCCCAACCTTGTGATGCATGCTTACAAATACTGGAATTAGTCACGCGCCTAATGCATACTTTAAGTAGGCTTGCTCTGGGATATACGGTCTGAATGAAATTAATTTCCCTCTTTTCGACTGTTTAACCTGATCTAAGATTAAGCTCACGCGGATACAGTGTTCTCATCCGCTGCGGCGATGAAATACCTATCCAGTGGGGCCGTTTGGAGTCACCAATCGTTTTGGCAATGACGATTGAGCCTTACGGTATGCGCTTGACAGTGCTTTGGTATTCCTATAGGGTAACGCCTAGCTAGGTGCATGCGCATCGAGTGCTTCCGCCTTGGTGTTTACTTCCGCTGGTCGGAAGGAACGCTAGCAGTCAGGATTCGGGTTGTAGGTGCTCCCCACCGCCTACTGTGGTAGTCAGCCTCGGTATAACAGTGGTAACGTATTACTTAATGTCATTTGTAGAATTTTCCTATTCGGAATATTCTATAAGTAATACGTTACCACTGGGCTGCTGCCCGCCCGTCCGTCCCCCGATCACTTGCTCTCGCAGGAGACAAGAGTGAAGGGTGTCACATGGCAGCTAGGTGGCTACGCACGTGCTGCATGAGGTAATTGAGATCTCTGTGGTAGATTTCGCTATAGCAGCAGTTGTGGGAGACAACAGCCTCGGTATAACAGTGGTAACGTATTACTTATAGAATATTCCGAATAGGAAAATTCTACAAAACGTTTGCTTGTCATGGCGAAGACCTGGGTTCGATTCCCGACATGGGTACAATGTGTGAAGCCCATTTCTGGTGTCCCCCGCCATGATATTGCAGGAATATTGCTAAAAGCGGCGTAAAACCATACTAACTCACTCACTCACTCTCTGTGTGTAGGTAGTATTGGGTAGGCGTCAGGGTGTGTATTGGGTAGGCGTCAGTGTGTGTATAGGGTAGGTGTCAGTGTGTGTATAGGGTAGGTGTCAGGAAGTGTATTGGGTAGGGGTCAGGGTGTGTGTTGGGTAGGCCTCAGGGTGTGTATTCGGTAGGTGTCAGTGTGTGTATAGGGTAGGTGTCAGGAAGTGTATTGGGTAGGCGTCAGGGTGTGTATTGGGTAGGCGTCAGTGTGTGTATAGGGTAGGTGTCAGGAAGTGTATTGGGTAGGGGTCAGGGTGTGTGTTGGGTAGGCCTCAGGGTGTGTATTCGGTAGGTGTCAGTGTGTGTATAGGGTAGGTGTCATGAAGTGTGTTGGGTAGGCGTCAGGGTGTGTATTGGGTAGGCGTCAGTGTGTGTGTAGGGTAGGCGTCAGGGTGTGTATTGGGTAGGTGTCAGTGTGTGTATAGGGTAGGTGTCAGGAAGTGTATTGGGTAGGCGTCAGGGTGTGTATTGGGTAGGCGTCAGTGTGTGTATAGGGTAGGTGTCAGGAAGTGTATTGGGTAGGGGTCAGGGTGTGTGTTGGGTAGGCCTCAGGGTGTGTATTCGGTAGGTGTCAGTGTGTGTATAGGGTAGGTGTCATGAAGTGTGTTGGGTAGGCGTCAGGGTGTGTATTGGGTAGGCGTCAGTGTGTGTGTAGGGTAGGCGTCAGGGTGTGTATTGGGTAGGTGTCAGTGTGTGTATAGGGTAGGTGTCAGGAAGTGTGTTGGGTAGGCGTCAGGATGTGTATTGGGTAGGTGTCAGTGTGTGTATAGGGTAGGTGTCAGGAAGTGTGTTGGGTAGGCGTCAGGGTGTGTATTGGGTAGGTGTCAGGAAGTGTGTTGGGTAGGCGTCAGGGTGTGTATTGGGTAGGCGTCAGTGTGTGTGTAGGGTAGGTGTCAGGAAGTGTATTGGGTAGGCGTCAGTGTGTGTATAGGGTAGGCGTCAGGGTGTGTATTGGGTAGGTGTCAGTGTGTGTATAGGGTAGGTGTCAGGAAGTGTGTTGGGTAGGCGTCAGGGTGTGTATTGGGTAGGCGTCAGTGTGTGTATAGGGTAGGTGTCAGGAAGTGTGTTGGGTAGGCGTCAGGGTGTGTATAGGGTAGGGGTCAGGGTGTGTGTTGGGTAGGCCTCAGGGTGTGTATTGGGTAGGTGTCAGTGTGTGTATAGGGTAGGCGTCAGTGTGTGTATAGGGTAGGCGTCAGGGTGTGTATTGGGTAGGCGTCAGTGTGTGTATAGGGTAGGTGTCAGGAAGTGTATTGGGTAGGCGTCAGGGTGTGTATTGGGTAGGCGTCAGTGTGTGTATAGGGTATGTGTCAGGAAGTGTATTGGGTAGGCGTCAGTGTGTGTATTAGGTAGGCGTCAGGATGTGTATTGGGTAGGCGTCAGGGTGTGTATTGGGTAGGCGTCAGGGTGTGTATTGTGTAGGCGTCAGGGTGTGTGTTGGGGTATGTGATGGGAACGGCGCCATGGGTATGATTCATGGGATGTGTATTGGGTAGGCGTCAGGGTGTGTATTAGGTAGGCGGCAGGGTGTGTATTGGGTCGGCGTCAGGGTGTGAGTTGGGGTATGTGATGGGTAGGGTGCCATTAGCATGATTCATGGTGTGTGCATAGGGTAGGCAGCAGGGTGTGTGTTGGGGTATGTGATGGGTAAGGCGCCATGAACATAATTCATGGTGTGTGTAGGTAGTATTTAAATGGTTGTTGTGTAGGATAAGAGGGAGGGGGTGCCTTGTGTAGGGGGTGTGGTGGGTAGGGTGATTATGACAATGTGTGGTTTGGGTGAAGGTCAGACAAGAGTGCAAACTTTATGGAAGAAAGCTGATGAAGTCATGTCTATGTAATTTCTGTGTTTTCAGGAAGAAGCCGTTTTGTGGTCTTTACAAACAGTTTGTGGAGCTAACAGATTCGCTGACTCAGCAGGTTATAGAACTGCACACTCAGTTGATCTCCACTAGTATTTTACATGATGCTGAAGGGGGAGACTGGGCCAATATGAAAGATTTCTATGAGGTGAGTGTAAACCATACTAAGATAAGCAAGAGTTCACTTCAGTATTATTTGTGTTTAAACGGGTATTAAAATATTCTATATTTCTGTATCATGAAATGAAGCAAAAAGGACAACCATACTTCAACTCACAGTCGTCTCACTGGCATCGCTTTATTTAGCCTGCATAACTACCAGATGCCAATTAGTGTCAGCATCCTGACACAATGGGCTTCAGACCAGTGAGAGGCCAACTGGGGGACCTGTTGCTTTAGATGACACAACACTTAGGTTACCTTTGTTGTAACCAAAGATCCGGAATCTTTATTGGTCAGTCGGGCATTAGTATTCTGCTCACACCCACCTCTTATTTGACAGGTACAGTTGAATGTTCAGCACAGCGAGAATAGTATCGAACCAGTCACACCAGTCAAGATTATGGTCCATAATAAACAAATTCTGAATCCACGAAGAAAAAGACCTTCCATATTTAAGTACTTTTAAAGTTATAGTATTGTTTCCCTTTAACATGTTTAACATGTGTTAGGTCCAGCCCAAATTGCATCCTATTCATACGACAACATCTCCAAACGTCCACTCAGATTTATCCCCCACCTGGACACTCGGACTATCCCTATCAAATATTAAGTAGTATATAATAACAGGCTGCTGTTTTTGTACTGTAGACAATAGTTTGAAATTTGTGACATCATTCAATAATGCAGCCAAGTCCTGCCCAAACTATAGCTGGAATATTGCTGATGGTGGTATTATACAACAACAAATTATTATCTGCCAATCAGGAAACAGTAGACTACTCATGCGTTATTCAATGCTGTAAAAAATACACACCCTCCCATGCCCTCCTCTACCCTCCTGGGCTTTTGTGTCCTGACCAGAACAAAATACTAATTAGAATTTGGGAAAGTTGGCAGCCTTGGGAACATAAATGCCTAATAAATTGCTTGGTTTACCAATCAAATACCATGGAATCACTTGCAGTTGTTTATAACTCACAAGGTGCTTTGAGATGAACAGGATGGGGATATGTGATTTCTGCCACAGGACGAGCGGTGCTCCTTCACCATACAAATGTGGAACTACCATCTGCGGGCCTTGCAGAGTGACCTGTGGTCAGTGGCGCCCCCACAGATGGCTCAGCACATCTTCAGTCTGGTTTTGAAGGAGTCTTTGACTGTCATCGCTCACAGATATGTCAGAGTAAAACCCAGCTTTAAGAGAGTCAAACAGTTCAGGTGAGACTGACATAGCCTTGCTCTTCACTATGGCTATACAATGATATTACTTAGTCGCTGATTCTGTCTATAACGCAAGTGTTATGTAATAGTATGACAATCTTCCCTAGGCAAGAGAGTTAACTGACTTTAAAAGTCCAGTTTCCACCCTTGCCGAACTAGGCTGGAATTCCTGGGCTTGATCGTAGCGCCACCAGTGGCTATTACAAGTTATGTCCCTTCTAAGCCTCTCCTATGGACCAATCAGATTCCATCACTAGCATTTTTTTTAAACAAAACGATGGTCAAGATGATATGGTCGATCATCAAGATCTATATTGTGATAATAATCTGTTGACAACGAGTTGGCGGTGCACATGCTTTGCAAAACCTGCAAACGACCGAAATCTGCGTGACACATTACGAACCGGATTTTGATTTCATTGCGAGATTTTGATTGGACTATGCATAGACTTGTTAGTCGAGCCAAAATGTAACTCCATGATACCAGCCTAGTTTGGCATGGTTGGAAACTGGACTTTTATAGTCAGTTAAGTCTCTTGCCTCGGGAAGATGCAGTATGACCTGATGGCTCTATTGTGTTACAGGTATGACCTGACTGCTATATTGTGTTACAGGTTTGATCTGACCACTATGTTGTGTTACAGGTATGACCTGACCGTTGTGTTGTGTTACAGGTATGAACTGACCACTATGTTGTGTTACAGGTATGACCTGACCTCTATGTTGTGTTACAGGTATGACCTGACCTCTATGTTGTGTTACAGGTATGACCTGACCTCTATGTTGTGTTACAGGTATGACCTGACCTCTATGTTGTGTTACAGGTATGACCTGACCGTTGTGTTGTGTTACAGGTATGACCTGACCGCTGTGTTGTGTTACAGGTATGACCTGACCTCTATGTTGTGTTACAGGTATGACCTGACCGCTGTGTTGTGTTACAGGTATGACCTGACCTCTGTGTTGTGTTACAGGTATGACCTGACCGCTGTGTTGTGTTACAGGTATGACCTGACCGTTGTGTTGTGTTACAGATATGACCTGACCGCTGTGTTGTGTTACAGGTATGACCTGACTGCTATGTCGTGTTACAGGTATGACCTGATGGCTGTGTTGTGTTACAGGTATGACCTGACCTCTATGTTGTGTTACAGGTATGACCTGACCGCTGTGTTGCTGTGCACTGAGGAATTCCTACTTCACACGAGCAGCTCGGTGTCTCACATCCTGGACCCAGGACACACAGACCAGCCAGCCTACACCATTCACAATCTCTGCTCTACCATCTTCTCAGCTTTAGCCATCGTCAGCTCACCTCTTGAAATTCTCTACAGGTCAGTGTCAACAACGAACGGTAGAATGCTTGTTTCAGGGCTTTACCTGGTCGATCTAATTTTGGGTCCAGGAACTCTTAGTAATAATTTGGGGGTCCAATGCATGAACCATGGGGCCTCAAGGTTGCATCATGTGGCAAACTTCACGTGATTTACAAGGATCATACTGATACAGTGATGTCATATCAGTTTATATGCTCTGCAGCCTTTAGCCTGTTATAGGGATGGTCGGGTAGCCTAGTGGATAAAGCATTTGCCCGTCATGCTGAAGACCAGGGTTCGATTACCAACACGGATACAATGTGTGAAGCCCATGTCTGGTGTCCCACGCCGTGATAGTGCTGGAATATTGCTAAAAGCGGCGTAAAACCATACTCACTCACTCACTTAGCCTGTTATACATGGGGATTTCAGTGTTATATTGAAGTCAATCTATGAAGCTCTGAACACTGATAATCCGGCAGTTATATTGTAGCTTATCTTGGGGCACAAAGGTGTTCTTTAGACATTTTCTGCATAACAAGTGATTTGGAAAATCTGTTATTATAGTCTTCTCTCTATAATAATTCAGGGTATACAAGAAGGGATATGGTCGGCGGCGTGACAGCCATGAAGAGTTTTCACTCCATCTAGCAACATCCTACACTGGCTCCAACACACACTGGCTCCATTGGATCCGGCCTGAACTCTACCACACCAACCAGAAACAGTGAGTATCTTCTTTGTGAAGGTAGTTAGGAATCCTCCATCAGAGTTGTGTGTCTGTTGAATAGCTCTTCCAGCTATGGCCGCATACAGACAACGAAGGCTAGATGGGATCTGACATGACGTGTATATTGGAGCTATGACAACATGCAGACAATGATGGCTAGATGGGATCTGACATGACATATGTATATATTACAGCTTCGACGACATGCAGACAACGATGGCGGTGTATGTACAGTTGCAGATGTTGTTGCACCAGCCTGATCCTCACTGGGGGAAACTCCTGCAGGTCTGTCCACACGATCATGTCTTTCTTTGTACAGTAGTCCGATAGTGCTTCATTGTCCTTCCTCAGACTCGGTAGAGGCAGTGTAATGGTTTTATGCCGCTTTTAGCAATATTTTAGCAATATCAACCTGGGGGACACCAGAAATGGGCTCCACACATTGTACCCATGTCGGGTATCGAATCCGGGTCTTAGGCGTAACAAATGAATGCTTTAACCACTAGGCTACCTGACAGCCCCCATGTAAACATATACAGTGGTCCCTCGCTACAACGCTACCAATGGGGTCCAAATAATTGGTGGGCATTATAGACGATGAGCCGTTTAACCGAGGCTGAGTCGGGGGAGCGCGCTCGGCCAATCTCATGATCTTCGCCTTGTCTCGCACATTGCAATGATACAAGTTGTTTACCGTTCAATGTGTAAAAATATATATCCATTATGTTTTCGCCGATTGTTATTATTTACAAGCCTTAACTGTCACTTTCAATGTGAATGTAGTCTACTTACATGAAAATATCGATCGATAATGGTAGTAACAGACGCTATGAGTGAAGAGCCAATCACAATTCATTACACAAGTACAGAGTGATTCAGTGGCATTGATTGGTCATGTTGCTTAAAATACGGAAAACAAGAGTTTTGACCAGCACTATGTGCATTCATACACATTCATGCAAATATAGATACCCGGTACACATTCGAGCCAGATTAATAAGTTTGATACGGTTACTTGATCCGAATCAAAAGGAATGACCGCCGTGTTGTGACAGCAACTACATGTGAGTTGACAGTGTCGCCTCAAATTGGATTGCCCACTAATTAAGAAAATAAACTTCGCTTGTGGTTCTCTTTTATTGCATGCATGGGCTTCTAAGATCAAAGGATGTATAGTGTGAAAAGTTAACTAGTAGAACAATCGTATTTCCGGGACTTGCCGCGGATGTTTTCAAACAGATTATTAGAACTCCATTCAGCGATAAACGGTTGATTATGCAATGAGAAGCGCTATGTGCAAATGAACAACAAACAACAATACAATCACGGCTGTGTAAAACTCTCAGTATTAAAAGTGTACATAAATTTTGGGAGCCATGCGATCCCCCGCGTAGTAACCGAGGTAGCGCTTTATCGAAGAGCCCAATAGCGAGGGATCACTATACTACTATATGTTGATATCTTAATTGTGTCTTTGATAGAAATATGGTTCATTTTTTTGGCACTCACTGAAAAATGAAAAGATTTTGGTAACTTGCCTGATGGGTTGTGAGTCATGGACTCTATATAGAAGTTATGAAGAAGGGAATCCATATTGAAGTTGACAATTATTGACAATTTAGAAAGCTAATAAGATTATGGATCAAAGATGTATTTCAGAAATACTAGTAGTTGTTTAAGCTTCAGTGATGTATTATTTCGTATGGAACTCGTTTTCTACATGTATATGGAAAGGGAATGTGATGATTTATTTAACAGATTCGGATGAGTTCTGTGAAGGTGTTGTTTTGCTTTCAGCTGCTGATAATGAAGGAGTTCACTGTGTCAATCCTTCTGCTCACTCGGAGCATGGAGACAATACGGGCCACAGAGGAACTTGTCATTCAGATCGAGACAGCCACGAACAAGCTGGCAACAGTGCCCACCATCGACACCAACCAGCTGACGGTGGCCAAGACACTCTTCCAGTCTGTAGTCAACATCCTGGCTCTCAGTCAGAGTTTCCCTGATGCACTTGTCAAGTCTCTCCTCCCAGTCATTGACAGGTTAGTGGCCTCCTCTGTTGTCTGTGGGGATTCTAGGACAGGGTAGGGCCCAAGGTGACTCCTCTGTGGGTTGTCTGTGGGGATTCTAGGACAGGATAGGGCCCAAGGTGACTACTCTGTGGGTTGCCCTGTGGGGATTCTAGGACAGGGTAGGACCCGAGGTGACTCCTCTGTGGGTTGCCGTGTGGGGATTCTAGGACAGGGCCGTGTGGGGATTCTAGGACAGGGTAGGGCCCGAGGTGACTCCTCTGTGGGTTGCCGTGTGGGGATTCTAGGACAGGGCCGTGTGGGGATTCTAGGACAGGGTAGGGCCCGAGGTGACTCCTCTTTGGGTTGCCGTGTGGGGATTCTAGGACAGGGCCGTGTGGGGATTCTAGGACAGGGTAGGGCCCGAGGTGACTCCTCTTTGGGTTGCCGTGTGGGGATTCTAGGACAGGGTACTGTCCAAGGTGACTCCTCTGTGGGTTGCCCTGTGGGGATTCTAGGACAGGGTAGTGTCCAAGGTGACTACTCTGTGGGTTGCCCTGTTGGGATTCTAGGACAGGGTAGTGACCATGGTGACTACTCTGTGGGTTGCCGTGTGGGGATTCTAGGACAGGGTAGTGACCATGGTGACTACTCTGTGGGTTGCCGTGTGGGGATTCTAGGACAGGGTAGGGCCCGAGGTGACTCCTCTGTGGGTTGCCGTGTGGGGATTCTAGGACAGGGTACTGTCCAAGGTAACTACTCTGTGGGTTGCCCTGTGGGGATTCTAGGACAGGGTAGTGTCCAAGGTGACTACTCTGTGGGTTGCCCTGTTGGGATTCTAGGACAGGGTAGTGACCATGGTGACTACTCTGTGGGTTGCCCTGTGGGGATTCTAGGACAGGGTAGTGTCCAAGGTGACTACTCTGTGGGTTGCCCTGTTGGGATTCTAGGACAGGGTAGTGACCATGGTGACTACTCTGTGGGTTGTCGTGTGGGGATTCTAGGACAGGGTAGTGTCCAAGGTGACTCCTCTGTGGGTTGCCCTGTGGGGATTCTAGGACGGGTAGGGCCCAAGGTGACTCCTCTGTGGGTTGCCCTGTGGGGATTCTAGGACAGGGTAGGGCCCAAGGTGACTCCTGTGTGGGTTGCCCTGTGGGATTCTAGGACAGGGTAGAGCCCAAGGTTACTCCTCTGTGGGTTGCCCTGTGGGATTCTAGGACAGGGTAGGGCCCAAGGTGACTCCTCTGTGGGTTGCCCTGTGGGGATTCTAGGACAGGGTAGGGCCCAAGGTGACTCCTCTGTGGGTTGCCCTGTGGGGATCCTAGGTACAGGGTAGGGCCCAAGGTGACTACTCTGTGGGTTGCCCTGTGGGGATTCTAGGACAGGGTAGTGTCCAAGGTGACTCCTCTCTGGGTTGCCGTGTGGGGATTCTAGGACAGGGTAGGGCCCAAGGTGACTTCTCTGTGAGTTGCCCTGTGGGGCACCTAGGTACAGGGTAGGGCCCAAGGTGACTACTCTGTGGGTTGCCCTGTGGGGATTCTAGGACAGGGTAGGGCCCAAGATGTCTCCTCTGTGGGTTATCGTGTGGGGATTCTGGGACAGGGTTGGGCCCAAGGTGACTACTCTGTTGGTTGCCCTTTGGGGATTCTGCTTTTTGTTACAGTCAAATTTTATTAGATTTCTAGATCTAGATCTTTGTATCTGTCTGTCTCTTTCTTGTGATAATACACTTTGGGCCCAAGAATTGTTTGGAGAAGTAACCACAATTTCTCCGCTTGGATTTCTTACAGATTAACATACAGTACAATTATTGACTTATATTCCAGTTGGTGTAACCTTTTTCTTTGTTTTGCCCGCCAGATGCAAAGACTGGGACAGTCTCAACATAAAAGGCTTGGCAGCTTCCCCTGAGTTTAAGGTCAGCATTTATGACTTTCTTGTTTCACCATGTATATTTTGTTACATACTGAATAATTTGGACAAGTAAATTACCTTTTGTAACGGTGGTCAGAATTTAGAAGAATCTGTTGAAACTCATCACACTATTTCTGTTTTTTCAGCCTCCATTTTGGATGGAAGCCATATTTTCTGTGATAGAGCCCCTCATTCAGAGGTAAGTCAGAAGTACTACACACAAGTAGCAATCTCATTAAAACCAGACCTTAGTTCTCGCTATCGCTAAACAAAGATCTGAGGACATCCCGGGTCACGTCAGAACGACCTTTCATCCGACCAATCAAAGCATTGCTTACCAGATAATGATAGTGACAGTCGGAATGTGTTTTCTAATCATGCAACCTCGAAAACGGTAACACGGGGTATTCAGAACGACAGTTACGGCTGGTACGACTGATTCTGTCAAAATCATCTTCTATCTCTCGCTTCCATGGGAGAAACATTTGAACGGAAAAGGTGTTGCACAGTACATGGGAAGCACTGATATACAATCTCAACCATATATTAGACATTCCGGAATGTTCGTTTGTTCAGTTTTCAAAATGTTAATCACGAACTGTGTCATCATATTTTTCAAGCATAGTTTGAAATGGAAGTCGCCAGGTTGAGTGCCGTAAAGCTGGAGAAAGCTGCTTTCTGATTGGCTGATATTGACAGATATTGACTTCTTGTTAGTCATTTCAGTGGTCGGTCTAAGTTCACTAAAGGTCGTTCTTACGTGACCTGTAATGGGATGTCCTCAGATCTTTGTTTAGTGGCAGCGAGAACTTAGATCTGATTTTAATGAGATTGCACAAGTAGTTAACAGGTTTACTGCAAGGAGTTGTTATTTCTTGGTGCAGTGTTGCCAGACATTGAGTTGTGTGTCATGTCCCCAGAGTGCTGGGCCCTGTGTTGGACTACATGATGATGCTGCCGACCAGCACGGCCTCCCTCGACCCCCTCATCATGAAGATCAGTGAGCTGCCGTGTGGGTGCCCGCCCTGCCAGATGGAGCCCAACAACAACAGGAAGCCCCCAGGTAGGCCAACAAGCACCTGCCACACCCATGTGCTGCCATACTAAGTCATTATAGGAAGTTAGGAAGGAAAATTGTCTGTTGAAGGTGTATATCATCTTCCCGAGGCAAGGGATTTAACTGACTGTAAAACTCCCGTTTCCACCCTTGCCGAACTAGGCTGGAATTATGGAGTTATGTTTTGGCTGGACTAATGAGTCTATGCATAGTCCAATTGAAATGTTTGCATAACGAAATCGACATCCGGTTCGTAAACAACGTTGATTTCAACGTGCAGATTTTGGTCGACTGCAGGATTTGCAACTGATGTGTACCGTCAACTGGGCGATGACATATATATATTTTCCAAATCTTCTCATGTTTTTAATCAAGGTGCTCATGTGATTTGATGCACTGAGTGAGGTAAAACTCGTTTTACTGAAATATATATCTTGATCAGATCGTCTTGACTGGGCACTGCCGTTTTGTTTGAAGCAAATGCAAGTGATATGAGAGATGGAACCTAATTGGTCAATAAGAATGGCATAGAAGGGACATAACTTGTAATAGCCACTGGTGGAGCTATGATCGAGCCCAGAAATTCATCAAGGGTGGAAACTGGACCTTTAGAGTCTGTTAACTCCCTAACCCTTGCCTTGGGAAGATGGGTGTATGTGTGTATAAGGTCTGTCTGGCTTATGTGTGTAACTCAACTTAACCATTTTAGGTTCAGGTGTATAAAAAGTCTGCCTATTCTATGATCACATGATTATGGAGCCTGTCTCTCTGAGGGTCACATGTTTTACAACCTATCTGTTCTAGGTTCATACATTTGAAGACTGTTGTCTTACATTCTCTTGTTAAGAGTGCTTGCTTTAGGATACATGATTAAAGGTTTGAATGTTTTGTCACCAGCCCTGAAAGCTGTGATGGACGGGGCGCTGAAGATCCTCATCTCCGAGCTGAGTGAGAGTGTCCTGTGCCTGAGGACTCCAGTGTGCCTCATGTTTAACGTCCTGCAGGAGGCCTGCACAGAACGCAAGATCAAGACAGGACATAGCTGTGTGGGCTTGCAGGTATGCAGCATGTAGCATAGGACCCCTCATACTTTCATTAAATTATATGTAAATTAAAAGGGGATCAAGTTCGTTTCAGTTTTGAGAAAGCCCCATCTTGGGAACCAAACCGCTAATATAACTAAAATAGATGATCCTTTGTATGCCCACCTTGAGTTTGCTCATCCAGTGGTGACCATAGTAACAATATTGAGAAAACTGGCTTGGCCACTGGACTACTTTAAGGTTTGTTGGAATTTATCTAATATACAAAGATTTTAGACAGGGATTATTCTTCCCAAATGGGGAAGTTCTATTGGCACATGTCATCCAAAGGTCAAAGGTCATGAGAAAAAACACGGGTCTAAATGCATTAGACAGTATTTTGGTATATACCTTCATCAGCATCGGGCCCTGCTTTAATTCAGTTTTGCTCAAGATAAGTCTAAGGTCAAGGTCAGCATTTAGGTTTTTGTGAAACATGGTTGTGTCATTGCCAGTTTCTGAGGCAAGATTAATTCTACAGGATGGAACTTCATACTTCCATGTTTCATAACAAATCGTACCACATCCAGTGCCAACTGCACTCACGTCAAAGGTTAAGGTCACATTGAAGTAATTGTCAAAGTAGTTGTATCATTGTTTCTCTTGCATTTAGTTAAAAGATTGTTGACATTACAAGTTGTAGCAGGATCACGAGGAGTACATGGGGTTTGTCCCACATTAGGTTTTATACCACGAGCCGGAGGTCTTGTTCCCAATTTCGACAATGTCTATTGTAGGATATCTCGTCAGAATGTCGAGGTCTGATCGGTTGATCTATTATTTTCTTCGTATGGAGATGTATAAGGGATTTAGAAATTTATTCCCTTTGCAGGCGGTATACATAGTATTTGATCAAGATCACGTGAACCAATCAAATCTTGATGTTCTGTTGTGGAGGTATGATAATAGACGATATCCTACAATGGACATTCCATGTTGTCGTGGAAAGTTCTTTTAAGACATGTCGTGAAAAGGCCATAGGTCAAGGTCCCAAAATAGGAAAAAAACGTCAAAGGTCAGCATTTGGATTTTTGCGAAACATAGTTATGACATTGTTGCTGAGATAAAAGTACCTCAACATGCATGAAACTTTATCAAGTTTATAGTTGCATGTAGCCTCACAAATCCTACCAAATATTATGTTGTTGCCATATCTATTAAAGGTCAAGGTCATCTTTGAGGTTATTGTGAACCATGCAGAGCTCCAGATAACTTTCTGAGCAATTGAGTTTTTACTCGAAGGTTTCTATTTTAATTGGGTTATTACATTTTTCATTGGGTAACCAATATTTTTTCACTCATCTATTCATCACTCTATTGTGTTTTTCCCTAAATGAGTAAACATTTTGAGATTAATTTTTTTTTATATATCATGTTTTAGATGTATATAATGGTTCTAACTATAGGCTTGACCCAGAAAAGCTTGTTATTGTGTTTCGGAAACTAGCTCCGTTGTATGCCTGCTGAAAAAGCTTCATTGGGTATTTACGCATGCTGTTTTTATACATTTGAGTTATTTCATTTAAAGTGATTGGGATTTGAATATTTTTTGGGGTTATTTTACCAAAATACACAGCTTATCTGTAGCTCTGACCATGGTTGTATCATTAATTACCAGTTAATCTAGTGCTTTTACTTATACCATCCTGAGTCTTGGTAAATCTTGGATCTTGAATAAGGTCAGGGTCTGGAAGTACTGTTTTTGGACTGTACATAAGTAGTGTTATTTTAGGACCTTAGATACTCAGAGTAAATGGGGGTAATGGGGCTGCTTGTGTTTTTGCAAGCACCTGCAAACATCTTTGGTTCATATATGTGGTAGTGAGATAAAGTTGTGTGTTCAGCTGCTTAGAAGCGGGCCTAATCTGAAGTCTGTTTTTTACAGTATTTATTTTCCTAGTATTTTGATTTTTAATTATTGTCTGTCTGTGTCCAGCTGATTGCAGCCAGTCTGAAGTGTAAGCTTCAGGACACAGAGTACCTGGAGAAGGCTGTCGGGCTCAGCTTCCACCCAGACATGCTAAAGCAGATTGCCTCTCTAGCCGAGTGTGTCTACCATGTCTTGGCTGTAGGCAGATGTAAGTACCTTGACTACCATGTGCTGTCTGTAGTTAGCTGTAAGTACCTTGACTACCATGTCTTGGCTGTAGGCAGATGTAAGTACCTTGACTACCATGTGCTGTCTGTAGTTAGCTGTAAGTACCTTGACTACCATGTGCTGTCTGTAGGTAGATTTAAGTACATAGTCTATCATATGCTGTCTGTAGACAGATGTAAGTTCCCTGTCTACCATGTACTGTCTGTAGTTAGCTGTAAGTACCTTGACTACCATGTCGTGGCTGTAGGCAGATGTAAGTACCTTGACTATCATGTGCTGTCTGTAGTTAGCTGTAAGTACCTTGACTACCATGTCGTGGCTGTAGTTAGCTGTAAGTACCTTGACTACCATGTGCTGTCTGTAGGCAGATGTAAGTACCTTGACTACCATGTCTTGGCTGTAGGCAGATGAAAGTACCTTGACTACCATGTCTTGGCTGTAGGCAGATGTAAGTACCTTGACTACCATGTGCTGTCTGTAGGCAGATGTAAGTACCTTGACTACCATGTCTTGGCTGTAGGCAGATGTAAGTACCTTGACTACCATGTGCTGTCTGTAGTTAGCTGTAAGTACCTTGACTACCATGTCTTGGCTGTAGGCAGATGTAAGTACCTTGACTACCATGTGCTGTCTGTAGTTAGCTGTAAGTACCTTGACTACCATGTGCTGTCTGTAGGTAGATTTAAGTACATAGTCTATCATATGCTGTCTGTAGACAGATGTAAGTTCCCTGTCTACCATGTACTGTCTGTAGTTAGCTGTAAGTACCTTGACTACCATGTCGTGGCTGTAGGCAGATGTAAGTACCTTGACTATCATGTGCTGTCTGTAGTTAGCTGTAAGTACCTTGACTACCATGTCGTGGCTGTAGTTAGCTGTAAGTACCTTGACTACCATGTGCTGTCTGTAGGCAGATGTAAGTACTTTGACTACCATGTGCTGTCTGTAGTTAGCTGTAAGTACCTTGACTACCATGTGCTGTCTGTAGGCAGATGTAAGTACCTTGACTACCATGTGCTGTCTGTAGTTAGCTGTAAGTACCTTGACTACCATGTGCTGTCTGTAGACAGATGTAAGTACCTTGACTACCATGTCTTGGCTGTAGGCAGATGTAAGTACCTTGACTACCATGTGCTGTCTGTAGGCAGATGTAAGTACCTTGACTACCATGTGCTGTCTGTAGACAGATGTAAGTTCCCTGTCTACCATGTACTGTCTGTAGGCAGATGTAAGTACCTTGTCTACCATGTGCTGTCTGTAGGCAGATGTAAGTACCTTGACTACCATGTGCTGTCTGTAGGCAGATGTAAGTACCTTGACTACCATGTGCTGTCTGTAGTTAGCTGTAAGTACCTTGACTACCATGTCGTGGCTGTAGGCAGATGTAAGTACCTTGACTACCATGTGCTGTCTGTAGTTAGCTGTAAGTACCTTGACTACCATGTGCTGTCTGTAGGCAGATGTAAGTACCTTGACTACCATGTGCTGTCTGTAGGCAGATGTAAGTACCTTGACTACCATGTGCTGTCTGTAGTTAGCTGTAAGTACCTTGACTACCATGTCGTGGCTGTAGGCAGATGTAAGTACCTTGACTACCATGTGCTGTCTGTAGTTAGCTGTAAGTACCTTGACTACCATGTGCTGTCTGTAGGTAGATTTAAGTACATAGTCTATCATATGCTGTCTGTAGACAGATGTAAGTACCTTGACTACCATGTGCTGTCTGTAGGCAGATGTAAGTTCTGTGTCTACCATGTGCTGTCTGTAGTTAGCTGTAAGTACCTTGACTACCATGTGCTGTCTGTAGGCAGATGTAAGTACCTTGTCTACCATGTGCTGTCTGTAGACAGATGTAAGTACCTTGACTACCATGTGCTGTCTGTAGGCAGATGTAAGTTCTGTGTCTACCATGTGCTGTCTGTAGTTAGCTGTAAGTACCTTGACTACCATGTGCTGTCTGTAGGCAGATGTAAGTACCTTGACTACCATGTGCTGTCTGTAGGCAGATGTAAGTACCTTGACTACCATGTGCTGTCTGTAGACAGATGTAAGTTCTGTGTCTACCATGTGCTGTCTGTAGTTAGCTGTAAGTACCTTGACTACCATGTGCTGTCTGTAGGCAGATGTAAGTACCTTGACTACCATGTGCTGTCTGTAGGCAGATGTAAGTACCTTGACTACCATGTGCTGTCTGTAGTTAGCTGTAAGTACCTTGACTACCATGTGCTGTCTGTAGGCAGTTGTAAGTACCTTGACTACCATGTGCTGTCTGTAGGCAGTTGTAAGTACCTTGACTACCATGTGCTGTCTGTAGGCAGATGTAAGTGCCTTGACTACCATGTGCTGTCTGTAGGCAGATGTAAGTACCTTGACTACCATGTGCTGTCTGTAGGCAGATGTAAGTACCTTGACTACCATGTGCTGTCTGTAGTTAGATGTAAGTACCTTGACTACCATGTGCTGTCTGTAGGCAGATGTAAGTACCTTGACTACCATGTGCTGTCTGTAGGCAGATGTAAGTACCTTGACTACCATGTGCTGTCTGTAGTTAGCTGTAAGTACCTTGACTACCATGTGCTGTCTGTAGGCAGTTGTAAGTACCTTGACTACCATGTGCTGTCTGTAGGCAGTTGTAAGTACCTTTACTACCATGTGCTGTCTGTAGGCAGATGTAAGTGCCTTGACTACCATGTGCTGTCTGTAGTTAACTGTAAGTACCTTGACTACCATGTGCTGTCTGTAGGCAGATGTAAGTACCTTGACTACCATGTGCTGTCTGTAGGCAGATGTAAGTACCTTGACTACCATGTGCTGTCTGTAGGCAGATGTAAGTGCCTTGTCTACCATGTGCTGTCTGTAGGCAGATGTAAGTACCTTGACTACCATGTGCTGTCTGTAGGCAGATGTAAGTACCTTGACTACCATGTGCTGTCTGTAGGCAGATGTAAGTACCTTGACTACCATGTGCTGTCTGTAGGCAGATGTAAGTGCCTTGTCTACCATGTGCTGTCTGTAGGCAGATGTAAGTACCTTGACTACCATGTGCTGTCTGTAGGCAGATGTAAGTACCTTGACTACCATGTGCTGTCTGTAGGCAGATGTAAGTACCTTGTCTACCACGTGCTGTCTGTAGGCAGATGTAAGTACCTTGTCTACCACGTGCTGTCTGTAGGCAGATGTAAGTACCTTGTCTACCACGTGCTGTCTGTAGGCAGATATAAGTACCTTGACTACCATGTGCTGTCTGTAGGCAGATGTAAGTGCCTTGACTACCATGTGCTGTCTGTAGGCAGATGTAAGTACCTTGTCTACCATGTACTGTCTGTAGGCAGATATAAGTACCTTGACTACCATGTGCTGTCTGTAGGCAGATGTAAGTACCTTGTCTACCATGTGCTGTCTGTAGGCAGATGTAAGTACCTTGACTACCATGTGCTGTCTGTAGGCAGATGTAAGTACCTTGTCTACCATGTGCTGTCTGTAGGCAGATATAAGTACCTTGTCTACCATGTGCTGTCTGTAGGCAGATGTAAGTACCTTGACTACCATGTGCTGTCTGTAGGCAGATGTAAGTACCTTGACTACCATGTGCTGTCTGTAGGCAGATGTAAGTTCTTTGTCTGCCATGTGCTGTTTCAGGAACAGATGTACACATATTTCAGTCCAGTTGGAAGTTGCACTACACTAAAGCACATAGGTAGTCAATACCATCTTGTGTATAATGCCAACCTTTTGTTCCAGGCGTGTAGAAGGAATCTATATTACACATGTAGACAATGAGTTGTGTACCCAAAGCACACTGACGATGCCAACAAGTGTGCCGTGAAGCATGCCAGTTACTACAATATTCCGGTACCTAGCATCAGTTCTGTTTACACATTAGCTAGTACAGAGCCTGAGCCATTGTAATGTATTTGTTGACCATGTATAAACCAACCTTTCTTCATGCTTTCTCTTTCAGTAACAATAAGACAGGTCTTTTGGGATTTCATGTAAAGTGCCTGATTTGAGAACATATGTATATTTTTCAGCTAAAAACCAGAACACCCCAAAGTTAGCTTCCAAGTTCTGCAAGTCCCACAAGGAATGGATGGCACAAAAGTTCCACATAATCTCGAGTCACTTCATGAATGAGTGAGTTTCTGCTACTACTCTGTATGTGTAAAGCTAATCTGTTGCCTCTCGGGCACCTTTGTTTGAAAAAGCAGATCACTATTTACGTCACCTTAGATCATCAACAGGAGTTTGTTACTGGTTTTTGTCTGTCATCCAAGCTTTTTTTTATAAAATATTCCGACAAAAGATTGGGTACAAATTATAATAACTTTGAATGCTGCTCCTAAATATGTGTACCAAATAATTCACTCACCATAAAATGTATTGCAAGGTACGATGAACAGTGAATGGTAAGAATAGAATAGAAGTACATAGATAGTTTCAGGTAAACTGATGATTATTTTTACAGAGAGAAACATGCAATTGTGATAGAGATTTCCTTTATCTCAGGAAAACAGTTGTAGATAAATGGAGTTTACTACACATATTCAGGGATCATTCCAGGAATTTTTCTGATGTGGGCCCATTTAGCACTGTTAAAGGAAATTTGGAACAATTTCTGTGTGATGCCTACATAATACAATGTTAAAATGCCCCACTGCTTGTGACAAATTGGGCCATTTTTTAGATTTATGGGCCAAAAGCCCAAGAGTCCTTCCTAGAATTATCCCTGCATATTGTGAGCATAACCCTCCTCTCTTCATTAAATAGCAATGAGAAAATAATGAAAATATTTCTAGCAGGTTGAACCACATTGACAGGACGGAGTTTCTTTCACTCTGCTAACTCCTTCTCTATAGTGACTCCGCCGCTGCTTTAAACCCAGTTAAAAACTTATATATATCTTTCTGTAACAGATGGCAATGGTGTTTCATACATTACACTTGTATGTCGTTGGTACATTGATCACCTCAGTGTCAGTAGCAGTCAACGTGAACATCACTGCTTCCATAACTGTGTTGATTACATTTCAGCATCTTCTGTATGCCGGACAGTGATATCCTAGAGGGCGCCACCACAGCGTACAGTGACCAAGTGTTCACAGCCATGGCCAGCAGCACTATCGATGCCGCCACAGGTGAATAGACCCTATTCTGTTCTACGATATCTGTTGCTAGTCATATGATTCAGGAGACACAACCCGAGACTACGGATTGTGCTGAGGACAAGTAAAACTCGAATGATGGTTGTCCTCTTTGACTAGTATCATTTAAGGGCTAAGATACAGAACCAGTTCCCAATGGGTCAATTATGCTACAAATTGGAATGGAATGAAACTGGCCGAAATTGTAAAGATAGTAATCATTTTTGTCTTGTTCAAGCAGTACCAGCTACAAAAAGACACTGTTATTGTCAGACCACCTCTGTGGTCTAGTGGTAGAGCATCCGCCCGAAGAGCGGAAGGTCTGGGGTTCAATCCCTGGCCACGTCATACCAAAAGATGTTTAAAGATGGTACTTGTTGTTACCCTGTCTGGCACGAGCTCGGCATTAAGGGGCTCAAACAGGGACTGGTCGGCTCGGAGTCAGTATACTGTGTCTGAGTGGGGTATTCATGTTAAACTGCGGCATGGTATCTCAGTGAGCTAGCACTATAAATCGGCATCAGTCCGGACTAGTACAAGCAGCCACACACACACACACAAATGCACGTCACTATATAAGTGCAATAATCTTGGACGTGATGTTAAACCCCATTTCACCTCACCCACTGTTATTGTCTGTAGTTGTGCTAACACTGTTGGTTTTTGCAGGCCTGCATGACCTGCAGACAGTTCACAACACGGTCCACAACAACGGAGTGTGGCTGCTGCAGCAGATGGACGTGAAGCCAGTGGTCAGCAAGGAAGGAGTGGACAGAGTCCAACACTTCACATTCAACATCGCAAAGCCTAAACCTAAACCCTTCATCCCAGTCAAGGAGTTCTGTCGGCTCGGGGACTGTGATTTTGATCAGGTATGGAAGGCTCCATGTCTTGATGTCTTTGATCCAGTATTGTTGGTGGCACGTATGGATGTCTAGTTATTCTTTCCAATTTTGGTTGCTCACGACAGAAGATGTCTCCAGTAACAAGAACCATGACGGGTTGCTATTTGTGACATGCGGCTTCGATCGTCACTCATGCTATCAACCACTGGACTCTTTTTTTAACAAGCCTCTATGATGTGGCTGTAAAAGAACATTCACTCACTTAGTACCTTCACAAATATTGGTCTTGTGGTGAAAGCATGTGCTTGTCATGCCATTGGATCTGGGTTCCATTCCCCACTTTTGTACAATGCGGGGAATTATCTGATGGCCTTTTCTGGTTTCCAATGCTGTTATATTGCTACAGATGGTGTAAAATCATACTCACTGGCATCACATCTTGATGTCTGACATTGACGACCATACACACAGATGTCAAACTGATCTGGTAATTCACTACAAGTGGCTGTCCAGGTACTGACACACATCAGGACATTTAATCTCTGTGCAGTGATTCCATGACTGTTGATGAAAGTGTTATTTGTTGTCAATGTTACTCTGAGGTCTGTGGGCGCTGGGGTAGCCAAGTGGTTAAAGCGTTCGCTCGTCATGCAGAAGACCCTGGTTCGATTTCCCACATGGGTACAATGTGTGAAGCCAATTTCTGGTGTCCCCCGCCATGATATTGCTGGAATATTACTAAAAGCAGCGTAAAACCATACTCACTGACTCACTCACTGACTCACTCACTGACTTACTCACTGTCTCACCCATTCACTCACTCACTCACTCACTCACTCACCCACCCACCCACCCACCCACTCACTCACTCACTCACTCACTCACTCACTCACTCACTCACTCACCCACCCACTCACCCACCCACCCACCCACCCACCCACCCACCCACCCACTCACTCACTCACTCACTCACCCACCAACCCACCCACCCACCCACCCACCCACCCACCCACTCACTCACTCACTCACTCACTCACTCACTCACTCACTCACTCACCCACCCACCCACCCACCCACCCACCCACCCACCCACCCACCCACCCACTCACTCACCCACCCACCCACCCACCCACCCACCCACCCACTCACTCACTCACTCACTCACTCACTCACTCACTCACTCACTCACTCACTCACTCACTCACTCACTCACTCACTCACTCACTCACTCACCCACTCACTCACTCACTCACTCACCCACTCACTCACTCACTCAGGTCTGTACTTTCCAGGACTACATCCTCCACTTCCCCTTCAAGTGGTCCGAGATGCTGCAGAGTGACTTGGGGTTAAGTGAGCACGGTTTCCGCTCTCTCCTCTTCCACCGCCACGAGATGCAGGATGGAGCTTTCCTTGAGGATGTGGAGAAGAAGCCGGTAGAAGTCCTTAAAGCCAAGTTTGACTCCGAGACAATGTAATCACCAGCGATGTTTTGTGTTTGAGATCTGAAAATGGCACTATGTGACACCCAGTGAAGGTGGTGATCTGATTTAGTAGTGTACAAGTTTATGTTTCAGTTTGTAAGTACACACTAGCACTGAATCTATGTGAGACAATCAGACGAAATATCAGCTTCCTCAGCTCTGTAAGTGTTCAGTTCCACCCACCTTGCCCCCCCACCACCATCATTGTGTTATTTCCTTGCCCACCCACCACCATCATTGTATTATTTCCTAGCCCATCCTCACTATACTGTTATTTCCTCGCCCACCCACCACCATCATTGTGTTATTTCCTAGCCCATCCTCACCATCCTGTTATTTCCTTGCCCACCCACCACCACCATTGTATTATTTCCTAGCCCATCCTCACCATCCTGTTATTTCCTTGCCCACCCACCACCACCATTGTATTATTTCCTAGCCCATCCTCACCATCCTGTTATTTCCTTGCCCACCCACCACCATCATTATATTATTTCCTAGACCATCCTCACCATCCTGTTATTTCCCTGCCCACCCACCACCATCATCCTGTTTAATGTCTGGACCATTTACTCACATTCTTTATCCTGGTAGTTTCCGGATAACCCAACCACCCATCACAAGTAACTTGTTTTTTTCTGACCCCCCTCCACCAGTTTCCTTGTGTGTGCAGGGGCACCTGCCAATGTTGATTAAGATCGATACAATGATCGGAAACAGAAACACACTAAAGCAAAACTGGATAGATTCCCAAATGTAAGATGCTTTACAGAATTGTCACCCAAGTTCCGATGTTGTTCTCCTACATGCCTGTGTTGTCCCCAAGTTCCAGCCTACAGACATACAAACAACCACGTTGATATTGTTGTGGAGATTACCCAGTCTGAACACGCACCTTCCTATCCCCTTTACATCAGTATGTTGTCAGTGCATTATCATGACAGTATTTATTTCATCAAAGCGTAAATGTGATCCTTTTTTGTGAGTAGATTTTGAGGTTTTGCTGTCAACTAACCCTGTCTCATTGGCTGTCTGGTAGAAGACCAGTGAGTGTCGCTTGTCAGTCTCCGTTGTTCATTATCTTCTATATTATCCCATAGGTAAATATTCACAGCCCCTGATGAAATTTATAGACAACCAAATGAACAGATTAATCTGTCAACCTTGAACTGATAACTTGCCCATTTGATTGCAAGCAATTATATGATCAAAACACTCATTTTTCCAAGGTAAAATATCTATTTTCTATTCATCTTGTAATTAGAGGTTCTATGAACTTTCCGAAAGGCCAAATATACCTAACACGTCAAGATCTGGTAGAGCACAAATCTACGTCATTTTAGTATCAAGAAACTGTGATATAACTACAAGTTTACATCGTATACACAATATGACATACCGTATTCGATGTAATAAGCGCCCCGCTCTAATAAGCGCCCACGGCGATATTTGCTAATATACTGGCTAGTGAACAATCCAAATTAGCACCTCTTCAGATTGATCAATGTACACAAGACATTTTTATTCGTATATAATACGCACTTGTGTGTTATATGCACCCTTAATTATGGGCAAATAAATCTGGAAAAATATATCTGTCGTATATAAACATTTCAGGCTGTCGGCATAAACCACTAAATTGATCTTTCAACTCACCAAAATAATGTTCTAATAAGAGCCCCCTATTTCTAATTTTGAGAGCTCCCTGAGCGCTTATTACAGTGAATACGGTAATATAGTTTGTACACATGTGATGGTCTATAGTTGATGCTGTGTTCATCATGCAAGAAGTGTACATGTATCCCTCTGTGTAGCTTCACTGTTATTGTTTGCCGTCCAACCCCTGTCCACAAGCTATTTTACATGTACTTGTTCTTTGTTTTTTTGTTGGAATGTTTTATTCTTACCACGCATATTGTTATCACTCATATTTTATGTTCATGACACGACCTTACACAATAAATATGTGAACAGTACTTAAATACAAGCCTCTGTTGTCTTTCTTGGTTAGAATTGCTCTTTGTCAACCGGGGCGGTCGGGTAGCCTAGTGGTTAAAACGTTCACTCGTCACGCCGAAGACCCGGGTTCGATTCCTGACATAGGTACAATGTGTGAAGCCCATTTCTGGTGTTCCCCGTCGTGATATTGCTGGAATATTGCTAAAAGCAGCGTAAAACCATACTCACTCACTCACTCACTCACTCTTCGGCAACCCTGCTTGTTGTACGGGATGGCAATGGAACGAGTGACTTGGCGATGCATGTCAACGTACTCCCTTGGCAAGGATTGGTGCTTATGATGTCAATCACTGACACGTTTACATACAGGCTGCCATCATATTGCTATTGCTGAGCATGCAGACTTACACAGCAAATTAACATACAAAATGACCCAGCTTTGAACAGTTTTTCACTTGTATCACAAAGTGTCAGCTTTATCTAGGAGGAAGGCACAAAGGGATGTAGGTCTTAAGATGTTTACCTACCAGCATGGGTATGGTGCCGAAAAATCTGGAAATAAAATCAGGGCCATACCAGAATTTGAACCCATAATCATAGGTTTGTGGCATCCTGAAGGGGTGCAACTCTGCACAGTGGCCTAGAGGACTGAGCCACCCAGGACCCTACTCAGGGGAGAGATTGATGCAAGAAGACTGTTGTAGATTGGGACCATTAGTACGACTATCGCCTGAAATTTAATGTCTTTATTCTGAGTCGTACAGGTAGTGATTAAAGATCCACTTCTGAGATTCATCATCTGGGAAGCAGGCATTGACAATGAGCCCGAGACTATCCATCCCAAGACAAAGTCCGCTACTCACATGCTCCAGCTTGCCGCCCTGAGGGAGAGGAAACAGTGGAGGGTCATACCTATGGTCATTGATGTAAGGGTGACCTCCCACCTTTAATCACATCCCCATGCAGTTGGGTTAAGACTTGCATATTACAAGTTTCTTATTAGCACATTTTCTGAAAGCTACATCTTCCCGAGGCAAGGGCATTAACTGACTAAAAGTCCAGTTTCCACCCTTGCCAAACTGGGCTGGAATTCTGCAGTTTTGGCTGGACTAACGAGTCTATGCATAGTCCAATTAAAATCGCATGACGAACTAGACAAATGGTTCGTAAACAACATGGATTTTAACGTGCAGATTTCAGTTGAGTGCAGGATTTGCAAAGCATGTGTACCACCAACTGGGCGTCGACAGCAAATCTTTTCATGTTTTTAGTCAAGGTGCTTAAGTGATTTGATGTACCTTGCCTTGGGAAGATGTGAAAGCTATTGCTTGGTGTGTATTTTACAATCTAGTGAATGGAAAGCAGGAAGAGTCGTGAGGCAAAATAGCAAAATTGCAGTTTGCTGTGATACCAGTGCAAACTTAATGTTTCAATTTTCAAGTCAAGAAAAATGAAGTGCTTTTCCTGAAGTACACACCTTCACGTGTGACCACTTGTCCTTTGTTCCAATCAGACAGTCCTCCAACATGGGTCGCCCCCCCACCTTCATCTCCTTCACCACCACGCACTGCAGGGACGTCCGCAGCAACCCATCTGTCGTCCACGTGAAACCCTACAGAAAACATGTCAAACACATGAACCCAAGCTTAACCCTACATCAAACGTGTGAATTGACACCTAACCCTACATCAAACATGTGAACCTATGCTCAACCCTACATCAAACATGTAAACTCACACCTAACCCCACATCAAACATGTGAATTGACACCTAACCCTACATCAAACATGTGAACCTATGCTTAACCCTTTTTCAAACATGTGAAACCACACTTAACCACATATCAAACCTGTGAAGCCATTCTCAACCCTACATTAAACAGTAAATGCCAATATACCCACAGTAAACATTACATGTGATACACAGTGAACACAAGTGGAATTTTACAGGAAATAGCCTGAAATTCTGGTACACTATAGCGTTGGAAGGACACCCAACTTGCAACACCACCATGCCGCAATGACCTCCATGGCTAGGATTAAAATTGTGATACAACAGTCAGTGCATGTCTGCAGAAGACAAAGTTCTGAAGGTAATGTGTGTAGTCAAAACAGACAATGAATTCGAAGTGTAAATAAACCAACTTGCGTAGCATATTTAGTGAATTTGAAGCGACTTGTGTATCATATATGGTGAAAGTGAAGTGATTTGTGCAGCATGTATAGTGAAAATGATACCCATGAAGATCAGGGCAGAATAGGTCTACCAAGCAACCGCGCTTGCCGTAATAGGCGACTTTGCTTGTCGTAAGAGGTGACTAACAGGATCAGGTGGTCAGGCTTTCTGACTTATTGGATGCATGTCATTGTATCCCAGTAGCAGGGATCGAAGCTCAAGCTGTCAATTACTTGATTGTCTGGTCCAGACTTGATTATTTACAGAGCGCCGTTATATAGCTGGAATATTGTATAGTTAAGTCAACATACTTGTGTGGCATCTATAGTTAAGTCAACATACTTGTGTAGCATGTATAGTTAAGTCAACATACTTGTGTAGCATGTATAGTTAAGTCAACATACTTGTGTGGCATCTATAGTTAAGTCAACATACTTGTGTAGCATGTATAGTTAAGTGAACCTACTTGTGTAGCATGTATAGTTAAGTGAACCTACTTGTGTAGCATGTATAGTTAAGTCAACATACTTGTGTGGCATCTATAGTTAAGTCAACATACTTGTGTGGCATCTATAGTTAAGTTAACATACTTGTGTAGCATGTATAGTTAAGTGAACCTACTTGTGTAGCATGTATAGTTAAGCGAACCTACTTGTGTAGCATGTATAGTTAAGTCAACATACTTGTGTGGCATCTATAGTTTAGTGAACCTACTTGTGTAGCATGTATAGTTAGGTGAACCTACTTGTGTGGCATGTATAGTTAAGTCAACATACTTGTGTAGCATGTATAGTTAAGTGAACCTACTTGTGTGGCATCTATAGTTAAGTCAACATACTTGTGTAGCATGTATAGTTAAGTGAACCTACTTGTGTAGCATGTATAGTTAAGTCAACATACTTGTGTAGCATGTATAGTTAAGTGAACCTACTTGTGTAGCATGTATAGTTAAGTGAACCTTCTTGTGTGGCATGTACAGTTAAGTGAACCTACTTGTGTGGCATCTATAGTTTAGTGAACCTACTTGTGTGGCATGTACAGTTAAGTGAACCTACTTGTGTGGCATAGTGATAGTGGCACGGTTCTGCAAACAGTGGCTGCGCTGCTTGAAACAAATACTGGTGGTTGTCCAGGCAGCGGTTTGTAGCAGGATTCCTGGCCTTGAAGTGAAGAACAAGACTACAATCAGCCACCTCAGGAATTAAATGAAATTGGCAACATTTTTCATTGCCTTATTTGTATGTTTTACATATTTGTAGATTAAACTTTTCAACGATATATCTGCTATCTCCACATACGTACCGACCCCCACGCTGCGGCGTTCTTGTCATAGACGTTTAGTTCTGGCCAGTGGTTCTCCAGGAACCACGTGAAGTTCTTGCACCCTAGCCTCGCCTTTATGGCCAGACGCTCACTCAGATCTCCGACATCCATTCTCTGCAGAACAGACGTACAACAATATTGATATTCGTACGAATAACATGAGTGCTGAGGGGAAATACGGATTGTCTGTTCCCAGTAAAACAATTTCATAATAAGAGCCTTGGCAAGGGACTTCAACATTCTTTCAGAAAGTATAAATAATCCTCAATTCCGAGATGTCATTAGGATATCCCATTTGGTTTGGTTTGGCTTGTTGTTTTACGCCGCACTCAGCAATATTCTAGCTATATGACGGCGGTCTGTAAATGATCGAGTCTGGACCAGACAGTCCAGTGATTGACATCATGAGCATCGATCCACTCAATTGGGATCGATGACATACATTAACCAAGTCAGCGAGCCTGACCACCCGATCACGTTAGTCGCCTCTTACGACAGGCATAGTCGCCTTTTACGGCAACAATGCTTGTCGTACCTCGCTGATTTGGTTGACGTATTGGATATTTTTCAATATAGGCGAGTGAATGTGAAGCCATACGGAACACGCCAACACTACTGAGTCAACTCTGCAGGATAATTACTGACGTAATGTTTATTGACGTCACATAGTAATGACGTCACAGCTTATACGTTTGACAGGTGATATACTTTACATGCGGCGTTAAACCAAACTCACGCACTCGTTTAAATGAAAATAGTCGGTCATGGTCATGGCGGCTGAGTTTGGGTCCGTGTTTTTGAACGGAATTTGCAAATGGTAATCTCAGAGCCGAATTGCCTTGGGTTTCCACTTGCCTGTGGCACTAGGTGTCCCTGATGTCTAGACGCCCTACCGTACAGGTGAACCTCAAGGTTGTAAGCTCACCTCCATCTCAGGGAAGTAGTCGTAGATGAACTTCTTGTAGGGCGGGTCGATCCACACATCCACCGCCCGCTTGTAGTTGAACACCTCCGTCTCCCTGCGTCCCCCCGGGAACTTGTAGGGCTGGACCCGGGCGATGTGCCCCACCTTGCTGCAGGGGAGGTGCACGAGTCGCCCACCGCACATCCACACCTGTAATGATCTACATGCTCACACTGTTGGAGTTGTCAAACTCTTACGATAACTGCAGAATGATATGCGGGTAGGAGGCCCAACTGAATCCACGGTGCAGCAGGCTCAAATAAAACCCTTAACAATTCACTCTAGTTTTACAAACCGCTCTTCGTACTATACAGGCCCTCTTTGCTATGCAGGCATTTTATAAACCCCTCTCCATACCATATGCAGGCGCTCTTTGCTATGCAGGCATTTTATAAACCCCTCTCCATACCATATGCAGGCGCTCTTTGCTATGCAGGCATTTGACACACTGCTCTTTGTACAACACAAGCCCTCTTTGCTATGCAGGCATTTGACACACTGCTCTTTATACTATACAGGCCCTCTTTGCTATGCAGGCATTTGACACACTGCTCTTTATACTATACAGGCCCTCTTTGCTATGCAGGCATTTTAGAAACCCCTCTCCATACTATATGCAGGCGCTCTTTGCTATGTAGGTATTTGATGTGAATTATTTCGTCTACACGAGGAATTATGTACATTGTATAAGAGATATAGCAAATGACATTTTCTTTTCGCCTGAACCCCGCCAACGCAGGGGTTATCAGTAATCTAAGATAAACATATGTTTTAAGACTTTCCGATAAACTGATACCCTTTAACGTATGTTATCATTAGAAATGTGGGTCAGTAGCACGCCGGAAGTCCCTCACAACTGAGCATGCGTACCCGCCAGGCAATCTCCAGGTTCTCGCCTCCCCAAACCTTCATTTTCTCATCGAAGCCGCCGATTTCCGCGAAGTATTGTTTGTCCACCGCATAGGCCGTACCAACCATCACCGAACCTCTACAAGGATACATGTTTATACCAGTTACAGTGTTGTGTATATAAGATGCTACTGGCCTCCTGTAAGGATCTATATGTGTACATGGTTTTACACCACTACTTATATAAGTGCCAATGGCACAGTTGAATTCATAATGTCACTGTTAAAGTTTGTTTGTTGGTTTGTAAGTTGTTTAACACTATTCCAGCTATACGACGGCGCTCTGTAAATAATCGAGTCTGGACCAGATAATCCAGTGATTGACATCATGAGCATCGACCCACGCAATTGGGATACGATGACATGCATCAACCAAGTCAGCGAGCCTGATAACCCGATTCCTCTTACGACAAGCATAGTTGCCTTTTAGGGCAAGGATGGGTTGAGTACCTTATCAATTGAACGGAGAGATACATCGTCTTCATCAGCTAATGAACGGTGTCACGAAATATATTCGCCCCCAGAATAAAATCTCCCCCCGGCGAATTTATACCGGTACAGTTCCGCCCCTCTCGAAATAAACTCTCCCCCACCCTACGAAATAAAATCTCCCCCCAGAATATTTCCTCCCCCAGTCGTTTTATAAATACTTGCCATGCAGTTGCCAATAGTTTTAATGTTAATTTGTTTATGTATTTTTTTATTCATTTATTTTTTATCTCCTTTATTTTTTCTGAATTATACATTTAGTTACTTGTGTGGGGTGTGGGGTGTGTGGTGGGGGGTGTCCCACCTTTCCTTTCGTTTTTCATAATAATATATTTTTAAGTTGTATATAACGTATGAATCCCTTCTCAGATTACTTTATCTCAGTTCTATATGACGTACTATTTTACTTTTCTGTGTCGTTCTTGTTTTCTCTTCAGTGTGAGGTTAAACTGTATCATTTTTACTATTTTGATATTTTGCAATATGTTGTGTTCATCAGTTATGCAAATCAGTTTCGGTGTGTCTTTTTAACAGGATGTTCTTCATTAATATTCACCGCCAGCCCCATTCTAACAATTACATGTACACTTTGTTTTGACGATGCCGGTTGATGTTGTTCAATACAGGTGTTTTTGAATCTATTCTACATGCTAATCATTTCGGGAAGATGATACACATTATCTATATTTTGGGTTACTTTGCTTATAAAGATTATACAGGTAAACGTACGCAGTCTTAGTAGATTTTAAAGTAGATTTAATCAGTGCTGAATTAGATAGTTATGATGTTGTATGTTTAACAGAAACCTGGTTGCACCATGATATTCTAGCCCCTGGTATTACACTGATACCATTTTCAAATGGTAGCCTGTATTAAGGAATATATTTTAGATCTTTAACCAGAGTATAACGGCGTGGATATGTTGACAGTTTTTACGTAGTTAGTGTTAAAACCGAATGTTTGCGAGGATTAATAAGATCTCTGAAATCAGTTACATCAGTAGTTCCGGTGTCACGAAATATATTCGCCCCCAGAACTGTTTCGATTTGCCAATGGAAATACTACACCATAAATGAACTGTTTCGATTTGCCAATGGAAATACTACACCATAAATGAACTGTTTGGATTTGCGCGGTTTCACCAACCGTTCAAGATAACTCATACTCTCTGTCAATGCGTTCAACGTGTAAATGCATTTCATACCTGATATACTGACATGGTCCCAGCTGGCAAACAAGACTTCTAAGAGCTTACTGTTCCGGCATAACTTCATCTATTCATCGGAGGCAACAGATTTTTGCAAACAATTGCGTCCTCACCGATTTTCAGTGATCCATTAATATATTTGTACCGCTATTGCCAACGTTCACGCCAAAAGGAATTCTTTCGTTGGAAAATCGAACTTGGTTATTCTCTAGCATTGATGTTTCACATTTCTATGGTTGTTTACATGACATGAGTATTGGTTGATAACAACATCTGGTGTCACATGTCACAAAATAATATGTGTATGCCTGAAGTAGATAATATGTTATTCAGGAAATAATAGCTAGAATTGGTTACCCGAACAGACTAAATGGTTATATTTCCCTTTAATATAACAGTGTTTCAACACACAAAAATGTTAAACAAACACACGTTTGTGTTTACCGTTATACTTGCCCATGTAACCGTCGTATACATGTAAATATATAAATGTTGTGTACAGTCATGGGTGGAATTGAATACAATATTGAAATAAGGAACGTGTTCATGAGGCGAGACATTTCGAAACAATATACAATCTAAAGTGTTGAATATCTTCTTTGGTTGACTACAAACTACAGTTTTTACACGTGCACATACCTTAGCTACATCATAAATAATATATATTTCATATTTTTTTGTTATCTATAAATACCCAAATCTAAAATCAACCAACATCCCAGAAATACAATTTCACGTAGTTAAAATAATAAATCTACTCAATAGAATACAAATGGATCCCAGAACGATGCTTGATTTCAGGACCAGAACTTAGGCAATCTAGACTTGTCAAATCATTCTTTACTTGGAGTCCGTTTCAAATATATTCTCTAGGATCTGGGGACAGATAGAGTAACACATAATCAATGAAAACACTTGGGTGAAACCCACGAGCACGGGTATGGTGCTGACAAACCTAGAAACATAATCGGGGCGAAGCGGGATTCGAACCCACAATCATAGGTTTCTGGCGTGCCCAAGGGACGCAACTCTGCACAGCGAATCGCGGCGCCTTAGACGACTGGGCCACCCGTGCCCCCGATAATCGTCGAAGCAAAGTTGAACAGCATTGAGGATCATATTTCAACAGCACTGGCTGATTGTAAGATATCCGAGGAGGATTTTCGTTCAGTGTTGTCAGAACTCACCAAATACAACACAATAAAGCAGGAGATTCGATCTTAATATCGTAAGATCAGTGGTATTAGCGAAGACGAGAAAAAAGTACATAGAACAGGGGACACAAGCGCGTCAATTATTCCGTGCCAAAACCAAAGAACTGGTTGGAGATTAAAAATAGACTGGTTCCTATCATTGGATCGCACCGCATAACAATTTTAGGATGGAAGGTACAGTTACCAAATAAAATATTCTGAAATATCAATTCATTATGACCATATTTCATAATCTATTTTTTAAAGTAACCCTCCTTACATTAAAGATAACTTTTTAAAGAATATAGTACTTAAAGACATTGCAACAAACCGAATAATCAGGGGGGAGACTTTATACTGAGGGGGGCGCGAAATATATCCACCCGGGGGAGATTTTATTTCAGAACAGATTCGCCGGGGGAGAATCTGTACCGGTATAAAATCTCCGGGGGGAGAATTTGTACGGGGGAGAGTTTATACCGGGACACCGGCAGCAAATATAACTTCAACCCTTAAATGTAAACGTACGGCTTGGGGCTGTGGTTCCCTTCTCCATACTGGTCAGGCCTGAAGAAAGTCTCAAAGAAGATGAGTCTCCAGTCAAAGCCGTAGCGCGTGACGTAGTTTTCATGCCACGTGTACTGCATGGTCTCCGCCTGTATGTAGTCCAGCGTTCCTAGCGCCACGGTCTTCCGGTCCTTCTTTATCTCGGTCAACAGGGGCTGCAACCTGTCGGAATGAGCAGCAGTTACGTAATAGGGAGACCAGAGAGGGCATTGGGGAAAGGATACAGACGAACAGTGGCGGATAGGACATATGGGAACAGAAAGAATAAGGGAGGACATGGGTCAAGGGAAGACATGGGGGAACGGAGAGGTTAACAGGAGTCCAGACACATGGGAGAACGGAAAAAAGCAACGTGAGTCAAGGGAGGAGAGGGGAGAACGGAGAGGACAACAGGAGTCCACAGACAGAGAACGCGGAAAGAAGTACGTAAATCAAGGGGGGAGAATACAACAGGAATCAAGGGATGACATGAGAGAACTGAGAGGACATCAGGAGTCCCGAGACATGGGTAAATCAAGAACGGAGAGGACAACAGGAGTCCAGAGACATGGGAGAACGGAGAGGAAGAGACATGGGAGAACGGAGAGGAAGAGACATGGGAGAACGGAGAGGACAACGTGAGCCAAGGGAGGACAGGAGAGAACGGAGAGGACAACAGGAGTCCAGAGACAGAGAACGGAAAGAAGAACGTAAATCAAGGGGGGGAGTGTGTGTCAGGAGAGAACGAAGAGGACAACAGGTGTCCAGAGACATGGGTGAACAGAGAGGACATTAGGAGTCCATGGAGGACATGAGAGAACGGAGAGGACAACATGAGTCAAGGGAGGACATGGGAGAACGGAGAGGACAACAGGAGTCAAGGGAGGACATGAGAGAACGAAGAGGACAACAGGAGTCCAGAGACATGGAAGAACGGAGAGGACAACAGGAGTCAAGATAAATTGGACAACGGATAGGACAACAGGAATCAAGGGATGACATGAGAGAACTGAGAGCACAACAGGACTCAAAGGAGGACATGAGAGAACGGAGAGGACAACAGGAGCCCAGAGACATGGGAGAACGGAGAGGACAACAGGAGTCAAGGGTGGACATGAGAGAACGAAGAGGACAACAGGAGTCAAGATACATAGGACAACGGATAGGACAACAGGAATCAAGGGATGACATGAGAGAACTGAGAGCACAACAGGAGTCAAAGGAGGACATGAGAGAACGGACAGGACAACAGGAGTCAAAGGAGGACATGACAGAACGGAGAGGACAACAGGAGTCAAAGGAGGACATGACAGAACGGAGAGGACAACAGGAGTCAAAGGAGGACATGACAGAACGGAGAGGACAACAGGAGTCAAAGGAGGACATGACAGAACGGAGAGGACAACAGGAGTCAAAGGAGGACATGACAGAACGGAGAGGACAACAGGAGTCAAAGGAGGACATGACAGAACGGAGAGGACAACAGGAGTCAAAGGAGGACATGACAGAACGGAGAGGACAACAGGAGTCAAAGGAGGACATGACAGAACGGAGAACACAACAGGAGTCAATGGAGGTCATAAGAGAACGGAGTGTATAACAGGAGTCGATTAACTTGGGGAACGGAGAGGAGCGCGGGCAATACAAATATCACAATGAGCAACAGGTGTCCAAGGAGGAAATGACAGAACGAAGAAGACAAAAGGAAGCCATGGAGGACATCAGAGAACTGAGATGACAACGGGAGTCCAGGGATATGGGGAACAGAGAGAAGACCATGAGTCAGGAGTCCAGAGTCCAGATAAGAAACGGTGAAGATCAAAGCGAACAGAGATATCAAAGGTTTTAATTGTGGATACCAACTAACAAGAACAACCAACCGCAAGGACACCAGCCGACACGGGGTTAATAGAAAGGGGACCCAGTTGGGACTCTTAGGCAGTTTACGTCCCAAATTCTCCGTGGTAGAGGTCAGAGTCGACTACAGTTGGGATCGGAGGTTATAGTGTGTGACCCTGCTGTCTGTGTGCCATCGTCCAAAACGTGGAGGCACGTGATGTTTAAGGCCCGCTTTGCATGTTCTAAAGACGAACATATAGCTGGGAAATAGCTGGACTGCAGGCATAAAACATTCACTCAGAGCGAATGCCCGTGCAATGGGATGACAGAAGGACAAGAGTTTCCGTACATATGAAAAACAGGGACGATGTGGTCTAACAACATCCAGCCTGTCAGGGATATTACTAACCAGTCGATATTGACCTCCATGTGACTGTCAAAGATGACAATAACATCCCCCTCGGCCATCTTGCATCCCATCTGTCTCGCCTTGATCAGGCCCATTCTCCCTGGCATGCGCACGACTCGCACCAGGCCTTCCGGGAACTTTTCGGAAACATATGTACTTAAATTGCCTTTAAGTTCTGCTGAAAACAATAAACAACAACGTCTAGTTTTATTTTATTTTCAGACGCAGTAAGATAAACTCGCCAATACTTATTGATAAGAATTGACTTCAGTATGTTCTTTGTGTTTACGGAATAACACAGTGTGCACACGGCTGTTAAAACGCCAAAAGTCAATTGTTAATTAAAAGCGGCCAAACCCTTTCCATATTCATACACGTCACTGTCAACTCACACATGTCACTGTCAACTAACACGTCAGTCAACTCACATATGTCACTGTCAACTGCCACACGTCACCGTTAACTCACACGTCACTGTCAACTCACACATGTCACTGTCAACTCACACATGTCACTGTCAACTCTAACATGGCACTGTCAACTCACACATATCACTGTCAAATCTAACATGTCACTGCCAACTCACACATATCACTGTCAACTTACACATGTCAATGTTAACTCACACATGTCACGGTCAACTAACACATGTCCCTGTCAACTCACACATGTCACTGTCAACTCACACATGTCACTGTCAACTCACACATATCACTGTCAAATCTAACATGTCACTGTCAACTCACACATATCACTGTCAATTTACACATGTCAATGTCAATTCACACATGTCATTGTGAACTTACACATGTCAATGTTAACTCACACATGTCACGGTCAACTCACACATGTCACTGTCAACTCTAACATGTCACTGTCAACTCACACATATAACTGTCAACTCACACATGTCACTGTCAACTTACACATGTCAATGTCAAGTCACACATGTCACTGTCAACTCACACATATCACTGTCAACTCACACATGTCAATGTCAAATCACACATGTCACTGTCAACTTACACATGTCAATGTTAACTCACACATGTCACCTTCAACTGACACATGTCACTGTCAACTCACAAATGTCAACCGTCAACTGACACATGTCACCTTCAACTCACACATGTCACTGTCAACTAACACATGTCACTGCCAACTCACACATGTCACTGTCAAAACACACATGTCACTGTCAACTCACACATGTCACTGTCAACTCACACATATAACTGTCAACTCACACATGTCACTGTCAACTCACACATGTCAATGTCAAGCCACACATGTCACTGTCAACTCACACACGTAACTGTCAACTAACACATGTCACTGCCAACTCACACATGTCACTGTCAAATCTAACATGTCACTGTCAAATCTAACATGTCACTGTCAACTCACACATATAACTGTCAACTCACACATGTCACTGTCAACTCTCACATATAACTGTCAACTCACACATGTCACTGTCAACTCACACATGTCACTGTCAACACACACATATAACTGTCAACTCACACATGTCAACCGTCAACTCACACATGTCACTGTCGTCGTCCAGCAGCAGGATCTCCTGCAGCAGGTGTCTGGGTGTCCTGTTGATGATGCTGTAGACGGTCCTCAGCAGGATGGAGGGCCACTCGTTGTGGAAGGGAATGATGATGGAGGCGGTGGGGAGATCGTGGTCGTAGGAGAGGCCCTGACATCTACACACACATAATACATAATAATACATGGGGTCCCGTGTAGAAGCAGATATACACGATCCAAGGTGAGGTTGTGTGCAGAGGTCATATAAATATAAGGTTGGAGACATTTCCGAGATCCGACTGTTATTCCAATTTGTAGTTTTGGTATTCATGGATGTAATACAAGGTAAACGAAAAAGGTCGAAAGGATAACTATAATAAATTAGGATTGCTGGGATTCACTTACTACAGACCCGAGAAGATCCAGGGTAGAATAGGTCGACAGGAACCCATTCTTGTCGTAAGAGGCGACGAACGGGATCGGGTGGTCAGGCTCGCTGACTTGGTTCATGCATGTCATCGTATCCCAATTGCGCAGTGGTGTCAATCACTGGATAGTCTGATCCAGACACGATTTTTTACAGAGCACCTTCATACAACTGGAATATTGCTGAGTAGGGCGTTAAACAACAAACAAACATACAAACACTAATAATTATTTATTACCATTAATGTCCATGGCATCGGGTATGGTTATTAAAGAAAACACTTACTCTTTAAACCGTGAGTCCGGCACTATTCTGTTGAGAGGAATTCTGTCACTTGCAAGAGTATTCACTCGATGTTTTTCGAGAACAGTTCGAACCTTCTCCACGTCGTCAGACTCGAACGCTACCCCCCTTCCATTTTCCCCCATTGCTGAGGGGTCGTTCTTTCCATAATTATCAATTAATGGATTTCCAATTTTCAAATCGGCAATCTTTCGAAATTCTTCAGCGCTTACCATACGCCTCTTTAACAGACTTTTCACAACATGAATGTTAGAAATGTTAACCAGTTCCGTCTGTAGACGTCCTCGCATGACATACACTGTCAGAAACACCAGCACCACAAACACGCACGTCACAATGTAGCGCTCAGACAGACGCATCATGCATTGGCTTCCGCACTAAGTCACGTGGAGTCTAGTACACACGCTCGGGCCAATATTCCAATCGTAATGGACAACTTCTGGCTCTGAGACACATCATCTGAAATGCACATAGCAGTACACTATCACCATGACAACACATGTACAGTATGCCAAACTACACTACCGGACAAAAGAAAATACACACCCATGTTTGGTGGTGGCTAAAATTAACCAGATAAGAAATGGTTATTCGATGGTGATGTATGTACTGTAAATCGGGAAATGTTTGTGCCATGAAGTTATTGTGAATGTCTAACACAAACCTTATCTGCGTCTGGAAAGTTTTGCGACACCCTGTTGATGAGATTACGAAAGATCGAAGCTGCTTCTTGATGTGTTATGCTGTGATATGTTATGTTCGATGATGAAATGGTGACTCAGTGTCGGTCTGTGTTCTTTAAACTACACAGTGTAAATACTACACACAGACAAACCATGATTAGATTTAAACTTGATTAGGAATATGGTCAAATCCTTAACGGAATACACATTTGGTGTGCTCTATCTAAACGCATTTACGTCTTAACACATTAAATGAGCTATCGTCTCTCAGCCAGAACACCACCCGAACACATCCCAATACTCTAAACATGTTCAGAATTGAAACACGTTAAAACATGTTTAGATTTTAAACATGTTTCAACATGTTTAGATTTTAAGCATGTTTAAAGTTTAAACATATTCAGAATTTAAACATGTTTTAATAAGTGCATATCACCAGGCAATAAGACAAATACTGATAAAATGTATGATATATAATGAAATTAGATGTGCAAAACAGATTCACATCCATCTGCATAACACATATGCTACCAGGATGTACAACGAACTCGGTACAATATTAACATGTCATTAATAATGTACAACTAAAAAGGTCTCGGTTAATGGTGACTAGGAAACTTGTGACGACAGTAGTCTTTGATTACAAATCAAGATGGTGCAGGTTCGTATTCCGTCGAGGTTTAAATATACTCTTAACAAAAAAAGAAACGCAAGGCGGATAGTGTCGGCCATTAAAGCAAATTTAGCGGACCAAGAGGTGCAAAATGAAGAGGTTGAATGTGTTGTAGTGTCAGTGACAAATTTCCCAGATCAGAATGATCAGAACAAGGACATGCAAACCATAAGTCGGGAAACACATACGATTCGGAAAAACGCACCCAATGCATTAACAAAAGGGCCATTGAGCTGCACGTACTGCAACTTCAGCAGCGCCATGAACGGTATTAAAGTGCGTGGTTTTGATTGCCTGGCATCTGCGTCAATCGAACAGTGACAGTTCAACAACATGCCAAGATTAACAGAAGTGCAAAGAAACAACGCCATAGGTCGACTGCAAACAGGGGAATCCCGATCAGCTAAAGTGGACAGGTTTGGTGGGGGTAGCGTTATGGTGTGGGCGGCTATCTCTCATCATGGCAGGACAGGTTTGGTTTGGACAATCTTACGGCTCAACTATACATCACTGAAATTCTCCTACTACACGTCCTCCCAATTGTAGCCAACGGCAACGGTGTATTCCAGCAGGAAACGTTCGACCGCATACAGCACGGATCACACGAGCCTATTTACACAACAAGAACGTTGAAGTTCTGGCCGGGCCCTCCAGATCCCCGGATCTGAACCCGATAGAGCACCTGTTGGATGAATTGGATAGACGGCTACGTGGACGTCAACCACAACCCCAGACGTTGCAGCAGTTGGCTTATGCGTTGCAGACCGAGTGGGTTACCATTCCCCAGGACGTCATTCGCATTCTCGTCTCATCCATGGGCCGGAGATGTCAACACTTGGGTCAAAACAGATCAACACTTGGGTGAAACTGATCCACAATTGTGTGACAACTGATCCACAATTGTGTGAAAACTGATCAACAATTGGGTCAAAACAGATAAACAATTTAGCCAAAACAGATCAACAACTGTGTCAAATTAAACCAACTATTGGGTCAATACAGATCAACAATTGGGCCAAAACAGAGCCCCAATTGGGTGAAAACTGATCAACAATTAGGTTAAAACAGATCCACAATTGGGTCAAAACAGATAAACAATTGGGTTAAAATGCGCCACAGCAGTGAAAGCATCCCAACTGCGGAGAAACATCTGAAGTTGTAAAATGTACTGATTTAAATATGCGTATCAATACGACATATCATGGTGTATTGATTGTTTAAGATCCATGGAGGTTGGAGTTGATATAGAGCCTGTTAAATACTTGCCTGCGCGCCATTCAACTGCGGTATCAACACGACACCAACGCCTTTCAAACTAGATCATTTTTTCACTCAGCTCCAGTTGTGGGACTCTCTTTCTTGCAGCAGTAAACATTTTTTAGAACATGGCTACAGTGCAATTTACACGACACGAAGAAACAGTATTTCTCCAGTCAGTAATGCTAGGTAATGTATAACATGAAGTCCATACGTCAAACGTTTCAAATTTACATATAATCTTGTCGCCGAATTTACACAAATCAAGGTTTCTTTCGTTATCATTTCCAAAAAAAATTAACAGAACCGACGCTTAGTCAGCAGTCAAAGAATACTCCTATATGATTTTAATTCGTTATATAAAATTTGATTTAAAAACTTTTTGAAATTGAAAAAGAATTCGCATACAGTTAACTACGGTTATAACGAACTCAAAGGGACCACTAATTCTAGTTCGTTATAACCGTAGTTCGTTATAAGCATATATACAGCATATATACAACCAATGGGCGGGACTACAAATAAGTTCGTTATATCGGTCAGTTCGTTATAAGCGTGTTCGATATAACCGTAGTTTACTGTAATATAAAATTGCTTATGGATATCTTAGACATCTCAATTTTGAAAATCCATAATTTGCTTTTTTCGGCACAAATTTACAATATTTCAAGCTTGCGGGCACGTGGTTGCAAATTCATTTCTTTCCCCAGTCTTTCATTGAAACAATGTTTTTTTACACATAATTACGCAACCACAGATTACTTTTACAAACTGCTGCAGGAATTAGTGGTAAAATAGACATCAAATTTAACAACAGTTCTTTTAATTTGCAACTACATAAAAAAAATCGCTGTGCTTTGTTTTACCCCTTAGTTTTAAAAGTAGATAGCAAAGACTTAAAGTATGAAAACATTCGTGGTAATAAGACCTATAAATGTTCAAAGTCCTGTTACGTTAATTGCGTCATATCTGACCGCGTGTAAATTACTTAAAGCCACACAGAATCTACCCTTAACATATGGTACAATGAAATGAACAATCATCAATGCATTTGGTATTGTCATACTTGTATCACTGGAACTGGTCCGTCCAACCAGGAAGGGGGTAGTCTAGGTATATCGATGATTTTATATCGTCCAATAACCATCAAATAGGCCAAGCCAAATCCCTTCCACTGAAACCGATTCGTGGTCTAGTAGATAGAGTGTCTGTCCGGAGAGCGGAAGGTCGGTGGTTCGATCCCCTGCCGCGTCATACTAATAGACGTTAAAAGATGGAACCCTGTCTGGTGATCGGCATTAAGGGGCAAAAACAATGACTGGTCAGCTCGGGGTCAGGATACTGTGTCTGAGTGGGATATTCATGATAAACTGCGGCATGGTATCTCAGTGGGCTGGCACAATAAAATCGGCTGTAACACACACACACACACACACACACACACACACACACACACAGACACAGACACAGACACACACACACACACACACACACACACACACACACACACAGACACACACACACAGACACACACAGACACACACACAGACACACACACACACACACACACACACACACACACACACACACACACACACACACACACACACGTTGCTATATAAGTGCAATAATCTTGAACGCGACGCTAAACCCCATTGCAACTCACCTCACCTCACCTCTTCATTGGCAGTTAACAGATCGGGGTGTTTGAGAATCGGTTCTGTGTCAGTGAGCAGAGTGGCTGCAGAGAGGCTGCAGAGAGGCTGCAGGGTGTCTGTTCTCTCCCGGTAAACAGATCAGAGAGTTTGGGAGTCTACCGTTGTTTTATAAACGGATCGCAGTGCATTTAAGTCCACTGTTTCAAAAAAATAGTCCGTAGTGTTTGTTAATCAGTATTTATCAATCATATATAACTTCGGACCTAAGATCAAAGTTTGCTTCAGAAACATTTTCATATACGTACTGTTGAACCTGCTAGAATAGTTCAGAAAGTTGTCCAGTTCTTATCCATGGCATGGCTTCTCTCCCTTCCCCGATAACGCCGCCTAGACAGGTGTCGGGTCCCACAACACTACAGGTAACACGTGGGTGTCTGAAGGTAACAAACAGGTCGAAGATTACTATTCTAACTGTGGTCATGTCATATCTAAACAACATGATGTGTAATCATAAAGTCATTCTTGCAGTAGCTCACACTAGAGTAGGGGCGGTCGGGTAGCCTAGTGGATAAAGCGTTCGCTCGTCACGCCGAAGACTCGGGTTCGATTCCCGACATGGGTACAATGTGTGAAGCCCATTTCTGGTGTCCCCCGCCGTGATATTGCTGGAATAGTGCTAAAAGCGGCGTAAAGTCGTACTCGCCCAGCCTAGAGTATTTCACACACCGAGATTACAGTAGAGAGAACACCGAGTCAGAACATCAGAATACACAGCTGTGGTGTTCGTCACTGCTTGTCCTTATTTTACATATGATATGTGACCGCCTCCGTGGTCTAGGGGTAGAGCGTCCGCCCGGAGAGCGGAAGGTCCGGGGTTCGATCCCCGACCGCGTCATACCAAAAGACGTTAAAAGATGGTACTTGTTGTTACCCTGTCTGGCGCTCGGCATTAAGGGGCTAAAACAAGGACTGGTCGGCTCAGGGTCAGTATACTGTGTCTGAGTGGGGTATTCATGTTAAACTGCGGCATGGTATCTCAGTGAGCTAGCACTATAAATCGGCATCAGTCCGGACTAGTACAAGCAGCCACACAAACACACACACGTGCATGCACGTCGCTATATAAGTGCAATAATCTTGGATGCGACGTTAAACCCCATTTCACCTCACCTCACGTCACATATGATATGTCTATTTTAGTTCACTATTAGTTCACTAATAGTGGAAGTAGTAGTAGTGGTGGTGGTGGTTGTCGTAGTAGTAGTCATTCTAGCAGGTGTTCGGTTTTGAGCTCCACACTATCTCTGCATGTGAAAAAACCGTTTTGTGCAGAACTGGAAAATAAGAATGTGTTCATATTGAGTGAATAGAGAAATATGCACGTTAACAACAAAACAGAAGTTAAAGTGGTTTCAAAAATGTATATCTTTCTTAACAAAATGATTATAAAATATAAAGTAATAAAATATTATTCTTTCTCTCATGAACCTGTATGTTCACATGAGAAAACATACATATGAAGACACATTCCTAAACATTGTTCATGGTTGGCTACAACAAGATAAGCTTTCCTCCCACATTAAGCTGACACGCCGCGATATAACTGGAACTGTTAAAAGCGGCGTTAAACCCAACTCACTCACTCACTACAACAAGGTAAGACTATTGCAGGTGTCAGCAGCTTAAAAAGGATATACGTAAAAAAGCGTATTAATAGTAAACAACCCGTCCTCTCACAGAATTACGTATCTGGGTTGTAGTGTCTTGTTTGTTTGTTTGTTGTTTAACGCCCCACTCAGCAATATTCCAGTTATATGACGACGGTCTGTAATAATCGAGTCAGGACCAGACAATCCAGTGATTGACATCATGAGCATCGATCCACGCAATTGGGTTACGATGATATGTATGAACCAAGTCAGCGAGCCTGACCACCCGATCCCGTTAGTCGCCATTTACGACAAGCATAGTCGCTTTTTACAGAAAGCATGGGTTGCTGAAGACCTATTCTACCCCGGATCTTCACGGGTCTATCTGGGTTGTAATCGTATGGTATTGAACTAATGTCGTAATTAGTCAGATATCATTTATCGGTTTTGATGGTGAATAATATGATGAAAGATGGCCATCTTTTGAAAATGGCCTTTGAACACCTGACGACGCATATGATTTTAAATGTAGTTCTGAATACCGTTTGCTGCACACTTTTCACAGGTGAAAAGTCTAGTTGCTGAAACATATACAATTAATTAACTAGATAGACAAAGCATCTACGACGAGATTATACTACAGCATAAGACATCATACTTACCGAGAGGGGCGGTGGGGTAGCCTAGTGGTCAAAGCTTCGCTCGTCACGCCAAAGACCTGGGTTCAATTCCCCGCAGTGGTACAATGTTTGAAGCCCATTTCTGGTGTTCTCCGCCATGATATTGCTGGAATATTGCTAAAACCGGTCTAAAACCATACTCAGTCACTCTTGCTTACCGATGAAAAGTCTGTCGACATATATGTCACGATACATAGACATAGTGTTGGCTTCTGTTGCTTTGCTGTGGAAATGAGAGGGCGTTCCGCGTGTCTCCAATGTGGATACAGTCCCGTGTCGTTGTACGGCATTGGTGAATAGCGTCTCGCCAGGTGAGGTTGGGTATGACGCTTCGGTTCCAGGTCACTTCATCTAAAATCTACCCTCATTGCATGAACACTTTGCTGTAGACCGCACCCATTTGATCTAATTCTCCAGTTGATGAATACTTTTTAAGCATTATTGACTCGACAATGACGAATGTTCTGTAGCAGTGCCATTCATCCCTTTAGCAAACGGCGGTTGACCTACTTATCATGGAGGCTCTAGATGTAAAGTCAACAGAGAGATGAATGCGATCTGTATTGGGGATTACTGGGAAAGGCATGCAATAGTACAATCCAGAGCACTGGTGATAGGCTCTTGAAGGTTGGATAGCTGATTTTTGCCTTCCGCCATCACCACATCTATATCATAAGGACGTAAAGGGTACCACTTAGACCACTGATGATAGGCTCTTGAAGGTTGGATAGCTGATCTTTGCCTTCCGCCATCACCACATGTATATCATCAGGACGTGAAGGGTACCACTTAGACCACTGGTGATAGGGTCTTGAAGATTGGATAGCTGATCTTTGCCTTCCGCCATCACCACATTTATATCATCAGGACGTAAAGGGTACCACTTAGATCACCGGTGATAGGCTCTTGAAGATTGGATAGCTGATCTTTGCCTTCTGCCATCACATGTATATCATCAGGACGTAAAGGGTATCACTTAGACCACTGATGATAGGCTCTTGAAGGTTGGATAGCAGATCTTTGCCTTCCGCCATCACCACATCTATATCATCAGGACGTAAATGGTACCACTTAGACCACTGGTGATAGGCTCTTGAAGGTTGGATAGCTGATCTTTCCCTTCTGCCATCACCACATCTATATCATCAGGACGTAAAGGGTACCACTTAGACCACTGATGATAGGCTCTTGAAGGTTGGATAGCTGATCTTTGCCTTCTGCCATCACCACATCTATATCATCAGGACGTAAAGGGTACCACTTAGACCACTGATGATAGGCTCTTGAAGGTTGGATAGCAGATCTTTGCCTTCCGCCATCACCACATCTATATCATCAGGACGTAAATGGTACCACTTAGACCACTGGTGATAGGCTCTTGAAGGTTGGATAGCTGATCTTTCCCTTCTGCCATCACCACATCTATATCATCAGGACGTAAAGGGTACCACTTAGACCACTGATGATAGGCTCTTGAAGCTTGGATAGCTGACATTTGCCTTCTGCCATCATCACATCCAAATGATCTGGGTGCCTTTGTACAAAACACCCTTAGCGCTACGACTGTCGTAAGTCTATGTTAAGGTATGGGAGTTACAATCACCTAAGCGCTAAGATCGTTTTGTAAAACGGCTCTTGGAGGTTGGATAGCTGATCTTTGCCTTCTGCCATCACCACATCTATATCATCAGGACGTAAAAGGTACCACTTAGACCACTGATGATAGGCTCTTGAAGGTTGGATAGCTGATCTTTGCCTTCTGCCATCACCACATCTATATCATCAGAACGTAAAGGGTACCACTTAGACCACTGATGATAGGCTCTTGAAGGTTGGATAGCAGATCTTTGCCTTCCGCCATCACCACATCTATATCATCAGGACGTCAAAGGTACCACTTAGACCACTGGTGATAGGCTCTTGAAGGTTGGATAGCTGATCTTTCCCTTCTGCCATCACCACATCTATATCATCAGGACGTAAAGGGTACCACTTAGACCACTGATGATAGGCTCTTGAAGCTTGGATAGCTGACATTTGCCTTCTGCCATCATCACATCCAAATGATCTGGGTGCCTTTGTACAAAACACCCTTAGCGCTACGACTGTCGTAAGTCTATGTTAAGGTATGGGAGTTACAATCACCTAAGCGCTAAGATCGTTTTGTAAAACGGCTCTTGGAGGTTGGATAGCTGATCTTTGCCTTCTGCCATCACCACATCTATATCATCAGGACGTAAAAGGTACCACTTAGACAACTGGTGATAGGCTCTTGAAGGTTGGATAGCAGATCTTTGCCTTCCGCCATCACCACATCTATATCATCAGGACATAGAGGGTACCACTTAGACCACTGATGATAGGCTCTTGAAGGTTGGATAGCTGATCTTTGTCTCCGCCATCACCACATCTATATCATCAGGACGTAAAGGGTATCACTTAGACCACTGATGATAGGCTCTTGAAGATTGGATAGCTGATCTTTGCCTTCTGCCATCACCACATCTATATCATCAGGACGTAAAGGGTACCACTTAGACCACTGATGATAGGCTCTTGAAGGTTGGATAGCTGATCTTTGCCTTCTGCCATCACCACATGTATATCATCAGGACGTAAAGGGTACCACTTAGACAACTGGTGATAGGCTCTTGAAGGCTGAATAGCTGATCTTTGCCTTCTGCCATCACCACATTTATATCATCAGGACGTATAGGGTACCACTTAGATCACCGGTGATAGGCTCTTGAAGATTGGATAGCTGATCTTTGCCTTCTGCCATCACCACATTTATATCATCAGGACGTAAAGGGTACCACTTAGATCACCGGTGATAGGCTCTTGAAGATTGGATAGATGATCTTTGCCTTCTGCCATCACATGTATATCATCAGGACGTAAAGGGTACCACTTAGACCACTGATGATAGGCTCTTGAAGATTGGACAGCTGATTTTTGCCTTCTGCCATCAACACATCTATATCATCAGGACGTAAAGGGTATCACTTAGACCACTGGTGATAGGCTCTTGAAGGTTGGATAGCTGATCTTTGCCTTCCGCCATCACCACATCTATATCATCAGGACGTTAATGGTACCACTTAGACCACTGGTGATAGGCTCTTGAAGGTTGGATAGCAGATCTTTGCCTTCTACCATCACCACATCTATATCATCAGGACGTGAAGGGTACCACTTAGACCACTGGTGATAGGCTCTTGAAGGCTGGATAGCTGATCTCTGCCTTCTGCCATCACCACATGTATATCATCAGGACGTAAAGGGTACCACTTAGACCACTGGTGATAGGCTCTTGAAGATTGGATAGCTGATCTTTGCCTTCTGCCATCACCACATTTATATCATCAGGACGTAAAGGGTACCATTTAGATCACCGGTGATAGGCTCTTAAAGGTTGGAAAGCTGATCTTAGCCTTCTGCCATCACCACATCTATATCATCAGGACGTAAAAGGTACCACTTAGACCACTGGTGATAGGCTCTTGAAGGTTGGATAGCTGATCTTTGCCTTCCGCCATCACCACATCTATATCATCAGGACGTAAAGGGTACCACTTAGACCACTGATGATAGGCTCTTAAAGGTTGGATAGCTGATCTTTGCCTTCTGCCATCACCACATCTATATCATTAGGACGTAAAGGGTACCACTTAGACCACTGGTGATAGGCTCTTGAAGTTTGGATAGCTGACATTTGCCTTCTGCCATCACCACATCCAAATGATCTGGGTGCCTTTGTACAAAACACCCTTAGCGCTACGACTGTCGTAAGTCTATGTTAAGGTATGGGAGTTACAATCACCTAAGCGCTAAGATCGTTTTGTAAAACGGCTCTTGGAGGTTGGATAGCTGATCTTTGCCTTCTGCCATCACCACATCTATATCATCAGGACGTAAAAGGTACCACTTAGACAACTGGTGATAGGCTCTTGAAGGTTGGATAGCAGATCTTTGCCTTCCGCCATCACCACATCTATATCATCAGGACATAGAGGGTACCACTTAGACCACTGATGATAGGCTCTTGAAGGTTGGATAGCTGATCTTTGTCTCCGCCATCACCACATCTATATCATCAGGACGTAAAGGGTATCACTTAGACCACTGATGATAGGCTCTTGAAGATTGGATAGCTGATCTTTGCCTTCTGCCATCACCACATCTATATCATCAGGACGTAAAGGGTACCACTTAGACCACTGATGATAGGCTCTTGAAGGTTGGATAGCTGATCTTTGCCTTCTGCCATCACCACATGTATATCATCAGGACGTAAAGGGTACCACTTAGACAACTGGTGATAGGCTCTTGAAGGCTGAATAGCTGATCTTTGCCTTCTGCCATCACCACATTTATATCATCAGGACGTATAGGGTACCACTTAGATCACCGGTGATAGGCTCTTGAAGATTGGATAGCTGATCTTTGCCTTCTGCCATCACCACATTTATATCATCAGGACGTAAAGGGTACCACTTAGATCACCGGTGATAGGCTCTTGAAGATTGGATAGATGATCTTTGCCTTCTGCCATCACATGTATATCATCAGGACGTAAAGGGTACCACTTAGACCACTGATGATAGGCTCTTGAAGATTGGACAGCTGATCTTTGCCTTCTGCCATCAACACATCTATATCATCAGGACGTAAAGGGTATCACTTAGACCACTGGTGATAGGCTCTTGAAGGTTGGATAGCTGATCTTTGCCTTCCGCCATCACCACATCTATATCATCAGGACGTTAATGGTACCACTTAGACCACTGGTGATAGGCTCTTGAAGGTTGGATAGCAGATCTTTGCCTTCTACCATCACCACATCTATATCATCAGGACGTGAAGGGTACCACTTAGACCACTGGTGATAGGCTCTTGAAGGCTGGATAGCTGATCTCTGCCTTCTGCCATCACCACATGTATATCATCAGGACGTAAAGGGTACCACTTAGACCACTGGTGATAGGCTCTTGAAGATTGGATAGCTGATCTTTGCCTTCTGCCATCACCACATTTATATCATCAGGACGTAAAGGGTACCATTTAGATCACCGGTGATAGGCTCTTAAAGGTTGGAAAGCTGATCTTAGCCTTCTGCCATCACCACATCTATATCATCAGGACGTAAAAGGTACCACTTAGACCACTGGTGATAGGCTCTTGAAGGTTGGATAGCTGATCTTTGCCTTCCGCCATCACCACATCTATATCATCAGGACGTAAAGGGTACCACTTAGACCACTGATGATAGGCTCTTAAAGGTTGGATAGCTGATCTTTGCCTTCTGCCATCACCACATCTATATCATTAGGACGTAAAGGGTACCACTTAGACCACTGGTGATAGGCTCTTGAAGTTTGGATAGCTGACATTTGCCTTCTGCCATCACCACATCCAAATGATCTGGGTGCCTTTGTACAAAACACCCTTAGCGCTACGACTGTCGTAAGTCTATGTTAAGGTATGGGAGTTACAATCACCTAAGCGCTAAGATCGTTTGGTAAAACGGCTCTTGGAGGTTGGATAGCTGATCTTTGCCTTCTGCCATCACCACATCTATATCATCAGGACGTCAAAGGTACCACTTAGACCACTGGTGATAGGCTCTTGAAGGTTGGATAGCTGATCTTTGCCTTCTGCCATCACCACATCTATATCATCAGGACGTAAAGGGTACCACTTAGACCACTGATGATAGGCTCTTGAAGGTTGGATAGCTGATCTTTGTCTCCGCCATCACCACATCTATATCATCAGGACGTAAAGGGTACCACTTAGACCACTGATGATAGGCTCTTGAAGATTGGATAGCTGATCTTTGCCTTCTGCCATCACCACATCTATATCATCAGGACGTAAAGGGTACCACTTAGACCACTGGTGATAGGCTCTTGAAGATTGGATAGCTGATCTTTGCCTTCTGCCATCACCACATCTATATGATCTGGGTGCCTTTGTACAAAACACCCTTAGCGCTACGACTGTCGTAAGTCTATGTTAAGGTATGGGAGTTACAATCACCTTAGCGCTAAGATCGTTTTGTAAAACGGCTCTTGAAGGTTTGATAGCTGATCTTTGCCTTCTGCCATCACCACATCTATATCATCAGGACGTAAAGGGTACCACTTAGACAACTGGGGATAGGCTCTTGAAGGTTAGATAGCTGATCTTTGCCTTCTGCCATCACCACATCTATATCATCAGGACGTAAATGGTACCACTTAGACCACTGGGGATAGGCTCTTGAAGGTTGGATAGCTGATCTTTGCCTTCTGTCATCACCACATCTATATCATCAGGACGTAAATGGTACCACTTAGACCATTGGTGATAGGCTCTTGAAGGTTGGATAGCTGATCTTTGCCTTCTGCCATTATCACATCTATATCACCAGGACTTTAAGGGTACAACTTATACCATTGGAGATAGGATATTGAAGATTGGAAAGCTGGCTGATCTTTGCCATCCGTCATCACCACATCCATATGATCTGGGTGCCTTTGTACAAAACACCCTTAGCGCTACGACTGTCGTAAGTCTATGTTAAGGTATGGGAGTTACAATCACCTAAGCGCTAAGATCGCTTTGTATAACGGCACCCTGGGCACCTTCATTAAGGCCCATATCATAGACCTAGCAAGAACGAAGCTATGACGATGGGCTATGAACAGTGAGGAAGTCATCACCTTCTGCCCAACGACTTCATGTGAGATCTCCTTTGTATCCCGAGGGTCAGAAGATCAGGCCAAAGCTCTCGACAAGGAGAGCGGCAATCCACGGTGACTAGGTTTTTTGTAGGTGCTGGTGCCCGTTTGCTTATTGCTGACCATGGTGAATGGGAATGGAATCATGTGATCATAATGTGTTACAACAAATAACACTTTTGAGTGAGTATGGTTTTACTCCCAATATTACACCAATATCCCGCATGGGAAACCAATAATTGGCCTTGTACCCATGTGGGGGATCGAACCCGCGATTTTGATGTGATGAGCGAACTCTTTACCTTGTAGGCTACTCCAGCGCCCCTCAGCTTAAAACGTCTATTAAATATCATGTGATAGATATATCGATGACATGTCAGTATCATATACATTTGTTATAATATCTTTAGCACTGATTGCCAGGATTATAACAAAATAAACAGAACGCTACCAGCATTGAATTAATGTTTTCACTGTTAAAAGCACCTCTAACAGTTCAGTAATGAACTCTTCCAATCTGTCTCCACTTGATCTAAAAGTTGTAACTAGCCATCCGCAACATGCCCAGATGATCTAATTGTGTTTCAGTACCTCAGCATAGATAATTAAATCAAATAGGTAGACACCGACGCATCACACCATCTTCTATAGTAATGAAGCTTCATGCGATTATTTACAGACTGACGTGATATAGCTGGAATATTGCTGAGTAGGGCGTTAAACAAAAAGCAAACAAATTACGTTCCATTGGTAATCACATTGTACCAGCAGGCTCTTTCTCACTAAATCTACAGGTTAATGTTGAACAACATCATCGATCGTGGTTGTCATGTTGCTTCGTGTAACTTGTCTGAGGCAAACACAACGTCGTCAGCCATTGACAGTTGTGAGGTGTGAGTTACCATGATGTATAGGTCAAGTCTTGCCACATCCAAGTTCGGAGTGGAGAGGCACTTATTTTGATTTTTAAAAATGATTTACTTGGGGTAGTTGCTAACTAGCTAATAAGACTTACACATGTAACACAAATAGTAGAATGTTAATTCATAACGTTTGTGGGAGAAATATATTCGTTTAGGATTTTTAAAAAATATGTCACCCCTACAATGCAAATGGCATATTCGATTTCAAAGAAATGACTTTTCTCTCTGATTTCCAAGAAATAACTTGGTGAGTCCAAACAGTGCACAGCAGGTTGCGATGAAATTAAAACATCTATCTTTTGACTTAGTTTGGAGGGTTATTTGTCAACTTCTTTTTGAAAAACCATGTGTTTTGAACACTAACTTGGAACTACAGTAACTCAAGACTATGGATATTGTAATGGTGAACTTTAGTAATATTTGTTACTTATATAAACTACCTATGACAACTTTTCGGAATGTTCTAAGATTGCAGACCTTTGTACCCTGTGTTTTTCAAAACATGTTGCCGTCTAAAGCGTTCGGTTCCAAATTAATATCTACACTACAGTGGGACTACATCACATTTCAAAACACAGTAGGTTTATCTCCTAAGGGTATCGTAAGATACGTCTTTGCACGACAATAAGTTTCAGAGAAATAGGTTCAAAGAGTCAGGTGTCATAACCCCTAATATAAAACCTGCATACAGAAACCAGGTGGTTGTTGTAGAGAGGGACTCAAAACATGAGTAGTCTTTTGAACATCCAGTTCACCAGCAACTATTTATGTAGGCAATTTCACATTATTGGTTATCCTGTTACGCGTAGTAAAATTATTTTTACAATAAGGGTTAATACGCAACTCTCAATGTCTAAATGTTAACATTAAGAGGAATGTTTACTTTTAAGGATTGACTGTGTATTTTTTTTCGGTTCATTGAGGTATGAATCGAAAAACCGATGTGCAAACTGTATGAATCCGCATAGCGGATTCTTACAAAAGTTTGCACATCGGTTTTTCGATTCATACCCGTGCAAACTGTATGAATCCGCATAGCGGATTCTTACAAAAGTTTGCACATCGGTTTTTCGATTCATACCTCAATGAACCGAAAAAAATACACAGTCAATGCTTATAATTAAATTCGACAACGGAACATACAATAGTTTAACCAAAAACAGTTGTTTATATCAAAGCAGTCAAAAATGACGAGATTGATAAACATTCCAGGTGTAGGAATACATACTGTGGCGTGACATGAATATCTTGACACGCCTAAAATGTCAGTAGCCAATCAACGCAGAGTAGAATCAAAACAAAGTTCATAGGACCTGTCGATCAAGGCAAGAGGCGAGAACTGCAACAGTCAGACTGTAACGAACGGAACAAATATGTCCAGGAGAAGGCGGGTGTTTCAAATGACATGGTCAGTTGCCGCCAGATTCGAACAATAATTCCCTGAGAACGGGTAGACACAGTTGGAAAAATGCTAGTTAGAAATGAAACCGAAGACATGAAAGTTGTGGAACCGAGGCGAGCGGAACAAAACAGTCGAGCGAGCCGAACGTTTGTTGTTTCATTCCTTCTCAGCCTTCGGTCCCAAAGGGTTGTATGGACAATGAATATGCATGGATTTCGCTAAATGTCCTGTGCATGACGATACACGTGAGCAGAGAGGAAATTCCCTCGACTATAATATTGAATTCCCCGACATTCAGTAGTAATAAAAGTAGTCCGCTTCGGTGGGCGTGGCCTAATGTTTTACATTCATGGGGAAATGATTGCAATAACACGTGATCAATTCAGCTAATCAGAATGCACGAATTTCAATGAACACAAATAAAATGTAATGTCGATTGAAGCCAGGTTATTCCCGATGTGTCCCAGAGCACAATCTCTAGTCTTTGTGTCGATACCAAATATAGATAAAACGTCCATTATTCCACGAAACAATCCTATTTGGTTTTAAAGGATCATATGAAATTATGGTAAGAATTATACGAATGGATCACTGAAAATCAGCGATGACACCAGCTGTGCGCGAAATGGGCAAGCATGTCCTGCTTTGTCGGTAGTTCCAGAGACTTCCACAATTTGCACACCAAAGTAAGTGTTTGTTACTGAGCAAAACCATGGCACATCACATGATCATGACAGACCTAGGACAACCAGTAATATACTTTAGAAGGAAGAAATTAAAAAAAACCAGTGACTATTAACGGAGATACGATGGAGGTTGTAAGAGAGTACAAATATCTGGGGACTAACAAACTGACATTTTCACGAAATGCTGAGACTGTTTACAATAAGTGCTAATCACGTGTTCACCTTTAAAAAAGGAAAAGTTTTAATGTTCACTGTTCTGTTATGTCAGTTTGTTATAAAAGTTGTATTAAGTCCGTTTTAATCCCCTATATTCATTGTTGGTATGGACCCCTCTCGGCACAGAACAAAACCAAACTCAAGAAAATCATTAATTTGGGAGGCAATATCCCAGGATGGCAGCTGGAATCCATAGATGAGCTGTATACTAACAAAGTTTCTAGCTTAGCTGGAAGACTTTTAGATTATCTTTCTAAATTGTTATATACTTTTTATCCACTTTTACCACCCGGACGTGTATACTTGTTCTCAAATTTAAATACAAAAGATCTAAAATGTCTTGAATTCCAGTTAGCATTTCCCTTTTAAATAATCGTCAAGGAAAATGCATGGTTTCTGTTGTACAACATCAGTTATTAAAGTTCTCCCTTTTATATTATTTGTTTTGCTTAACTTGGTTTTATCTGTCACCTTGTCTTAATAACATGTTATTTGTTCATGTAGGTGTGTCACTCTGATGTAAAGAAAATGCTTTACTGGTAAAGCAAAGCATTATCTTATCTCTTATCTTTAATAAATCTTGTGAGCTGCAATGAAGTTGAGGTTTCTGCTGCTATAGTAGTTTTAAATATAGCGTAGTATTAAGCTTTTCGAGAACTGGACAAGGAACCGTGCCATTTTTGGATGTACATATCTTTTAAAGTGCAAGTATCATGAAAAATAGTAATAGATTTGTTTCACACCATTATGTAGCCAGTATGATGTACACGACGACAGCCGAGAAAAAAACAGTGTGAAATGTAAACGTAGCGCTGTTGCGCTTAATTAAGAGTACGTATTTTGAGATCTGTGATTTCAGCCCAGGTTCAGTTCACTCTAGAATGCTTTCAGCCTGCGCTCAGGTGACTCAACTCCCCTCAGGTCACTCCCCTCAACTAGTCCCCAAAACACTCACTCCAGGCTCAGGTCACTCCCCTAACGAGGCCCAAAACACTCACTCCAGGCTCAGGTCACTCCCCCAACGAGGCCCAAAACACTCACTCCAGGCTCAGGTCACTCCCCCAACGAGGCCCAAAACACTCACTCCTGGCTCAGGTCACTCCCCTCAACTATGCCAGTTTTAGCATACAGTTCTGACCTGAAAAACTAGTTTTTCAATTGTCGACATTATTATTTGAACTGTAGCTCTTTTTGTTTGTTTGTTTGTTGTTTAACGCCGCATTCAGCAATATTCCAGTTGAAACTTCAAAGCAGCTATACATAACGAAGACTGTCTTCGTAGTAAAAGCCACATTGTGTCCATTCAGGTTGCGACAACCAAGTTGAAGTTTATAATATGTGTTTGTTTGTTTGTTTGTTTGTTTAATGTTTAACGCCCCGGAAATATTCCAGCTATATGACGGCGGTCTGTAAATAATCGAGTCTGGACCAGACAATCCAGTGATTGATATCATGAACATCGATCCACGCAATTGGGAAACGATGACATGCATCCACCAAGTCACGAGTCTGACCACCCGATCCCGTTAGTCGTGTAATATATATAATTTATGATGTAGCTAAGGTATGTGTATGTTTAAAAACTGTATTTTGTGGTCAACTAAAGAAGATCTTCGCCTTATGTTGCATAGTCTGACCACCCGATCCCGTTAGCCGTAAAATATATATAATTTATGATGTAGCTAAGGTATATGCACGTTTAAAAACTGTATTTTGTGGTCAACTAAAGAAGATCTTCGCCTTATGTTGCATGTTGTTTTGAAATGTCTCGCCTTATGAACACGTTCCTTATTTCAATATTGTATTCAATTCCACACATGTAAAGGGAAATATAGACATTTAGTTGCCTGTTCAGGTAACTAATTCTAACTATCGTTTCCTGAATAAAATATTATTTAAAACACATTAACTTACCTCTTGCTGAAATGTGTGGCCCGGACAATATCCAATATCTCTGTCGAGAAAACCCTAACATTCCAGGCATACAAACATTATTTAGTGTTAATTCAACCAGATGTTGTTATAAACCATTACTCATAGCGTAAACAACCATTAAAATATGAAAAATCAATGCTAGAAATTTCGATTTTCCAACGAAGAATTTAATTTAGTGGATCACTGAAAAATAAATTGTTATGCCGAACAGTAAGTAATTAGGATTCATGTTTGCAAGCTGGGACCATGTCAATATACCATGTATGAAATGTATGTACATGTTGAACGTGTTGGCAGAAAGTATCAGGAACGGTTTTTTGCAAACGAAGTAGACATTTTGGATTCAATTTAGTCACACGAAGTTGTTTCATTTATCAAAATATGACTGTGTTTGTTTGAAGGGAACATGCTCTTCGCCGACTTTTATGATCCTAACATATACACACGCGCTAGGAAAGGTACCATATATAATAAAATAATTTCCACGTTGAAATGAAACAATCTATAAACAATAAAATATAAATGGTTCAAGAAGTTGCTTTAAAACTTAAATAAAAGCGACAAAACCATTTCCATAATTATAAGAAAAGAAAAGCAAAGTCCATTGTTCTATACCGCCTGTATCATGAACATGTGTCTATGAATCACTATCAAATACACTCTTCAAAAAAAGAAACGCACGGGTAGTATGTAGCTCATTGAACCTGACTACACCAAAAATCCTGTATATACATTGGATATATACATATGTTATATGTCAAAACGCAGCTATTGTCGATTTGCAATTACTTCTACGGCATTGTTTTCACACTTGTTCAAAAATGTCATGGAGAAAAACAGTAAAGCAAAATGCACGTGCAGGTTATGGCATTCGTGGCTCATGGTACTGGCTATTAAAAGGCAAGCATTCGAACTAGAAAATTTGTCATTCAATTATCGACATTTTTCAAGTTCGAAAATGCTGAGACTCAGCGCTGCTGAGTGGAACATTGCCATAGGACGTATCCAAAGAGGGGAATCGCAGTCTTCTGTTGCACGCCACTTCAACCTCCACCACAGCACCATTTGCAGCCTTTGAGACCGATACACACAGTTCAATTTCAATGCAGACCGTCCGAGAACCGTCCGACCAAGAGTTACCACCCTGCACAGGATCGCTACATTCGACTGTTCCACCTACGTCATCGCAATGCCACAGCTACGGAGACTGCAGGACGCATCCCTGGTTTGAGGAGGATATCGGACCAGACTGTCAGGAATCATCTTCGCGAGGCTGGAATCCGACCCAGAAGTCCAGTTACCGTCCCTGTTTTGCAGCAGATCCATCGACAGCAACGCTTGCGTTGGTGCCATACCTTACAGCCTTGGTATTGAGATGGAAGACAACGTGTTTATTGTCGTCAAAATGATCGTTTTTGCCCACATTGTGTACGTGAATTCGACAATTTCGGTGGCGGTAGTGTGTGTGTGTGTGTGTGTGTGTGTGTGTGTGTGTGTGTGTGTGTGTGTGTGTGTGTGTGTGTGTGTGTGTGTGTGTGTGTGTGTGTGTGTGTGTGAGAATCACCAGGAGATCTGACTTGGTTGTGGTTCATGGAAATTTGACAGCAAATCGCTACAAGAATCCAATTCTTCAACCTTACCTTCATCCAATTATTGACCGCCAGAGGGAGCAGTTTCAACACGACAACGCTCCAACGCACACAGCTCGTGTGTGCGTGTGTGCGTGCGTGCGTGCTTGCGTGCTTGCTTGCTTGCTTGTACTTGTCCGTATTGATGCCGATCCATAGTGCTAGCTCACTGAGATACCATGCCGCAGTTTGACATGAATACCCCACTCAGACACAGTATACTGACTCCGAGCCGACCAGTCCTTGTTTTAGCCCCTTAATGCCGAGCGCCAGACAGGGTAACAACAAGTATCATCTTTTAACGTCTTTTGGTATGACGCGGCCGGGGATCGAACCTCGAACCTTCCGCTCTCCGGGTGGACGCTCTACCACTAGACCACGGAGGCGGTCTTGCAGCCGATCATAACCCTGAGCGAGGCATGCTTTCTTGGGTGGAAACGGCAGGGCGGGCTTGTCCGATCAAGCGTGTAATTTTGGAGGAAATCACCACCAACATGACCATAAAGAATCCTGTCTCCGCCTCCGCTTTATTTTCGTTTCAGCCTTTGAAATTGATAGACAGGACTAAAGGGCAAATAAACCATATTGACGCGCCGCATTCGATGTTTGCATTACCGATCTATCCAATTCTGCTTAGTTGGTTATACTCACGAAGCTTGCACTTCAAGGTATTTGCAAAACGGCTTATAAAGTTCTGTGGCATATCTCAATGTTGCTGTAACCAAATATCACCATATCCACATTCATACAATATGTCTTTAACTATTGGTGCCCAATTTATTTTCCCATGGCTGTCGTGGAGGAGCGTCATATTCTATGCCAAAACAATAGGGGATATTGGGAATCAAGACATATTCTCTGATCTATTGAGTGAGCGAGTGAATTAAAATGTAACGTTTCATCGGCATTATTTCAGCCATATAGCAACGAGAACAAGTTGATATATATATACACAATTTAGTCATAAATACAAAGTTATGTTTAAAATCAAATTTATCAAACATATTTTGGCAAACAGTATTATTTACACAGCAGGCCACCAGTAACCAATCGAAGGCCACCTGATCTATATCGTATTGGCAAATGGAAACGATATGATCATATCTGTTTGGGAGTAGGCGAGGAAATCTAATGAGTTCTAATGGTTGGTGAGATGAGATGGTGGCGCACAAGATCGTTAATGAGGTTGGGGGTCAAAGTCGAAATTTCCATTTTGCATCCAACGTCACTAATATCGGGTAAAAGCACCTCTGTTGGCCAGACATGCACGAATTCCTCGAGCCATGCTTCTGATGGGTCGACCCATGTCTACTTACCAGTGACAGCAGCGCCGAGTTCATTGAGAGTGGCGGGTGGATTTTGACGTTGACCTAAACGTCTGGCAATGACGTCCCAGGCGTGATCATTTGGGGAAAGGTCAGGACTGATTGCTGGTATGATACGGATCTTGTGCTGTTTGAGTAACTGGGTCACATTCCATTGGTTCACATGGTGAACACGTGCATTATCATCTTGATAGATGAAACGTTGACGAACACGCTCTGCAAATGGCACCACGAGTGGTGCAATGGTGTTGTCCCGATAGTATTGACCTGTGACTGCCATGGACAATATGGAGCGCAGTTCGTAATGTCATTGTGATACGACCCCATACCATTTTGCACCCATCCCCAAAACGACCATGCTCATAAAACGCTCATTAGGGCGTCTCTAAACTCGATTCCTTCAATCATGGAAGTCGAGAGTAAACCTCGATTCGTCAGAATAGATGACATTAGCCTAACGACGATTACCCCAGTGACGTTACCCACTCGCGCCTCTGATTCAAATGACGTGCAGTAAGTTTTGGGATGACACGGGACGTCGTGCACGAAGATTACCTGGGCTGACGATTTCGCACCGTCTGGGCGTGAACTCTTACACCAGCTGCCTGTTGCAACCTGTCTCTTATCCGAGTGGCAGTTTGCAACCGATATCTTGATTCCATCTCTCTGACTCATCTCCCAATCGAGTCTGAGTGATAATGGCCATCTGGTATACCACCATAATTTCTTTATAATATTGCATAATGACCTATTGTTTTACTTGAATAAAATGCACGTTCAGAATGGCCAGTGAATTTCCAGGCTCAGAATCAACCGTAGGAACAATAGCTTGACGCCAATGGTGGTTTCTCAGCAAGCTAAATTACCATTGGTTTCCCAGCAAGCTAAATCACCATTGGTCAGACAGCAAGTTAATTTACTATTGGTTAGTCAGCAAGCTATATTACAGCAATGCAAATAACCGCTCGTGTTACATCCATGTTAATGAGTACATAATCAACATGAGAATGAAACCCTGGTGATGTGTCTATGAAGTTTCCATCAGCGGAGACATACAATGATTATTACGACCAGCGTGTCCGGTCAATATACAATCACCCCAAATGTTTAATGAACCCCCCTGCGTTTTTACAGTAATCAACTTTTATTAGTCACGAGGGCTTAAATACGAACCTGTCGGCGAGACATCCGTGTATCGAGCAGTTAGTGCACTGGACACTGTGTCACCATCATCCATTAAGGAAGTTGTTAGCTTCACTGACGAAATGTTGTGCGAGGGTAAAGTAGTTCTAATAACAGGTGCAGCTCAAGGACTTGGGAAATCTATCGCCGAGTCCCTTCTAACACAAGGTGCAAAGGTAAGACTCTGTGCTGTTACCCACATCCTGTGCAGAACAGTAGGCTTCACTGATACATGTATCTTGTCCTGTGCAGAACAGTAGGCTTTACTGATACAGGTACCTTGTCCTGTGCAGAACAGTTGGCTTTACTAATACATGTACCTTGTCCTGTGCAGAACAGTTGGCTTTACTGATACATGTATATTGTCCTGTGCAGAACAGTAGGCTTTACTGATACATGTATCTTGTCCTGTGCAGAACAGTTGGCTTCACTGATTCATGTATCTTGTCCTGTGCAGAACAGTAGGCTTTACTGATACAGGTACCTTGTCCTGTGCAGAACAGTAGGCTTTACTGATACAGGTACCTTGTCCTGTGCAGAACAGTTGGCTTTACTAATACATGTACCTTGTCCTGTGCAGAACAGTAGGCTTTACTGATACAGGTACCTTGTCCTGTGCAGAACAGTTGGCTTTACTAATACAGGTACCTTGTCCTGTGCAGAACAGTTGGCTTTACTAATACATGTACCTTGTCCTGTGCAGAACAGTTGGCTTTACTGATACATGTATATTGTCCTGTGCAGAACAGTAGGCTTAACTGAGACATGTATATTGTCCTGTGCAGAACAGTTGGCTTTACTGATACCTGTATCTTGTCCTGTGCAGAACAGTAGGCTTCACTGATACATATATCTTGACCTGTGCAGTACAGTAGGCTTTACTGATACATGTATCTTGTCCTGTGCAGAACAGTAGGCTTTACTGATGCATATATATTGTCCTGTGTAGGGCAGCAGATCTATACTGAAGCATACACCTTGCAGCGATGGTCATGTGCGAATATACATTTATAAAGACTATGCGTGTGGTGGTTAGACTTGGTGACTTCACTGATTTCGTGTTGTACTCCGTCGGCTTGGGACGTTTCTCATATTATCAGCTACTGGTTTATCTGGTGAAGACTCGTTCAAGTACATGCCATCGTGTATAGACTTACAGCTGTATTACCGTTAAATGCAGCGTAAAACATCACTCACTCAGTCACTCAAACTTTTACGACTTAAATTTGAACGCTCGATGCCAGAGCGTGCCGATTCTGTTGCTCGCTGGAAACTCATATGGCCTGCCGCCAGGTGAGACACCTCAACATGAACACCGGACGCTAGCTCAGTCATTGATACTTAGATGAGAATCTCTCGAATCGAAAACGCAGCAGCTGCACCTTTTCACCTGGAATACACGAAGTCATTGCATAATATATTTAAGAAATAAACGACGAGTGGGTTTTTTTTTTTCTTATATGAGATATCAACATTATGTACAGCCTGTTTAAAAATGATGATAAAAAGTACAAGCTTTAAAAATATTTACCCGTATTTCAATAATGATGAATCAATAGAATCCGATCTTGGAAATGTCGGCGAGTCCTGTTTATGCACAGGTGGGTATTTCCCGCATATTTTCACAATCCTCGATTACCTGTACCTTTTCTCCCTAAACCGATTGTCATATCTCTCACGCTTTGGGATGCACTCGTTCGGCCATCGCGTTTATCTGCGTTGCCCAGCTACATTTACGGGAAACAGCTCACGAGACACTCCCCTTCAAAACAACGTCGTCATATATACGACGTTATCAAGTTGCGAGCGCATGTTCGAATTTCCAGAAATGACATCATAATAGAACAATGTTTTATCGTGAAATACACCACGCTTCGTTCTTCACAGTAAAATGTAAAATGCAATTACTGTTCTCATTTTACACCAGGAAGGAAACATTCTGTTCTATTCCCTCAAAAGTGGGTTGACATATCTTTCTTGCTATCTCCTGGTATATCATTTTCATGCAAATGAGGGGGCACGGGTGGCCCAGTCGTCTAAGGCGGCGCGATTCGCTGTGAAAAGTTGCGTCCCTTGGGCACGCCAGAAACCTATGATTGTGGGCTCGAATCCCGGTTCGCCCCGATTATGTTTCTAGGTTTGTCAGCACCATACCCGTGCTCGTGGGTTCACGGAAGTGGTAAACGTCTAAAACCTGCATCACTTCGGGTTTTTCTCCCACATTACGCTGACACGCCGCGATATAACTGGAATACTGTTAAAAGTGGCGTTAAACCCAACTCACTCACTCACTCACTCATGCAAATGAATGTACTATGGGCCGGAAGCCTGATACTAAAGTAAAAACTGCCTGTCAGTTTACTGTGTTATTATTTTGACAGGTGTGTGTGTGCGACATCAACGTGGACGTGGGGGGAGCGACTGCAGCCAGATTGCAGGAACAACATGGCCAAGACAGAGTGTTCTTCATGAAGTGTGACGTACTGGTAGAAGCTGATTTGGAAGGTAGTTCATTGAGTCTCGAGTAACGGGAGTCCTTCAATAGCTATGTAACCTGCAACTCCCTCTTGATACATATTCAGCATAACTATTATATGGTGGTCGCCTACATGATATGGGACTTGAAATCAATTCACAAAATTTAGTAAAGATATATTGGCTCTAAATAACAAATTGTGTTCCAGTTCCAAAAGGATTCGAGACCGCCACCTTGGTCTAGTGGTAGAGCGTCCGCCCTGAGATCAGAAGGTCCAGGTTCTATCCCGACCGCGTCATACCAAAAGACGTTAAAAGATGGTTGTGTTGTTACCCTGTCTGGCGCTCGGCATTAAGGGGCTAAAACAAGGACTGGTCGGCTCGGAGTTTATTGTTTCTGTATGGGGTGTTCATGTTAAACTGCGGCATGGTATCTCAGTGGGCTAGCACTATAAATCGGCATTTCACTTTCACCAAAAGCAGTCCAAATGAAAGGTCAATAAGAAGCTGCTGGTGATTGTACCCATCCATGTTTCTGAACCTTGATCTCATATTGAGTGTCATAATGAGAGGGGCCTTTGATACACCCCAATAGATCACGTGGCACTGCGTGACTCTTGCAAACACGAAGCCCAAGCTGATCTCAGAGATATGCAATGGGGTGAAATTCACGGGCAAGCAGATCAATTCCATCCTACGCCTGCCTTATGTCGAATTAATGATGGGATGAGCATTATCGTTCTGAAAGATCGGGGCAACTGTATAGCGACGCATGATCCTCATGGAGGGTACCCCAACAGGGGCCAATATCTCATCTCTGTGATGTGTTTTGGGATTCGATATGTAACTTTGTCCTTGCAGTAGCTAGTGAGTGAGTGAGTTAGTGAGTTGTGTTTAACGCCGCTTTTAACAGTATTCCAGTTATATCGCGGCGTGTCAGCTCAATGTGGGAGGAAAGCTCGAAATGATGCAGGTCTCAGACGTTTACCACTTCGGTGAAACCCACGAGCACGGGTGTGGTGCTGACAAACCTAGAAACTTAATCGGGGCGAACCGGGATTCGAACCCACAATCATAGGTTTCTAGCGTGTCCAGGGGACGCATCTCTGCACAGCGAATCTTGGCGCATTAGACGACTGGGCGACCGTGCCCCCTGCAGTAGGTAGAACATCCCGGACAATTATGGAACCACCACAATATCCATCATGAGCCACTACAGAAGCATCCTCAAAACATTCATGGCGCCGTCTAAAAAAAAGCGACGACAAAACACTGTCCACTTTCATAAGCAGAGTCGATTGTACGATTCCGACTATATCGTGAGTATGTGTTTAGGAATCACCAAAAAATAGTGATGATGCCAGGTGTTCCCGGAAAGGTGAGCGTGTCCTTCCCCTCCCGTCCGTCATATAGCTGAAATACTACGGAGTTGGGGGTTACACATCAAACGATTAAAACAGCCAAACAAACAATTCATCGTATCACTGATCCAGGCTCGATTACTAGTATTTACAGGCTGTCGTGATATAGCTGAAATTCCCTCGACTGAGACGTAAAACGACAAACAAATCAAAGCTGGGTTACTCTTAGCCAAGGAAATAATGCCACTGACATCTACCTTCCTGAACAGGCGTGTTCGACGCAGTGAGAGAGAAATATGGCGGCTTGGACATCGTCGTGAATAATGCTGGGATAGCTGACGAGAAGAACTGGACAAAGATGATCGACATCAACCTGGTAGGTTACCATAGTGACATGGGAATCCCGTTAACCCAGATAGAACAATTCACATTGCAATTGTACGAAACCCGACATTTTCGGATGAAGGAATCATGGAAGCGGTTCCAGATAATCGGGGTTTTCTTGGTCTGCCAAGTCTTCCCTCAGACAAATACTTCACACACGCACGCCCCCCCCCCCCCCCCCCCCACCAACCACACACACACACACACAGGGAAACAACGGTGTAAACTAGGGCTGGGGGACGGTACTGAGTAGGACCCGGGCACTCAAAGGACTACACGAACCCTTGGTTAGTCACGTGATATATTGTTTCATGACATAAATAATAAATTCATTATAACTTCATGGTTACACAAATCACATATGTTCGCATTTTTTCATGACTATGATCACATTCCTTCTGATGTTTGAATAAAGATAAAACTTCAACTTCAGTGTATATGCATGACCAGATCGTTTTATATGTGTATCTAAATACAATTTGCTCAGGCTACTGTCAAACTATTCCCAATCGGACATTTTTTACCTATATTTTGAAACCAACAGCGGGTACCCGGGTAGGGTCGGGTAATAGGGGTGTGGGTACCTGGGTAGTAAATTTGGACTCGTCCCAGCCCTAGTCTAAACCTTTTGGGGACGTGAGGCATTAGTATTTTGAACCCGCATACTTTGCACCGATGTATATAGTTTTTTTAAACGGTAAGACCTACGAGTTGGCCTTATTTTCATATTTACCCTGTTTATTGCACCGATAACACTATGCATGTATACTTTATAAATTGTGGTTTCTTCCCAGAAGTCAGTGGTCCGTGGTACTCTTCTGGCTGTCGACGCCATGAGTGCCGGAGGGAGAGGTGGACTCGTGGTCAACATGGCGTCTATGTCAGGTATCATTTGTTTGTTGTTTAACGCCGCACTCAGCAATATTCCAGCCATATGACGGCGGTCTGTAAATAATCGAGTCTGGACCAGACAATCCAGTGATTGACATCATGAGCATCGATCCACGGAATTGGGAAACGATGACATGCATCAACCAAGTCAGTGAGCCTGACTACCCGATCCCATTAGTCGCCTCTTACGACAAGCATAGTCACCTTTTGCGGCAAGCATGGGTTGTGGAAGACCTAGTATACCCCGGATCTTCACGGGTCTGTCAGGTATTAAACGTACTAGTATTCATTTCTGTAACCTGCTGGTCTTTCATTAATCGCATAAATTCAAGTTATATTTGAAATGTTCAAACTCTTACACTTGTGTGTCATTTTCAGGGCTGATGGCCACGTACCATCTGCCGGTATACGGGGCTTCTAAGCAGGCTGTCATTTCATTCACCCAGAGTTGTGCTGTGAGTGTATTTCCTTCCCCATTCTCCTGTTGTTCATATGTATCTGATAAGTAGAGGTATTTATGAGGGCATTATCTTATGGTTTCTAATTTTTCCGTTGACAGGACAACCCGCACTATAAACGAGCTAACCTAAGTTTTGCTTGTGTGTGTCCCGCCTTCTCAGATACCGCCATCTTGCCTCAAAGTGACCTTGACCCACGCTTCCCCTATCCAAAAAAGGAAGCGCAGGCCCAATTTGACATGTTTGGGATCATGAAGTAAGTATACAACCTTTCAAAACAAATAGAAAGACGTCAAATGTCTGTAGACGATAATTAATAATATTCGCGGCTTATAGTTCATATCGGAGAAGTCAAACGTCACGTGGCCAGGTTAATTCGGTGGTTAACTGACACCCGTTATCATTCATATTGACGTGTTCATTATGATATTATACATTAGTTATGTTATATCTGTCAAGTGCCACCATATATGCTTTAGTATCTATCAGGCTGCGGCAAACATGAATCGATGTTGTGGTATCTGAAAGTGGGTATACTATGAATTCATGCTGTGATATACAAGACGACAAACCATGAATCGACATTGTGGTATCTGAAAGTGAGCATACTATGAAATGATGCTGTGATATACAATATGACATATCTTGAATTTGACCCGTGAAGATCCGGGGTAGAATACGTCCTCAGCAACCCATGCTTGCCGTAAAAGGCGAATATGCTTGTCGAAAGAGGCGACTAACGGGATCGGGTGGTCAGGCTCGTTGACTTGGTTGAGGCATGTCATCGTATCCCAATTGCGTGGACCGATGCTCATGATATCAATCACTGGATTGTCTGGTCCAGACTCGATAATTTACAGACCGCCGTCATATGGCTGGAATATTGCTGAGTGCGGCGTTAAACAACAAACAATTGATGAATTGCTGTTGTGCTATCTGAAAGTGGGCATACTGTGAAATGCTGCTGTTATATATACAATAAGTCATACCATGAATTGATGTGCTATCTGAAAGTGGGCATACTGTGAAATGATGCTGTTATATATACAATAAGTCATACCATGAATTGATGTGCTATCTGAAAGTGGGCATACTGTGAAATGATGCTGTTATATATACAATAAGTCATACCATGAATTGATGTGCTATCTGAAAGTGGGCATACTATGAAATGATGCTGTTATATATACAATAAGTCATACCATGAATTGATGTGCTATCTGAAAGTGGGCATACTGTGAAATGATGCTGTTATATATACAATAAGTCATACCATGAATTGATGTGCTATCTGAAAGTGGGCATACTATGAAATGATGCCGTTATATATACAATAAGTCATACCATGAATTGATGTGCTATCTGAAAGTGGGCATACTGTGAAATGCTGCTGTTATATATACAATAAGTCATACCATGATTTGATGTGCTATCTGAAAGTGGGCATACTGTGAAATGATGCTGTTATATATACAATAAGTCATATCATGAATTGATGTGCTATCTGAAAGTGGGCATACTATGAAATGATGCTGTTATATATACAATAAGTCATACCATGAATTGATGTGCTATCAGAATGTGGGCATACTGTGAAATGATGCTGTTTTATATACAATAAGTCATACCATGAATTGATGTGCTATCAGAAAGTGGGCATACTGTGAAATGATGCTGTTATATATACAATAAGTCATACCATGAATTGATGTGCTATCTGAAAGTGGGCATACTATGAAATGATGCTGTTATATATACAATAAGTCATACCATGAATTGATGTGCTATCTGAAAGTGGGCATACTATGAAATGATGCTGTTATATATACAATAAGTCATACCATGAATTGATGTGCTATCTGAAAGTGGGCATACTATGAAATGATGCTGTTGAGTCATACCATGAATTGATGTTGTTATCTGCAACACGTCATACTTCTTATAGATGCTGTGGTTGATTCAAAATGTCATCACTTCTAGGCTAAGAATCGGACATGATGTTTCCACGTTTCTGTTCTACACGATCCATGTGCATCATGGTAGTCTCCTCTCTGCTTCTCGTAAACCCTCCTTATGTTTGGGCGATACATTCAATCGGAATGAATCACGGGATTTGAAGGTGCAGTCTAATTTAATAGTATTGATGGCTGAACCTTTTTTCATGTTTGTTGAAAGCCCGAGTAAAGTGGGAGAAGCGTTCTTGGAGCTGCTGCGAGAGGAATCTCCAAATGGCGCTATCGTCACCGTCAGCGAGAAGTTCGGCACCAAAGTAAAGAAATGGAGACGTTAAATAAGAGCGTTAGCTCTGCATCTGTTCGAGCTGGTTGCCAGATCATGCGAAGATATAACACTTCATACCCCAAGACGAAAAACGTGGATAAAATATCGGTTCATATGTTGTTTCTCTGATTATATTCAATGTTTTGTTTGTTGTTTAACGCCACACTTAACAATATTTCGACTGACGGCGGCCTGTAAATAACTAGTAATTGAATCTGGACCAGAAAAATCAAACCATTGATTGATATCACGAGCAACAATCCACGCCTTCGGGGGTACGTTCACAAACTGCCAACCAAGTTACAGAGCCTGACCATCTGATCCAGTAAGTCGATTTGTTCGAGCAGCATAGATTGTCGGGTGAACAAGGCTAACACGGCATAACCCGAAACAGTTCATGTAACTCACTTTCTTTCTTTGTTGTTTAACGCCGCACTCAAAAATATTCCAGTTATATGACGGCGGTCTGTAAATAATCGAGGACCAGACAATCCAGTGATTGACATCATAAGCATCAATCTACCCATACTTGGGATACGATGACATGCATCAACCAAGCCACTCGATCCCGTTAGTTGCTTCTTATGACTTCGTTATTTTCATTCATTAAAAAAACATATTTTAGCTCATTTTAAACGAATGGTGTTCTCAGCCAAAATTCCCTCCCGAAGGCCAAATGGTTGCTCCCTTTTCCAAGATACATGGTAGCGCTCGGGTACAGTGGCCGGGTGCTGTTATCGACTGTACAATAAACCGCAACTACCCTATTTCCTCTATTAGACGCTGTGTCTGCATTACACTCTGGTCTGTAATTGGCCAAAATCTAGAAGCCGGGCCTCTAATACTGTGATTAATTTTGTTGGTGATTAATGATTACCCTTTTCTGAAAGTGTGCCCTTTAAATGACTAGAATTTGGAAATCGATAGGGTAGTGAGTTGCCACTGTTCTAGCATTAAACACAAGAGACGCCGTGCCTCCAGTACATGGGTGAACAGCTTGTGCCAAATTAATATACTTCTGAGCGCCTAATAGAGGAAGTACGATGTGCAGTCAGCCAACGTTATCTGGATTCTTTCGACATATTTAAACACGTAAAGTGACCCACAACAGTGATAGTCAAAGTAAGAAGATAGTACATTCCTTAAAAACTGCAACCCTGCCCGAGTTTCGTGTACAATAATAAGGTGTCAGTTACTACCTCAGATAATGTAGGTGAATAATTATATGCAACCAACGATTTTGATAAATATATCAGTGTTTGTATTTGCAACTCAAAATTGCCATATTGTGTTAGAGTAGTGATTCAAAAGAGAAGTGTAACAGATCACATTCAAAACCCAATGTTGCTTGATGACTGATTTATATGGACATACCTGACACTGGCTTGTCAAGGGTAGTATAGAAACAGGCTACATTGAAGGACAAATATAATGAGAAACATACCACTGGAAATAGTGGGCTTCCAAACCTGGAAAATACATTAAGAAAGGAATCCAACTCAAGTTTAAAATGATTTGGCAAGTCTGAAAGTAAGCATTGTTCTGGTCTCTATTGGATTTTATTATAAATTTTGTAGATATATATTTTAAAATAACACAACATTATTTCTGGAACCAAATGTTAGTCTACATTGTAATGTCATAGCGAGGATACGGCCGTTTGGAAAAGTGCTTGTTGGATGATCTTAACATACACAAATACCAGCACATAATTCAGGAATTTATTTACAGTAAACTACGTTTATAACGAACACTCTTATAATATAACGAACTTACCGATATAACGAACCTTTGTATTTAGTACCGGTCATTTGTTGTATATATGCTGTATATATGCTTATAACGAACTACGGTTATTACGAACTAACATTAGTAGCACCATTGAGTTCGTTATAACCGTAGTTTACTGTACATTTGTTTGCCAACAATAATTCAATTCAAATATTCAAATCCTGTTGAAAACACGTCACTCAATAACTTAATCATGTGTGTTGTTGATGATCAGTATGCTTCAAACGGGGAAATAATGTGTTAACTTTGAACTACTTCTGCATTGTACAAGTGCACATATTGCTGCTGTTTACAAATAAAGAGAAACACTTAAGAAATACATAACAATGTCCGATTGGCTTTATTTCACTCACATACATGTACACTGGTTTTCGTATCATTGTCGTGTCTTTGTTGGTGGGTTAACCTCACAGCACTATGCAGAAGGACATATAGCGCTGTGTGGAACAAAATAATTTCTTGTACTCCCTTAACAAGAACAGTGTTAAGCACATCCATCTACATGCATTGTATATACCGGTAAATAAAGACAAAACACAGTTGCAAACATCAGGGAGTGTATATAACATGTATATAGAGTCCCAACTTCCCGAGGCAAGGGAGTTAACTGACTATGAAAGTTCAGTTTCCACCCTTGCCGAACTAGACTGGAATTATGGAGTTATATTTTTGGTTTGACTAGCGAGTCTATGTACAATCCAATCAAAATCGTGTAAACGAAATCGACATCCGGTTCGTAAACCGCTGTGCAGGTTTTGGTCGATTGCAGGATTTGCAAAGCATTGTACTGCCAATTCGGTGTCCACAGATACTTTCCAAATCTTTTCATGTTTTCAGTCAAGGTGCTCACGTGATTTGATGCTCTTCGCAAAAGTAAGACCCGTTTTATCACAATATACAGAAATAGCGATCAGTTCGTCTTCACATGGTACCGCCATTTTGTTTGAAGCAAATGCAAGTGATATATGGGCAGTAGAATCTGATTGGTCAATAGGAGGGACATAGAATGGACACAACTCGTAAGAGCCATTAGTGGTGGTACGATCTAGACCAGAAATTTCAGCCTTGTTCGACAAGGGTGGAAACTGGACTTTTAAAGTCAGTTAACTCCCTTGCTTCGGGAAGATGATAGACTCCCTGCATACATGAAGGTAAGATGAAGCAGCAGATCGATGACTAAGATCCACAAGAAGGTACACTGCATCATGTAGGGCCACGCCCCTTACACAGTGCAGTGTGAGGCTAGATTACCCAGTCATGCAAGGTCAGGTTTGAAAGAGCCATTCACTAGCAATATCAGACAGTAAGGCCTTTTATCTTTTATGAGTGGCTTTACAAAACTGACCGACATAAAAATGAAATAAGAACATAAATAAAAAGACTATTGACAAATATGTCAACTCTGTTTCACAATTAGATGTGGTTCCATAACAATATAAGCAAAATATATAATTTATAGCTGTTAAAGTGACAAATATAAAGTCATTTGGAAGTTGAATTCGTTTTCCTCTTACCACCTACATTGAATTTTGGGTCAAGTTTTTGTGAGCTTCTATATACATACATTTGATATTTAACAACAGATACCTGTGCTATACCACAGTCAAAACAACTGACTAACAATTCTAAATCACTGTTGCCCTATGTTTTAATTAATAAATGATCTTGATATATGATAGTACTGATGAAGGTATGCATAATTCATCACCATCGACAAGTTTTACGCCGCTTTTAGCAGTATTCCAACAATATCACGGCGGGGGACACCAGAAATGGGCTTCACACATTGTACCCATTGGGAATCAAACCCAGGTCTTCGGCGCGACGAGTGAACCACTCTAACCACTAGGCTACCCGACCGCAACCCCCCCTCGACAAAGAGCTTTTTCTCCTTTATTAAGAAATCTGTTCCTGACTGTTTTTTGCAGTGTTTTGTAATGTGACCTCTAGTGACCCTGACACTGAGGATGAGGTAGGTAGAATCCCATGAAATGGAGCCCCATCCCCTAAAACATGTGCCTTTGATCATACACAATTTATTTCATAATCAGTGACCTTGACCGTCGATGTCAGTTCCAGAAACATTTCCTAGGTTTAGTTACAATGATGTAGAAGTACACAGAATGAAGTCTCGAACATATACAGCATGCATACATAGTGATAAGGTCATTATTTGTTTTTATTTGCTGGATCACAGATTTTCTTTGTCAAAGTCAGAAGTCAAAGGGGAGAATATATTTTTTTAGAAAAGCTGACATCAGCCTTATTTTTATAAACTGAAACACAGAAAGTTTTTACAAATATAACCTTTAAGAAGGAGAAAAAAAGAAGAAAAATGAATTCGCCATTGGCATCTTTAATGCCATTGTCTACAGGAAGCTTTGTTTTTTTGTAGTTTTTTCTCAGAAGTCAAAGTGAGTTAATTTCAGCAACGTTTGAAGGATAAGGGACATTACGTTGGATTCATCATGCAAGGAATTTAGCAATGACTCATCAAAATAACAAATTGGGGAAAATTGTATGTCAAATTGAGCATCCTCATAGATGATTTTTTTAAAACATTGAGTAATCTCAAAAGAAAACGGCGTGAAAGATGCGTTAGGTGGGTAAAGGAGCGTAAATTTGGATGATATCTTTCTTCCAATTTGGATGAAAATTGGGTCAGCTGATCCGTGATCCATCAAATAAAAAAATAACGGCCTAATGTGGTTCAAGAGAACAAAACTTGGTTACAATCAGTGGAAAACACAGTAAGCAGCTACTTTTCAGAGGGGCCACTTAATATTATTACCAAACTCTGTTCATACAGTCTGAATACATGTCAGTAACAATACAGTTAAAGGAACATGATCACTAAACAGTGGAATGAAGTCACACGGGTTGGCAGACAGTCTAACTGTCTTGTCCAATGTACCTGGGTTGAAAATACAGATAACACTAATTTGGTGTAAATAATCTCATGCAGATACACATCAATAATATGAAAAGCTCTCTAATATTTAAGCAAAATTAACAGCTGTACAAGGGTACCATGAAACACCAAAGAGTGTCTCTTCCAGACACCAAACTCTCCAAGCTTCGAAAACAATACACTGAAGATAAAACTGGCACTAAGCAAATGATGATTAAAGAATGACATAATTATAGAAGTTCATGTAAAACAGGTATTTGTGCAAGATAAATAATAGAATCTTTCACACATAAAAATATTTCATTCAGTTGAAATCCAGCGCCTCCCACAGTGTATAAAAAGCCTGTATAACATGGTGGCACAGTACCTGCTGTGCTAACACTCGCAGAAACAGTGGCTACAGTTTACAGGGGATGCTCACTGGTGTATAAACCCTGCATCATGTTGTGTCTGCAATGCCAACATTCACAGAATCGTCACAATCAGGTTCTCACTTCTCAAATCCTCAGATAACAAACAGTCCATGCCTTCATATAAATGAAATCTCACTTCCAAGGGAGATCACTCTAAAACGACCTTTATCATTTGAGGGCATCATTTTAGATTTGCACTGCCAACATTTAAACAATGTGATTGCCTCTTAAACAATACCAAATGAATCTGCAGCCCAATGAAATAACACCTATTTCAGAAACATTCATATACAACATTGACAGTCTAAGGAACAGGGCCCCATTCAACAAAGCGATCGTAGAGCTACGACTGTCGTAAGTCTATGCTAAAGAATGGGAGTAACGATGATCTTAGCGCTATGATCGCTTTGTGGAACGGGGCCCAGGTTCCTATTTAACTGGTTGATTCACCAAATTTGGTTCCAGTTGAGAAAAATCATAGACATTTGAGATTCAATCAATCCAAATGTGTAGAATAGGCTTGGTAGAGCAAGCAATACAAATAATAAAGTAAGCCATCATCTAAATATTGATCTGCATCTGCTAATTGGATATTAGGGCATTGGCTTATTTACAAAGATTCATAATACAGTTGATTGACATAGGATGTAAATAAATACATTTATGGTGTGGAAAGCTGCCAGCAGCCATATTCTACATGTATTTTGGTAAAGGTGACTTGAATACTTGAAACAATCTAAACCTGAAAATAATCCCATTCATATATTTCAGTCCTGCAGACCTTTTGGTGTTTTTTTAATTTCCGATATAGTCGCCTGGGTCAGACTTGAAACTCTGACAAAATCCATTACGCGGGGAAATGTACAAACTGCTGCACCTTCCACAACTAAATCTTCCTACCTTTTTGGTACGGATACAAGAAACAAACTGTCTTTACTCAAGTTAATTATACCTCATTGCAAAAACAGAAACTCAAGTAAAGCACTATTGTGTTGTACTATGATTTCTAATTACCGAAATAAGTAATAGGCGCCCAGGGTGCTCTCAAAAATTAGAAATAGGGGGCTCTTATTAGAATATTATTTTGGTGGAAAAAATAAAGTTGAAAGTTTGTAAATTTCATGGTTTATGCTGACAGCCTGAAATGTTTATATACGACAGATATATTTTTCCAGGATTTAATTGCCCATAATTAAGGGTGCATAAAACACACGAGTGCATATTATACATGAATTGATAAGTCTTGTGTACATTGATCAATCGGAAGGGATGCTAATTGAGATTGTTCACTAGCCAAAATATTAGCAAATATTGCTGTGAGTGCTTATTGGAGCGGGATGCTTATTACGTCAAATATGGTAAGGCTTAAAAAAATTAATGAATTGGTTCTCGGGCAATGGCTTTTGAAAATATAGTGCGAGCGGGCGGCGTCTTTTTTTGTTTTTGTTCACACTAGTAATCAACCTAGGAAAGGTAACAACCCCTTGTTGTAGATTGTTATGGGTGCGATACGGCATCAACAAAAGTATACTCCAACTGTGCACATATGCCACAGCACTGAACATATGTCTTACAACCCTGCACATGTTGTGCAGATGCCAACTTTTCCTTGTGTGAGTGCAGGAGCAGAACTGTTTAACACTCCATGAGATCATAACACACATGTCCCACATCACAGATACACAGCCCAAGTGGATGGGAGTATACTGGTGATGAGGCTCTACACACATGTCGACCTTGTCCTAGAGTCGTATCAGAACCAGTGCAGGAGCAGAACTGTCTAATACTCCAAGAGATCATAACACACATGTCCCATCTCACAGATACACAGGCCAAGTGGATGGGAGTATACTGGTGATGAGGCTCTACACACATGTCGACCTTGTCCTAGAGTCGTATCAGAACCAGTGCAGGAGCAGAACTGTCTAATACTCCAAGAGATCATAACACACACGTCCCATCTCACAGATACACAGGCCAAGTGGATGGGAGTATACCGGTGATGAGGCTCTACACACATGTCGACCTTGTCCTAGAGTCGTATCAGAACCAGTGCAGGAGCAGAACTGTCTAATACTCCAAGAGATCATAACACACACGTCCCATCTCACAGATACACAGGCCAAGTGGATGGGAGTATACCGGTGATGAGGATAACACACAGTTCACCTTGTGCTAGAGTTGCCTCGCCAGCACTCACCATCACTTGTCACTGGGGAACTCACACTCCAGTCCCTTCTGATAAACCTTCTTGATTATAAAAACTAAAATGTAATAAGCATACACAAAGAACAAATGAAGTTAATTATTTTGCCAGCCATGCCTGCCATCCAGCAATGTTACCGACATGGCCGCCGTCTTGGACATCTTCGATTGTCACGGTCATCTTGAGGTTGTGAGCTAGTGCTACAGAGAGTGCTCACACAGGACAGGTCTTCTTTGACACAGACAACAACCGACAAACTCTGTCATCATAGTAAACCCATCCAGGTGACTCAGATCCGGCATCAACAACACAAGCAAGCATATCACAGACATCTTTTTTCTAGGTACAAGATGACACAATGGAAGTGGCTAAATGATTGTCTGGCATCCTGGAGATGGTTAGCTGACAGATAACAAATACTTTGTTCGAACTGTATACCTGATTGAGTCCAAGGAACGACATTACCCCTTCAGCAGACGGTATGTTATGACACTGCTTGCTGTTGTTGCCGCTGCTGCAAACAACCCTGCACCCACTCCGCAATCATCACGGTATTACTGTCAGCATGGCGCTGCACAAACTGGTGATTCTGCAAACAAACATTTTGCTCCGTCTTATTTTCAGAAATATGAAATATCGATAACATTTAGTCCATGGATCAGATATAAACTACTCAGGATTCCGACCCAAACTTTACTCCATTATTAATAAAAAATATGGCAGAAGTAGTGGTGAGAATAAACCGAAAACCAGTTGTGTGAGTAAAAACCTGTACTATCAGGGCAAGGTGACAATCTGCAACACATACAAGGTGATGTGAAATTGGGTTTAACGTTGCATCCAAAATAATTGCACTTATATAGCAACGTGCATCCGTTAGCCCACTGAGATACCATGCAGCAGTTTAACATGAATACCCCACTCACACACAGCATACTGACTCCGAGGCGACCAGTCCCTGTTTTAGCCCCTTAATGCCGAGCGCCAGACAGGGTAGCGCCAGACAGGGTAACAACAAGTACCATATTTTAACTTCTTTTGGTATGACACAGCAGGGGATCGAACCCGAGACCTTCCACTCTCCGTGTGGATGCTCTACCACTAGACCACGGATGGGGTCGCAACAAATTCAAAGCAACTGGTATACTGCCACTGCCACTGCCACTGCCACTGCCACTGCCACATGGTGGCTTGAAGACAACCTTTACATGTGCTAGAAACAATTGGTATTTGTCTGACATTATTTCTGCAAATTCAAGTCAATAAGGATTTTTCTTTTACCTCGTCTCCATGCATATAATAAGTAGAACATGACATATATATCCTGTACATTACATGGACTATCACTTTAAGGGATAAATGGTCCTGCAATTTGGTGGGAAGAGTTGCATGCCTTCAGTGTGCCAGGATCATGTGATCATGGGTTAAAATAACAGATTGAGCTCTGGCTTGTCAGCACCATGTTCTCAGAATGGACAAATACTCACTGCAAGTTCTGATGGAGTCAGTCTGCGAGCTGGATCCCTCAACATGCTGAAGAATAAATACCATTTACAACTGACATATCAATGCTGTGTGATTACACAAAGCAATCTGAGGGCCAGTCATTGGTAGAAGGGTAGCTGGGGGAGATATGCATGGTGGGGAGTGTTGGGGCAGTGAGCTCCAGAAATGGTCACTTTATGTACGCGACTCTCACTTGATGCTAAGTCTGTTAATATCATGATTTCCACAATAGCATCCTCCCCTTTTCCTATTTACCTTCATAATATAGCATATTTTACGACCATCTCTCTGAACATGAACAGGAATTGTATGGTTGGTTGGTTTGGTTTGGTGGGCTTGTTGTTTAACGCCGCACTCAGCAATATTCCAGCTATATGACGGCGGTCTGTAAATAATCGAGTCTGGACCAGACAATCCAGTGATTGATATCATGAGTATCGATCAACGCAATTGGGATCGATGACATGCATCAACCAAGTCAGCGAGCCTGACCACCCAATCCCATTAGTCGCCTTTTACGACAAGCATAGTCACCTTTTACGGCAAGCATGGGTTGCTGAAGACCTATTCTACCCCGGAATCTTCACGGGTCGGAATTGTATGGTCATCATGTGGCTACACTGACACACAATCTTCAATGTCAGCAGGGACTTGAGGGATGGTGTGAGCGTCAATTCATATACTCCCAAGTGAGCTTATAGGTTACTATGGCTGAAGGGGCGGTTTTTTGCAGAGGTACTACAGATATGTACCCCAGGTACGTTTTTGTATACAGATATGTACCCCAGCAAAAATCTGTATACAGAAATGTAACTGAGGTACATATCTGTAGTACCTCTGCCGACAACGACCCCTTCAGCGTTACTATGGCAACTTAAATATGAGGTGGAGGGAATGTTAAGAAACTCACCAGCTTGCCACATAGCCGACAAACTCTGGACTGAAGAACTCTTGAGACAACATCAGTGGTGTCTAGAAATTTAAAACATACAGTGAATACTGGGGATTACTTACGTCTTTGATGAGACTGTTTGTTTACCAGACTACTCCTCCCTGCATGACAGTGACAAGTTAAAATATAAGTCAGACCGGGGACAATCTCATTACAGTCAGATCTTAGTTCTTGCTACCGCTTAACCAAGTCCTGACGACTTATGTCAGAACGACCTTTCATCTGACCAATCAGAGCATCGCTTATCAAATCATGAAAGTGACGGTTGGAATGTAATTTTTGATCGTGTAACCTCGACAAAAACATACAGGGTACTCCGAACGGGAGTTATGGGCTTTATGTCTGTATTCATACAATCAAGACCATCTACATCTACGGCTGTATTAGCCATTCCAAAATGTTCTTTTGTTCAGTTTTTAATTTTTTAATCGAGTGTATGTCAAAATATGTTTCGAAGCCTAGTTGTCAGTTTGAAACTCGTGACATAAAGCTTGATTAAGTTGCCTTCTGATTGGCTATTGTCGACTTCTTGTTAGTCATTCCATTGGTCGGTCAAAGTTCGCGAAAGGTCGGTCAAAGTTCGCGAAAAGTTGGTCAAAGTTTGTGAAAGGTCGGTCTGACATGACCCGTAATGGGATGTCCTCAGATCTTTTTTTAGCGGTAGTGAGAACTAAGATCTGATTTTAATGAGATTGGACCGGGGATCTTAGTGATCAGGCGTCGAGCAACCACAGATACTCTACTCTACCTGGACACCGTCTCAGTTAGCATCTCTCTCAGCCAGGTGATGCAAAGACCCAGCAACTAACGATACAGTCTCAGTTACAGTCAGATAGCAGATGCAGATATATTACGTCAGCAACAGAACCTGTCTCTTATCATTAATAAACACCTTGAGGCACATGGACTAAGACTCACCTCCTCAATAATACACTGCATCAGTTCAAAGGGCTGAAAAACACAGTATAGTGGTATAAGAAAAGAGAACATCGTTAGTGGAATTCAGTTGGTTGGTTGGTTTGTTTGTTGTTTAACACCACACTCAGCAATATTCCAGCTATATGAATTGTGGTCTGTAAATAATCGAGTCTGGACCAGACAATCCAGTGATTGATTTTATGAGCATCGATCCACGTAATTGGGATCGATGATCAACCAAGTCGGCGAGTCTGACCACCCGATCCTGTTAGTCGCCTCGCATAGTTACGACAAGCATAGTTGCCTTTTACGGCAAGCATGGGTTGTTGAAGACCTATTCTACCCCGGATCTTCGCGGGTCAGTGGAATTCAGAAGTTGGCTGTAAGGTTATCTTTCCTAATGATCACTTTATGTTCTCCCTGTTGAAGTTGTCCGCCATAAGTTTTGGTCTTCCTGACACTACACACAGAAAAATCGGATGGATAACAGCCTGTATTTCAACACCTTTAAACCAAACATAGACACCATACATTTGTTTGTTTGTTGTTTAACGCAGCACTCAGCAATATTTCAGCTATATGATGGCGGTCTGCAAATAATCAAGTCTGGACCTGACAATCCAGTGACTGACATCATGAGCATCAATCCACGCAACTGGGATACAATATATCAACCAAGTCAGCGAGCCTGACCACCCGATCCCGTTAGTTGCGAGCTTTTACGGCAAGCATGCGCTATTGAAGACCTATTCTACCCCGGATCTTCACGGGTCTAGACACCATACATATGAGAAGCCTTAGAGCTAGCCATCATACAGACAACTGACAATACTGCCTTCGTGTATTTATATAGCCTTTATGCCACAGTTTGTTTGTTTCTTATTTAGTGCTGTGCTTCAATATTTCAGCTATATGAAACCAGTCTGGACCACACAATCAAGTGATTGATATTATGAGCAATCACCCACATGCAATCAGGTAAGTCATTGAGTCTGACTCCCCGATTTATTCCTTTGCATCATAGGACAAGCATAGGTTGCTAGGGAGGAACCAAAACCCCACAAGGCCTCCGAGACTAGTAGTCAGTATTATGCAGATTGGCGGCTGAGCTGGAAACCACGAAGTTACTTACCTTCATATCTGGATTAAACTGAAAACAAAACATACAAATTATACAGTAAAACCATAAAGATGACAAAACTACAGAGGCAAATAAATCATACTGTCATACTGTGTAGATAAGTCATTAGCAAAACTGGTACACAAACATCATGGCTAAACAGTACAGGTGCTTAGCAATACATAGTGAGTGAGTATGGTTTTACGCCGATTTTAACAATATTGCAGCAATATCACGGCAGGGGACACAAGAAATGGGCTTCAAACATTGTACCCATGTCGGGAATCGAACCAAGATCTTCGGCGTGACGAGCGAACGATTTAACCACTAGGCTACCCGACCACCCATTTTAGCAATACATAACTGTAAGGTAAACTATATACTATAACTATGCACAGATATACTACACAAGTGAACATCTTTGACAACACTCACTATGGAATCTGAAGAGAATTGTTTGAACTGTAAAGGTATAAGGCAGGTATGTATAGTGCAGTGACTTGCTGAGTTAGATCTCTATATTTCCTTGATAACAGACAATGTATCGTTTTCACAGGTTATGTTTGTCAATGCCAAGCATAGCTGTACTATTCCTCCACAAGCATCACAACACTTACCGACTGAAAGGGTATTTTTCTTGTGGCCAGCTGAAATGGAAATCAGATGGAATCAGTGTACGTGAGTCTGGTTGACTGACTCAGACTGGATCGTTCATCACACAAACCAAACATTCCTCAGAACCACATTATGTTCCCGCACACACATATATTTATCAGAGGGAACCGGGAAACAACAAAACTAAAAACTGACAAAATATATCTAGGAACTCTGAAAGAGTAAACTTTTAAAAAATATTAAGTAAAACTGCTTAAACCAATACCTTGGGTGAAAGTGAAGTGAGGTGAAATGGGGTTTAACTTATATATAGCGATGTGCATGCACGTGTGTGAGTGTGAGTGTGTGTATGTGTGTGTGTTAGTGTTAGTGTGTGTGTTAGTGTTAGTGTGTGTGTGTGTGTGTGTGTGGCTGCTTGTACTAGTCCAGACTTATGCTGATTTATAGTGCTAGCCCACTGAGATATTTTATGCTGCAGTTTAACATGAATACCCCACTCAGACACAGTATACTGACTCTGAGGCGGTCCAGGTGAAAGTGAGGATTTTGCTGGCCGTAACAGCACAATAGCAAACAGCAACCAGATATGTAATGACAGATTTCCTAAATGCTTTTCTAAATGATCGTTAGTCTTGTGCATCTCACCCACCTCAAACAGGGTGATGCCCAGACTCCACACCTCTGCCGGGATCCCGTAGTGGCTCCCTTGGAGCCTCTCCGGCTGAAACAGGAGGGTAACCATGGCAACTACATACACCAGTATACACACAAGTACAGTGTTAAACTGTCCTGGACACATCTACAACCTTCACTGCAATAGTTTTTAATCAAGTGGTGTATGTGTGTCCTTGTGCAACCTTGCAAAGATGCTGTAAAAACAGGAAATTTTGTGTTCGTATTTTCATAAGTAATACAACTGCTTGCTATTATCAGATTTTATAAAACAGTTAGTTTCTTTGTTCAAGCATATCAGTGCAGGTGAATTTTCACATATCAAAATATCAAAATGCTCACACAGTCCTCATGTGCTAAAAAGGAAATACTGCTAAGCATAAAATATGAACTTCTTATTGTAAGTTAGAACTCGCAACAGAATACAGAATTATCCCTAGCGCCACTAGGTTTTACAGTACATTTTTTTCAAATATAATAGCTTTGAGATGGTCCCCAAAGATTTCTCGTACAACACAAATTCCATGAAAAGAGAAGAAAGAAGAATAAAAATAAATGTTCCACCATCCACTGACTGATCTTGAAACGTAAAGTTTACAATATTAAATTATTTACTGCCAAAGTGACAAAATTTATGGCCCTAAATGTACAGCCCACCAACTACCCCTAACAGTACCCTTTGTGTAGGTACTTACAGCCTTGTACAGCCCGACGACTACCCCTATCAGTACCCTTTGTGTAGGTACTAACAGCCATGAACAGCCCACCGAGTACCCCTTTCTGTACCCTTTGTGTAGGTACTTACAGCCTTGTACAGCCCACCGACTACCCCTATCAGGTCCTATGTGTAGGTACTTACAGCCTTGTACAGCCCACCGACTACCCCTATCAGGTCCTATGTGTAGGTACTTACAGCCTTGTACAGCCCACCGACTACCCCTTTCAGGTCCTATGTGTAGGTACTTACAGCCTTGTACAGCCCACCGACTACCCCTATTAGCACCCTATGTGTAGGTACTTACAGCCTTGTACAGCCCACCGACTACCCCTTTCAGGTCCTATGTGTAGGTACTTACAGCCTTGTACAGCCCACCGACTACCCCTATTAGCACCCTATGTGTAGGTACTTACAGCCATGTACAGCCCACCAACTACCCCTTTCTGTACCCTATGTGTAGGTACTTACAGCCTTATACAGCCCACCGACTACCCCTATCAGCACCCTATGTGTAGGTACTTACAGCCTTGTACAGCTCACCAACTACCCCTTTCTGTACCCTATGTGTAGGTACTTACAGCCTTGTACAGCCCACCAACTACCCCTATCAGGTCCCTATGTGTAGGTACTTACAGCCATGTACAGCCCACCGACTACCCCTATCAGGTCCCTATGTGTAGGTACTTACAGCCATGTACAGCCCACCAACTACCCCTTTCTGTACCCTATGTGTAGGTACTTACAGCCTTGTACAGCCCACCGACTACCCCTATCAGCACCCTATGTGTAGGTACTTACAGCCATGTACAGCCCACCAACTACCCCTTTCTGTACCCTATGTGTAGGTACTTACAGCCATGTACAGCCCACCGACTACCCCTATCAGCACCCTATATGTAGTACTTACAGCCTTGTACAGCCCACCAACTACCCCTTTCTGTACCCTATGTGTAGGTACTTACAGCCATGTACAGCCCACCGACTACCCCTATCAGGTGCCTATGTGTAGGTACTTACAGCCATGTACAGCCCACCAACTACCCCTTTCTGTACCCTGTGTGTAGGTACTTACAGCCATGTACAGCCCACCAACTACCCCTTTCTGTACCCTATGTGTAGGTACTTACAGCCATGTACAGCCCACCAACTACCCCTTTCTGTACCCTATGTGTAGGTACTTACAGCCATGTACAGCCCACCAACTACCCCTTTCTGTACCCTATGTGTAGGTACTTACAGCCATGTACAGCCCACCAACTACCCCTTTCTGTACCCTATGTGTAGGTACTTACAGCCTTGTACAGCCTGACGACTACCCCTATCAGGTCCCTATGTGTAGGTACTTACAGCCTTGTACAGCCCACCAACTACCCCTTTCTGTACCCTTTGTGTAGGTACTTACAGCCTTGTACAGCCTGACGACTACCCCTATCAGGTCCCTATGTGTAGGTACTTACAGCCTTGTACAGCCCACCAACTACCCCTATTAGCACCCTATGTGTAGGTACTTACAGCCATGTACAGCCCACCGACTACCCCTATCAGGTCCCTATGTGTAGGTACTTACAGCCATGTACAGCCCACCAACTACCCCTTTCTGTACCCTATGTGTAGGTACTTACAGCCTTGTACAGCCCACCAACTACCCCTTTATGTACCCTATGTGTAGGTACTTACAGCCATGTACAGCCCACCAACTACCCCTTTCTGTACCCTGTGTGTAGGTGCTCACAGCTATGTACAGCCTGACGACTACCCCTATCAGGTCCCTATGTGTAGGTACTTACAGCCTTGTACAGCCCACCGACTACCCCTATCAGGTCCCTATGTGTAGGTACTTACAGCCATGTACAGCCCACCAACTACCCCTTTCTGTACCCTTTGTGTAGGTACTTACAGCCTTGTACAGCCTGACGACTACCCCTATCAGGTCCCTATGTGTAGGTACTTACAGCCTTGTGCAGCCCACCAACTACCCCTATTAGCACCCTATGTGTAGGTACTTACAGCCATGTACAGCCCACCGACTACCCCTATCAGGTCCCTATGTGTAGGTACTTACAGCCATGTACAGCTCACCGACTACCCCTATCAGCACCCTATGTGTAGGTACTTACAGCCATGTACAGCTCACCAACTGACCCTTTCTGTACCCTGTGTGTAGGTACTTACAGCCATGTACAGCCCACCAACTACCCCTTTCTGTACCCTGTGTGTAGGTACTTACAGCCCTGTACAGCCCACCAACTACTCCTATCAGCACCCTTTGTGTAGGTACTTACAGCCATGTTCAGCTCACCAACTGACCCTTTCTGTACCCTGTGTGTAGGTACTTACAGCCATGTACAGCTCACCAACTGACCCTTTCTGTACCCTGTGTGTAGGTACTTACAGCCATGTACAGCCCACCAACTACTCCTATCAGCACCCTTTGTGTAGGTAATTACAGCCTTGTACAGCTCACCAACTGACCCTTTCTGTACCCTGTGTGTAGGTACTTACAGCCATGTACAGCCCACCAACTACTCCTATCAGCACCCTTTGTGTAGGTACTTACAGCCATGTACAGCTCACCAACTGACCCTTTCTGTACCCTATGTGTAGGTACTTACAGCCTTGTACAGCTCACCAACTGACCCTTTCTGTACCCTATGTGTAGGTACTTACCGCCATGTACAGCCCACCGACTACCCCTATCAGCACCCTATGTGTAGGTACTTACAGCCTTGTACAGCCCACCGACTACCCCTATCAGGTCCCTATGTGTAGGTACTTACAGCCATGTACAGCCCACCGACTACCCCTATCAGGTCCCTATGTGTAGGTACTTACAGCCATGTACAGCCCGACGACTACCCCTATCAGGTCCCTATGTGTAGGTACTTACAGCCATGTACAGCCCACCAACTACCCCTATCAGGTCCCTATGTGTAGGTACTTACAGCCTTGTACAGCCCGACGACTACCCCTATCAGGTCCCTATGTGTAGGTACTTACAGCTACATACAGCCCACTGACTACCCCTACCTGTACCCTTTGTGTAGGTACTTACAGCCATGTACAGCCCACCGACTACCCCTATCAGGTCCCTATGTGTAGGTAATTACAGCCTTGTACAGCCCGACGACTACCCCTATCAGGTCCCTATGTGTAGGTACTTACAGCCATGTACAGCCCACCGACTACCCCTATCAGCACCCTATGTGTAGGTACTTACAGCCTTGTACAGCCCACCAACTACTCCTATCAGTACCCTATGTGTAGGTACTTACAGCCTTGTACAGCCCACCGACTACCCCTATCAGTACCCTATGTGTAGGTACTAACAGCCATGTACAGCCCACCGACTACCCCTATCAGTACCCTTTGTGTAGGTACTTACAGCCATGTACAGCCCACCGACTACCCCTATCAGCACCCTATGTGTAGGTAATTACAGCCTTGTACAGCCCGACGACTACCCCTATCAGGTCCCTATGTGTAGGTACTTACAGCCATGTACAGCCCACCGACTACCCCTATCAGTACCCTTTGTGTAGGTACTAACAGCCATGAACAGCCCACCGAGTACCCCTTTCTGTACCCTTTGTGTAGGTACTTACAGCCTTGTACAGCCCACCGACTACCCCTATCAGGTCCCTATGTGTAGGTACTTACAGCCATGTACAGCCCACCGACTACCCCTACCAGGTCCCTATGTGTAGGTAATTACAGCAACATACAGCCCATCAACTACCCCTATCAGGTCCCTATGTGTAGGTACTTACAGCAACATACATTCCATCGACTACCCCTATCAGGTCCCTATGTGTAGGTACTTACAGCAACATACATTCCATCGACTACCCCTTTCAGGTCCCTATGTGTTGTACTTACAGCCATGTACACGTTGGTCCCCACAAATGTCGTGGCTATCGACTTGACCAGCTGAAACATTAACATTTTACAATATACCAGTCAGTGACAAAAAAGATCATCCGAACAATTTTTAGGATGTGCTTTACATGACATACAATGTATATATTTGGCAATAAAGTTAACATCAGCAGACAGTGTGTCACTATGGTTACATAATGGAGCAACACCTTATTGCTAGGGTTACTAATTAGCAACTCAACATCATTACAGTTTCATTAACAGCAACACTGCATCACTATGGTAAATTATGTAACAGCACAGCCATGCTACGGCACCGGTGTATGAGTGTGTGTGATGCAGCAACTGACCTGTGTGCTGACCCCGAAGTCACACAGCTTGACCTCCCCCTGGGTGTTGACTAGAACATTGTTTGGCTTGATGTCTGAAACAGGGCAGCATGTTGGTTTGTTAACTTATAGAAGAACACAATCTCATTTTTCTGTTCTTTCCCCGCTGCAGCAGAAAGGGCTCCTGACTTGGGGAAATGTGCAATGCTCCAAGCATTGTTGATGTTCTTATTTATAAAATATACATTCCTCTCTACACGGACTAGTGACTTTTTCTAGGAATAGCGAAAATCAGTAGTGTCTCATTTGAGGAAAAGGAAACACAGCCAAGAATGTTAATCAATTGTAGGCATGCTACTCGTCCCCACCATCCTGCCCCGAGACCTGGAGGAGATGATGGCTTACCTCTGTGAAGGATCTTCAGGTTCCACATGTATATGAGGCCCTCGAGGATACACACCGCCATCCTGCCCAGAACCAGCTCCGGCACCGGCATGTAACGGTCCAATGACCCACCTGAAATACAGACACATACGCTGATATCGTGTGGCAACATGTTACCTACTATAGAGGCCCCACCTGAAACATGGACACACACATCGCTGTCCTACAAATATATTATATTTTGTTATTAACATTTTCAAAAGACTTAAAGATGTCGGAAATAAATAAATTAACAAATCTATGACCTAATACTGTCAGTATATTTTCGCTGAAAAATACTCACAGCATTTATTGATACCATTCTCTCCAAAAATAATACAATTCAAAGATTTCATTCTAATCTCTGGATTTGATTTAGTTATAATTTCAAAAACTCAAAACTATCCAAAAAATCTAAAATTATTGAACTGTTTCAATCACTCACTAAACAGTGAGTGTGAGTGAGTGTGTATGGTTTTATGCTGCTTTTAGCAATATTCCAACAATATTACGGCGGGGGACACCAGAAATGGGCTTCACACATTATACCCATGTTGGGAATCGAACCTGGGTCTTCGGCATGACAAGCGAACGCTTTAACCACTAGGCTACCCGACCGCCCCAGCTCACTACAAATCTAAGTTCTGGTGCTCCAGTTGACCCAGAAGGTCAACATATATAACATGAAATAATACCTTGCCTTTCTATACTGAGGAAGGTCAGACAGTGTTTCACTTGTTTAACCTTTCAATCAGAATGACCTGTAACCCTCAGGAGCTCTGTTTATTGCATGGGAAATACATCATTTAGAGCTCTCAGGCTGTCATTGAAAGACCATGCCCATCTTGAGGAATATTAACTTGCTTACCATCCATGTACTGGGTGCACATGGAGATCCGGTTCTCAACAAAGAAGGCCCCATAGAAGCCAATGATGGCTGGGGAATTGCACTGTGGAAAGAAGAAAGGGGAGTGTACAAGGTGAACTGATAGATTTCCTTTAACCTCCTGAAATGTGTAACATTCCTGGACATTTAGAAGATAAAGACTATGAAACACATCTGTGACTAGGAACATTCTGGAAAAACAATAGTGACATTTCATTGCGGACTACAACTTTTAAATAAACATTAATCATGTAATTGTCTAACTCTGGTCCCACACAAGCCAGCCACCACATCCACCCATCCCATACTGACTGATCTCTAACAACAGTCATGAATAAAACATGCGGTCCCAACCTTGTATAGGGCAACATCTAGCCATACAAAGGGGCCCCACCTTGTATAGGGCAGCCAGACCAGTTACCCCTTGGTTCCCCACCTTGAATAGGGCAGCCACCCCAGTTATTCCTAGAGTCCCTACCAGGTATAGCGCAGCCACCCCAGTAATTCCTAGGATCTCCCACCTTGTATAGGGCAGCCACCCCAGCCACCCTTTGGTTCCCCACCTTGTATAGGTCAGCCACCCCAGTAATTCCTAGGGTCCCCACCTTGTATAGGGCAGCTACCCCAGCAAGCCCTTGGTTCCCCACCTTGTATAGGTCAGCCACCCCAGTAATTCCTAGGATCCCCACCTTGTATAGGGCTGTCACCCCAGTAATTCCTAGGATCCCCACCTTGTATAGGGCTGTCACCCCCGCTACCCCTTGGTTCCCCACCTTGAATAGGGCAGCCACCCCATTATTTCCTAGGGTGCCCATCCCATATAGGGCAGGCACCCCAGCCAACAATAGGGTCCCCCACCTTGTATAGGTCAGCCATCTCAGATATTCCCACCATGTATAGGGTAACCATCCCAAGGGTTCCCAGCTTGTACAGGGCAGTCAAACTAGCCACCCCTAGGGTCCCAACCATTTACAGGCAGCAACCCCAGTCACCCCAGTCACCCCTGTGGTCCCCACCTTGTATAGGATGTCCAGCTCACATAGGATCTGCTTTTGGACTTCAGGAGAGATGTCAACCTGTATCACCTGAAAATCAGACACACATTAGCATTTTTTTATCATCATCTTTGGTGAATGAATACCTGTGGGAACAGGTGCTCTGAAGGATAAATTCTGACAAATCTGATACACATGTACTGTGACAAGGGTACCAATCAAAACTAACTTGTTGAATCAGATTTACTGGATATGGGTGCTACATCAACAAACTGTTCTTATCATAACAATAACTAGCACTATTACATTATTTTCTAAAGAGTTGAAGCATGTGTAAGATGTAAAGCCACTACCAGCAGCACCTACCTTGACAGCAATCTGTTTCCCTGAGGGCACATGTACCGACCTGAATGGAGAGACGCAATCTTTACTTGTCAACGAAATGTGATGAAGACACCAAGTGAATTCACAAGACAAGTCGGCAAATGATAACAAATAACGCATCACTGTAAACCATCAATCTATGTTTGGCACCCAGACACTAGGTGGTCTTTACAATGTGAAGATAGCCGGCACCAATACACTGGGTGGTCTGTACAATGTGACCACTGCCAGCACCAAGACACTGGGTGGTCTGTACAATGTGACCATTGCCAGCACCAAGACACTGGGTGGTCTGTACAATGTGACCATTGCCAGCACCAAGACACTGGGTGGTCTGTACAATGTGACCATTGCTGACACCAATACACTGGGTGGTCTGTACAATGTGACCATTGCCAGCACCAAGACACTGGGTGGTCTGTACAATGTGACCACTGCCAGCACCAAGACACTGGGTGGTCTGTACAATGTGACCACTGCCAGCACCATGACACTGGGTGGTCTGTACAATGTGACCATTGCCAGCACCAAGACACTGGGTGGTCTGTTCAATGTGACCATTGCCAGCACCATGACACTGGGTGGTCTGTACAATGTGACCACTGCCAGCACCATGACACTGGGTGGTCTGTTCAATGTGACCATTGCCAGCACCATGACACTAGGTGGTCTGTACAATGTGAGAATTGCCGGCACCAAGACACTGGGTGGTCTGTACAATGTGACCATTGCCAGCACCATGACACTAGGTGGTCTGTACAATGTGAGAATTGCCGGCACCATGACACTGGGTGGTCTGTTCAATGTGACCACTGCCAGCACCATGACACTGGGTGGTCTGTACAATGTGACCACTGCCAGCACCATGACACTGGGTGGTCTGTTCAATGTGACCATTGCCAGCACCATGACACTAGGTGGTCTGTACAATGTGAGAATTGCCGGCACCATGACACTGGGTGGTCTGTACAATGTGACCATTGCCAGCACCATGACACTAGGTGGTCTGTACAATGTGAGAATTGCCAGCACCAAGACACTGGGTGGTCTGTACAATGTGACCACTGCCAGCACCATGACACTGGGTGGTCTGTACAATGTGACCATTGCCAGCACCAAGACACTGGGTGGTCTGTTCAATGTGACCATTGCCAGCACCATGACACTGGGTTGTCTGTACAATGTGACCACTGCCAGCACCATGACACTGGGTGGTCTGTTCAATGTGACCACTGCCAGCACCATGACACTGGGTGGTCTGTACAATGTGAGAATTGCCAGCACCATGACACTGGGTGGTCTGTTCAATGTGACCATTGCCAGCACCATGACACTGGGTGGTCTGTTCAATGTGACCATTGCCAGCACCATGACACTGGGGGGTCTGTACAATGTGACTCTCACCTGTAAACCCTCCCTCCAGCACCAGCACCAAGACACTCAATAGTCTGTATTTGGTCTTCAGTCATGTGGCCATTGGAGAGGACATGTTGGAGGCCTGTCGGAGATATCTCAGTGGACGTGCTGGAGTCAAAGCATGACACACATTAATGACATACAACTACATGAATTTATGTTTTAATGAACCGAGTTTTGATTTTTTTGTCATAAACATTGCAGTCACATATGAGTCATCTTCCGGAGGCAAGAGAGTTAACTGACTTTAAAAGTCCAGTTTCCACCCTTGCCGAACTAGGCTGGAATTCCTGGGCTTGATCGTAGAGCCCCCTGTGGCTATTACGAGTTATGTTCCTTTAATGCCTTTCCAATTGACCAAACAGATTCCACCTCTCGTATCACTTGCATTTGCTTCAAACAAAATGACGGCACCTGGTCAATACGATCTATTCGATAATCAAGATCTATATTGTGTTAAAACGAGTCTTACATCGCGAGGTGCATCAAATAGCACTTGAGCAGCTTGATTAAAAACATGAAAAGATTCAGAAAATATTTGTTGACAACGAGTTGGCGGTGCACATGCTTTGCAAATCCTGCAATTGACTGAAATCTGCATGGCAGTTTACAAACCAGATTTTGATTTCATTGCACGGTTTTGATTGGACTATGCATAGACTTGTTAGTCCAGCCAAAATGTAACTCCATAATACCAGCCTATTTCAGCAAGGTTGGAAACTGGACTTTTATAGTCAGTTAACTCCCTGGACTTGGGAAGAGGCATATGAGTGTAAAGTGTGTTCAACATGTTCGAATCTGGAATAGGCAAACTGTGGTCATTAGAGTGAACATTCCATTTTTATTCCTGGGTATGAGGATGTTTAATGAGATGTAGGTTTCAAATGGTCACAAATTCTTGGGTTCAAATGCCACAGTGTTCCATCTAAATCAATGCCTTCATGTTACAAGCACAGAATTGCAACTGACACTGAGTCAGGTGTTCCATAGGTGTATGTGTGTAAGATTTATCCGGCAGTCATCAAAGACATATGTGATGGTGTGCAAAAGATATACCTGACAGCCATCGGAGTCACGTGTGGCACTGGTTGAATGGGTGTTGAGGTATGTGGGGTGACACTAATCGGCCCCTGGGGTGGGGTGGTAACCACCTGTACAGGTGTGTTGCTCTGAATGTCAGGGATGGGTGGAGCTTCTGGGTTGACTGGACTGGGGCTGCCTGGCGACTTGTTGAGTTGTATCTGCAGCAGTAAACACTGGGTTTCAGAGAAGACGTCAATGTGATGGCTTAATCAATCTACTGCAGACCCGTGAAGATCCGGGGTAGAATAGGTCTTCAGCAACCCATGCTTGCCGTAAAAGGTGCCTATGCTTGTTGCAAGAGGCGACTAACGGGATTGGGTGGTCAGGCTCGCTGATGCATGTCATTGTATCCCAATTGCGTGCATCGATGCTCATGATGTCAATCACTGGATTGTCTGGTCCAGACTCGATTATTTACAGACCATCGTCATCTAGCAGAAATATTGCTGAGTGCGGCATTAAACAACAAACAAACAAAAAAACAAACAAACAAAATCCTTCCTCTGCAGGTTTAAAGAAATAAGAGCTGTGCATTCCTAGAAGAGCAAAAGCACCATAAACAGAGCTGACATTACTGAAACACCTCGCTATCCTGATGATGTGTTTGTAATTAGTTTTAGACATGTGCCTTCCTCAAATATATCATACTCTTCTCATACCCATTCATATTCAGTTCATTTAATCTCTCTCGAGTTTTTCATTCAGGAACACTTGGATTAAAATCAACAGACATTTGCAAATCAATATTTTGAAATCATTTATTTTTTGTTTTCTTTGGAACTGATATCCTACCATTTTTGTTGCTTTCAGCTCAGCTATATCTCAGATCATATTATGAATCGATGTCATGGCTAATTCCTTCCTCCTCACAAACAGATCAGTTCAAACACACTCACCTTCAGGCCCAACAGATTCCTCTTCTGAGCAGTCTTCCCAACTACAACAATCAGTGAAAACTTTAGGTATTGCTGTGATGGTGATGTAAAATTAGCTGTAGTGGGATTTTATTGTAAGTATAACAGTAGTAGGGTAATATTGATGTTAGCATAACTGTAGTAGGATAATGGTGTTAGTAGAGCTGTACTAGGATAATGTTGATGTTTGTACAACAGTAGAAGGATAATGGTGTTAGTAGAGCTGTACTAGGATAACGTTGATGTTTGTACAACAGTAGAAGGATAATGTTGTTAGTACAGCTGTACTAGGATAATGTTGATGTTTGTACAACAGTAGAAGGATAATGGTGTTAGTAGAGCTGTACTAGGATAACGTTGATGTTTGTACAACAGTAGAAGGATAATGTTGTTAGTAGAGCTGTACTAGGATAACGTTGATGTTTGTACAACAGTAGAAGGATAATGTTGTTAGTAGAGCTGTACTAGGATAACGTTGATGTTTGTACAACAGTAGAAGGATAATGTTGTTAGTACAGCTGTACTAGGATAATGTTGATGTTTGTACAACAGTAGAAGGATAATGGTGTTAGTAGAGCTGTACTAGGATAACGTTGATGTTTGTACAACAGTAGAAGGATAATGTTGTTAGTACAGCTGTACTAGGATAATGTTGATGTTTGTACAACAGTAGAAGGATAATGCTGTTTGTAGAGCTGTACTAGGATAACGTTGATGTTTGTACAACAGTAGAAGGATAATGCTGTTAGTAGAGCTGTACTAGGATAACATTGATGTTTGTACAACAGTAGAAGAATAATGTTGTTAGTACAGCTGTACTAGGATAATGTTGATGTTTGTACAACAGTAGAAGGATAATGGTGTTAGTAGAGCTGTACTAGGATAACGTTGATGTTTGTACAACAGTAGAAGGATAATGGTGTTAGTAGAGCTGTACTAGGATAACGTTGATGTTTGTACAACAGTAGAAGGATAATGCTGTTAGTAGAGCTGTACTAGGATAAAGTTGATGTTAGAACACCTGTAGTAGGATAATGGTTATGTAAGTACAGCTGTAGTAGGATAATGTTGATGTACATGTAGCTGTAGTAGGATAATGGTTATGTAAGTACAGATGTAGTAGGGTAATTCCTCACGTTTCGGGAAGATGATGAGAGGTGGGAACAGCCCCCTGTCTCTGTCCTCCTCGCTCATCTCATGGAAATACTGGAACAACATATGGCTACACTGTACGTAATTTACACAACATGGCAACATGCAGGAACTGCAACACTGGTAGCTTTTGGCCATGCCACCAAATAGTTTTGTTTTAGAACCTGATTACCAAGTGACTTCAGCACTTTCACCTTTCACTTGGACATTTAAATACTTTCTACGAATGTCCTGTTGTTGTTTTTCTCGGGAACTGACTTAATATATATATAGGACAATTGATATTCCAGCGTTTGAAATTGGCACTAGTCCTTTAGCCCTTGCCACACTGCCCAATAGTTTAGGTATCATAAAGACTACTAGAAATTTGCCATTCTTAAGGGTTTTACTATATGTTATCATTGTAAAGACTAGTGGACTGTTACTCTCTATTGCTGAATTCGTAACATAATTGCAATATTTGTTTTCATTTCACTTGCCCTTTAAATGTGTAACTGTTTGGTTAACCTACAAGTATGGCCATAGTGCTAACAAATCAGTGATGTAGGATTCTGGCAAGTCAAAGGGATGCAACTCTACACAGCGAATTGCAGAAGCTTAGACAACTGGGCAAACCATGTCCCCAGGAGGGAGAAAGAAGCAACAAAGCAAACTCCTGCAAGTGTCTTACATTGTCAATCATCCCCTTCATTTCATCCTCGCTGCGAACCGTGATGTGATCTCCATCCTCGTCTTCATCTGAGAAAGGAAAACTCAAAGCTCACATTCCGTGATGTGTGAAACAGAAAACCCAATAAAGTATACACATTCTAGTATGTGGCCAACTGCCACCAAATAACAAACACTTCCCTATCATAAATGTGGGCTTCATTTTCAGTTCGGAACTATATCTACCTTATAGTCCTCGCCACATGCAATAGTATCACAGAATGTCACGATGATTAATTAATGCACATGGCTGCACTTTGCAATTTTTGTCATTACTGAAAGTAATATTCCTTTTCCGCGGAACGGCTTGTTTTCACTTCATAAGTATTAGCACACATGCAGCTATCTTCGTTAATTAATCATCACGATATTCCGAGATTCAATTTCAAGTGGCAAGGACTATAGTCATGTTAGTGTTGGCAACTAGTTGTGATTTCCACTAATGAACTGTTGCAATCAGTTAATAAAGAATCTGTGTGTAGGGCTGGGACGGGTAACTCGGGTACTCGGGTCGGGTGGGTACTGAGTAGGACCTGGGTACCCACCTGACTACCCGGACCCGTGGTAAGTCATGTGATATATTGTTTCATGACAAAAATTCACTATATTTATAACTACATGGTTAAACGACAATTTTAAGTCTCTAATGTTCGCATTTCGTTCTTCTGAGTGAGTGAGTGAGTGTGTGAGCGAGCATGGCTTTATGCCGTTTTTAGCAATATTCCAGCAATATCATGGCATGACACATCAGAAATGGGCTTCACCCATTGTACCCATGTGGGGAATCGAACCCAGGTCTTCGGTGTGACTGACAAACACTGTAGGCTATCCCAACGCCTCCTGGAGAAAGGTAATTGCACCTTTACCAAATGTCACGTTGAAGAATAAAGAGGATGAAATACATCAGTTAACTGTTAATTCCTTGATGCTACACCTTCTTAAATGCCTCTTAGACATGTAAAAGATATTATTAACATGTCAATCGTAAGCAGATTTGAATTAACCGAACGTTACCGTTACTGGACATGACTTACACTCAAATGCTGTGATTGTTCCACTGTGTACCACCTGGCAGATCACTTCCTGGAAAACAGAATCAACATCATGTACCAGCTGGAGCAGGGTACACCAGTTACACATCTAACATCATGTACCAGCTGGAGCAGGGTTCACCAGGTACACAACTAACATCATGTACCAGCTGGAGCAGGGTACACCAGGTACACATCTAACATCATGTACCAGCTGGAGCAGGGTTCACATCTAACATCATGTACCAGCTGGAGCAGGGTTCACATCTAACATCATGTACCAGCTGGAGCTGGGTACACATCTAACATCATGTACCAGCTGGAGCAGGGTTCACATCTAACATCATGTACCAGCTGGAGCAGGGTACACATCTAACATCATGTACCAGCTGGAGCTGGGTACACATCTAACATCATGTACCAGCTGGAGCAGGGTACACATCTAACATCATGTACCAGCTGGAGCAGGGTACACCAGGTACACAACTAACATCATGTACCAGCTGGAGCAGGGTTCACCAGGTACACAACTAACATCATGTTCCAGCTGGAGCAGGGTACACAACTAACATCATGTACCAGCTGGAGCAGGGTACACCAGGTACACATCTAACATCATGTACCAGCTGGAGCAGGGTTCAACAGGTGGACAACTAACATCATGTACCAGCTGGAGCAGGGTACACCAGGTACACAACTAACATCATGTACCAGCTGGAGCAGGGTACACCAGGTACACATCTAACATCATGTACCAGCTGGAGCAGGGTACACCAGGTACACATCTAACATCATGTACCAGCTGGAGCAGGGTACACCAGGTACACATCTAACATCATGTACCAGCTGGAGCAGGGTACACCAGGTGCACATCTAACATCATGTACCAGCTGGAGCAGGGTACACCAGGTACACATCTAACATCATGTACCAGCTGGAGCTGGGTACACCAGGTGCACATCTAACATCATGTACCAGCTGGAGCTGGGTACACATCTAACATCATGTACCAGCTGGAGCAGGGTACACCAGGTACACATCTAACTACATGTACCAGCTGGAGCAGGGTTCACCAGGTGTACATCTAACATCATGTACCAGCTGGAGCAGGGTTCACCAGGTGTACAACTAACATCATGTACCAGCTGGAGCAGGGTTCACCAGGTGCACAACTAACATCATGTACCAGCTGGAGCAGGGTTCACCAGGTACACATCTAACATCATGTACCAGCTGGAGCCGGGTACACCAGGTGCACAACTAACATCATGTACCAGCTGGAGCAGGGTTCACCAGGTGTACAACTAACAACATGTACCAGCTGGAGCAGGGTACACCAGGTACACAACTAACATCATGTACCAGCTGGAGCAGGTTTCACCAGGTGTACAACTAACATCATTTACCAGCTGGAGCAGGGTTCACCAGGTACACAACTAACATCATGTACCAGCTGGAGCAGGGTTCACCAGGTACACAACTAACATCATGTACCAGCTGGAGCAGGGTTCACCAGGTACACAACTAACATCATGTACCAGCTGGAGCAGGGTTCACCAGGTGGACAACTAACATCATGTACCAGCTGGAGCAGGTTTCACCAGGTGCACATCTAACATCAAGTACCAGCTGGAGCAGGGTTCACCAGGTACACAACTAACATCATGTACCAGCTGGAGCAGGGTTCACCAGGTGGACAACTAACATCATGTACCAGCTGGAGCAGGTTTCACCAGGTGCACATCTAACATCAAGTACCAGCTGGAGCAGGTTTCACCAGGTGCACATCTAACATCAAGTACCAGCTGGAGCAGGTTTCACCAGGTGCACATCTAACATCAAGTACCAGCTGGAGCAGGGTTCACCAGGTGGACAACTAACATCATGTACCAGCTAGAGCTGGGTACACCAGGTACACAACTAACATCATGTTCCAGCTGGAGCAGGGTTCACTAGGTACACAACTAACATCATGTACCAGCTGGAGCAGGGTACACCAGGTACACAACCAACATCATGTACCAGCTGGAGCAGGGTACACCAGGTACACAACTAACTATTTCTGTTCCGAAATACAACCATTAGTCAGACAGCACAGTTCAGCTTTTCTTAAATCAGTCACTAAGTTCCTATTCAAACAAGGACATCCAATCTATAATGAACATAAGGCATAACATGTTTTTGGGTATGACGCGACCGGGGATCGAAACCCCGGCCTTCCGTTCTCCGGGCAGACACTCTACCACTAGACCTCAGATGTGGTCAGTGAAATTCTGTTAGGATTTGTGAAGTTTCCTTGTGGACTGCTACTTTTACCATTAAGTAGATTGCAACTTTGCAGCAGATAGAATTTAATTCTATTATCACAAAAACTAACATTGCCATAATGACCTTATGATGCGTGAGCACAATGAAAGCCTACCAGAGTCTGTCGGAAGGTGACTTCGTCTGGCTGGACCATCCAGTCCATGTCCTGGTCCTGGTCGTTCCGGATGCGGATGGTCAGCGGCGGAACATTCATGTTGGTGGTCTGCACTTCACTGATCTTGGTCACATGTCAGCAGGAATCTAAAACAGACAAGACAGAAAATGAATAACTTTGTTTGTTTGTTTCTTCGTTTGTTTGTTTGTTTAACACCGCACTCTGCAATATTCCAGCTATATGACGGCAGTCTGTAAATAATCAAGTTTGAACCAGACAATCCAGTGATTGACATCATGACAACATGATACGATAACATGAACCAAATCAGCAAGCCTGACCACCCGATCCTGTTAGCTGCCTCTTACGACAAGCATGGGTTGCTAAAGACCTATTTAATCCCCTATGTTCACGGGTCTGAATAATTATGGGAAAAATTAATATCCCACTGTCATTAATATCATTCCTCCTTATATAAGCATAACTGTAGTAAATATGGACTAGAATAAACAATGACAATAGCTCCAGAAAGCAAGCAGTTGTTCAACCATTTCAGTATGTTCAATGAGGGCAAATACTGGACTACTGTAGGTCTTGTCAGTTGTCCAGGACAGATAATACAGTTCAGTTATGACATAGATTATTCAATTATAACTAATTATAAAGGTTCTAACCATGTTACGGTTACAAAAGAGTCCTATGGTTGGACAGACATAGAAATCCAAACTGGCAAAACAGGACCCGCTCTTAATAAGTGAAAACAAACTCAACAAAGAGATGATCATGATGATAAAACTTTATGATTATATCTATATACAGTTAACTAGTTTCTTAACATTATCATTGACAGAGTACACATGAGACCACAAGGTGAGTTTGCTATATCCATTGTTTTGTTATGAGCGTGTTTGTTATATCCATCAACTTTATATGATAAAATATATGGTTAATGGCCGGGGCCAAAAGAACAGTTTGTTATATCCATCAGTTTGTTATATCTGTTTGTTATATCAGTTCATTTTCAGTATGTTCATTATAAACTATAAATATAGTTTACTATATGTACATTAATTTTATATATTATATCAAAAACGTCTAATAAGATATATACAAAACTGGATCCCGTGTCATACCAACTTTATGAAACGAGTGAATAGTTCTGGTATCTGACGAGCAAACAAAACAATATAATGTGATAGCCTAACAAAAGGGTTGCTGGGGTCATCGAGTGTGCATAAGCTCCTCTAAGTGACCTATGATCTCTACACACAATGTCGTTGAATAAGCCAAGGGATGTTGAAAGTTTTCAAAATTTAAACTCTGTTTACTTTTTAACCGATGAGTTGCAAAATACTAATAATGCTAATTGTGACCTTGATTGGGTTAGAAGTCGGTGTTTATCAAAGCCTAGATTACGCCCAATATACAAGCCTCGAAAGTGCATTCCCTGGAAAGAAGCGCTCTTTGACCTGCTAATGTGCCTACTCCCGCAGTGTGGTCACTGGAGCAAAACTTTATCTTGCGGAATAGTTACTCCCGCATTAGACTGGGAGTAATCAGCTATTGTTTGCAAACAATGCTTCATAATGGTCGATATAATGGCTCTTTAGTTAGCAATGTAATGTGTTTTATGTAGATTGTGTTCAATTGTGAAATGTGTCATTCCAGTTATGTCACAGCGGCAGTAACAGTAAAGAATCGAGTAGACAATCTTGTGATAGATCCATTCAGTCAACCAAGTCACCGAGACTGACCACCTGATCCATTTTGTCGCCTCTTATCGTAGACCAGTACAGGGCAACAATGCAGTTTACCATCCAGTCAATTACCGCGCTATAGTCCTACCGCTGTCTCGCTATACCGTTACCATGCCTCACGCTCCGGTGACTCTCACTTCACGATCCAACACCCGTTTTTGGTCTTAGGGAAACTTACAGGTCTTTACAATCCAACACCCCTTTTCGGTCTTAGGGAAACTTACACGCCTTTACGATCCAACACCCCTTTTCGGTCTTAGGGAAACATACACGTCTTTATGATCCAACACCCCTTTTCGGCCCTTAGGGTTAGCTTGCTCTGGGCAAGGGTTAGCCATAATTTCTTACCTTTTCAAGCGTTAATCCAGTTAATCCGATTGGTCATAAACAATGGCGGGTGTGGTTTAAAGAAAACATTAATGGGAGAGCGGATGGTGATGTCACACGCATGCGCAATTCATTGTTCTGAATTATGCATGTTTGTTAATGGGGTGCTAATGACCCGTTAAACGAGCACTGATTACATGTGATCACGCTCGTGGTTCAGTGCTAGAGCATCAGTTAAGTAACGCATTAATTAGCCAAGCCGGCGAGCTGGCGAAGCGAGTTCGAGCCCCCCCAGTGCTAATTGGAACTGAAAAAGTGCGCCCAGGAAAGTGCACTACTCCCCAGTACATTATGGTACAGATTACTTGGGACCACCAACACGGAGGAAGGCTTATGTTGAAGAAAAGTAGAATATCTCACTATCTTACACACAATATATTTAGTCGTCAATGGGTTTACCAGAGAAAGACAGTCATTACTTGTCAACTCAACTGTTCAGTTCAATTAAGACAATGACAGCTGTGTCACTTTCAGTTACTGTATTGGATTATCCTAGGATTTATGGGTGCCATGCCTCCCCTCTCTAATTTATTTTCAAGAAATCAGCTAGGGCAAATACTCACGGTATTGAATATCGTAGATCCTCTTTATTCATTTGTTCAAACGCAAAAAACCTCGTGTAAACATTATTCTCGAAACCTCAAGGAGAGAGATTGTCTGTGATGATTCTTTTGCACTTTTTCGTGGGCGCGGCCATATTGGTTCACCAAAATCTCGAGAAATCTCACGAGATATAACGAAACGCGAGACTTACGGAGTAAATTGGTTCCACTGTTACTACGCGCCCCAAGATTTGCGCTGTCTAGTTTATGTAGACAGGAGTCCAGTTTACATACAACTGGGCTTCGTCTCAGAAAGAGTCGCAGCGGTTAATGAGTCGCGCACCAGTCGAAGGGGCGCTTATCGTCGTAAATAGATTAAATCTGAACTATACTTGAACTATTCACTCTACTTAATTTCTGAATTGGATATATAGTTACAAATCCTAATGTTAGGTGACATTATTATCATCATCATCATCATCATCATCATCATCATCATCATCATTATTATTATTATTATTATTATTATTATTATTATTATTATTATTATTATTATTAAAATATGATATAATTGAATCCTAAGTTATAAACCAACTGCCACTTTTGTACTGTGCGAGGTTTTACTTATTCCTAGTAAGACCATGTGAGTTGAGTTGTAGATTAAATTTGTACGTGGTGTTTTAAACGTCCAATGTTCTAAAATCGAATACAATAATGGAAGTTTTCATAGTGGATAACGGGAATCGAACCTGCATCCTCACATATCTTTTCTAGTTTTATAACCCACTGTTTTCCCAATGAGCCACTGGGGCAGGTGGTGAAAAGTTGTCCAATTTTACTTGTCATGACTTCAGTTTGTGCTGCATGTTGCACGTACGTGGTCACGCTTTGATCAAATTCCCTTTGTACCGCGACACACTTTATTGTTTCACCAAAAGGTATCCCGATGATTTCTTTTTTTCTCTCTGGTATTTCTTGCATTTAGATCATAAATTGGATAAAACACTCCTTCTTGCATTTAGTTCGCGGTTTTATGATTTAAATAGTTTCTCGTGCAGCGACTGCTTTTGCCAACAGTCGCATACATGAACAGTCTTTACAATTGATTCGTTATGACGCGCCAAATGTAAATTGCATTTTTCGTTTAAATTAACTCTTTTGGCGGTCTATAAGACAGAGAAAACACCACCCCTCGGTTTTGGTTGAAATTTTAAACACTCGGGAGTCGGGAAATCCCCATCCCTCGTGTTTACATTTTCAACCAAAACCTCGGAGTCGTGTTTTCTCCTATACATAGAAGGCAGCGAGAAATGGAGAATGTTGGTGTCTGTTGTAGACTACATAATGTAGACTAGTCTCTCTGAAGTTACTGATTGCCATCCAATACGTCACAAATATACCTTCAAAATAAGGTCTTGTGACCATTGCCAGTTTTTAAAAAACATGGATCCCCTTTTCGTGATGGAACGTGGCACTCCGGGGAGGTCAAGCAGCGTTGGACGCGGAGTGTAGTTGGTGACCGTGTTTAGAAGCCGTGGACTCTTGAGAGTTTCTCGAGATCCCCATCACTGAAACACGTGTTACGTGTGGTGTCTCTATGTTCGAATTATGTTCTTGTTCACCCGCGGTTAATGGGTACCCGATAGCTACAGGAAGCTGAAGATAAAACTGATCCATCGATCGAGATAATAACGGTGCGCTTGAGACCATGGACTGTTATTATAATCATCCTCACTAGAAAGTAAATGGGATTTAAGTGCTACCAGCATATACCAGAATGTATGTGTTAGAAATATGAAAAGAAAACACAACAAAAAGTAGTCGTACACGCAAGATTCCTAAAGCTTTATTGTGTCTGAGAAACTGCTATTTGTGTCTCTAGGGACTGATCTGAGTTGTTCCCGATAGTCAACTTTCCATTTTCTGTAGAGCAATATTCCAGCAGCTCTAGCCTTTGGTGTCTACATTTCACAACTGTTAAGGAAAATCTGGACATGATCTGTTTACGAAGGTTTCAAAGTGCCGTGTGTGCCAGTAGGACGTGTGTCAGTAGGTCGTATGTACCACTAGGCCGTGTGTCAGTAGGCCTGATGTGTCTGTAGGCCGTGTGTGCCAGTAGGCCGTGCGTGTCAGTAGGTCGTATGTACCACTAGGCCGTGTGTCAGTATCTCTTTACATCCCATTACGCGTCACGTCAGAACGACCTTTCATCCGACCAATCAAAGCGTCGCTTACCAGATCATGAAAGTGACAGTCGGAATGTGTTTTCTAATCATGCAACCTCGAAAACGTTATCACGAGGTATTCCGAACGACAGTTACGACTGATTCCGTCAAAATCATCGTCTATCTCTCGCTTCCGTGGGATAAACATTTGAACAGAAGAGGCGTTGCACAGTATGTGGGAAGCACTGCCATACAATCTCAACCATATATTAGACATTCCAGAATGTTTGTTTGTTCAGTTTTCAAAATTTTAATCGAGAACAGGGACAACATATTTTTCAAGCGCAGTCTGAAATGGAGACCGCCAGGTTGAAACGAGTGCCGTAAAACTCGAGAAAGCTGTTTTCTTATTGGCTGATGTCGACTTCTTGTTAGTCGTTTCAGTGGTCGGTCAAAATCGTGAAAGGTCGTTCTGACATGACCCGTAATGGGATGTCCTCAGATCTTTGTTTAGCGACAGCGAGAATTAAGATATAATTTTAATGAGATTGTGTGTCAGTAGGCCGGGTGTGACAGTAGGCCGTGTGTGCCAGTAGGCCGCATGTGTCAGTAGGCAATGCCTGTCAGTAGGCCGTGTGTGCTCGGTTGTCAAGGGTACCATGATGTGTTTTGGTGGCGTATATACCAGGGTGCCGTGGCACAAAGCGATCTTAGCACTAAGGTGATCATAACTCCCATACCTTAACATCGACTTACGACAGTCGAATAGCTAAGGTTGTTTTGTACAACGACTCCCCGAGCGCTGTTCCACAAATCAATCTTTGCGTTAAGACAGTCGTAACTCCCTTATTTTAACTTATACTTACGACTTAAATGAGTGACAGTGATGCAGACGACCTTCCGTTCAGACATTGAAACATCAATAATAACTGCGAATGACTCCCGCCTTATGTTTTCCATTTGAGTTGACAGGTGGCTGATGCGCATGTAAAATCTCTATAATAATCCGTCACAAGCAGGCTGTGTGTGCGTTACATTATTTGTGAAATGTATTTTCCAAAAGTCCTGACATCAGTGATACTGAATGTGATCAGCATATGCAGGCTCGGGTGATGCTGCTTTACAAAACATGCAGTGATTCGCTTTAATCCATACGTGCTTTGCTCTCTCTCATCCAGAAATATATTGAAATTCGTCTCCTGTTAGTAGTTTAAATACTCTGAGAACTCCTGGGACATTTATCCATTGAACGATTTCAATAGTTAGTTTATCAAGACTGGTTTTAAGGGACAATAATGGTTTTGATATTTCCTCGCTAAGGAGTAATTAACTTTCAAACAATGGAGTAGATGTTTTAACGTTATAGTATTGACCATCAGAAGAGTTATGTCAAGCCTGTAGATATTGATACTTGACACATCCTTTCTCCATGTAAGTGAGTGAGTATGGTTTTACGCGGCTTTAGCAATATCCCAGCAATATCACGGCGGGGGACACCAGAAATGGGCTTCACACATTGTACCCATGTCGCGAATCGAATCCGGGTCTTCGGCTTGACGAGCGAACGCTTTAACCACTAGGCTACGCGACCGCCCTTTCTCCACGTAAGACAATCCTGGTACAACTTTATACATATGGGTAGTCGATCAAGTAAGGCATACTACAGCTACAAAGACTATGTTTGATATGATTAAACCAGAACATTTCACTTTGCTGTTTTCTGTAATGTAATTAAACATCGATAACGCATATACTCAGTGGTGCCCTTAGCGAGTTGGGTTGGTCGTAAGCTCGTACGTTTGTCAATGGATGTTTTAGGATGAAAACACCGTGATAAAATGCAGTTGCCTGTTAAAAGCCCTGACCTGAACCCCGTCGAACATTTTTTGGATGCATTTGGGCGTCGTGTGCGCTATCGCCATAAACGCTACTCATGATCAAGCCCAAAACTGTTGCAGCTCTGATGGTCGAGTGGCTTCCGGATCCCAGGGACTACCATCTGGACCCTCCTCACTCAGAGCATGCCTAGACCGGGTCCACGTGGACCACAATCTCTTTAAGTAAATGTGAGTGAGTGAGTGGGTGGGTCTGGTTTAACGCCGCTTTGAACAGCGTGTCAGTTTAATGTGGGAAGAAAGTGAAACCCACGCGCACTGGTATGGTGCTGACAAACCTAGAAACATAATCGTGTCGAACCGGGATTCGAACCCACGATTATAAGTTTCTGGCGTGCCCAAGGGACGCAGCTCTGTACATCAAATCACGGTGCCATAGACAACTGGGATATCCGTGCGAATAATAATTCTGACAGATAAACTGTGATTAGCGTAGGTTGAGTGTATCACGGTTTTATTATATGTCCCTCACCTTCCAAGGTAATGATTATGAAATACAATCTAATCTGGTCTACATACCCTAAGGAGTGACATGGACAGTTTCCACACAGACAAGAGGATGACGAGACCAGCGCTTATCAACAAACAAATGGGCGATATTCATCCTAAAAAATGCGTAGATTTTAATACTGACACAGTGGCAAGTTGACTATATTCTCAGTGAATTATTTAACGCATTTAATGTAAGAAAAAATGCACAGCTGTTTTGTTACGATATGCAAAATATACACATATCCGTACATGCGCGTATAGAAGAAATTATCTTTATAATGAATAATGAATATTCTGCGGTTTTAGATTATCAAGATCAATTAATACTCATACAAAGAAATCATTTCAAGGCCAATAATTCATTGTGAAAAACAATACAGAGAGAATAACTGTGGAATACTACTAATCTACAACTCACCCAACGGAAACATAGTCTATGGGTGCATTCTTACTAGACCAGAAGCTGGCTAACAGTTAAACCACTGTGTGTTTGTTTAAGTTGTGGGGCCATCTCAAAAAGTGTTTGGGATTTGTGGGGTCGGTCCCTTGGGGGCTTGTAACAGAAATTAGTCGGTTGGTTGGTTGGTTTTTTAACGCCGCACTCAGTAATATTC